TTGGCTTGACTATTTTTTGATAGTTAATAATTAATTGAACTAAAAAATTAAAAATTTATTTTAAAATATAATTTATAGTTTTGAAATTGAGGATAATTTATTCAAAGTGTCTAATCAAATAACTAACTAAGTAACTAACTAACCCAATCAAATAAATATTTTAAAATTAAAAAAAAAATTTTCTATCTTAATCAATCTTTAAAAGTAAAATTGTCTTAAAGCACTTATTTAGCTAACTAAAACTTCTTATTAAATTAGGTTTTAAATATTTTTTTCAGAATTTGTAATACTCAAACACATGCTTTAAAAAAAAAAAATTAAATGATAAAATATTTGTTATCATATTAAGATAAAAATTAGTTTAAAATAACTTTTGAAAAAATAGTGCTGCGCCATGAGTTAATATTTCGGCCTAAGCCCTAATGATCACTCACCCTTGTGAGTCAGAAGCAATTTAAATGTAAGAAGTAACTCATTGGCTTGACTATATTTTGATAGTTAAATAATCTATTAAGCTTATAAATTCAAATTTTATTTTAAAATATAATTTATGGTTTTGAAATTTAGGATAATATATTGAAAGCGTCTAATTAAATAGCTAATTAATAAATTATCTAACCCAATCAAATAAATATTTTAGAATTAAAAAATTTTTTCTATTAATCAATCTTTAAAAGTATTTTCTTAAAGCACATATTAAAAAAATTAGCTAACAAAAACTTCTTATTAAATTAGGTTTTAAATATTTTTTTCAGAATTTTTAATACTCAAACACATGCATTTAAAAAAATAAAGGATAAAATATTTTTTATCATATTAAGATAAAAATTAGTTTAAAATAACTTTTGAAAAAAATAGTGCGGCGCCATGAGTTAATATTTCGGCCTAAGCCCTAATGATCACTCACCCTTGTGAGTCAGAAGCAATTTAAATGTAAGAAGTAACTCATTGGCTTGACTATATTTTGATAGTTAAATAATCTATTAAGCTTATAAATTCAAAATTTATTTTAAAATATAATTTATGGGTTTTAAAATTTAAGATAATATATTGAATGTCTAATTAAATAGCTAACTAACTAACCCAATCAAATTAATTTTAAAGTTAAAAATTTTTTTCTATCTTAATCAATGTTTTAAAGTAAAATTGGCTTAAAGCACGTATTTAGCTAACTAAAATTTCATATAAATTAGATTTTAAATAATTTATAATACTCAAACACATACTTTTAAAAAAATAAATGACAAAATATTTATTATCATATTAAGATAAAAATTAGTTTAAAATAACTTTTGAAAAAAATAGTGCTGCGCCATGAGTTAGTATTTCGGCCTAAGCCCTAATGATCACTCACCCTTGTGAGTCAGAAGCAATTTAAATGTAAGAAGTAACTCATTGGCTTGACTATTTTTTGATAGTTAAATAATCTATTGAGCTTGTAAATTCAAAATTTATTTTAAAATATAATTTATGGGTTTTGAAATTTAATATAGTATATTGAATGTCTAATTAAATAGCTAACTAACCAACTAACCCAATCAAATTAATATTATAAAGTTAAAAAATTTTATCTATCTTAATCAATCTTTAAAAGTATAATTGGCTTATAGCACATATTTAGCTAACTAAAATTTCATAGAAATTAGATTTTAAATATTTTTAATTAATTAATAATACTCAAAAAAACATACTTTAAAAAAAATAAATGATAAAATATTTATTATCATATAAAGATAAAAATTAGTTTAAAATAACTTTTTAAAAAATAGTGCGGCGCCATGAGTATTTCGGCCTAAGCCCTAGTGATCAAATAATTCATCCTTATGATCAAATAATTCATCCTTGTGAGTCAGTAAGTAATATAAGAAGTAACTCATTGGCTTGACTATAGTTTGATTGTTAAATAGTCTATTGAGCTTATAAATTCAAAATTTATTTTTAAATATAATTTATGGGTTTTGAAATTTAGGATAAAATATTGAAAGTGTCTAATTAAATAGCTAACTAACTAACTAACTAACTAACTAACTAACTAACTAACTAACTTATTAACCAACTAACCTAATCCAATCAAATTAATATTTTAAAGTTAAAAAATGTTTCTATCTTAATCAATCTTTAAAAGTAAAATTGGCTTAAAGCACATATTTAGCTAACTAAAACTTCTTATTAAATTAGATTTTAAGTATTTTTTAAAGAATTTATTATACTCAAACATATAATTTTAAAAAAATAAATGATAAAATATTTATTATCGTATTAAGATAAAAATTAGTTTAAAATAACTTTTGAACAAAATAGTTTCATTGACTTGACTATTGATAATTGATATTGTAATGATCTTATATATCTAGAATTAGTTTTAAAATATAATTTATGGTTTTCAAAAATTCAGATAAAATATTTACAGTGTTTAATTAAAAAATAACTAACTAACTAACTAACTAACTAACTAACTAACTAACTAACTAACTAACTAACTAACTAACTAACTAACTAACTACCTAACTAACTAACTAACTAACTAACTAACTAACTAACTAACTAACTAACTAAATCAAATCTATATTTTGAAATTTAATCATTTTTCTATCTTAATTAATTTTTAAAAATAAAAATAGACTTAAAGCATAGTATTTATTGAGCTAAATTTGATAATAAAATTAGATTTTTAATTTATAATAATACCCAAAAAATTTTTTAAAAGTGATAAAATATTTATTATCAATTTATAAATTAATTCTAAATATATAATTTTTGAAAAAATAGTATAGCGCCATGAGTAATAGATAGAATTTGAGCGTAATTATGAAGTAACTCATTGACTTGACTATTGATAATTGACTGTCTAATTATCTTATATATTTAAAATTAATTTTAGTATATAATATATGATTTTAAAAATTAAGATATTATATTAAAAGTGTCTAGTTAAATAATTAACTAATTTACTAACTAACTAAATCAATATAAGAAAAATTTAATCATTTCTCTATCATACTGAATTTTAAGAATAAAAATTGATTTAAAGCATGCATTTAGTTAAATCTTATGATTAAATTAGATTTTAAATAATTTTTTAAGAGTTAATTATGATATCGCCTAAAAAAATAGTTCAGCGCCATGAGTAAAGATAGAATTTGAGCGTAATAATGAAGTAACTCATCGACTTGACTATTGATAATTGATATTCTAATAATCTTATATATTTAAAATTAATTTTAATATATAATTTATGGTTTCGAAATTAAGATAAAATATTAAAAGTGTCTAATTAAACAAATTAACCCAATCAAATCAATATTATAAAATTTTAATAATTTTTCTATCTTAATGAATCTTTAAAAATAAAAATTGACTTAAAGCATATATTTAGCTAAGAGTTATTAATTGAAAAAATATTTTATTTAAAAAATATACTTTAAAATGACTTCTTATAATAATTATTTTAATTAATTTTGATAATATTAATTTCAATTAAAATTTGTGAATTTATTTATATTTTACTTCCATTTTATCAATTCGATGTTGCTTGAGATAATTTATATAAGTTATTTAAAAAATAAATGTGAATATATAAATACTTGAAATTTGTCTTTTTATTTTACTATTTTAAATGTTTATTTATTCTAATCTATAATCCAAGATTAAATACCTAACTAAATATATAAAATAATAAGGAACTTGCCTAATTGGTAAAGTATTAAATTGCCAAACACTAATTTAGCTACTTTTTATTTAACCTAATCAAATAAAATACTGGAAAATAAAAGAAATAATTAGAAAATAGTTTTTCAGTTTTATTGAAAAATAAAAATATGTTTTTAGTAAAATTAATTTTAAGCCTCTATAATCTTTATTTCAAAATTTTTAGGTATTATTTTTTTTTATTTAAACAAATTACTGAGTTGATATAAATATTTTGATTAAATTATGCACTTTTTTGAAGAATATTTGTTAAATTTATATATATTTAAAGGTTTTCTAATAGAGGATTTAATTTTAATTAATTTTCTCCATTCAAAATAAAATAATTTATGCTTGCTTTTTTTAATTCCAAAAATTGTTTGTATTAAGGGTATAGGTTTAGATGTTATAAGGAAATACTAAAAAGATATTGAAAAATAAAAGTGTTTTATTTTTTGATGCAAATCTATTTTGTCTTATTAATTAATTAAATTAAAAAAAATAAAGATAAAACTCTTTTATCTCAAAAAAAAAAGAACTAATTTGATTTTTGCAAATTTACTTATTTCTTCTAGGTTGATTCATACATAAATACAAACCAAAATTGGAAAAAAATAGATTAACATAAATTTATTTCAATAAATTACATTTTTACTACAAATATAAAATATTTATCAACAAAATATCTCTAATTTTTTTTATAAAATATAAGGCAAGTTATTAAAAAAACTTTGCAATTCATTCTTTAATTATATATATTACAAGAATTCACTTTATTTGCTTAACGGGTGTGTCAAACTCAAATTTATTTAGTACTCTTCTATTTCTAAATTAGTTTTTTATATTTAATATTTCAAGGTTTTCTAGTAGAGGATTTAATTTTAGTTAATTTTTTCCATTCAAAATAAAATACCTTAAGCTTGCTTTTTTTATATCCAAAAATTGATCCTATTGAGGATCTGTCTAGGTTGAGAGATTATACTGAAATACCAAAAGGTATTTAAAAAATATGTGTTTTATTTTAATTGAAATCTATTTTGTAAAAATAAATAAATTAAAAAAAAAGATAAAACTCTTTTATCTCAAAAAAGATAGATAGATCAAATTTGCTTTTTACAAATTATTCTTCATAAAAACAAAAAAAAATTGGGAAAAAATAGATTAACAACAATCTATCTATCTCAATAAATTATATATTTATTACAAACATAAAATATATATCAAAAAAATATCTCTAATTTTTTTTGATAAAATTAAACAACAATAATTTAAATAACTTTGTAATGAACTCTTTTATTATATTTTACAAAAATTCACTTTATTAGTTTAATGAGTGCTTCAAATTTTATTTGTTACTCTTACATTTCTAAATCATTTTTTTATATTTATTTTTTAAAATCATCTAAGCAGCTAATATAATCACTTATATCTATCTAAGCTTCTTAATTTATGAATTCTTTCTTTTCTTAAATTATATTTTGATTTGATTATTGATCCTATTGATTCATATTATCACTAGAGTTATTATATTTATTGACGAGCTCATTTAAGTTAAATCTCCTATTTTTTCTGGTTTGCTTCTCAAAGATGTGCACAAAAGTAAAACCTTTCAAATGACTATATTTCTTTAAACTGGGTTCTTTTAATGATGCCCTTTTAAGCTTTAACGCAGCTATCATAATATTTTTGTCTTGTTCAAAAACTCCATCGGCATAAAAAAATTGACCAATGGTTTTTAGTTTTTTCTTTAATTACTTTGGTTTAGCTTTTAACCTCAAAAGAGAATCTTCTAATCCAATACCTTATTAATTTTCTATCAAAAAGCAAGTATCTGACTAATAGATATTAATGTTTATATGTAAACTATGAAGTTATAGCTTTTTCTCCACATATAAATTGTAAAGCTCATTAAATTTCTCATAGTATATAGCCTGTTATTAAAATTCATTCTTTGCATTAAAAATGAGTTCTGAAGGAAAACAAATAAGCTGATTAACTAATTATGACATAATTAATATTTTTTGAGATGATTTAATTTATTTGTTTGTTTTCTTATTATATAATTTTTTTATATTAAATTTATTTATTATTGATTTTAGCAGAGATTCTGAATAGATTTGAATTAAACAAGATCAGACTGTGTCTCTATCAGATTGATCTAATTAATTATCTATTTTAATTTAAATACTTTTTTTTTCAATAGAAAATTAAAAATTATATTTTCAAATGTACTTATATTATATTATTATCCCAATCAACAGCCATATTTCTTTTTCATTAAGTGTTATTTTCCAGTATAAAACTAAGAGGTTTTCAAAAATTTAGTGAAAAATAATTTCTAAAATTAAAAAATAAGGTATCATTTAAAATTAAAAATAATAGAATATAAAGTACTCTAAATCCGTATACTATTAAAGTTCCTTATGCACTTTTGATTTATAATTAGAGAACCTAAATGAAAAAATATAATTAATTTATGACACTATGATAATTTATTAAAGAGAATTTACAAAAGGAGCATTTTTTGCTAGTTTGAGAAGAATAAAAATAATTTAAAGTATTCTTTCTTATATTCCAGTATTATTAAGAATTAATTAATAAAAATATTTTAAATAAAATTAAAAATTTCAAGTAAATTAATAAAACTTTTTAAAACAAATCAAAAAAACTATTTAAAGATTAATTATTTAAATAGGTCTAATTAATTTTAATTGTAAATTTATATCAATATTTATTGTTTTTTTGATGAATAAAAAATTAGAATAATTTATAGTTTCCCTACATATTATATAAATTATTGAATAATCTAATAAAAATTAGAATAATTAATAAAATATCTTTTTAATAATTTTACTAATTTTTTGTTTATATTTCAGTAATATTTATTAATAAACTAATAAAATATTGTATTATTTATTTATTTATTTTAACAAATATGCAAATATAAATTATGCACTAACTTATTATTATTTTCTTAATTTTCTTTTTCTTTTTTTATTTCAATTTTTTATACACACAAATTTATGGGGTTCTGTGTACTCTTCTTCACTTCCTTCTGTCTCTAAATCTTTTAGTGCTTGTATAAAAGTATTCTGATATTTCTTTCTGTTTTTAGTTTTGATTTCATTTTAATCCTTTTCTTACAATTAAAGTAATCGCATTAGTTATGAATTTAATTATAAAAAGATGATAACATAATGTTATAACAAATGTAATGATCTTAAACGATTCAATCCTATATTTAATTAATATTGACTAACTTCTTTATTTTCTTAGGATTAAATTTAATAAATTTCTTCTTCAGCTGGTCTTAATCAACAACTCCATGAGGATTTATGCTTAGTATTTTTTAATTATAAATATATTTGTGGTTATATGAGATAAATAAGGAAAAAATGAAAAATTTAAAAGAAAATAAAATAACACAATTTATCAAATGAAAAATTAAAACAATTTCATTGCTTGGATAAAATAATTAATTAATAAATAAAAATTATTACCCTATTATTAAATTATTGAGTTGATTGCACTAAGATAAACTAGTTAATAAATTAGAAAAGCCACAACATTCAATTTCATGAGTGCTTTTAATAAAATAATAAGAAGATATAATTTATTTAAAACTTGAAAAGAAAAACAAATTTTATAAGAAATTTGGAATATTAAATTAATGTTATTTTTAAAATTAATTAGGTCTCATTTATTTTTAATTTATTTTTGAATTTTAAAATATTTTTAAAGAAATAAAATAGAATCAAGATATACCCTATAATAATTTATAAGATTTTTAATTTAGTTAATTTCGGTAATACAGATCCTAGAGTTGAAGCTCCTTCACATTAAATTGTAGTTCTTCTTTTTATATAATATAGTATATATTAATAATTAAAAATTTAAACAAATTCTTAATAATTAAGCAAATTAATTATTAATTTAATTTTTAAAAAAAATTAAAATAAAATAAAAAACTGAAATACTAAGAAAAATTCATTATTTTTTCTAAAAATTGATTATAAAATAATAGCCAAAATATTAATAACAGCTTTATCAAAATTATTACCCCATTTCAAGAGCTAGTGCTTTAAGATTAGTGCAATTTACTAAACCAGAGACTAAGCTTATAAGACCTTTATCACCAATTCCACTTTGATAAAAATTGTTGATTTATTTGAATAAATTTGAAAATTAAATTTTATTTTATTTTTTAAGGAAAATAAACCACTTAAATAATTAAAAGTCTATATATGTATTAATTTACTTAAGCACAAGACCGAGTTCAGTAAGATTAGATAATTTTGATAAAGCAGAAGCTAAATCTAAGTATCCTTCAACTCCAAAGACATTATCCCTATCAATTTAGCAAATTATATAAAATTAATTTTAAAAATTTAATTTTTAAATTGATTGAACCAAAAGCCAAATAATAAATTTTTAATGATAGAGTCTTGTTAACAAAAATTAGAACAAAAAAAAAATAAATTATTTTTACTATAGGTCAATTCCTAAAGTTTGCAGGTTAGAGCATTTTGATAGTCCTGATGCAAAACCTTTCATACCTTCATAGCCTATTCCACAGCCACTTTTAATAAAATAAGTAATTTTTTTATTATATTTCTAAATGAAAAAATTATTGTATTTTGGTGTCCAATCAAAAATATTATTTTATCCTTAAAGATAAAGTTGTATAAAACTATTTTTCTAAATATGTTTACTCTAATAAAAGGAGTAAACCAGAGATGTTGGTACAATTTGTTATAGCAGAGCCTAAATCTAATGAATCAGATACAGAAATTGTCTAATTACTATTAATATTAAAATAAGAGAAATGTATTCAAAATGAATGATAATTTTTATTTTTTTTTAACAAAATCTAAATATAAAAATTAAAAAGTTTGAATTATAAATTTCATTTGAAAATAAGTAAATTATTATGAATTAAAAAACAATATTAATTCTGTTTTACCTGAGTTACATAGCCAAGTTTTTGAGCTTTATGCATTTTGATAAAGCTAAGAATAAACTTTTAGCATTGAATTTGCTTATTAAATCAAAACTTAATCTAAATATGTAAGAAGAAAAGATTTAGTTAGTTATAAGATAACTAATTATTAAAGAAAAAAAATGTAAATTTATAATAGTTTTTACCTAAGATAAATTTCTAGATCAGTATGATCGGATAAAGAAGAGTTTAAAAACTTTTTTTATAAAAATAATAAATTTTAATAGTTAATTTAAGATTATTAAATCACATCTTCTTAATTGTCAAAGCAAATTTTCTATTACATCATTTTTTTTTGTTTTAAAACCAATTCTTTTTTATTTAAATAACAATTTATTTCTTCAAATCAATTTTTTTATATTTGTTAATTTAAGTTATAAAATACAGCAATTTATAATTCCTAGTGAATTCAAAGTCTAAATAAAAAGATTAGATACAAATAAAGAAAAATAAAATAGTTTTCATTTAATATTCTAAATACATAATACAAAAATTAATTTATTTAGTATTTCAATCATAATCAAATTAATTTTAAGAATATTTTTATTTTCAAAATTCTAAATAAGGTTCTTAATATATTGGTGCTTTAATTTATGAATCTTTACATAATAAGTATAATAATTATCTACTAATTGATTCATATTATTAATGAATATTCTTTATGAATCTGAACAATTTGTAAAATTAAAAATTAATGAATCTAAATGAACATTTTTCACATTCAAAAAAACTACTAATTGAAAAAATATTTATTCAAATGAAATTCTTGAAGTTAGATTCATCTGATCACTGATAAATATAAGTAATACTTTAAAGTAGTTAAAAGTATCATTTTGTTGATTAAATTTTATCTCAATATTTATTTAAAATTACTATTGAAAATTGACTTTGCATTCACTTACCCACCATTTTTTTATTGACATTTAATGGATACATAGATTGAAACAGTAAGCTATTATTAAGATCATTATGAATTTTATTATAAAAAGAAGATAACAAAAATGTAAAAACAAATATAATTATCTTGAATATATTCAATGAAATTATAAATTAACTAATTTCTTTATTTTCATAAATTTCATTAATATCTTCTTCCTTTGATCTTCATTCTCAACAACCCGTTTGTATTTTATGCTTGATATTTTTTAATAATATATTTGAGAGTATTTGAAATATAAAAGGAAAAAAAGAAAAATGAAAAATTTAAGAGAAAATTAAATTAAAATAGTTTATTTAAGGAAAAATGAAATGAAATTAAAAATTAAAATTGTTTGCATTGCTTATATGAACAAAATAATTAAATTTAAAAAAATTATTACCCTAGTGTTAAATTATTGAGTTGATTGCACTAAGATAAACTATCTAACAAATTAGAATACCCATTATACTCAATATAATGATAATTACTTTTAATAAAATTTTAGGAAGATTTAATTTATTTAAAACTAGTTTTGAAATACATCTAACAAAAAGATTGGAATATTAAATTAATAATATTTATAAAATTAATTAGGTCTCATTTATTTATTTTTGAAATTTTAAAACATTTTTAAAGAAATAAAAAAGAATCAAAGTATACCCTATAACAATTTATAAGATTTATAGTTTAGTTAATTTCGGTAATACAGATCCTAGAGTTGAAGCTCCTTCACTTTAAATTGCATTTCTTCTTTTTATATGGTATAATATATATTAATAATTAGAAATTTAAATAAATTCATAATAATTAAGCAAATTAATTAATTATTTTTTTTAAAAGAAGATAAAAATAAAATGAAAAATGGAAATATAAAATGAAAAATACATAATGCTTTTTAAAAAATTAATTATAAAATAAATAAATATTTCATCAATAACAGCTTTATCAAAATTATTACCCTATTTCGAGAGCTAACGCTTTAAGATTAGTGCAATTTACTAAACCAGAGACTAAGCTTATAAAACCTTTATCATCAATTCCACTTTGATAAAAATTGTTGATTTATTTGAATAAATTTATTAGTTTATTCAAAAATTAAATTTTTTTAGTGAAATAAACCACTTAAATAATTAAAAGTATATGTATGTATTATTTTACTTAAGCACAAGACCAAGTTCAGTAAGATTAGATAATTTTGATAAAGCAGAAGTTAAATCTAAGTATCCTTCGACTCCGAAGTCATTATTCCTATCAATTTAGCAAATTAATATATAAAATTAGTTAAAAAATTTTAATTATTAAATTGATTGAAACAAAAACTAAATAATTAATTTTTTAATGATATTGTTTTGTTAACAAAAATTGAACAAAAAGCAAATAAATTATTTTTACTATAGGTCAATTCCTAAAGTTTGCAGATTAAAGCATTTTGATAGACCGGATGCAAAACCTCTCATGCTTTCATAGCCTATTCTACAGCCACTTTTAATTAAGGAAAGAATTTTTTAATTATATTTCTAAATGAAAAAATTATTCAAAAATATATAAATTTTTTATCTCATTATACAATTAAGTTTTTCTCTACAATATCAAGAAAAGAAAGTAATTCGAAATTTTAATTATTTAAAAATGATTAATTTAAATAATTGTTATTTTATTTCAAATAAAAAATATTTTTTTTATCCTTAAAATTGATGATAAAGTTGGATGTAGCTATTTATATATATTTTTACTCTATTAAAAGGATTAAAGTAGAGATATTAGTACAGTTTGCTATTGCAGAGCCTAAATCTGATGAATCAGATACAGAAATTGCCTAATTACTATATTATTAAAATAAAAGAAAAGTATTCAAAATGAAGTGATAATTTTAATTTTTTATTAAAATCTAAATAAAAAAATCTACAAAATTTTAATAATAATTTCATTTGGAAATAATTAAATTATAAATAATCCAAAAATAATATTAATTTTATTTTACCTTATCTACATAGCCAAGTTTTTGAGTTATATGCATTTTGATAAAGCTGAGAATAAACTTTAAGCATTGAAATTTCTTTTTAAATCAAAACTTTATCTAAATATTTATTCAGAAAAGTGTTAGTTAGTTATAAGATAACTAATTATTAAAGAAAATAAATGTAAATGTATAATAATTTTTACCTAAGGTAAATTTCTAGATCAGTATGATTGGATAAAGAAGAGTTTAAAAACTTTTTTTATAAAAATAATAAATTTTAATAGTTAATTTAAGGTTACTAAATTACATCTTCTTAACTGTCAAAGCAAATTTTCTATTACATCATTTTTTTTTTTAAAGTAATTCTTAACTCTTTTTCAAATCAATTTTATATTTTTTAATTAAAGTTATAAAATACTGTAAAGTCTAATATTAGACTTTTAAGCATGGTAAGTCGAGATATTTCATCTGATAGCTTTTGAAATCCTTTATTTCCTTAAATTTTACTAAAAAAATAATTTTAAATAAATTAATTGCTAATTAAAATAAAATTTACCTCATAAACATTGATAAGGAAATTAAATTTTAGCATTTAGAAATAATTCCAAATTCTTATAAATCTTAATCTTAATATAAGCTTTTACTTTTAAAACATTTATAAATTTATTTTTTATTATATATATAAGAAATTTTTTAATTAAAATAAATTTATAGAAGCAAAGTCAGCATAATTTTGATTTTAAAAAAATTTAATATACTCTAAGACTATTGTTAAGTGTTAGATATTTTTAATATTTGGGATTGATTAAGCTATGGCTTTAATAGCTTTATTCCCTTCATTATCGTTACTATTCAAATATCAAATAAAAAAACTGAATTATTTATTTATTTAGGATTAAAAATTGTTATAGCAATAATATAACTAGGTTGATAATTTTAGTACAACTTGCTAATTCTTTTGCTATTTTTTCAACCCCAAACTTCTTGAAATTATACATTCTACAAAAAACAAAAACTTATTTATTTCTTTAAATACTATAAAATAATACTCTAAAGGTAGTACAACTATTTCACAATTATTTCTATAAAAATTATTTAACAAATAATATTAAAAATTGATTTTAAATTTACAGTTTAAGTTATCCATCGTCATCATCAACTTCATCTTCTACTCCAAATTTCCCCATTAATTTACTTTATAATTTTTAAACAATTTTATAAACTGAAAGCTATTACTTATTATCAATTAATTTTGGTTTTTTATTTTTTTTAGTATTAAATTTCTTTTTCAAAATTAAATAATTATTTTTTTTTTCACTAAAATTTTAGCTAATTATTTTTCTAATTATATTAATTAAATGCCAAAATAAAATAAAAGTATTTGTTTCTCAAAAAAAAAATCTAAAAAATAATACACAAAAAAAAAAAATTAATTTCTCAATTTTAGCTTGATATTTTAACATTCAATATTGTTTATTTTAAAGTTTTCTTGATTACTAATTAAAGATGAGCTAAAATATTTTAATAATATTTATTATATGATTTTAAATTATATTAAAATTTTTTCCAAAAATTATTTTAAGCTTTAATTTGGTAAAATTGGCTTTTAATTTCATAAATAAATATTAGCTAAATTTTCATTTTAATTAATTTAGAATTTCATAATTCTTAAAAAATTTTTTTAGTAAATATAAAAATTGAAATTCATATTAATTATTAATTAATAAATTATATTCTAAATATCATTTTAGATAAAAACAATAATTTAATTTTAGTAATAATAAAAATAATAAACTATAATAAAAATTTTTATCTTTAAATAAATAAATAAATCTGAATAATAAATGTTATTTTTGATGATAATCAGAAAGATTTGTTCTGAAAAAAAAATGAGTTATTTATTTTTGAAAACTGCTATTTTAAGATGAAATTTGATGTAATTTAATGTAAAATAGAAAATATTAATATTATTTCCAGAATTAAGTTTAAATTTTTAATTTATTAAATTTTAGTGAAAGAGGGTAGATAGATATATAGATAGATAATAGATATATAGCTGCTCATAAGTAATATAAATATTATCAATCAAAATAGGAATCAAAATAACAAAAAACTGTAGTAAATGATTTTTATAATATCACAAAGTTAAAAGAGCTTCATTTTTAATGTTTAAAACAAATTATAGCTGACTTTGCAATAAGGGATAGCTAATTTCATACCCAAAAATTAGAAATCAAAGTATTATTATGTCCACAATTCAAAATATAAGAAACACAGATGTTTGCATTATTTTACATCTAACAATTACTCTCAATAAACGCTGAACTACTACCAATTGTTAGGAGTTTCACAGAATGCTACTTAAGAAGAAATCAAGAAAGCCTACTTCAAAAAAGCAAAAGATTTGCATCCTGATGCAGTAGGATATTAAAAAGAAGATTTGACATCTAAATAATAGCAATACTAAGATTAACTTTAAGATACTTTCAAACGCATCACTGACGCCTATAACACTTTAAAGGACCCAGATGCTCGCTAGAAATATGATTATGACAATTTTATTTATTAACAAGCTGAAGAAATGAATTTAAACAACACGAGATATCAGCAATCAAGAGGATTTTATTAACATCGTACTAAGAATGCTTACAGTTATGATTGGTATAGAGATTAGGATGCTCAAGATGGATAGAGTAAATACACCTACGGCGAACGAGGATTTAATAATGATTATTCTTATAATAGAGCTAGATATCAAGAAAGGTATAGAGAATTTTATAGAGATTATGATAAGGTTCATAATCCAAACAGCTACACAACTTCTGAAACATTTAAATCTACATTTGATAAAACTCCTACATGGAGAAGATACAAATTTCATTGGATAGCTATATTAGGATTATTTATTTTATATGATTTCGTGAGAGATGCCTATTTAGACACTGTTAATCAGATGACTGAGGAAGAGTTGGATTAAAAAATCAAAGAGTTGAAGGAATAAAGAGGATTATTTTAACAAAAGGATGCAGAATTAAGGAGAGAAAATTTTATCTTGAGTAAATAAACTACTGTGAATGATCCTGTCTATGTCTAAGAAAAGAGAAGAGCTCAGTATGAAAAAGAGTTAGCTGATCAAAAAGTAAAGATAGAAGTTTCTTATATAGATACTACTAACTAAAATCCGTATATGGCTAATAAAGATAGAGTTAAAAAATATAAAAACTCCTAAGAATTTTACACAGGATAAAATGCACTGTTAGAATTTGCAAAAAACGAGAAAATTAAAATTGAAAAAACTCCAGATGCCCTAATGAAATAAAAGAAAATGGAAAAGCCTAAAAGAGTAACACTTCAAGAAATACCTTACTTAGCTGATGATGAATACATATGAATAAAATGCTTATAAATATAATTAATATATTTTAAATAAATAAATAAAAAACAAACTATCAAACAAAAAAAACACATAACTATATTTTTAATATTTTTTATTTTAGTTAAATGAATTTAAGATTCAAAATCAAAATAATTAGATTAGTCTAATTCTTACTATTTCAATATTAAGCAAATCATTTTATTTTTTGTTTTTAAGAGTAAATTAATATGCAATTTAAAATTTAAACAGAAATAAATAAATAGTTGTTTATTTAAGCTAAGAATTTTAAAATGATCAAATGTTAAATAGATAATATTATAAGATATTAGCTTATTTGAATTCAAACTTTATAAAAGTATTTTAGAGATTTTTTTATTTCCATTTTTGTGTTTATTTAAAATAATCTAATTAATTCATGATAATTTTAAAGATTTTACTCAAAAATAAAATATGCTATAATTTTTCTTGTTTTTGTATTATTAAAATTCAAAAATATTTAAATTAATTTTTTTGACTTTTTTATTTTTTTGTATTATCAAATTTTTAAATAAAAATTCCAAATAAAAACTTAAGACTAAAGAAAACTGTCATTTGTTTATTTAAATTATTTTATGTTAATTTTCTTTAGAAATTAAACACAATCATTCATCTAACTAAATTTATATTTGTCATTTAAAAAAAAACAACTTTTAAATAAATAATCTAATTATTTTAGAAATTATAAACAATGGAAGCCAAAGTTATTAAAAATGAGGACTTTGTTAACATAAAAACTTTAGTTTTATCTACTTTCTAAATGAATGCATAAATATTTAAATAAATACTATTGATTTTGTTACAAATTAAATATTTTTTTAAGCCAAATAAAAAGAAAAAATCAGCATTCATATGAATCATATATATACTTACTTACTTAATTTATTTATTTGTTTATTTAAAAAAAGATGTTTTAGTAAATAACTTTAGAAATCTAATGTCCTTTTAATTTTTAGTTTAGTTTTAGGTAAATTCTTTTAATCTTATGATTTTCGTAAAATTTGAGAAGAGGAATTAGATTAGTATAATAGTATATTAAATTTTAAAATTTTGATTTTTTACGTTCTAAAATTTGAATCAGTGAATTATAATTTAGAGGATTAATTTGTGGCTTGAAAATTTTCTTATCTTAAATAAAAGTTTGATTATTAAATAGCGTAATTAATTGAGTATTACAGAAAAGTCTATCCAATAATTAAAAAAATACTAGTGATTTACTCTTTTTTATTATTAAATATATCTTTAAAATAAGAAGGTTTATGAGGTAAATGTTAATTTACATTTAAATTAATTACCTCATTAATTAATTTTGTTTATAAGTAAATTTTTATGATAATCAACTAATTTCAAAGATAAAGGGGTAAAATTAATTTTTATTAGAATACATGAATTAGATAAATAAATAGATCGATATTGTTAAAACAGTATTTTTTAAAAAAAATATATGAATGCTCTTTTAATTTTAAATCAGTTATTTAATTTATTTAAAGGTAGGAAAGTACACGCTTTCAATTCTAGTATAAATACATACAATTTTTTTTACTTTTTTTAAACTGATAGTTAATTAGTATAAATAATTTTGATATGGATAATCTATTACATATATATGAATTTATGAAGTTACTTGCAAGGTGAATAATCTTGTTTATAAAATATTAATTCGAGAGAAATATTAAATAGGAGCTAAATAGATAGATAGATAAATAGCATTGCATTTTAAAATGTTTGATTAGCTAAGGAATAAATGTAGAATGAGATAAGTAAGTAAAGTAAGTATTTGAACTAGTAACAATTAATAAGTAATTAATTAGTTAGTCGGTTTTTTTATTTATTTATTTATTAATTTTTGGTTAATGGAATATATAACAAAAATGAATTTAGTTTAATGCATAGAATATTTTATACCAGTTAATGTAAAATTAACTTACTACTTTTGAAGAAGAAGAAGAAAATTAATCTTTTATACTACTTTATTATCCTTTTTAAATATTACTTTTTTATAAATATTATTATTATTATTATTTTATATTTCCTATGAACAGACAAATGCAGCAGCAGCAAGTTTTCTATCAATCCTGGTTGCTTTGTTTATTTATTTAGTTAGTTATTTATTTATTTATTTATTTATTAATTAATTTAATGTTGCCTAGATGTTTATTTACTTGCATCTCCAGCATGTTTGGACTCCTCGCCATAGGCAGAGTTTTAGATTGATTTATTTTTCGTTTATTATAAGCAGTAGTTTCCATTTTATAAATTATTATTTATTAGATGCAGCTAGCGGTACTTTCTTTATTGAATTATCAAAAATAGCTTTGTTATATGGTATTGTAAAATAAATTATTTCTTTCTTTCTTTCGGTTATCCATCCATCAATAATTGTTTATATTTGTTTATAAAAATTTTTTTATTGCATTAAAAAGCTTTTTCTTGAGTTTTAGTTTGGCGACTAGTGCTGCATATCAGTTAGTTAGTCCTGTGAATTGCAAAATAATGTGTGTCTGAGATAGAGTTTTAAAGCCTTAATTAATTATTTTGATAGATAGGTAAGCATTTATATGAAGTGTTTTTGTGCATAATATTTGTAGATAGGTAGAGATAGCTAGATAATTAAATCAGTTGAATAAGGTATAATATACAAATTAGAAAGATTAGTGAGAGAAGAGCAGTAGTTGAGTTTAGATATCAAAAGATTGAGCATCTGCATTGTATCTTATCATTATCATCATTTAGTATATTAAACTCTTTCCAATTATCTACTTCATATATTTGGAACTCCTCTTTCCATGTAACCTGTCTTTTCTTTTTCACAGCATTTTAAGCAATAGTGTTGCTTAATGAGCTCTTTTTGCTATTTGTTTATGTATTGTTACTTATAGGTGTCCCTTAATTTGCCTATATTTATTTTTGTGACATTGCAACCAAGTCAACCCTTTTACTTATTTGTATTATTAATATTAATTTTGCTGAAGGTTTTTTTTATATTAATTTTTCTTTTTTTTTTTGATTAGACCTTTGCCTTAATTTGCTTTTTTTTTGTTTGTTTGCTTCTTACTAAGTTACTTTCTTTCTATTTATCTTCACAGACTTCTTTCTTTTCTTTATCCAAAATCAATCTCAAATTTCTATTAATATATCAAATTTTTATTCATTATATCGATTTTTCGTTTGTCTATGAATGATTTTATATTGGTATGGAATATGCATGTATGTATGCACATTTGTATATGTATCTATCTATCTATCTTCTATCTATCAATCAATCAATTAATCTAATTATCTCTTAATCTATTCTGTCCAGCTTTACTAAATTAACAAATTTATAACTCTCTTCTTAATTAAAATTTCTTATTTAAATTAGTGCGCACTCGTATTATTTGGTAAAGGAATAGTTTTTGTATTTACATGTTATATTTAATTACTTTACTTAGTTTAGTTATTAATAAATAAATATCATTAATTATCAAAATTTTGTAAATATTATCTTTGAAAAGATAGATACATATTTTTAGTTTGTTGTTCTTTTTTGAGAAAAGAATTTGCTTAAATTAAATCAAAAAATTTTAACTAATTGATCTTTGAATTATCTAAATAAAAGCTGTGGTTATTTTCTATCTATATTTAGGTTCAGTAGTGAAAATTATTTATCATTTTTGCTGTTTCTATTTTTCTATAAAAACTATATTAATCCCATAAAATATGTAAAATAATTGGAATTCATTTTATCACTTTATGAGATAGGAAACCTAAATTATATTTGATAATGATTGTCTAATCATTTATTTGTTAAATTAACATAATTTTAAATGATAATTGCTTATAATTTTAACTACTTTCAAAGCTAAAATTTCAAAAAAAAGTAAGTGTTTTCCTATTTCTTTAACAGATGATCTAAGAATTCAAAATCTTTGAACAAGTTATATTTATTTAGCACTACCATGACATAGATATAAACGGAGAATTTGTAACTAAATAAAGTTTGACTTAGAAATAAATAACTGATATCATGCTTGAAAATTTTGTAAAAATCTAATAAGCTTGAATTAATTATAAAAATAAGTAAGAAAAAATACTGTATTTTATGGACTAAATTAAATTATCTTTTAATATAAGCTAATTTTTAAATTTTTAATGAGCTGACCTGAAATAATAACCAATTATATACTAATATTTTTTTAAAAATTTAAAAATACCTTTGAACTTAAAATGGAATTCATGTATTTTCACTTACGAAAGATCAACAGTGTAAATTTTAAAATAGATATTTTTCTTAACTTAATTGCAGTTGATTACATACCATGTTTTTAAATTAATAGAATATTGAATAGTAATAGTAATTACTAATTTAATTCTCTCAAATTTTAGTGGATTTAACTTAGTCGTTACTAACAATATGTTGTATAACCAAGTATATTAATTATTGCTTTAATTTAATTTTAATCAATATTTACAAGTAAGTATTTATCATCATTATCATAAATAAGTAATATATTTATTATCACATTTGCTAATCAGCGGTTAATTAAAAATATATGTAAACACTCACTAAGCAATTATAGTAACTAGTGTAAGTATTATTATTTATCTAAATTTAATATGTATAATCATCATAATTTCATATAGCATATTTGATAATTTATCTTGTAATTGATTAAATTACTTACCAAGAATTATCAATAGGATAAGCATTTCAATAATATCTTTTATTAATATAAAAGAACAATATTTTTATTCAATCTCACATAATAATTTCAAAAAGTTTAAATATATTGTCAATCATTATTAATTAAGGTCTGCTTACTAACTAAATTTTATACTTTGCTAAGGTCAAACTCCAGACTTAGTAACAAACCTGAATATATAATAACCTTAATGAATTAAGAATCGAAGTAATTAATTTTAAAATATTATTTTATTTGTTTATTTAAAAATATTTTTAATTTAAAAATTTAATTTTAATAAATATGATTAAAGTATTTTTATCTGTCTACAATTTAAAAAATTTTTTAAATATTTCAATTGATATTATTTTAAACTTTAGAATTCTTTAAATTTTTTCTTTCTAAAAGTAAAAAAAAAATAATTAATTCATAACAAACAAACAAATTCAAAATTTAATTTTTTTTTTTTTCAATAAATATTCTTATTATTTATTAAAAAGTAGTAGAAATTTTACTGAAGAAGAAAAAAACAATTAATTTTTTCCATGATTAGTTTAATATATTAATATTTAATCTATTTTAAACATTTTTAAAATCTATATTCTTAAAATTATAATTTTTGGGTATTTCTTCATATACGTAGATGGAAATGAAAGTGTTTTTATTATTTAAAGTTTAAAGAAATAAAATTCAATAATAGATTAATGCTAATATTATTTACATCTTAGAAGTAAATCATAAAAATGATACTATTTATACAAGAAGTAAATGTTTATGGGTATTTATAAATTTGGAAATTAACTTTTAAAATTATAAGCAAAAATCAATAAAAAAACTGAAGAAATATAAATATTTTTAAAGGCATAATTTATATTATAATTTCAATATTGTTATTCTTAAAGCCTCTAATCTTTTGCGAATAGGAATAATAGAATTAAAAATATTACATAGTTATAGATCAGAATAAAAACAGGTTTACTAAGCACCTATTTTAAATGGAAAATCGCTTGATTTCAGTTCGTATTAGCAAAAATGGAGAAAGTACAACGAAAGCGAAGACAGTAACATTCTAGTAAAATGAATCTTTAAGGAATATTTTAAACATATTCTCAGATGTTTTGAGTAAGAATAATCTTGATTAAAATACAATTTACATAAAATCTTTAAGGAAATATAAGAATTCAAAGTTAATGTTGCGATCAATAATGAAACAGTCTCCAAATAAAACAAAATGAGCAAAAAATTGCTAAATTTTGCATTTTAATTTTTTGCAGTTTATATAAAAAATGATTAATCTTATTATTTAGAATTAATACAAAATCATCATTTGCGCCCTATAAAGTATTAATTATTTTCTAATCGTTTATATATAAAAAAAGAGATAAATGCAAAACTCATATTCAATGCAACTGGCGACCCAATATCTAGAATTGAAGACATAAAAAATGATTAGGAATTAGTTATTACAGAAGTATAAAATTCATTTAATTTTTTACTTTTTAAAAGTGTGTAAAAATGAACATTTAATCTTTCATTAAAATGTTTTTTTATCAATATGAATTATTTTTTTTCATGATAGGGAGAATAATATGCGCTTCCAAAAGCACCAATTAGTAGCAAAAACAATAAAAATGGAGACTCCAGACCTAAGAATAAATACCACTTTTATTAAATAGCTGTTATGGGACCTGCAGGAGTAGGAAAATCATGCATAACAAATAAATTTATTAGAGGTGTGTTTATCTCTGAATACAACAACACTCTTGCTGATAGTTAAATTTACAACTATGAGCATAAGGGAAATTTATATGTCTTAGATATTTTGGATACTGCAGGTATTTTGCCTTCCCTTTTTTCAATTTATTCAGCCTATATTTATATAATTTAGAATAGATGACAATAAGCCTCACTATTTATTTAATATCTGGCTAAAAATTTTCTATTTCAATGAAATAATTTCTAATTCATTACTAAATTTTCATATTTAAATAACAAAAGTATTTTGGATTACATCTATCTTTTTATGAAATTTTTTAAATTAATCTTAACTAAAAAATAAATAAAGCTGAATTTACATGTAAACTACTTTTAAAATAGGTGAAGAAGATTTCATAGCATTAAGAACGAGCTGGCTTAATTAAAGACAATGCTTTTTGTTTGTATTTAGTGTTGAAAAAAGATAGTCATTTCAAGATCTCTAACAATTTTTTGAGCTTTATATTTAACTGTATCCTAAAAGAGAGAAACCGGTTGTTTTGTGTGGAAATAAAATTGACCTTGAGAAAAGAGAAGTCACCTAAAAAGAAGGATAAGAATTGGCATAAAAGTATGGGGCTATTTATTTTGAAGTAAGTGCAAAAGAAGGTTATAATATCACTGATTCTTTCAATGCTCTTATTGACTGTTTAGAAAAAAAAACAGAAGTTAAAAACCAAAATAAAAGCCAAATTAGTCAAGAAGAGAGAGGTCCTCTTTTCTCAATATGCAGCTTTTTCAACAGATTTTGCAGTTGAATTTCCATTAAAATAGAAAATACATTTCTTATATTAAATATTCAGGGATTTATAAGATTAAACTAAATTTTAGTTTCATAAAATAAACATTTTAACCAAACAAAATTAAAATAGCAGCGTCGACTTGAGATAAAAACCTAAAAATAATTTATTTAAGAACCAAAATTACATTTTTTAATTAGTTAAATTTATATAAAAGAAAGTTTTATTTTTCATCATAGGAGATTAAATACTTTAAATAAATAAATATCATATAATAAATAAAAGGCATCAATATTATTCTAATGCTTTCCAATAATAAACAAACAACCTATAAAAATTTATAGTAACTATAACAATAAAAACAGAATAATATTTAATTAAAGTATTTAAAATATTAATAATAAATACACTAAATCTAAATTTACTGTTATTAGTTAAGGTCTATCTTCGTTAATATATATCATTTATGTACAAATTAAATCTTTAAATTTTGCAAATCTATCTAGAATATAAATACTTTCAAATTAAATTAATTTACAAAAAGTAATCAAAAAATAAATTTGATTTTTTTTCTCAAAAATATGATTTGATTAATAATTAAAATAATTGAAAATATATAATTGCAAATATATAGACAAAGGTGTACTCTAGCACATTAAAAAATGAAAAAAAATAGATTATACAGTATTATGAAAAATATCTGATTTATAAATGAATGGAATGACACCTATTGCACCCTCCCCCAAAATAAATATGCAACAACAACATTTAAGTTCGATTGATTAATTATTAATTTGTTAAACTTAATAATATTTTTTTTTTGCAATCAAAAAAGTAAATATACAAATTATATTTTTTAAGAGTAACTTAATTATTTTATTTACATATTTTTTAAAGTTAAATTAGAATTTTAATAAAATCATCTTTTCGTATTTGTAGACCAAGTAGGAATATTGAAACAATCATAAAGTACTAGATTCCCATCATCTTACATAGTAAGACGATAAGGACCCAAACCATTCTTATATGTTTGTGAAGACCAAGTAGCAGTTTGTCTTGAATCATAAAGTACTAAATTACCATCTGCTTACATTTTTAATGTATAAGGACCAAAGCCTTATTAATAAGTGTTAGATGCCCAAATAGCCTTTGATTTTAATTAAATAAATTTATAGATTTAATTATTATCATAAAAAATAATTACATTTTATGAGATGAAATTACACGAATTGTAAACAACAAAATTTCCATCAGATTAAAGTCTGGCATAATATCTTTGATTTTAAGACACTAAATACTAATCTTAATGTAAAATAGTATCTGTATGTAGAGTGTGCGATGGCATTCCAAATTAGCTTTCACAAGCTGGAGGAGGAGGATTAAAAGAAGGATAATTATAATTAACTTGAGTTGGATGATATTACTAATTGCTTGGCTGGTAAGAAGGGTTCATATTATTATTTTAGGGTGGTGGAGGATAATTATTATTAATTTATGGTTAGGTAGGATAGCTATAATTTACTTATTGAGGAATATTATGATTTGTGTTTTAAACAGGAGGAGGGTAATAAGTATTAGAACTTTGAATTTAAGGTGGAGGAGGATAACTAGGAGTATTATTTGATTTTATTTGAATTGGCTATGGTAAAACAATAACTTAAGGATTATTGTTGTGATGATGGTGATGGTATTCCTAGTGATGGTAATGATGATGGCCTGTTGAATGATGACTGCTACTACTGTGGCTATGACTATGACTATGAGTATGACTATGACTATGGCTATGGCTATGATTGTGATGATGATGACTGTGATGTAGATGCTTATCTATTTTATCAAAGATCTTCTAAAACATTTTGAGAATTGTAAAAATACAGAATAATAATTGGTAAACTAAATTTAATTTAATAAATATTTATAAGTTTTCAATTTTTTGTTAATTTAGATTTCTACAATTTAATGGTATTTAATTTACTTAATATCTAATTAGGGAAACTCAATTATTGATCAGAAAAAAATTGATTTGGATTAATTTAATTAATAAATGATAATTAAAATGCTATCTAACTGTAAAAACAAAATAATGATTTATTCAAATTCATATGAAATAGTATTTTGTTACTTTTTAAAATAAAAAAGACATCTCAATTTTACAACAATAAATTTTTTAATTTTTATTCAAGATGAGCTATATTGAATTTATTACTTATTTCTACATTTAAAGAGATCTTTTCTTTCTTTCTAACTTATAATTATAATACCCTTATTGGTACTATAAATTCCGATTAGAATAAAAAATTTTTCTTTTATAATATTAAATTTGTATCTACTTATTTGTTTTATAGGAAAAATTTTGTTAAATTTTGTAAAATTGTAAAAAAACAAAAAGAAGGAGCACATTTTATTTTAATAATATTTTATTTGATTACAAAATTTATGATTTCTATTCTATTTTTCCCTAGGGAAAATTCTTTTTTATGATTATATTTTTTTTATTTTAAAAAAAGGAATCTTTTAATTTATTATTATTATTTGTATCTATAGTAGTTTATTTTTGAAAAATTATAATTTTTTATATAATAAAAAAAAATTTAAATTGATTTTTTAATTTATAAAGTATTACTTTTTCTATTTCTAAACTATGAATTATCAATATGCTAATATAAAAGACAAACTAATAATAAAATAAAATTATTTAAAATAAAATAAAAATAAAAAATGAGATAGCTTGAGAAAAATTAATATTTAGAAATGTAGATTATTTCATTAATATTAAATATAGAAATGATGATTTCTTAAAATAAATTATTATTTTTTTTCACTTTATGTTTAATTTAAATTAATGAAATTATTGTGAAATGCAAATCGTCTTAATGATAATTTTAAAAACATGAAGTAAAAGTGTTTATTGAAACTAATTTTGATCACAAATTAGATAAATTTTATGAAATTTAATACAAATAAAAAATTATTAAATAATTTTCTGAATTTGTTTGTATTTTGAAATAAAAGTAAAGAGATTTTAGAGTAATCATAATTTATTTCTATTATTTAATTAATTAAAACTGCTCACTCTTTTTTCTGAACAGGTAATCTATATGATTATTAATTCTTATTTTAAGATTAGTCAATATCAGAGATATCGTCTTAAGAAATTTCTTCAGAAATGTCATTAGGATCTTCAATGCTTTAGTCATTACCTTGTTACATTTCTATGTGTCCTGGTCTTTAATGACTATGAAGATCATCTGGACCTGTGGTATTTGGTGGAGAATCAGCTTGAGCTTTAACTGAATGCAGCCTTTCAAAGTTTCTCTCTTGCCAAATAGAGCGAATCTTACACATTAACAAGAAAAATAAGAGGAAGCCAATTGTTATTCCTAAACCTAAGTAAGCACTAAAAATGGGAGTCTCATAGAATGGTTTAGGTTGGATAACTTTGGCTAAGGCAAAGCCTATTCTTTGATTATCCATATCAAAAATTGTGTAGTATTTACGTAGGAATGTATCACCTAACAAAATGTAATCAGTTTCTACATATTAGAAACGTAAAGCACACTTACGAACTTACAAATGATAGAAGCAAGATTCAATATATTCTTCCCCTGTAAGTTCAAATTCTTTTTATTCCGATGGAGTTGAACCCAAAGTAAATATAAAGGAAGGATATTTTAAATAGTCTGATTCTGCACAAACCAAAGTAAATATTTCTGCTGATGCAGAACGTTTCTCTAATTCGCAGACAATTCCAAAATCTTATTTTAATAAATCCATTAATGCACTTAAGTCTGGTTTTGGAAGTACGATTTTTGTGGTACCACTATCTATGATTACTGTATCAGTTGAGAATTACAATAACGACTTTTTCTTTTCATTTTAATTACTAGAATCGCTTTGAGTATTTAAAGCCAAAGCAGCTTATGATATTTCGACACTCCACATTTCGTTTGTATTTACACTAATATATGAAATAGGGCCTTAGGTATAATCTTCATTATATCCTCCAAAGACCAAAACACTATTTCCTAAACAACTTGAGTCACTCAAAAACAATGAGAATACCCTTTAATCAATGACACCTTTTTTTTTCATGCTCCCTAAAATTGTCTAATGATTAAACTCACTGCTTTCTTCTCTGCCTAAACCTAAAGTAGAAAGTAAATTTTAATAAACAACTAATCAACTCATTATATAAATATTAATAAAGTGAATAAATAAAAATAATTTGTTTAATTTTATGATCAATATTTGATTATTTTATATTAAAATACTTGAAAACCATTTAATAATAAAAATAACCATATTTGATAATTTATTATTTCTTTATCAATTTATTTATTTATTCTGTTTAGATAAATAAAATAAATCAAAGTATTTCTAAGAAGAGAAAATTTTGCTGCCTAGATCTAACATTTTTTTCTTTAAAGAAATTGAGAAAAAAAGTATTTCAGCATAATTTCTAAAATGTTATTTAATCAGAATTCAAAATTCGAGTCCATTATAAAAAAAATTAAAAAAATCTATGAAATTTTTCGGAAAATCTGATAATTTATTTATTGTTTGATTGATTTATTGCTTGCTTTTTTGTATGTGTTATAAAATTAAAAGAAGAAACTCCTTCTAACGTTTAGAAAATTTCAATTGAATATATTTTCTCTAAAATTTAAATATTAAGAATTTGGTTAAAATAATTACCTATGATTCCTTATATTTGTAAAACCTTAAAGTTAGTGACATTCTTTACTAATAGAAATTCGTATTCGAATCCAGTTTAATCTTTATCACTTAAATAAATATTCTCTTTCACAACATATCCATCTACAGACCCAACTCCATATTCAATGTTTATCATATCATCTTTATTTTATGAATGACAAGTACTACTTTTGTCGCAATTGTAAAGCTTCCATAGGTTATTCTGTTTGCAATTAATACAATCAATATCTGGAATCCACAAAGCAGTGGAACCTGTATCTATAATTAATTTAAAGGGTTGCTTGTTCTTTCCAAAGTAGAGCTCAGTATCATAATGCAAATTCAACATGTTAATAAGAGGTAAAAGAATTTAAGAACCTTTTCCTTCTTTCTTTTCTTAATTGTCACTATCTTTAAACTCTTTGGTTTCATTATTCTCCTCTGAAGCACTTTTTAACAACCTCTAATTACTACTGCTCTAACATATTTTAAATTCGTGTATTTTTACTTAATCTTTTTGGCAACTTGCAAATATATTGCTCAAAACAATTAAAAATATCACTGCAATAGTTTTTTAATTTGCAATCATAAATAATATTTTTTTGTTCTAATTCTGCTACTATAGCAATACTCAAATGGATCTTTAGCTATTAAAATAACTTTTCTTCGACTTGATAAATTTTAATTTAGTAAATTTAAGACTTATTCCTTCTCTATTTACTTTCTTTGTATGGACTAACCTATCTATTTTTATATTTAATTGAAAATTTTCTTATTAAGAAATTAAAAATTGCGAAATTTTATTAAAAAAATATATTTTTTATTAATTTATCTGTTTTTGAATGAGTTCTGTTGATATATAAATAAATATATATATAAATTGCTTTTATTTAAATCAAAGCATTACATACATGTATGCATGAATTTAATAACCAACTTAATTTACTTGATAGAATTCATAAAAAAATTGCTTGACATAATAAACACATTTTAATTTAAACATATGAATTACACAACATAAATATATTAATAATTTGATATAAAAGTAAACAAATTAATAATGCATCAAAATGTTAAAATGCTATGAAAATTTTTTAATTTTTTAAGAGAAAAAATAAATTTATGTTTAGCAAAAGCAAATTCTTAAATACATTATTTACTTTGCTTTATAAATTAATTAAAAATTTATTTTATTTTTTTTAAGCCAAAAATTTATAAATTTGAATTCATTAAGATGGATAAAAATTTGAACATCAAGCGTCTTGATTTGTTTGAAAAATTCAAACTTTATTTTTCTTTACATTTTAAATTTATTTATATTTGTATAAAAATGAAAACATATATTTTATCATAATTTAAAAAAATTTAATTTTAAAAATAATATTTTACTTTAGAATTTAGTGTTAAATTATAGAAAAGCATTATTTTTATGTGAAAGTTATTTGTTACTTTGAAATACTTCAAAGAATTATGTTAAATTATTAAAGAGCGGAACAATACATACAATAATAAATTATTTTGAAATAGGAGCATTTATAAAATTAAATATTTTAAACAGCTAACTAGCATTTAACACAATTTCTTCATTTTGAATCTTTAAAAAGAGGAGTAAATTTAACTTTAGAAGATATAATTTTCTTCTTCTTTTTCTGAACAATACTTCTGTTTCCATAAAGCAAATTAAATGTACCTGTTCCCATAGGAATATTTTGACCAATAATAATTCTTTCAGATACACCTTCTAAAGTGTCTTTTCTTCCCTATAAGGCAGCGTTGTATAAGATTTCAGTAGTTTTTTCGAATGAAGCCAACATCAAAGTTGAGTCTTTCATACTATTGATTCCCTATCTGGTTGAGCCATGTAAGCGACCTTTTTTAAAATGAAGATTATATTTCAAAATAAAAAAATATACTCTGTAAAAAATAAAAATTACCCTTAGAAGTAAGGACATCGGCAACTAAAATCAAGTGACGTCTATCGACATTAAGAGAGTGGGATTTGATAGTTTTAGTAATTTCATTTATAATTGTCTTTCTTGCAGCTTCTACACCCAAAATTTGTAATACTTCGAAAATATCAACAGAAAGAGTATTTGCAAAATCTACCTCATCAAGTTGTAAAACTTATTTAAAAGAATTACCTTCAACAAACAAATCGAATTTGTACTCATTTTTATCTCCCTTCTTCTTGTCTTTTGAGATACTTACTCTCTTTACATCCTTCATACCTGAAACAACAGCTCCTGGAAGTATCTTTTTCCAGTTTTAAATTTTAAAGAACACGTTCTTCTTGACATCATTACCTGGGTTGATTTTAATACCAACAGGCTTGAGATCTTAATCCTTTACGGCAATAATTTAATCTTCCTTTATATCTTTAGCAATTTCAAGAATACCTAAAATTAAAATTTTAAATTAATAACCTATAAATATCAATTGCAAAGTTACCTTTTTTAATGCTTGATAAAGGTATTTCTAATCCATAAAGTCTGAATTATTCCAATTTTTTCTTATTATACTCTATGTAAAGGTGGCAATCTTTAGGAGAGTAAACTTCTTGATAGAAGTTACTGATTTCACCAAGATAAGTTTTTTCTATTTGTAAACGAATTGATCTATAAGAGTGCTCACTCTAAAATTGAGGAAGCAACTTAACATCTATGATTGGAGTGCTAATTTTCTTAGCAGCATCAATGATTTCTTTCATTCTTGGAACACCCTATGTAATATTCATACTCGCAACACCAGCAAAGCTATTTTATATAACATTTATTTACATAAATAAGTATTAATTATTAAAAATAATTTTAATTCATCTTTAATATAACCAACAAATTAATTGATTAATTTAAGATTTTTCAGAAATTTTTTTTTTTTCATACAAAAACTATTTAAACTTATACATATTTTTATTTAGTTTATTTTTATTCTAAATTTGTAATTTTATTGGAAAATTTTATCTTTTAAGCTTTGTGATTACTTTCCATTCAAAAATTAAATCATTAATAATTAAAACCAAATTAGATAATAATTTTATTAGTGATCAAATATGTATTTCTATTTATCTAATTGTTAATTGTCTGAATATTTATTTTGTTTAAAAACATAATATTTATTTTTTTTAATTTTTATGATATTATTTTTATCATTTGTTTTTGATTTTAAATTCAAAAAATAATAATCGATTTTAATGATAGAAAAGTTTTATAAATTTTAAGGAAATTGAGCAATTGTCAAATTTTTTAATATTAGAAATTTTTATATTTAAGTATTTTGAATGGAAAAATTGTTACTGAAAAGATTTTAAAGTCATTTAAGTAGCTGGTTCAGATATTGATGTTGCACCAACTGCACCTACAGCCTCTCCTGGTTCAACAAGCATCTATGGATATCTTTCCCACAAAGTTTTAAAGAAGTAATTAATTTGTCTTTTAGTAATATGAATTGTATTATCAACATGGATGCTAGTAGCATTATCAGGTGACTCAATATCACCAGGAGTTAATCCAAGTTAAGTTCTCACTTTCATAATTTTTTAGCATATCTACTTGATAAATAGACTTACTGAGTCTTTAAAGTACTCTAAGGGCTCTTTTACCTTATGGATTAAATGAAAATATGATTAAATTTAGTTATTTGATTATAAAATATAAAATACTAGTTGGACATCAAACTTGTTATCTGTACTATTCAATTATTATTGTATGTAATCTTAGTCGAATTCTCTATTATAAGATGAGTTTTACATAGGTTCTAAACTTAATTCTGGAATATAATCCATTTTTGTTCTTTTTAATTCTTCCAAACAGATTTGATAAATTTAATAAGGATACAAGGATTACTCTCTCTTATAATTTATGGGAGCTATTGATTTGACATATTTTAACATAGTTTCAAGATCTATTGGAATACTTTTATCAGTTACTTTTTCTTCTGACATCCAAGGACAAATACCATCACCACCATATCTAAACTGAACTAATTCTTTTTTATCACAAGTTCTAATTGTAAGATCATAGTTTACAGATAAATCTTCAAGCATCTTAACCAATCTTCTACTCATATAACTAAGTATTATAAAAAATAAATGATTAATTTTATTTTTATAAACATATTTTTTTTACCCTGTATCTGCAGTTTTGACAGCAGTATCAACAAGAGATTCACGACCAGCCATTGTGTGGAAGAAAAATTCTGGTGCACTTAAACCAGTAAAGAAGGAATTTCTAACGAAACCCATAGCTTCTGGATGAGGGAATATTTCATCTTTTTCAAAATGAGGAAGAGTACGCCCAGTAAAGCCATTAGGAACTCTTCGACCACCAATAATTTATTAACCGACACATCCAATCATTTAAGAAAGGTTGGTTGCTGAACCCTTTGAACCACATGTAGCCATAATAAGAGGACCATTAGTAGGTGGTAATTACTTATTACAATTTGAACCTATGTCTTCTCTGACTTGATTCAAAGTTTTACTAATTTCAGCTTCTACAAGCTTTTTTCTGTCTGAAACAGTTTGCATATCTAGTTTTCCAATAGAATTTGTGAAAATAAGACTTTGGAACTTACAAGAATCGATGCTGTTTACAAATATTTTAAAAAAATTTATTTTAAGCTAAATAAATAAATAAAATTCTTTTACGCTTCATCTTTCTTTTTTTCATTAATTTTGTTGAGACTTGGAGAAGGAGTAACATCACTAATACCAATTGTCATGCCATAATTTGTAATCCAACGAGCAGACAATTTTGCAAATCTACTCATGACTGATGCAGCCATGTATTGAGAATTATCTCTACTTAATCTGTAAAACAAACCATTTTTATTACCAGAACCTAAAGTAGTTTTACCAAGATTACCACACATTAATTCAGATGATTGAAAGACTACATAACCATCAGTGGGACACATAACACCTCTATCTTACTTAGTATCGTAGCATTTTTCTTTTAATATAAGATTAACAATAATATTGCTAAATCTATTAGGTCTTAGGATGACATCTATAATTTATTTTCCAGTCCACATTTCTTTTTATTAATAAATTTAAGATTAAAATATATTTAATAAATAATATTTCATACCAACAGGAAGTATGATAGCTGGAGGAGGCAAATCAATTCTTTCAATACCATCACTGAAGTAAGTACAGCATTAGCAAAAAGCAGCTCTATCAAAAAACATATCTTTATGAGTGATTAAATAAGCAGTAGTTAAGAAATCCTAAATCAATGCAATAATTGACTTTTATATACAAAATTTTTAAATTAATCACTTTATAAAATAATTCAATAATCTTAAATTTATTTTATTTATATTTTTTTATTAAAATGATATCATTTTATTTCGCAATCAATAGACAGGTTATATCTATTTCACAATGGTTTTAATTTTTATTTACCTCACCATTTTTAGGACTGATTAAATTTTGTTTAACATCAAGGAGATATTAGGCCTCAGCTCTTGCTTCTATTGTTTATGGAACATGAATATTCATTTCATCACCATCAAAATCAGCATTGAAAGGAGCACAGCAACATTCATTAAATCTGATTGTATTCCATTTTTATATATTGGCCCTATTTTATAAATCAAGTTTAACAATTGTTTAAAATTAAAAAATGTTAACTCACTTGAATGCCATAATTGAAATTCTATGCAAAGAAGGCTGTCTATTAAAAAGTAAAATTTCTCCGTTTTGGATGTGTCTTTCTACAATATCACCAATCTTGAGTTCATCTGCTTTCTTTCTTCTATTATCTATTGATAGATTAAATTTGTCTTCTGTGTCTTTTGCTATTATATAATGAGCTCCTGGATATTTTTCAGGTCCATTTATAACTAATTTTTTTAATCTTTCGATATTGATAGCATTAACTTATTCAGGGAAAGTGAGAATTTTAGCCATGTATTCAGGAACAACAACCTTTGTTATTTGGTTTATAAAATTATATGAGATAATATTAAAGATATCTTACATTATCAATAGGGATGTTAGGGTCAGGAGAAATAACAGTTCTACCTGTAAAGTTTGATCTTTTACCAGAAAGATTACCTCTGAATCTACCTTTTTTACCTTTTAATCTTTGTGCAAGTGCTCTAATATCCTTTTTACCAAAATCTTTGTCCATTTTAAAAGGCAAGTTTGGAGTTTCAGCATTCAAATAGTGAGCATGTGAACACTAAAGTAAGAACCACTCTTAGTTAATTTTAATTAAATCTTCACCATCTTCTATCATCTAAGCAATTCTTTAATTTTTATAATATTTAATTTATTTTTTCAATTACAATGATTATTAAATTCACCTTTTATTTCTGTCCAAAAAATCTCTAATTTTAACAGTGAGATCATCGTGACGAACATTAGATTCTCCTTCTTTAACAGTTGGTCTTATACAAGCTGGGGGTGCTATGATATGAGTGAGAATTAAATCACAAGGATGGTTTTATTGAATATTAAATAATAAAATTTCATCACATGTAATTTTTCTGAAAATTTTATAGGTTTCTAAAGGATTTAATATTTCAATCATTTCCTTCATATTTTTACTTTCCAAAATTTTTCTTAAATTCTATCATATTTTATAAAATAAGTTTATTAAATATTAACCATAAATAAATAAATAAATCTTCAAATTTAATAATTTCTAAAAATTCATCTTTAACAAACTAAAAATGTCAATCTAGACAAGTCTTATAAATACCTCTTAAAATATGTCTTCAGATTCTCTAATGTCACGAAAATCCTATTCTAATTTGGTTTGATCAGAAAAACTAATAGTTGTAGGCATTTTAGGCATTTTCTTTAAGGGTCCGTTTTTATATCCACAAGACCTACATTTTTAGTTGGCACCTTTTTTGCATTCTTTTCTCATTTTTACATACAAATCAGCTCTTAATTGATAATTTTTGTCATCAATAGCTTTTTGCATTCTTTTCATTGAGTTCTTCTTTTCATCTTCATCCAGCAAAACCTTACCACAACTCTATTTTTATTGTAAAAATAAATTTAAATAAATAAATAAATCAATCAATCAATAGAATATTCATTTATTAGTTCTTGTCATTTCAGAGACACTTTAAATTATCAATTAGGAGAAGAATTGAGTAATTAAATATATTTATCTTTTTAATCTATTAGGAGAAGTAAGAAATGCTTTTTACCTTGCAAATACATTAAAGGATGTTAATGACATCACCAAAAAAACCTATATGGAATATTGGTAGAGCCAATTTAATAAAACCAAAATGACCTGGACATTCCAACATTTCTTAATTACATGTTTGACATTTCAAATTATTTTCACGCATTGAAGGACCCTTTATTATAATTTATATTAAAATGTAAAAATGCTAAATAAAGCAAATTAATTTAATAAAATAAATTTTCTAAACAATATTTTCAATAATTTAACCATCATATGTGTTTCTTATCAATTTAAAATATTTGCCAAATGGTTTATTTGTTTGTTTTTTTAAAAGCTTATTTCCTAAACTAATTCAATATTCTACCATTCTTAAATCTAAGGGACCACGATTTAAAGGTGCACGAGTAGTTTAATTATAAAAAGAAGGCTCATCAAGGCACACTTCAGACATATCTATAATTTCATTAGTAGATAAGATACTGTATTGGATGCTACCACTAATATATGTTTTAAATAAAAAAATAAACAAATTAGCATTTTGAAAGATTAGTGAATGAATTTTATCATTTAATTCAATTTTCAATCATCTTAAAATATATTTGGCAAACGAATTAAAAAATAAAAAAATGTAAGATTTATGAACTCGATTCTAATATTTACATTCTTTTAGTCTCCTTTAACTACCTCAAAGGCTAAATAACGCTCATTTACATGTAGCAAATTGATTGATTCTATACTAGACTTTAATGATTGATTAATTATATCCTTGTTTATACTATTAACTATATAGATGTATATATGTATATTTATATGCTAAGTTTATTTATCTTATTCAATGTATATATGAAATAAGTAATTATTAATTAATTTATTTATTTGTTAGACAAAGATATTTTGATCAACCAATTTATATTTATTAATAGTATAATAAAAATAAATAAATTAATAAACAAGTTTTTATTTGTTTATTTCATTTCAAATCATTCAATCAATCAATATATTTGTATGCATAATCAAGTTTATTTATCTCATCCCTTTCTAAAAAAGATTCTCTTTATAGCCATTCTAATAAATCAAATCTCCTTTCTTGATAACTTTATCTTTATTTCTACTCACTATATTAACATTATGGTAATCATCAAAAATGATGCTTAATATTCTATTTTGAATTAAATTTTTCTAAAATTATTAGGGATAGATTTAATATTAAATAAGATTTCAATTAATTTAATCTATTACAAATAAAGCTAATTATTAATTTTGATAGTTTATTAAATGTAAAAGACTAAAAAAAATAAATAAAATTTTAATAATTATATATATAATATAAGTGCTCAATATAAAAATTAATTTTAAAAATTGATTGAAATTATTAATATTAGATAAATGAAATAATAGTTTCAGATACATTAATAATATCTACAAATCGTTTTGAATAAATTAAATACTAAATAAAATATTGTTAATAAGTACTAAGTAAATAAATATTTCTAAATAATTTTTTTCAATTTGCTTAGTCTTCGTCTTCATAATCATCATCGTCATCTTCTTCATCTAAATATTAAGCTTGTTGCATAAGTTCCATTAATTACTATTCATTTAAATTGTTAAGATCAGGCATATTCATATTTTCTGCATTATTGTTGTTATTGTTGTTATTTTCATTGTTATTCTAACCAGGTAAATGTACCCATGGCAATAAACTTTAGGCTAAGAGTGAGAAGAAGGATTAGTTTGTGTTGATAGGATTATAGTTAGGGTTTTAAACAGGATCATTAGCAGCTTCCATGTTAACGTTATCTTAAATGTTATTTAAGTCAAGTCTTTCGATGTGGTCACTGAAGTTAGCTTTTTGTAGAATTCTATAGCGGTTTAGACTGAATGGGAGAATATTTTTTTCTGATCCCAAACATAAATTTTATACGAATTCATCATAATCAAAAGATTTTTTCTCAAACATATTTAAAACAAATCCGGTAGCGGCTTTAATCCAAAGCATAATTTTATTATCTTTCCAAACAATTTTTGATCTTTCAACGTAAATTTCAAAAAGCTTGTTTAATCCTTCAATGTCTTAATTGTTTTGTAAACCTAAAAATGAGTAATATGGTTAAGCAGTTTCATCGCTGAATAACTTATGTTCTAAAATATCTTTTAAGCTCTTTTTCTACCAGTCTTTGAGCAAGGAGTGACCAAGAGGAGCCTTATGGAATTCATTGACAAGACACAAATTTTTCATCAATTTAGGATATAGTAAAATAGCTGTTAAAATCTATACATTATGACTATCATCGATATGATTTCTGTTAAAATCAACTGCTTTATCGAAATCTTCTTCCTTGAAATCTATCATAGTACCAATCGCTGGTGGTTCAACTTCTTATTTACTGTTTTAAAATAGAATTATTTAAAAGTTTAATAAATATTATTAATAATATTAAAATATATTAATTTAAAGTGATAAATTACTTTTTAGAGAGAGCTGGTAGCATAACTTTAGAGAATTTAGCCAAAGCACAGGAATAAATAAAGTTTGGCATGTATTAAATTGAGTATTTAGGGTTCTAATATAACTCATAAGCAAAGTTTTTAGCAAAGTATATTAAGTAATCATAAGCTTTGCAACTAAGAGAGTTGTAATCAAGACAAAGTAAGGCACCAGCAGGATCACTCTCAGGGTTCATTTTCAGTAAAACTTTATTATATTCTAAGGCAGCTCTATAGCATCCTTTCTTACCTAATAAATCTACAAACTTCAATAAAGCTGCAAAGAATGTTGCTCCATACTTGTTATTTTCAACAGATAGACAAAATCTATTTTTTTTGTCATCAAAGATTTAAGAAAACTCAAATCCAAAGCAATCTTCATAGATATACAAAATTTATTCAAGCATAGCATTTGCTTCCTTAAACTTACCTTATAATCTGTAAAATTCAAATAAGTTGTATAAACCATCTGCATGATAAGGATTTTAAGTAACAAAATCAAAAACTGCCTAAGGATCCATTTAGTTTTGGACTGACAAATAAACTTGCTAATTTAAATAAAAATAAATAATTAATCAATATCCTCAATTTTTAATTTATTTTAAAAAGAAAAAGCATTTTAAGTAGTATACTTGAAGACTCTCATATTTAGGAGTAGGCTTGAAGGTATATAACCTTTGACCTAGCTTATTTTCTCCAACAAATTCGCAAATAAACTTTTCAGGCATTGGCTAACGAGGCTTGTCATCATGAACAAGATTCAATTATTTAATACTTTTTATTTTCTTCTTTTATGAGTTCAAATACATTCTTGCTAAACGTTTATTTCTAAGCCCTAACTATTAAATTTCTTCATTTTCATCAACCTTTTTATTATCAGTTAATTTGGCACCTTTAAAATATTTTGAAAGTTCTTTATTGTAATTTAGCTTGGCTTTAATAATTTAAAGAGTAGATTCTAATTCCAACTCGTTCACTCTATTAAAATATCCATTCTATTTTTATTCTTCATCTTGAATATTTTATTTTTTTTCTTCTTCCTCAACTCTTTTCAAAATTTAATCCAATTCTATTTCATCATTTTCCTATTTACTTTTTTTTTTATTTGCTTTTTCCTCTTTTAACTTGCGTTTTTTTTCAAGTTCTTCATCTATCCTTTTCTATTCTTCTTCTTTCTTTCTTTTTTCTTCTTCCTCTAATTTTAATCTTTCTGCCTTTTCTTCTTCTGTTTCTTCCTCTTCTTCTTCATCTCCACTTTTCTCATTGTCATCATCTTCACTATCTTCTTCACTGGAATCGCTCATTAAATCGAAGAATCCAGCCTTTTTTTATTTTGGAGCTTCTTCTTCATCATCGTCTTCTTCTTCGTTTTTTTAAAGAGCTTTACTGGCTTCTTCTTATACTTTTTTTTCCTACTACTCTTTTAAAAGTTTTCTTGCTTATCTTGAACTCATTATATTTATTTAGATCAAATACTTCTATGATTTTTCTAAGAATTTAACTAATAATAAATTGTGTAAAAGAGATTTTACTTTAGTCAAATCTAAAAGTTTAATAAACAAATGAAATTTATATCGTTTATTAAAGATATAGATGCTTTTAAAGAAGATTAATTATTAAAATTCTTCAGAATTTACAGATATTATTATAAAATTAATTCAGAGAGTTTTATAGTTAAATCTATAATAAATAAAATATATGAAATTATTTTTTACTTTAAAATATTTAAAAATAATTATTTCTACTATGAATGAAGCAAATCAAATTTAACTTATTGATTATTCATGATTGATAATTTTAAAAAAATATATTTGAATTATAAAAATTTTTAAATTGAATTTAAATAATAAAATCAAATTATAAATATTCTATTTTATAAAATAAAATAGATTTTTTTTAACTGGGTTATAAAAGTCTTCATTTTTTGTAAAAAATTTGATTTTTCACCTTTTAAAAGTTGGTAGTTTTGAGAGTTTAAATAAATTTGGATGCATATTGTACCTCCTTTTCATTTCGACTCATGATTGCAGATTTTTTCTAAAAGTATTTCTCCTTTCTATATCCAAGAACAACGTTAAATCTAAAAATACCTTGTACTTATCAAAAAATTATCTAAATTCATAATTAATTTTTTTGAATTTAGCAGTTATTTACTTTGATTTAGAAAATAATATTCGATTTTATGAAAAAATAAATGATGACAAAGAATAATTTTAAATAATTTTTAAGAAATAAATAACTCTCTGAATCCAAATTTAAAGATATAAATCCAAATGAGACTTTATTTTTTTATTAGAAATTTGAAAATCATATTCTTTTAGGGTGCAACTGAACTTAAAAAAAAATAAATTAACTAATTTGATTCATAATATAGATGATAATAATGTAATACTCATTTTATGATTGCTGAGTAATCAGGTTTTATTTACAAGAAAAACTTAGATTTAATTTTGACTAATTTAAAATAAAAAAATTAGAATTATCAAATAAAGGACAAAATTATTTCTGATCTCCTAATTTATTTATTTATTTAGTTTTAATAGATTAATTACCACTTATTGTAATTTGATAATTTATATTATTTACTATTTTAACAATAACAAATTTATTAATAAAATAAAAATGATAATCTTATTCTATTATAGAAGTCATAAAATATGAAGAATCAGTTAAAAAAATTAACTCTTTCAGAAACCAATTTATCTTGAAGATTACATCAAATATTATTTTTTTATTTTTTCTAAATAAAATTAGAGAGATGACTTATTAAGAAAATAAATTTTTCGGTCTGTAAACTTGCTAATGCAATTTTTGATAAATACCTGATCAGAAATAATTTTTTTCCTCTGTTTTTTGTTTTACCAAAAAGATTAGGAAATAAAAATGAATATATTAGCTTATTATAAAATAAATAAGAAAAGACAATTTATTATTTCTAAAAAAATATGAATTAGATTAAATATTTAACATTTTTATAGTAAAATATTTCATTTATTTTCAATTTATTAGATCAAATTAGTTTTTTTTGATAAAAAAAGTATAAAATTGATAATATCCTCACAAAAAAAAACAAGTAAATATTACAAATTAAGTAAATTATTCATTGATTTTTTGAGAGATTTTTGTTTTAAGGATTTTTAATAATTAAAAAAAATAATAATTATTTAATTAATTTGAGAAAAAATTAATAAATTTAGAGTTTATTGAGAAATGAAAAAATTAGCTTTATTAATTATTCATTTGATTTTTTGTATCTGTGCTACGATTCCTAACCCACCTAATAAACGTATCGTTTTTACTCTTTATGATGCAAAAATAAAATTCTACTCAAATTAAGACTATGTGAGTATGAAAGTTGATTTTAGCTCAAATATAAGCTATTTCACATCTCCAGATTGTGTTAACTGTCTTATTTATAATGATAATCAACCAGCTACTGTGTAATGTAGCACTGCTGCAAATGCGTGCATCGTAAAGGAAAAATTTTCTGAAAAGATAAATCAATACTACTCAGCTTAAGGTGATGTAGTTTAAATAAGAATATATTATCAAGAAGAATATAATAAGTAAATCTAGAAACCTTTGATTATAGAAAAAGCTTTTTATGTAAAAAATGTATTCCAAAATAGCAAAGACCAGCGCTATGAATATTATAGCCTGGGTTTAGGTTTTGATAAAAGTATTGAATCTAGCTTTTTAAGCGCCTTTTATAAACAAGGTAAAATAGATTAGTTGTCATACTCTCTATATCTTTCATCAGATAATATCTATATTCTAACTTTGGGAGGATATGATTTAAAACTTATATCTGGCTAATTCATAATTATGAAGAATATAGAAAGTTAAAAGTATAACAGCGATATATATTAAGCGAATATAGAGTTTTTTGGATAACCAATAGAATCTTTTGGATAAGATTAAAAAGCTGCCACTGTTTATATAGATCCTAATATTCAAGATGAAATAATTTTACCACAGTATATGCTCAATAAAATGTAACAAATTCTATCCTCTTTAAGACAAGAGCCTGATCTATAAGCTATGACTATTGACAATCCAGGATAATGGTCAAGCATAAATGATTAATAAACATTAGGATTGCATTTCTTTGCTGAAGATGTTTAAGGTTAACTGGATACAAATGTAGATGTTTTATTTAATTAAAATGAGTTTATGGAATAATATGGTGAAGGATACAGACCAAGAATATCATTTAACGTTGATAAAGATGAAAAAATACTTAAAATTGGAAGAATGCTCCTAAAAAAATTTATGTTATATAAATATAACCCAGACTAACCCAGAGAACCTATTATTAGAGCTTTTGCACCATTAAAAAAACATTAAAGTTAATAATAAGAATGAAATATTATTAAAAAAATAAACTCTTATTTGTTTTTTTATTAAAGCAAACTTGCTAAATTCAATTGAATTTGTGTTTTTTATATATAAAACAAGTTTAAAAAACATATTTTCAATTGATTTATTTTATTCTTTTTATAAAATTTTAATTATTAATAAATTTTCATTTATATATAATATAATACTCTAAATATTTTATATTAATCTATTTAAAATAATAATTATCTATGTAGTTAGGTTAAACTGACAGATTTTTATTAGTTAAGTCTTTTTGATTGCTGTAAACTTCACAAACTACACACCTCTTAATTTGCAAAAATATTAAGGGTTTTACTGGAAGAATGTTCAAAAATAAAGTGTGTACTGCAATTTTTGAGTCTGATAAAAAAAATGTATGTAATTATTTCTAAATTTATCCAACTTTTTTTTTAATTTCAAAATTTTGAAAATTCGTCTATCGCAATGCGAAATTTAAAGATGAATTACAGTAATTAATTTAATAATTCTTAATAGAAATTTGATTTAATTATTTATCTATTGATAGAATAATGATTAAATTTTGTAGATATAAATTTTTATTTCTTAAAATAACTTATATTATTTTATTAATGTTAAAATTAATTTTATTTTTCTTATTCATTCATTAAATAATGTGTCAATGAAATATTTAACTATCTAATAATATTTATTGTAATGAAAATTAAAATAATTCTATAAATGGAAATTTAAGATATAATTTAATATAATTTATGGAAATTAGAAATATAATAATAAATTGGTTATTAAAAATAATAGGATGGTATTTTGAAATCTTAAAAAGAATATTAAATTTTAATCAATGTGTTTCTCTGGATTTAGTAAAGTCATTCATTTTAATTATTATTTTGTAAATTATTTTTAAGAATTTTTAATTTAAGCTGATTATACTAGAGAATTTTAATTAATTTTCATATGAGCAATTGCTAGTTTAAGCTTCATCTTTTTAATAACTTTGTCAATATTATAGTTGGGAAAGTAAGTCTTGTAATTGTGTAAAGAATCAAGATCTAAATCTCCAATAAGCTGAGGGCTAATTGACCAATTTGCTTTCTATTTATCTTCAAATATTTTCTTTTATTTTTTAACACTCCCAATCAACTCTTAATGCTAGAAGTAATTCATAATTGAGTACATCATTTCTTTTAATTCAGTAAAATTTTATTAAGTTGCTTGATAAAATAATCCTAAGCCTCCTTAATCTTAAATTGATTAAGATTTAAACGTTTATGTTTTAGAATAGGGGATATTCCCAAATGAAATAACTTATTCTATGCTATTTGATTTTTCTTTTTTTTATGTTGCATTAGATTTTCCCAAAGGTAATTTAAGTAAAACACCACTATTACCATTAATATTTTATTAGTTGCTATAATAAGCATTCGAACTGTTTTATGAATTTTACATCTCAGATTATTACTATGATTTCTGTTTAGAAAATTGAGATTAAATAAGAATTTAAGATTTTTCATAAACTGTGGTAAAGTCATTCTATATATTGCTATTTGATTTAATTTAATTTTTAACCATCATTTCTGCGTCTATGTCTAATGTCTTAATTAAATTTTATGAGTTAAAATAATACAATTAGGCATTTTCGTATGGTTCCTTATTATTTATTTTTGATGAAGACATTTGTGTCAGTACATTATCGACTTCAAATTTCGAAGAATCAAAAGTTTTTATATTTGCATTTTTCTATTGATCTTTAGTACTTATCATATGTATGAACTACTAACTAGGAAATTTATTGAATACTGAGGATGGTTATGACTATTCGATTTATTCTTCAATTAAGTGCTGATTGTTATTTAATTGAAAATCTTTATACCCCATTTAAGAGCAATTTGCAAGAAAGGTTTCATCATCTTATTAATCTAATTCTAATTCAGAAAATTAAATTCTTGATTAAATCATCTAATGTCTTTAATTAGATAATAAAAACTCATCAGCCTTTTACTTGACATATCTTTCAATACTTAATGAATTTACTTTATTGAATGATTTTCTCTCAAAGGCTTTAACTATTTAGCCTATTTCTCTATTATAATTTTATATAATCCTGCTTTCGTTTGTTCCATAAAACAAGTAAGGACATTTGTTTAGAGCATGAGTATATCTTTTGCATGAAAAGCAGGGCTTAGATATTTTACTGTAATCAAAATTAAACTAAATCGAATCTCTCAAATAACAATAAGCTTCAACCTAATCTGGATATTTTTTTAGTTCTTATTAAAAGTCTGACTAAGTTAGATAAAACATGCTTGATGAATCTTTACTCTTAAAACTAAATTTTTTTTCATTTACTTCTCCAAAAAAGTCTTCAATACCAAAAATTTCTCCATGTTTTAAAGACTTTTTAAAAGTTAACAAAAATAAATTTGAAAAAACCAAAATATTAACAAAAAATAAATTTATTATTTTTTTGAAGTATTTTTTGAAAATAAAAAATTAACAATTTAAAATTTTCCTTATTAAAATTATAAAATTTTTTTAATTTTACAAATAAAAAATTTAAAGAAATTAATTTAAAAATCAAACTTTTTTTAAATTCTATAGTGTTTAAAGAAATATAATTATAGAAAGATTACTTAGATTTCTTATTTATTAGAAGTATTGCATTTTTCATTAACTATTTATATCACACCACAATTTATAAAATAAATAGCTGGCTCAATGCATTACCCTTATTTGAAAATAAATTATTCTGGAGCAAGTTCTAATTCTTTCATTTTTGATGAGAGACTTTGTCTAAATTACTCAGAAAATAGCTAAGTAAGGATTTAGAATTTATCAAGTACCTTCTTACATGTGTTTAACTTAATTTCATTTTAAAGGTAGCTTGAGAGAGAAGAAAGAGAAGAATCGGTTGAGACATAATTATCAGAAAATTTTTCAGAATTAACAAACTCTAGGTATTTTCTAGCTTTATTTTAAAGAGCTATGTCAACTTTAAAGAATTTAAAATATTTATTTAGTTAAGCTAATTATTATAAAAAATGCTCGTTTTTCTTATTAAAGTCATAAAGAATATTTCCTATTTTAAAATTAAATATTTTCAAAAAAAAAAATTAATTTTTTTATTAATATTTTATTTTGTTTTTGATTTAGAGATTTGATATATTATTTTTCTTCATTCAAAATAAACTGAATATATACCTATTGAGTTTATAGTGTAGCCAAAAATTCCGCAAGATATGATTGTGAAAAAGATCATAAAAAACTTCTCTATCTCAGTTTAAGCTGTAATATCACCATATCCAATCGTTGTCATAGTGATTACAGAGAAATAGTAGCTATATAGATATTATGTCCATCTATTGACACTATCTATTTCGTAATGAATTAACCATCCTTTATCGTTTTGGATTTGATAAAGTCCAAGCTTAAGAAACCCACAAGAAAAAATATGGCAGAAGTAGAGAGCTTTAAGAAATAAAATGACAAATGAGACTATTCCTTTTTTAAATGTTAGAAATAGAAATATAATTTAATATAAATCAATGTTACCTGAAGTATATGCACTGCTCAGCACAAGTTTCTCTTAAATTTTGTTAATTATTTTTGAAAAGTTAAAAATTTTAACAAAGAATAAGAGAATAACATATTCATAAGGGAGAAAAAAGTTTAATAGAGAAAGAATACTAACAGCATCTAAGATAAAAGCGCCAAATAAGTATTTAGTAATTATGCTTAAATGAAAATCTTTCTCTTAGCTCTCTTCATATGTAATTGTGTTTGCCTTTATAAAAACATCAATTGTTAATAAAATAACGCAAATATATTTAAATAGTGAATAAAATCCAATTAAATCCACTCCTAAGCACAGTTCTATTGGAATCATTATGAAATTGATAGTTGTTATCAAGAAGATAATAAATTCCCAAATCTAAAAAGAAAAACTCATCGAATCAAATAAAGGCAGAAATTGAATACAATTTTATATGCAATTAGACATTTTATTTTTAAATTATTTTAATGAGTTAGCTTTTAATAGTAATCCTTTTATTACTTGCTTCATGAAGTGTGTATTATATCTTTTGATAATACGCTTATAATTTTAGTTTCTAGTTGAGTTCTAAATTGAAGATTGCTAAATTGTAAAATCACTAGCGACATCATTGATTATTTTTAGTTGCCATTAACTCAACATGTGAGGTCTAAAAAATAAAATCGTTTAGCACATTATTCTTTTCATTTTCCCTATGTAATATAAAATTTATAGCCAGCTTTTTTTAAAGAATATTTTTTTTCTTCTCTCATCCTATATTGTTTTCAACTACTAAAGTCTGCTATCATTTTTGGATATCTCAAAGTTATTTGAAATAACTACCTTTTCAAATTACAGCATTTCTTAATACTAAACAATCCTCTAGCAAACTGGAGACATATTTGGTATATTAAAGGTAGAAATTTTACTTTTTTGATCTTATTTATTCAATTATAGATATTTCTTAATCACACTACTTGAGTTGAAATCACTACTGTATTTTTTCCTACTACAGCAAATTTAGCTAGTTGACACTGAAGATTTGGTTACAAACTTTTTGTTAGTTTCTTCATTAATTTATATTTTTTCATCTTCTAAACAGCTAGGATAGAGTTTATCTTCATTTAGCTCAATCGTGTTTGATAGACATTAATTATTAAGCTAATGTAAAGCATCTTCTGTAAATTAAAAACTATTATCTGCTTTTGTTAATTTTTACACGTCCTCATATATCAATTGACATTAATTCGCATTTAAACCTTTTTCAATTTTTATTAAATCTTCATTCTAAGTAGGATATTAAGTATTTTCCATACTTTCAGGAATATTTTTCATAGAAAAATAACTTTCACCTTCTTTAGCCATTTAGATAGAGTTAAAATAGAGATGCTTAGGTCCCATTTAAAAGTTTATTTTGTCTCTTAATTCAAACTTATATATATTAATTAATCTATTAGGAAAACATAAAAATCTCATTTTAAGTTACATCATTCATTGTGTGGTGGCGGTAGTCTTAGTAGAGCTAATAAGAATTATAATTTTTGTTTAAATTCTTTTGTAGAAGTAAATTAATAAATAAATAAATAAAAGATTTTGTTCTACTTTTATTTGCCAATAGTGTGTTAAAAATTAAAAATAAACAAAATAATAGATTATTTCTATGTTAGTATGTATGACACGACATCAAAACACAATAAGTTTATTTTTAATAAATGATATAATTAATAATATATCATTTAACCATATGATAAGTTGAATTATTTAATATTATTAGTGTTTATATTGTCTCTATTTACCAATTTTTTGTAATTATATTTTAAACTATTATTAAACGACTTTTTTTTAAATCTTCAAAGTTCTTATTTTTTTCTAAAATGTAAAAATTAATTATAATTATTTAAAAGCAATTATCTAAATATAAAAAATAATAACTTTAATATTTCGATCTCTGGCTGTATTTTAGCCAAATAAACATAGCAGTTAATTTTTTATGTTTAACATAAAATTAATAAAAAATTAATTAATTAATTAAAAATATTAATATTAATGAATTAACTTTTCTTAAAAAAATAAAACAAACATAAAATTTAAATACATATGTATAAAGAATAAGTGAGTTGGTTATTTATTTATTTAGTTAGTTAGTAGGTTATTTAGTTATTGATCTATTTAGTTATGTATTTAAATATTTGTTTGTTTATTAATTTAGAAGAGTTAGTTAGGAAATGACCAAGCTTAATCATTACTATGAGTCATAGAGATCATATAATATTTATTTTGGGTGAAATAGCATCTCTGACTCAACAATTTTTAGATATGCAACTACTTAATGACAAGTCGCTACATATTTTTTTAGGATAGTGTTGCTATCAAATTCGTATTTGTTAAATATTTTTTTGATTGAAAAAGAAATATCCTGCTTTGGAAAAGCTATTTTTATAAAAAGTAATTTAAATTTGTATACTTTAAACTCGTCTTAAAGTTTAAAACGCTGAGAGTTGTATCTATTAAATTCTATTGAATGTTCTTAATCGTTTGAGAGCTAGCAAATTTGCTAAAAAATTTTGTAATTATCTTCAATTAATTAATAGTTACTCATTGAAATATGAAACTTTTTTACTTTAAAAAAAAGTTAAAATATTATTGTTGTGTTATTTGATAATTTGTAGCTTAAATAAATATCATAAGTTTTTGAAAATTGAAACATCATTCTTATCATATCTAAATTACTTAAAACGCTATCAGATTTATCATTCTCTTATTCAATAATTACTATTTTTATTTACTAAGTTATTATTTTAAGACTTCCATTGACCATTTTTTTTACTTCTTAGCACGAAGGATTAGTTTTGTTTATATTCAGAGTCAAAATAGGTCCAAACCTTTTCAGTAGGTACCATGTATGAATCATAGTTAGTAAATTTACTACTTATGCCAAAATACTTATTAAAATGAAAAAAAATTCAGGGTAGAGGAGAGAATGATTTCTAAATTGTAGTACAATCAACAAATAGAATGAAATAGAACAAACATTATCCACTTACTCAATTATCAAAAAGAGCCATGTATCTCTCATATTTTATTCTTAAATTATCCTTATACCCTGAACAGTATAACAGAGAGTGGCCGGATAAAGATTGACTTAAAAAAGACTACTCATTATAAAGTCATTTTTCTAAATAGGCACATAGTTCAGAGGAAGGTTTTTAATTGAGATTATTTTTATTACTTAGGTGATAATATATTACACTGGATAGTTACTGATAAGAAAAACTTTAAAAAACGAAATAGTAAAATACTTTACTGACTCCAGAATCCTCACTTTTAAAATATACATAATTTCAGATTTCATATCACATCCTATTTTAGTTGCAATATGCAATCCTGTAAATATAAGTAGACCATTTATTAATGCAAAAAATATAAATTAATAGCTTCTTGTCTCAATAGTCTAGCTTGATAAATAGCACGATTAACCTTAAACATTCAAATAAGACTCATGAAATACCCAAATATTATAGCAAGAAGGAGCTTCTTTTAAGTCTATCTCTTAAGGTAAACTTCCTTATATCATTTTGATGGAAAATAATAAATTATAGAAAGTTTAATAGTAAACCATTCCTAAAAAATAAGCGTTTGGAGTCCCATTATCATAGAGATAGTCATAGTAAATTTTATCAAAATACAGTAAAATTTTGAGTATCCTAAAAAAGTATTATAAAATACATTAAAAATAATATGATAAAATAATTAATTACGTTATAAAAGTCTTTGAAATGTCAATGCTATTACCATTATTATTTAAGTTTACTGCTTATTATTATCTTATTATAAAATCTACAATCCTCAATATTCTTTAAGAGAAAATCAGTATCAACGGCATGATGATGTTGTAATCCATATCATATTATACTTTTATTTAATAAAGCTAGAAAAAAAGATTAATGGGCAGAATCAATTAATGAAGCTCTAATTTCTTTAATCCATTCATTTTGAAATTTTGAAAACTTTTTACTTGTTATTCTACTAACTATCTAATGAAAAAATAAATAAATAAATACAAATAAAACCTCTATTTCTTTTTATTTATAAAATAAATTAATAATTAATTGAGATATTTAATTAAATTGCTTTTTGCTGATATATCAGCTGATTTTTGCTATTTAAATCAAATAAAAACATAAGTTTGATTAAATAATTTAGTAATAAAATAATATCTAAATTTAGAAATAATCATAATTTTTTAAAACTAGATTAAATTATTTATTCTTTCATTTAGTTATTTAACTATTTGCATTATCAAAGCTAAAATAATAAATTCTAATTAACTTCTAGAAAATAAATTTGTAAATATTATGTGAATTTTAATTCAAAAATAAGATGAGATTCATAAAGTATTTTTTCAATCTGTTTTTAATTATCTAATAAATATTTTATTCAAGTTTCTTTTGAATAAAAAATATCATTTTATTTTTAAAATTAAGATTTAAACTGAAACAAAAAAAGGTTGTCGACACTGGGACTTCCCAAGCGGTCCCCCACCTTAGTACTAACCCAGCCTTAAGGCGCTTAACTTCGGAGTTCGAATGGGATCCGGTGTTTTCACCTTAGTATGGCCGACAACAAAATTAATAAAATAAATGTGAATAAATATATTTTATTGATTAATTAAAATTATAATATATATTATTTAATTTGAATATATTACATTTAAATAAAATTAATTTAAAAAACCAAAAAAGGTTGTCGACACTGGGACTTCCCAAGCGGTCCCCCACCTTAGTACTAACCCAGCCTTAAGGCGCTTAACTTCGGAGTTCGAATGGGATCCGGTGTTTTCACCTTAGTATGGCCGACAACAAAATTTAATCATCTAAAATAAATTTATATTTTATATTAAAGATATAATAAAATTAATCACTTAATAAATGTGATAGGTTTTCAAAATATATTTTAATTTAAAAAAAAGGTTATCGACACTGGGACTTCCCAAGCGGTCCCCCACCTTAGTACTAACCCAGCCTTAAGGCGCTTAACTTCGGAGTTCGAATGGGATCCGGTGTTTTCACCTTAGTATGGCCGATAACAAAATTATTGATTTCAAAAGTTTTATTAAATATTAGTTTAAGCTAATTTAAAAATAATAATACAAAAAATTAAAAATTAAAGATATAAAATAATTTAATTTCAAACAACAAAAAAGGTTATCGACACTGGGACTTCCCAAGCGGTCCCCCACCTTAGTACTAACCCAGCCTTAAGGCGCTTAACTTCGGAGTTCGAATGGGATCCGGTGTTTTCACCTTAGTATGGCCGATAACAAAATTAATAATTAAAAAGGTAAATATAAATATAAAATTTAACCTAATTTATCAAATTATATAAACTTAAACTTTAATATTATTTTACCTAATAAGAAATAATAACAAAAAAAGGTTATCGACACTGGGACTTCCCAAGCGGTCCCCCACCTTAGTACTAACCCAGCCTTAAGGCGCTTAACTTCGGAGTTCGAATGGGATCCGGTGTTTTCACCTTAGTATGGCCGATAACAAAATTATTGATTTAAAAAGTTTTATAAAAAAAAGTTTAAGCTAATTTAAAAATAATAATACAAAAAACTAAAAATTAAAGATATAAAATAATTTAATTTCAATAGAAAACAGTAAAAACAAAAAAGGTTATCGACACTGGGACTTCCCAAGCGGTCCCCCACCTTAGTACTAACCCAGCCTTAAGGCGCTTAACTTCGGAGTTCGAATGGGATCCGGTGTTTTCACCTTAGTATGGCCGATAACAAAATATAAAAAGAGGAAACTCTATTTATAATTTTAATTTTTTTATAATTTATATAATAATATTGCAATAATTATATTGAGAATTACATCTTATGAATTTATTTGATTAGTCACAAAGTATCTTAAAATTTACTTTCAATTTGTAAAGATAATTAAATTTCTTCAAATAAAATTCAAAGTTATTTATTAAAATAAATTAAAATTTTATAATTTGTGAAGTTAATCTACTTTTATCTAAAAATAATAAATTAAAACTAAAGCTAAATAATATTTATTTAAAATAAATCTAAAAAGTTATTTTGATAAATATTTAGAAAAATAATTAAAATTTTTAATAGCTTTTTCAAAATTGTGTTTTTAATTCAAATTAGTGAGTAATTTTTAGATTACAAAATAGGAAATTATTAAAAAGTAATTTGTTTTTTTCTATTTATTTTGTATTAACAACTATGATTTGTAAAAATGAATTGTGATAATAAACTAAACATAATTAATTTGATAGTTAATCAAAGATAGTTGTTAGCCAATACAAAAATTAATTTCAATTTGAATATTATTTTTATATTTAAATTGAGATATTATCTAATAAAAATTAATAATATTCATACAAATTATTTCAAAAAGGTGATATTAAAATATAGATAGATAGATAATCGATATGAAATCATCTTCGTTGTCATCAATTTAGCAGCCTAAAAAAGAACTTCTTCGAAATAATTCCCAAAATAAAAAGAATTCAGGTATTTTGAGTTAAAGGAATTAATCATTTAAGGATTCCTCTATTTCAAGAGAGACTTAGCAGTCATCATATTATGGTGATGAATATGTAAGAAGTTAATTGCAGAAAAAAATCTATTGAAATACTTTTTTAAATTAATCTAAAAGTAAAAGCTATTTGATACAATTTAGAGACTTGAAGTTGAGAACAACGAAAAAGATTTAGCTATTGAAAAGGCAACGTAGATTATTGACGTGTTAAGTAAAGATGTAAGTTGTTAATCTTTACCTATTTTATAAAAAAAAATTTACAAAATTATTCATAATATTTATAATTTAGCTTGAAAATGCTACTAATGAGCTTTAGAAGCTAGATCAAAATCGTTAAGAGTTAAAAGATAAACTTAAGCAATTAGAGATAGAAAATAATGATTTAAATTAGCTTATAGAAAAACTTAGAAGTGAAGATGCAAGCCTATAAACAGCGAGCTTTGAAAATGAACCTTAGAACTTAAATTATAATAGTGGAAATTATTTAAGTCAAACAAATAATCTTTTGAACTTAAGCGGCATAAATAAAAGTGGACACCCAAATTCTACTTTATAATTAGGAAATAACTCAATTACACAAAGTGATAAATTTTATAATGAAGAAAAAGTTAAAATAAATTAAATGATAGACGAATATGAATAAATCATAGACGAGCTTAACTAAAAAAATAACGATTTAGAATAGCGCTTATAACAGTCTTACATTTAAATATAAAATGCTAATAATTAGTTAAATGAGGTAAAATTTTAACCAAATTTATTTTTGAATATTAAAAACTATAACATTATAAATAGAAACAGAACTAATTTGCTGAAGAGTAGTTAAAATGGAAAAAAGAAAACGAAAACTTAAGGGATAGGGCTGAAAAGCTTAAGAAATTATTGCAACAGAATAAAGTTCATTTGAGAAGTTATTAGATTTCTGTTACAACTCCTTTAAGCAAAAGTAGAATAAGAAGTGGTTTTTATGCAAATAATGACTATTTATTAAGCAAAAGAAATGAGAGATCACTTATGGAATAAAGTAAAAGTGATATTAGTATTAGTGAAATAGGAACAGACGATTAAAATAATACTTGTAGAAATGGCAGTGATAATCATTCATTCTTATAAAGTACATAGAAATTTAATAGTCCTATTTTTAGGATAAGGGAAGAAGCTGAAAACGAGGAAGAAACAAGCAGCTGCAGAAATAGTAAGCAAAGCTCTTTAAATAGTTCAAAGAAAAGAGGTAAATCTTAGCAAAACTCAAGAAGATCAATGGAAATATCTAATTAAAAGAGATCTTCTTCGTTAAATTCATCCAAACAAAGCTTAAAGGGTTATCCATAACAATAAATTAATCATGCTGATTAAGAAAATATATAATAGTATTATTTAGGTAAAGACCCAAATTAGTTTAGTTAGAATAATTATGCAAAGCAATAGTTATAAAAGAGTCCATAAGATATTGAAAGAAATTAGAACTAAAATATAAAGGTGTTTGATGAAGGTTAGGCTTATTCAAATAGAGACGAAGAAGAAGATGATGAAATAGGCATATAAAATAATAAGATTGGTGATACTCAAATTAATCTGAATTAATTAGCATCAAACAATGAAAGCAGAAAAATGGAGCATTACATAAATAATTCAGAGCCTTTCTTTGGTAATTCTCCTAATCCATTTGATTCTGTTAAGTTTAACTCTCTTTAGAATTCAGCAGATAAATGTCAATAACAAGCTATGGGATAACCTTTGAATAATAGCAATAATAAGTTAGAAAAAGCATGCATGAATACAACTAATCCTTTACAACAAGAAGAAGACTTTGAAAAATTTGAAAATGAATTCTAATAAGAACTTGAGAGAAGGGAATAATAACTTTATTAGTAATTCGAAGAAATATTGAGTAGATAAGTAGGAGAAAAGAATTAAGAATTAGAGGAATTAAAGAGTAAAATAGTAGAGTTAAACTAATTAATAAATACCTTAAAAGTAGATCTTGCAGAGAAAGAAAAAGCCTTATTAAACTCGAACAAAGATAAAGAAGATTACATTGATCTTTATGCAAAAACTTCTCTTGAAAATGAGAATATTTTAAAATAAAAATATGAACAAGAGATAGATTCAATTTTAAATAAACTAAAATAGGCTGAAGAAAATCTTAATAGCTAATCCAAGTTAAACAACTCGCTATTAGAATAAAAAAAATAGGTAGATGATTAAATAGAGTAATTAAAAGGCAAACTATTGATTGTAGAAGACTCTCTTTAGTTAGCAAATAGTAAATCTCAAAAGCTATAGGAAGAAAGTAAAAACTCTGAGCAAATGAATGAATCACTTAAAAATAAACTAAAGCATTCTGAAGATGCTCTTCAAATTCAAAAGAATCAAAACTAATTACTTCAAGATCAAAAGAATGAGCTTGAAAGAAAAGTAGAAAAGTAGCTCTAACAAATTCAAATTTTGGAAGAGTAAAAGACTAATTATTAAGACTTAATTAGTGAAAAAAATGCTCTTATTGAATAAAACTGTAAGACAATCTAAGAGCTCTCTTTTTCAAGGGATAGCCAAATCAAAAAAATAGAAAATTAAGTTATTCATTTCGAAAAAGAGTTTCACTAGGGCTTAGAAAGAAGAGAATAATAGCTATGGTAGTAATTCGAAATGAATAGATAGATTGGTGAAAAAAATAATGAGTTAGAGGAAGCAAAAAAGAAAGTTACATAATTGGAGGAAACTGTGTCTCAACTTAAAGGAGAAATAAAGGTCAAAGAAAGTCTATTAAAAACTACCACTTCTGAATTGCAAGAAAAGATTAGTAGTATGCTTAAGAGCTAAGTAGATAATGAGTTAGCCATAAAAAAGAGATATGAATTCGAGATTGATCAAATTTAAAGCAGTATTAGAAAACAAGATGATTCTCTCTTATAGCAAGCCAAGCAAAACAATTACCTTCAAGAAAAAAAATCAGAGTTAGAAAAGAAACTTGAGAAGCAGTCAAAGCAAATCTAAGTGCTAGAAGATCAGATTCATAATTATTAAATACTAATGAATGAGAAGAATATAATTATAGAATAGAATATTAAATAAATAGCAGAGCTAACAGCTTAAAAAGATTAGCAATCCAAAAAAATGGAAAGCTAATCAGCTGTTTTTGAAAAGGAGTATTAGCATGGAATTTAAAGCAGAGAGAATGAGTTGAAGAGAGATTTTGAAGAAATCTTAAATAGATAAATTGAGGAGAAAAATCAAGAAATATTTGATAAAAATCAAGAAATTTATGAAAAGAATCAATAGATTGATGAAAAAATGCAAGAAATAGATGATTTATAAAGTAAGGTTAGAATACTAGAAGAGAATAATTAAATATTAGAAAGAGAAATCTCCATAAAAGAAAAGATGCTTAAGAGTTCATCAGATTAGCTACATGGAAAAATATCCCACATGCACAAATCATCTATGGAGAATGAATTGAACATTATAAAGTAGTATTAAATGGAAATAGAAAAGATTCAAAATAGTCACAATCAGGTTGAGGAATATTTATAGACTTAAACAAAGCAAAATTATCTGCTTTCAGAGCAAAAGGCCGAGCTTGAAAAGAAGATAGAAAAAATGTAGAAGTAAGTCAAATAGTTAGAAGAATAAAAAAGCAGCTACTTAGAGCTACTTAGTGAGAAAAGCACCTTGCTTGAAAAGAGTACTAAAGAGTACAGTGAATCCATAAATCAAAGCGAATTATTTAATAGAAAAATAGAGTCTTAAGAATAAATTATAAAGAGTCTGGAATAAAGAGTAACTGAACTTTTGAAGTAATAAGATAATATTTTCCTTAAAATAAAGGCTATTGTTGATTCTAACTAGCTAAATTCTGCAAAATTATTTGATGAATCGTAAGTTGATTAGCTAATTCACATATTAGACCTTGCAATTTCACGTAATTTCAAATTTAAATTTCATACACCCGTTCAAACAAATAAATTTTAACTTACAAAATATTTCTTTAGTTTTTTTTCAAAGTTTTTTCTTTCTTTTTTTAAGATTAAAAAATAAAAATTAACTAAATTCCATAACAAAATATGTAACCAAAAAATATAAAGCAAAGTAAGAAATTTAGAATCTAAAACAAAGAAAAAATATTCTGCCTAAAAATTACAATAATTTTTGATAAAATTAGGGATTAAAATTATCTTTTAAATAAAACTAAATTTTTCATCATTTTAAATTAGAATTTTTATTATTTTGAATTAGAATTTTTTATTATTTTGAATTAAGATTTTTTATCTTTTTGAATATGAATTTTCTAAAATAATATAAAACATAACTTACATTCTTCATTTAAATTAAGTTTGTTTAATTTTAACTAATTATTATAAGGAAAATATCTTTAGAATTTTTAAAATATAACATCAACCCTTTTTTTATAGGTTAGAAGGGTTTAGAGAAAGCAAATAGTGGGGCAAATCAAAGTTTCGGAACAGTGAGCTCTCCTCAATTTACTAACTATGAGTAAATAAAGTTATTACTAAAATATTTACCGAACTCCCTCTAGCATCTATTTAGTGCTTAAGAGCAAGCTCTTATGGATTTTAACTAAGAAACCAGCCAAGATGCCTATTCAAATAAATTGATTTTTAATTTGTAAGATTATTGCCATTTGATAGCAAGAAACTGGGTCAATTTTTTAAAAGACTTGCATAGTATATTTAAAAATATAGAAAACAATGTACTTGACCTATAAAATGCTATAGATGCTTTGAAAAATTTTGATATAATGGGAATAATGGTTGTATGCTATAACTAAGTTGCAACTAACTTTGCATATTATTAAGAAAAATATGACAATCTGTTAATTTAATCAGGTTCTGCTAATCCACTTCAATAAACATCTAGCTTTAACAACCCTAGCAATAATGCATTTACATAATAACAGAATACAGGATTTGGCTCAAATTATTCTTCTGGTAATCAACAAAGTAGCCAGCAAAACCAAAGCTAGACTCATTAAAATAATGAAAATTAAATAGAAATTAACAGCATTAGGAATGCAGTTAAGACAGCAGAAAAATATACAAGCAAATTAGAAGAGAGAGTAGTGAGAAGCAATAACTTTTAATAGGTATTACACGATACAAAAGTCATAATGCAAGTATTAGAAGAAAATTTATAAAACACTGTTCAAAGATTCCTTAATTCTTGTGTTGAACTAAGATCAACTCCTATGACAAATAAAAAATATTTATACTCTTCCTTCAATTCTTTATTGATAGAACATGCCCAAGTAATATAAATCACATATTTATTTAAACAATTTATTTTATTTAAAATTATATTAAGAAATTTATCGTTTTTCAACTCTACAGTTTTTTTGGTGTTTTTAAAAACAAATCTAAAAAAATCTTTGTTTGTTTAGATAGATAGATTCTATTAAATTTTGTTGAATTGAATTAATAAATTTTATTAATTACACTTTTTTCAATTAAAAATTGCCTAATTTTATAAGATAAAAAATACCAAAGTAAACTGATGCAATAAAATTTAGTTTTTTATTAAAAAAGACTTAATATAATTTAACTAAAATAGGATGAAATGATCAACATCAGAAATGCACTTAAGTTACTTGATCTTTTCTATCTAAATAGTCTAAAAGTAAGTAGAAATGTTATTAAAGAAAGAGGAGAAAAAAATAATATAGTGATAGCCCAAATAATAAAAAAAATATCAGAGTTAACCAAAAAAAAATAGCATTTGACTGCATTAATAAATTAAGATATAGAAAATTTAAGCATAGATAAAGTAATAAATCATCTTAAAGATATTTATATTTATAATTAAATTCCTAACATTCCCTTAATTCACTCTAATAACACAGATAAAAAGCATCTGCTTTAAAATCAAATATATGAATTAGCAAGAGAAAATGCTGGCTACAAACTAGCATTTAACTAAATATACATGGCTTCTACTCGTCTTTCATGAGACTTCTATTTTTCCTAATTAATCAATATATATAAATCATAGAGGTGTTAAAATACAAGTGCTAGCTACTTCTCTATATAATAAATAAATATATAAAATATTCCACACTCAAACAGAGAATTCTATAAATAAATAATCGAAATTCATCTTAAAAAATATTTAATTTACTATTTATTTCTTTTAACTTAGATTTGGTATCTAAAATTTAATAATAAGTATAATGATAAAATCGAGTGATAAATATTTGAAATAGTGTAAATTAATTAAGTATCTTCATGCAATATTATAATAACAATTTATAAACTTAAAATGGCATTTATTGATTATATATATTAATATAAATAAACATTGACATGTAAATATATATAAATATATTTTACTTACTTATTCTTTAACTAATTCACAATAATCTTCATAAAATTAATACTATTCATTCTATTAATCTTTATTTATAATTTGTTTGTTTGTTTTATTGTTTGTTGTAATTTTTGTTCTTTTAAATGTTTTTCCCTTCAGTTACTCACCTAAATGAATAAATAAATAATTCATTAGGTGTACAATGAAGCTCTTTTTTGTTTTTGTTTAAATAATTTTATTTATATGATTTTTTGTTTATTTATCTATTTAGTTCATGCTTTATGATTTATATAAAAGTCTTTTTTGTTTCTTTGATCAATCAAGTTTCTTAGCTAATTTACTGAGGAATTTGTCAGATTTTTTATTATTCTTCTTTGTTACTTCTAAATATTAAAAATATTTAAATTGAATAAATAAAACTATTTTTAATCAAACTTTATTAAAAGGCAAATAATAAGAAAATCTTTTGATGAAAAAATTGTTTTAAAATTCATAGAAATAAAAAAATTAATTAATTTTTTATACCTTCATTTGAATCATCAGAGGAGTCCATAGAAGTTTCTTCTTCGTATACGTTTGCTTCGAAGCTTATTGTTCTCTTTTTCTTTTGAGGGGGCTTTTTTGCAGCTTTTGGATCTTAGAACTATGATAAATCAAAACTGCTATCATCATCAGCATAACTGTTATTTTTTTTATTTTCTTGACTTTAAATCGAATTATTCTTTGGAGATCCTTAGATAATACTGTTGTTATTGCTTTGCTTAGAATTATTTTTACCATTTTTTTTATTAGTTGCAGCTACTTAAGGCTATTCTACTACGCTCTATTTCTTATTGGTTTATGATGATTATTGAGGTTGTGTTTTAGGAGATTAGTTTTGTTATTTTTGTTAAGCAGGTTTTTAAACTTTAGACTTTTCTGAGAAAATATCTAACACATTATTAGAATCACTATCATCGCTACTTTTACTACTACTGCTACTAGAACTCAATTTGCGCTAGTGGTTAGATTCCTTCTTCTCTACTTAAGTGATAGGAGCTGTCTTTTGAATATTTTATTATTGCTTTTTATCTTGGCTAAATGGGAAAATTGGTGTGTTATTTGAGTCACTTTCAGAGTCAGAATCAGAATCTGATTTATTAAGAGTAACTTCTTTTTGGGCTTATGATTTAGGAGTATTATCACTTTTTTTGTTATTATTTTAATGAGAATCTTAAACTGTAGATGATTATTTTTGGATGGTTGATTAAATAGGAGACTTTTTAGCTGGACTAGGGAAAAGATTTTAAAGGTCTATTTCTTCGTCACTGCTTTAACTGCTGCTACTGCTTGTTTCTACCTTTTGCTTTTTTTATGGTTCTGGCATTTATGCTTTGACACTAGAAGACTACTACTATTACTACTATTAAACTTAATTTTATGCATTTTAGCTACTCTAAGCGTTTTGCTAGTGATGACTGTGATGATGACTTTATTGAGCTTATTGTTACTACATTTGTTATTAATGTTAACTTTATTATTTAGGTTCTACTGTTGATTATTTAGTTTCTTAAGACTATGAATTAGATGCTTATTTTTTTTCATGATGATGACTTTCTTTAGTAGGCTATTATTACTTCTACTCAGGCTTTTTTTAAGTAGGTTTTTCTTTTACCAATTACTACTACTACTATTATTACTACTGCTATTATTGATGCTAAGAGTTTTGTTTCTAAAGTTGCTAATTTTACTACTCTTATAAGACTTGTTAATTAATTTATTCAGCTTACTTTTGCTTGTTTTTATTCTTTTTTTCTTTCTTCTTATTCTTTTTATTGTTGGAGGAAGATTATTGTGATTAGCTATTTTATTAAATATTTTCTCCATTGTGAATTTATTAATTTGCTTTGTGTTGCTAATTTTACTATTACTACTATTATTAGATCTTTTAGTTTTGCTAATTATGAGCACCGTTTTGATGTAATCCGTTTGCAGAAAGAGTATGAGCTTATTGAGACTGATTGTGAAGTAATTAGTTTAGCTTTTTTAATGTTTTGTCATCGTTTTTATTCAAAGGAGAAATGATACATGTAAGTAAAGCATTATATTCTACTATATCTTCAACTACTTCATTCAATGGGATTGTGCAATCTTAATACTTAATTCCTTCTACTTTCAATGGAATTTGGTTACTTTAATGATGATGATTATTGTTATTATTGTTGTTGTGTTGATGATCATCTCCCTATTCAGAAAAAGCTAAAAATGTTTGATAGAACTTCTCAGCTATGATTTTTTGTAGTTCTCTGATAGTAATATTCTTCTTAACAGATATCACAATCTTATTTTTCCAATTTGTGGCTATTTAAATTTTAATTTTATCAGAATTCTGAGGCATAAAGATGGGAATCAATTGCTATGAATATTAATTGTCTCCATTAACCTCAATCTCCATGTTTCTATTTGTGTTGTAGTCCATTTATTGAATAGGCTATTTGTTTTAGGTATGAATTTTAATTTTAAAATGTTTAAAATTTTTCAAAAAGTTAATCAATTATCTTATTATCTTTTTATCATATATTAATTTTAACTTTTGCTCTTACTGTCAATGATAAAGCAAATAGTTTGAAAAACCTATAATTTTTATTATCAAAATAAAATTTGATATTGATAAGTAAAACTAATAAGAAGAACCAAACCGATCTTTCTATCTTTATATATATTATTATCAATAAAAATGTAGATATTTCTTCCACCTTAAAAATTTCTTACAAAAAAAAAAAAAATTTAAACTAGTAAAAACTTAAAATAAATAAAAAAATATTAACATTCAATAAAAGTTATTATTTTAGCATATTGAATTAGTTTTGCTATCAACTTGATTTTTTGAGTTTAAGAATTCAAAATTTAAGATGAAAAAATTGTAATTTAAATCTTAAATTTTTTGTTAAATAAATAAAAATCTTTTTCGTTCAAATAAAATTATTATTTATTTTTGCTAAATATTGCTTAATTTTATAGATTAAAAAATGATATAAATTAATCTTAAAAATATTGTTTACGACAAAATAATTAATATATTTTGATTAAATTAAAGATTGGCTCGAAATATACACTTAATAACTAAGTTAAGTAAATATTAATAGAACTAACAAATGATTAAATCAGAAAAAGAAAATTTCAACTCTCAATAAATATAAGAGCTAAAATAATAATGTTTAAATTAAGCAAATTAATATTTAAAGGAACTTGGATATACTTTTGTTTGGGATAATTATGATAAATACATATTGTAAGGTCCTCGAAAAACAAGATTTGATAATTTTGGTTATTATTATTGTTTTAATGATCGCGGAGATGTTTTTAGGTTTTGGACTGATTATTTTGATACATCTGAAGGGAACTACTATATATTCTATTCAGAAAAAGTAAAGAATCAAGTTTAACCAAAGTCATGGCGAATATTTAACGAAATTAAATTTAAATTAGCGAAAGACCTTTTTATTTATTTAGAAACTAGCCGATAAAATATATAAAAGTATATAGAGTAAAAATAAAAGTGAAGTGAGCTTTCCTCACTATTCAGTAAATTTTTTTTTTTGAGTTTATGATAAATCAATAAATATTTATTTTTTTAAAGTGTCTAAAAATTATTTAAGATTATTGAGAAAAAAACAAGTTATTGGGAAACAGTTGATAAAATTCATAAGTGAAAAACGTTAAAATGAATAAATAGGTTATTTCTCCCAACAATAATATTTATCTTTATTTGTTTCAAGTATTTTTTGATTGTGATTATCAATTTCAAAATAAATTTTTGAAGATAGTTAAAATAAAAAATTATCATAAATTTTAATGAGATTATAAAATGATATCTTATTAAGATTTATTTATTAATATTTAATTTTTCTCAAATTTATATTTATAAAGAAAAGTGTAAATTTATAAAATAGCAAAAAAAAAATCTTTCAATAAAAGATTTTTTTAAAAACATTTATTTATCTAATTTTAATAAAATAGTTTAATTTTTAAATTTTATTTTTGATTAATTTTAATAAAAATGAGCTTGGTTTATAAATAATTTTAATTATTTTTTATATTTATTTATTCATCATATATTAACTTAATTGCTGTGAAGATATAAATAATATTATGTGTTTTTCTGATTCAAATGTTTAAAAAGAACGATTAAAGAAATTAAATTAAATGAAAATTTCTAAAAAATAAAATATTCTATTTATGTGTTGTTACATTATCGAATTTTTAAATCGTTCTATGTTTTTAGATTACTTAAATAGAAGATTCTAATAAAACATTAAGAATAACTGAATAAATAAAAGTAAAAAGTCGACTGTATATACCCCCACATTTTTTTTTTGTTTAACTTGTTATTTAATTAGAAATTAAGCTAAAATTTAAAATCTTTTTAAGGTAAGCGAAGAGTAATGTATTAATTATTTTTGAATTGAGTTAATACAACTAATTTTTAATGCTTTTTTTTAACTATGGCTTTTAAATGAAATATCTATTTTTCATTCATTATTTTCTATAAAGTTTAATAAATTTTGGGATTTAAGTGTTATATATGGTCTGTTCAGAAATATTTATGTCTGTTCTTCTTTTTTATATTTAATATTTAAAGCTTTAATTACTTTTTTGCGTTAAGATGTGGGAGTTTTAAACGTTCTACATGTATACATGCATGCACATATTCATCATCATATATCTTGGGTTTGTGTAAAAAATTATTTAATTACACTTTTAAAAAAAGAAAATTAGCAACATCAATTATTCAAGCAGTAAATTAAAAAAATACATGTAATTGATTGATATTAACTTTGTCAATAAGTAAAAGAAGATTTTCATAGAGTTTATATGGATTTTAATATAACAAGGAACAAATTTAATTGAGTGATTGATTTACTAGAAGTTTGGTTCACATAAAATAAATACTTATTATGTAGATGTGTAAATAAATAAGACAGAACTAAGAAAGCTGAAAACATTAATTTAGTGTAAATTTTTAATAGCAGCTGTTATTTTACTGATAAAGGGATGAAAACTTTGTATTATTCTGTAAGCTAATTTTGTAAATAGATTAAAAATAGCATTTCAAATTATCTCCACTACATTTCAATTAGATATTACTTTGAATTCGTCTCATCAGAGAGATTACATTCTTTAGGGGTATTAAAAATACTAACAACACCAAAGGAAATCAAAAAAGAAACCAGAATTTTACTCAGTTTACAAAATTAATTTAACTCTGTAATCTTTCATTTGTCATAAGATGAATGCTTGTAAATTACTTTAATTTTAAAATTAAGTAAAGTAAACAAAAATTTTAACACCAAAAATTGTTTTAATTAAAAGATTACATAAATAAAGTTGAATTGAAGAAACCTTTTTAGCGGGAGTCCTAATTAGTGTTTTAATGTAAAGGACTTTATTGTATTAAAAAAAAGACTTATTACATATTCTATTTTGATATTAAGCAATCAGAAAACCAAAGAATATTTACATTTTTTATACATAAATTTTATTTCAACTGTTAAATTCCAATTTACTGAATCCTATGTAATATCTTCAAGCCAAGCAGGATACTTAGATGGCTACTTAATCTTAGAAGAGCCTTCATCAAAAATTGATTACCAAATTCATAAAAAACAATTAAAAATATTAGATGCTTAAATTCTTATGTAAACTTAACTTTGTTACATAAAATTGATAATAAATTGAGATTAAAAATCAACTATCAATTGTTAATTAATTTCAATTTTGATAATCAAAAACTTTTGTAAATAAGCTAGTCAGAATTAGAGGGGAATAGCTATTTTTAATTGTAACTTAGCAATTTTTAAATTATAAAGTTACTTAAATTCCGAAAAATATTTATTTATATAAGAAAAATAGTGTTTATCAACTATAATTTTGAGTCATTAATGATGAAAAAGTATCTTCAATTTTTAAATCTAACAAGCAGGATTAAACGATTATTTAATCATCAGATTAAACTGTAAATTAAAAAAATTCACACTGTTTTTACTGTAATTCAAATTCATTTCTATTTAAGCAAGATACATTAAATATTTGAATCCCCCTTAATGGTTTTAAGATTGTAGGTAGATGGCTTATATTTTCAAATTATTATTAAGTTATTCTTATAATACAAATATCTTTACAATTAATTGACAGTAATCAGCAGCATCCCCACTCAAAACATTAGTACATTGTTACATATTTATCAATAAATGTTAAGTCGATGATTTCTAATTGAACGGGGGATTCCAATTTTTTAATTACAAATCTAAATTCAAATTCATGGTTTAAGCTTAAATAAGGAATTTATTTTATATAAAAAATTAGGCTTTCCACATAATTTGCTAAAAAGTATGCTTTCAATGTATACCGATATTTATATCGTGTATGACCTCTAGAAGTAAAATTATAGCAAGAGCAATATTTGTATTATTAATTTGATACTTGCCTTTAATTTAAACCACCTAACAGTGTTACACTGAAATTTACTGATGGCAGCTTTTTATTTGAAAATATAATGAGTGTGTGGTTAAAATTCATAAAGTGTAGGATTTCAGCAAAAATACGTATTTTATCAGAAAAATATCTTTATTGTTCGTTCAAATAAAATTTGTTAAAACTCTGCTGCTCACTCAAGAGGGTATTTATTCATATAGAAAGATTACAGATTAAATTTTCAATAAAAATTAATATAATTTAGTGGTGCTACTAACATTATCATTATTTAATTAGGTTATCACTTTTGATTTTACATTTATTTTTTTAATAGATTATACATAATTTATTTAGTGAATCATCAGTATTTGATACTAACTCAATCAGTTTATAGTTCTTATGTAATGTTAATAAATTAAGGTAAATTAGTCTTGATACTTTTACTTTAGAGTGCATTCTTCATTAGGCAATACAAAATTGTTTGTTTATATTAGTTTATTCTTTAGAAAAGCAGCTAAAATTCTTTTAATTCAATTCTATAAATATTCTCTATTAAAGATTTTTTTAATTTTTTAACCTACTTATGCAAAAACAAATAACTTTTAATTGTAAATTCAAAGAAGCTTTTTTTCAAATTTTGCAGTGATACTTTATCCTAATTTTAAATATAAACAAATCTTTTAAGAAATTGTCAAAAGCACTTGAACGGGAGAAATTAAATTTATATCAAAGTGTTTTTGTGGTACTATAAAGTTTATTAAGTTAAGAAGGTCAAATATAATCAATTATAATCTAATTAATCCCCAATTTCCCAACACACATCAAAATCTGACTCACTTAAATTTTTATATTAAAGAATTGACATTTCTCAAATGGATTATTTTACCAAACAGTGCGCAGCCATCCAAATCTGAATCAGAAATTTTCATAGCTTACGCTCAAAATACGAATAAAATCTATCTCCAAATCAATCCACAAGTATCACTTTGTAAAGAGATTTTTGGAAATGAATCAAAAATAAATTTTTTTTGTATTTTTTGTTATTTTTATTTTTTACTCTGAAGTTAAATTTTTAATCATTTAGATATTCAAATTTACTTACTACCTTTTTACTTACAAATTCAGCAAATATATTTCTTAGCTAATAAATTTAAGTAACTAAGCAATAGTTAAATATTTAACTAGTCGGTTTTACATTAGTTTATATATCATCTTAATTGAAGCTAATACATACATACTGCTTCGAAATTTAACAAAATTTGCTAAATTATACTTAAAATATTATTTTTTTAATTTATGGAGATCAAATTAATTGCATGAAAAGGTTTTTTTTATCTAATATAATTAATATCTTTTATCTTTTGTAACAATTTTAACAAATCTTTCGAATGAGATTGCTATGTCAGGGTCAAATTAGTGAGAAAAGAAAATATCAGAAAACAATAAAATTAATGTGTAATACCTTCTCTAATAATCTGTAGGAATATATAGAAATACCTTAAAGTTAATTTTTTCCATAAATATTTGTAAATAATTAAGGTTTATTTTAATTTATCAACTTAAAAGGTGCAATTAAAATGGATTGCACTATTTCGAAAAACTATAGAAGGATTTAAATTTATTTAATATGACTATTTATGATTCAGAATTTCTCATGTTAAGCAGATACTTAACAATTTACATTAATTAGATTACAAAATTTAATTTTGGAGATATGCATTGGATGATTAATGACGAATTAGTGTAAAGTAAAAGTACCCATACAATTACATTAAGAGGTATTATTGCTCTTTTACTAAGATTAAAGCAAACCTTAAAGCAACTCTGTCCTTCATTGTATAGCTGATTTAATACTGAGGATTGATATCTGAAAATTCTGAATTTTTATTTAAAATATATTTTTCAAAAAAAATATTTTGATTCAAGTTTACCAATTTAGACTTATTTTTCATAATACTTTAATAAAATTTAAAAATATTATGATAGGAAGGGAGCATTATTATATCAAATTTTAGCAGAAAGATTTTAATTTTAGATAAGTTAAGGCATCAATCAATCATAAGAACAGGAAGGTTACTAATTAAAATTAAAAAAGTCTGATACTATCCGAGTAATATTGTGTTATGAAATAGTCTTAATTAAAGTTTTACATAAAAATCAACTTTTATTTTATATGTATAAAATAAATTGGCTTAATTTATCTCTCCATCCTTCATTCTATATTTTCAAAAGCAACTGCTTTCAAAGTTATTCATTAGAGGATCTTTTTGATAAAAGTAAAATCATAAATTCTGCTCAGATGTTGTAGAACGGTGTAAAAAAAATTTTCGAATAAAAGGAGAATCAGCTCGATTATCTTTAATAACAACTAATAATTTAATTGTATCTGTGTAAAATAGTAAAATAATCAAAAGTAATCTATAATTTTAGTGAAAGAAATTATTAGTATCCAAAAAAAAATAAAGAAAGAAAGCACTAATTAAAATTTAGAATAATTAATATTTGAAGCAAACAGACTCACAAAGTACCGGCTAAGATAATAAATAAATAAATAATAAAATTTTTGTTCATAAAAAAGAAAATATTAGTAGTAAATCTATCTTTTTCATCTCCTTCTAAATTTATAAATAATTAAAACAAACAAAAAATCAAAAAATTAGTTAAAAACTCACAAAAAAATAAACCAATAACTTAATAAATTTTTAAAAGCAACATCCTCATCTTAAAAGGTTGCAACATTGCTCGCCATATTTGATCAACACGCTTCTTTGAAAAATCATATTCACTGAATTCGTTTAATAAATATTTTGTAGTCAAAGTATATATTCTTGTTCTGCTAGCTTACTTAAAAATCGCTTCAATCTAAACGAATTTCCTTCAAGCCAGTGCTATTTCTGCTATTTAAGATTGAAAATAAAAACAAATTTAATTTCCAACAAATCTTTGACTTACATAAAAAAAAAAGATACATATATTTCCGATAATAACATATATTTAAAATGCGTAAGTATAAATCAACTGATTCCCACTATTTGGAATAGGCAACTCGCAATTATAATTTCGTCAACTTGAAGAAAAGTAACAACTCCTCTAGTAATTCCAACTCTCTTCCCTCAACAAAAGCAACCATTCGCCCAATAGATTCCTCAACTGAAGAATAGATTCCATATATTCGTGAAAATACCTAAGTTGGAGAGGACAAGCAATATCACCGCTTACCTGATGTAATTAATTAATTTTATTTTCACAAAAAATCTGAAATATTCGTTTTTAATTGTTAAGGACATATTGAATTAATTTTAATTTCCTATTATCTCTTTAAAATAATTTTAAAATTAATTTAATTTAAAAGGATATTTTTATAAACGAAGAACCTCTTTATAACCCTTCTCGTTAGCATTTCTCAATATTCAAAAGCATCAACGCATACAAAAAAGTTAGCTACACTATGATGGATAAATCAAAAAATGTTGTCCACTGTTTCTTGGAAGAAAAGAATCCAATTAGCATCTAATGCTCATAATGGTAATAAATCATTGAAAAATTGATTTAAAATATTAACTTAATATTAAATAACCTCTCTCTTAAAATTCCTCCTTTGATTTAATGAAACTAAATAAATATTTTTATTTATCTTTTCCTTAAATAAATTGTTCCAGAAAAGGAATTTTACCTACCATAATAGAACAATTGAAACTCATAAATCTATTTTTAATTATTTAAATCATAGAAAATGACTAAACTTAATTATTTGAAAATTACACATTAAAATTTAAAATAAAGAACAAAAAATAAATTTTATTATCTAAAATAGTTTTAATGAAAATCATCTTAGAAATACTATCATTTTTAAATATTTATTTTTAATTGATTTTCATTTGAGAAAAAAAAACTTATGAGTTTAATTACATTTATCATACAATCTTAAAAAAATATGAATACAACTAACATAGATTAAATGTATATTTTTATTAGTTTATGGCAAATAAATCATGAACTTTTTTATTTATTGGCCTTATTTTTAATGAAAAGTTAAAAATACTATTTGAATTTAAAATACATCAGTAAATTATGAATAAATCACCATTCAAAAAAGAAGAAAAAAATTTTTATCAAAGTCAGAGTAATCTTTAAAAATGTATCTATAATTTACCCTCTTTTACTCAAGATTACACAGTTTTTTTGAAATGTTTATAATCAATTATTTACATTCTTTTTTTCAAGTTATATTAATTTACTTACCTTATAAAATAGGTCTAAGTTAGCTGACCGCTATTCAAATACTTTGTTTGCCCCACTGGCTGAAACAATATAAGAGTTCTATATGAAGAGAGAAGACTGGAACGAAAGTCTTTCTGTTTCTACTAAGGATGAGTCTTGCTAAATTCTCCCTGAGTATTCAAACTCTGGAGTCATAAATAACTTATAAAATGGCCATATTTTCTTGAATCAATTTTAACTTGCTTAAGAAAAAGAAGATGTAAACTATATAGAAAAAATATTGTCTAGCCCTCATAATCAATAGCCTTAAATAATATTCCGCCGTATGTTTGTTGCTGGTAAAGGAACTATTTTGCGCTCAATTCACATCAATACTTCATTCTTAAATATGGTTAATTTTTCAACTGAAGACTTCCTCCTTTGCACTGCTATTCGCAAAGCTCTTCCTGACATATTCTACAGTTTGAACTACATACAAATTATGAAAAAAGCCCTTTTTAAAATTGACAACTCACAATAGCAAGAAATTTTTAATCACTCTATTCTGACTGCAAATAACTAGGTAATAAAAAAATTACAATTATAAATTTAAGATTTCTAATCTTTAATTACACAAACAAACAAAGTATATTTTTTATTTTTAGAGTAACAAAAAAACAAAATTAGCTAGTTAAAAACAAGTGATCCAATTATTTTACACATTCTTATAATCATTGAATTAATTTTTTAAGAAATCATGGTAAAATAAAAAAAACTTATTTTACAAAAATAAATAAAAATAAATGTCTTTTTTTTCATTTTTTTTTTAAATGTAATAAATTTAAAATAAAAAGAGCAAGCGTGTTTTAGAAAAAAATAAAAAATTTATTATAAATTGATTTCATTGTGAATAAATTAAATATTCCAAAAATGAATACAAACAAACATATTAAGAAATAGCATTTTAATAAATATTTTAAGAAAGTAAAAATGCTAAGTTACTCTTTAAAAGTAAGAAAAAATTGATCTTACTTGCTTATTTCTTTTCAGATGCTAAATTTTTAGTTTACATCTGACAATTATATTTGCTTTTTTGTTCATTACTCTATTAAAAAATAAATAAAATAAACTAAACTAAATAAAGCGCACATTAAATATTACTTTGTTTTTTCGTCATTTCATTTTAATATTACAAATTTAATTATCACTTCATTTATTAATATGTATTTTAATTAAAAATAATTAGTAAATTGACATATAATGCAGATACGAAGGTGCCAATATGCCATACTCTAAACTTGTTATTTTAAAGATAACAAACTAGCCTTCTATTTCTTACAAATTCTCCTCCGCATCCTCAATAGAGTAGAATAATAGCAACTCTAACCCTTGTAATCTTGCTTAGTTGAATAAAAAAGTACATAACTTAACTTTTACATTTCACTCTAAAGATTGTACTAGTTACTTCTTTAGCCAAAAATTTATTTATTTACTCTCTTAAAATGCTAATTTAATTTTTTACAAATATTATAGCGTAAGCTTTTTGAAAGAGAAGATATTGTAATCAATAACTAGCAGTCTAAGATACTTTAATGCGCTTTTGGCTTTAAGATTGAAGACGAAACTTCAGAAGAAACCAGCAGAAGCTAATCTTCTTCCATTTCAGGACAATAAAGCTTTGGCTAAAGTTGTACCTAAAACAAAAAAATAACAGAATAAGTTTCTTTCTAGTAATAATAAACAAATTAACACATTAGCTAGATAGAAAAAATTTTCAAATTGAGAGTCAGCAACTATTGATTGATTTATTGATTAACCTAAGGCTATCATTTAGTTTTGATTGATTTTTAAATTAATGATAACTCAATGAATACATAATTCTTAATCTCTTTCTTGAAATATTTATACAAAATACAAGCCTTTCTTTCATCCTGCCTGTCTATCTAATCATAATCATTCATTAATGAATTTAAAAAAGAAAAGAATCAAACAAAATAACACACAAAGAAACAAACAAAGAAAATAACAAACTCAAGAGATAACATTTATTACAATTTAATCTGATAAATCCTATTCCATTTTACTTGATCCAATTACTAATCTCATAATCACATAATAAAAACATGAATAATAAAAAATAATTCCATCTTTTTTACTTCAAGCACACAAAAATATATAAATGATCTAATTCTGTCTCTTTAAGCTTACATATTTAAAAATCAATATAAAGAAAAAACATTAATAACTAACCAATAACTTAAAATACCAAATCTTTACTCTAATCCAAAACTATCTCACATTTAACCCTTGATTTATTGAATTACTCTCACTTTATTTTCACAAAAATATATGAATAAAAATCTTGTATTTGGCATTTATCACAATTAAATAGATTTTGCTTGACTTACTTTCTTTTAGCTAATATAATAAATAGATAAAGAACATACATAACAATAACTCAATCTCAAATAAAGAAACTTGTCTCTTATTCGTTCATTCATCCATTCACTCACTTATAATATATATAAAGCCTTTATTTTCCCAATTAATTATATTATTTTATTAAGAGTATTATTTATTGATTTATAAATTTCGTCTATTTGCACCATCTTCACAAATTAATATTTATCACTGTAACTCAAAAAAATTTAAATGAAAGAATTTATTTACTAAAGATAAATTGGAGTATTAAAAATAGTTTTCAACTAACAAACCTTTTAATTTATTTATTAATAAATTTTATAATTAATTTTTTCACTATTTTAATGTTTATTATCATTTTAAAGCTTATTTGCTAAAAATTGAACACTTTTTAAAGTCTTTTTTCACTCTTTTATGTTCTTTAAAAACTATCATAAATTTTTTCTTCAATTATACTATTAAATAAAATGCAAGCCAAAAAATACACATTGCGCTTATCGATTAGAAATTCTTTTATCAAATCTTATCAATTTGAATAGAAATAATAAATGATCTACTTATTGTTAATAGAGATAAAATAATCTTTTCTTCATTATCCACTAAAATTAATTAAACCACAAATATTTGATGGATAATCAGAATTAAATCTTTTAAATATAACATTAAATTTTTGAGTAAATTTAACTTAGATTACAAATGGACTCTTACTCAAGAATTTACTAAAATTATTAATAGGTTAAAATAAATATTGATGAATCTTTTATGAATGATATTTTTAATAAAAGTAATAGAAGTATTGATTTATTGAAAAGTGTAACTATTGAATATTTCCAAACTATAAACATCTAAAAAATGCCTTTATACATTAAAAAGTGCTTTTATTTACAACTATTTCCTTAACTTTGACAAAAAATGAATATTTTTAGAATTAATATTTTCTATATTATTAACTTTTGCTTATTATTATCAATGAATAATTTTAGTAGCTCGAATACTTTTAAAAAAGTGTAATTACACACATACTTTTATTGGTTGGTCAAAATTAATTAGAAATCTAAAAATAATTTGATTTGATTTTTATTTTAATCTTACTTTGCTAAAAAATCATTTAGCATATATTTTTATCAGAGAATTTTACTTAATTTTAAATTAACTAAGCTTTCAACATTAAATAGAAATCCATTTTGATCCTTGAACGATTTAAACAACTTTTAAATAAAGCACCAAAAAGAAAAAATTAAATAACTTGTATGAAAAATTTAAACAAAAAAAATACATAATTAATTTTTCTTCAGCAATAAATTAATTAACCTAAAATACCTTTAGATTATTTAATTTGTCTATTTTGATATTAAAATTGAAATGGTCTTTAAAGATAGAATATAACTTAAATTTACTTTAATTTAATAAAAAAATTAAAATGCCTTCCTAAATTATACTTTTTATTTCATTCATACTTTAATCTATTGAATTTTATTTTTCTTCTAAGTAAAAATCTTTTTAAATAAATGAAATTAAATGAATGAATGAACTTTAAGTAATCAAATTTATTTTTTTTTTCTTTTTAATAAAAAAAATTTCTATTTTCTGTAAATAAATTTTTTTATTTGCTAATTTCTAATCTCTGTAAATAAAATTTTTTTATTTGCTCAAAAAATGATGGCGCTTTGATTTAAAAAAAAAATAATTTTTTGCTGTAAATTAATAAATTAATTTTCTAATTTACTTAAATTTAAAGATCTTCTTACTTATTTATAAATGAGCATTTTTAAATGAAACAAATAAAAAATAAAAAAGAAGTTAAATCCAATAAACTAAAAACAACTAATATTTAAAAGTTGATGAATGAATCCGCAGATTTTTTTTTGATTACATCAAGATAAGGTTATGAATAATTGTAAAGATCTAAGTGAAAATACTAATTTTAAAAACATAAATTATTATATATAAGAATTTACAAATAACCATTGATTGAATACTTAATGTTTGTTTAATTATTAAACATTCAAGTCTTTTTTTCAACTATGATTTTAATTATGAGCAGTTTAATTACCTTAATTAGGTATTTGTTTGAGTAAGAATGTATAATGATTGTTCCTATTTATATTATAACAATTAATAGACTGCCATTCATCTTTTGAAACATCAAAAATATCAATATTATTTGCTGTAATTTAGGTACTAGCTTTTCCTCCGATAATTAATATTTTATCCTAATCACTTACTAAACTATAGAAAGCTCTTGGAATTTTCATGAATGTAATAATAAACCATTTATTTAAATCGAAATTATACATCTCAACTGAGTTCAAATATAGTCTTCCATCGTAGCCTCCAAAAACATATAAATTTTTTTTGATAATTTTACACTAAGCTCCTACCCTACAATTAATCATGTTGTGCATTTGGCTCCATTCATTCAAGTGAGAATGCTATTCTGAATCAGTATATGAAAGTGATCTATTTCAATTTAAAATTTATACATTATATGATATATATGTAATCAAGTTCTAAAAAAATTGTAAATAAACAAATTTAGTTCTAGAACCACAAATTTATTGTAATATTTCTATTGAAATCAGGATAAATAATTTTTTTTAGATAATAAATATACCGTATTTTAATTTAAAAAATAATAATAATAATAATGGACTCATTTTAATTGTTTATTAATTTTTTCTTTTCAACTCATTTTAATTTTATAAATAAGATGAAATAAATTTAAATTTCTTATGCATTTATTATATGCTCGTTTATCTTATTTAATCTTTCAGTAACTTTAGAAATAAAAAGCTTTTAACAAATTTTATTGATTACTCTTGATAAAAAATCCAAAATTTTCAATAAAATTTAATTACTTTTAAATAAGTATTTTATTTTTTTTAAATTTAAAAATTGTAAACTAAACCAAATATTTCTAAAATAAGTCCAAACTGAATAATTGATTACCTAATATGTGCTAAAAATATAATAAATAATTTAAGGCCATTTTATTATTTTCTATTTTAATTATATTTGCTCTGTTAGATTGCTTTACTATACTAAAAAAATATTTGAAGACCATTATTATTGAAAGATCTTTATAGAGCTTTTGTCTCTTTTTTAAACTTTGGTTATAAAAGGCACTTTCTTACATTTATAATTTTCAGGTATGATTAAAAAAACGATGAAAATTATATTTTTATTTATTTAATTCTTAGTTTATTTATTGGAAAATGAAATTAAACTTACAATTTATAGGCAGAATTAGTAATCTTGTTTGAGATGATTCCTCCTAGTACATAAACGTTTTCTTTGCTGGTTTCATAAGTACAACAAAATCCTGTTAACGAATAGGGTAAGGGTTATTTTTGGATTATTCTGTTTTCTTTAATATTTATAATCATACAATCCTAAAGGATTTAGTCATTTTCATCTCTACCTCCTATCAAAAAGATTTCATTAGATTTTTCTATATAAATTGCTGTAAGGTCATAACTGAAGTTACTTAATTTAAAAGTAAAGCTTGAAAAAGAATCTTCATTGATATTATACTTGATTATATCTTTTGTAAATATTCTTTTGTATTCGGAAGAAGATTATTGTTTTTACTCATATGAAAATAATTGTTTCTTATTATATTATTTTTCATCATTCCTTTCAGCAAAATACCCTCCTATGAATAAAATACAATTACTTTGAGGTAGCATTACACAGCTAAATCCATAGTAACCAGGGTCTTTAAAATCTAGCAAATTTCTAGGTAAATTATAATTTATCTTTTTAATAATTTCTCCTTAGTTGCTGATTATCTCTCCTAATGAATCGCAATCATTCCCTCCTAATTAAACCATATTGTAATTTAGGCAACATACTGCCTTATTTTCTTGTTTATATGACATGTTATTTTAACATTAAAGATTTTGTTATGGTTATGGCATTAAATTTTATATACTATTAACTCTTAATTAGGTAGGTTATGGATTCAATGTGGGAGATGGTGAATTCAGAGTGTTTTTTACATTCAATGAGTTTACTTTATGCCTAACTTATTCTCCTTAAAATTATTAAATAGATGTTTATTATTAAAGTGCTTAAGATAACTAATTTGTTGTTCCCATATCATTTTTTTTATAGTTTGCTAATAGATATTTATGAGTTGGCACTGGTTAGTTTTTCTCTATTAGTTTTTATTGTTATTTTTACACTGAATCCTGTACTTGATTTATAATTGATTATTAAGGTGTAGTGTGTTATGAGTTATCAGTGCAGATAATTTGAATTTAAGATGATACTTTTTAATAATTTGAAATATTCTTTTACTACATTTCTGATTAATCTGTCACTTCCTAATTAAATATATTGTTTTGTTATATGATGACATTCGAGCATGATGATTCTACAGCTTTGAGTTAATTTAAGTTATTAACATTTGAGTATTGAGAAGATTTTACTTTTATTTTAAAGCTATTTTAGGCATCTTTATTTTTAATTCTCTACTCTACCAATTCTCTAAAGTTAATTATCCCAAAATTAGCACTATAGTTGTTAGAACAAGAGCTCCCACTATCTTCGATTCCTTAGAAATACTATTGGCAATTATTATGATTATATTCCCCAGTTTATGAACTCTATCTAGATGATAACGGTTTGTCTATTTTTCTTTCAAATGTACAAATCTAATAGTTTGAATTTGATCTAGAAAGGGAAAGTTTAGTCTAGGAATCGTTTTGGTAAGCAGGTTAATAGTTAAGTTTGTAATCAATACGCTCTGAACATTCTGAAAATGAACGTGCACGTGATGAAGGAGCCTGGGCAAATTAATTTGATTTCTATCTTACTGAATCTTATGATTGTAGATATTCATTTATATCTTTTTTATTGTTAGATTATGCATATGAATAGTCTTAATCACACATATTTTCATTATTTTTATTTTATCCTATTGGGTTTTTTTATGAATCCTACCTTAAATGTTCTGTTTAGCTTTATTTTTAGTTCTCAAATTAATTTTAATTTATGTTCTCAATTTTATTTTATTTGCTATTGTTTGCTTATACTTTAGAGTTTGCTGTAGGAGGTAATGGGTTAATATTCTTCGATTAAAATTTATTGGATGCTTGAACAGTAACACTTTCTTTATTATCTCTTTATGACAGTAAATTTGTTTTTGAGCATTATGCTGAGTTTGCATTTTCTAGTTAATGGCAACTAAAAACTTAATTTTAGATTGTTTGTTAATCCAAAAATTAATTTTGATCATTTTTTCCTTAAAATAAAATGTTTTACTGAGAAATTGTGCATTTTTGCAAAGAATTATTTTAATTGGCCTGTAAATCTTTCTGAAAATTATTATTGATAGAAATACTTTAGCTATTGTTATTGTTTTAGTTAATCTGTTTGTTATTGTTTTATTATTGATTTGCTTCTTGAATTAAACTACCTAAATTGTTTCTTTCTTTATTGCTTAATTATTAAGTTAAATTCATTTTATTTACATATTTAGTTTATTAAACTTGCTCTGTGTTAATACGATTATTAATGTTTTATGTACTTTGTTCCTCCTCATCATCTTACTCTTCATTTATAGTTCTTGTGGAAATTAGTCCATGATTTGTATAGCTATGATAAAATAATCCTTTGTGTAGATTTTAACTGTCTTATTTTATTTAATTTATTATCTGATTTTCTTACTTTTATTATGTAGCAGCAGTAGGTTAATTATTTTGATTTATTTTTTAATTTGCTATATTCTCATTATTATCTTAGCTGTTCACAATATTTTCGTTTTTAATGAATTCAGTCATTGAATCTTCTTTTCTATTATAAAAAGAATTTTTGTTTTAATTATCTTCATTTTGATTTTGGTTTTTTCTTTGAATTTAAATTTCATAAAAATTGTTTTGGTTATCTATTTGTGTGTCAAATTCATTTTGAATAAAAATTTCTTATTAATTTTACTTTTGTGCACTAATTTCATTTTAATTATTGATTGTATTTTGAGTAAAATCAGTTATTTCATTGTATCGTTGGTTCTAATTATTAATAGATTTATTGATTAAGATGTTCTTATGTTAGTTTTATTAATTTACAAAAGAATTTTGAATTTAGTTAGCTTGCTAATGCTAATTAGATTGAACAAAATTAGTATTACAATTACTTAATTATGGAGCAGTTTTAGTTAGATTATTTTGCTAAATTTAATTTTGTTAGCAATTTTTATCAAGCTAACCATTTTTTTGAGATAGATAAATTGCTCTGTAGCTGTTTTAATTTTGATTCGATTGGCTTTTATTTAGCTTAGAACCGCTTTCTATTTTTTCTATTTTTTGCTTACTATTTAACAAACAAGCTGATTATTATTAATTTAGATAATATTAGCTTGTAATGATACTTCCATTCTCAAAATTTTAGCTTGTAAACAACTACATCTCATTTGATGCTGAATGAGATATTGGTGAAGGATTTGTAAAAAGATTCTAAATTTCATGAATATTTTTTTATTAAAAGCATTCTGTTGTAATCAAATTGAGATCAGAAGGAGATGAATGATTAATTTATTCTTAATCGATAGCTATTTGCTATCTTGGAATTACTGCTTTCTTTACGGAGTTTTATATTTTATTTCTGAATAAGCTTGCCTCACATTAAGACTGCTGTATGTTCCTACCTTCGATTGATATGCTCTCTACTGTTTAAATATTATTTATTTGGCTTAAACCACTGATGTTATAATTCAGAAAAATTTAAGGAGATTCTTAAAATTCACATTAATCGTAATTGTCTTAATTTAAATTATTGTCTAAAGCATAGTTTTACTGTACAGCACTGCTCAAACATGCAGAAATAGGAGAAGAATAAAATAGACATTTTTATTATTGTTACTAGTTTGAGGATTTTGATTAATCAAGCTAAAATTCTTAAATAATCTCATCGTTTTATAATGATTTATCTAAAAATTTTTCCTTATTAGTGTTCTATCTGAAACCTGAGAGACTTCTATCTCTATTAAACAAATTTCTATTGCTAAGTTTATTTAATGGATTGGTTGCTGGACTATTATTAAGAGAAGAGCTTATATGATTAACTATTTAAGTTTTGTTTAAATTATTGAAGGTGCTTTGTTTTTCTATGAAACCTCCACAAGAAGTAATTCTTTTTCTGTTTGTATAATTCTCCTTACTGCTCTAATTTATATTATCAGCAGAATAATCTTTACTTAATTAAAGCATTTCAGGGTTAGTTATGCCCATTTTAATTCTCTTTGAACTCATTGAATTTAGCTTAAGAGCATCTGATGAGTTACATTATCCTAATCCAATACTCCTATTTAGAACATTGTTTTACTCTGCAATTTAATCATGTTCACTTGTTTTTAGTGTTTGCACCTTAGTTTAAGAAGTATTTTCAGTTGTTTCAACATTGAGATCATCAGAGCTATTTAATTTTAAAGATAAAACTTCTTCATTTCTAAGCAGCGATTAATCTTAAAACTAAGGGCTTTCTATAGTTTTAAGTTTTTATATTTCATTTATACTTTAATTATTAGTACTTTTTTTTAATTTTGAAAATTGATGAGAGGATTATATTTTGTTTCTTAACCTATTAATTATTGGAGAAGAATGAGTATAAAATGAGCCTTTGTTTAATTATTAGTTTTTTTTAGGATTAGGTGGACTTGCTTACAACTTATTCTTAGTAGATTATTGAGGATTTATTTACTGGATAAGCATATCGATTTTCTTTTTTTTTTCAGGTGTCCTATTGATTTATTCTGTATTTTTTTAATTTTATTGAGTACTTAAAGTTTAATGCTAAAATACATTTTTCTTAACAGATTGCTTTGGTATCTTTTATTTTAATCCTTTCAAATAGCTTTTTTACTCATCTTTTTCTTTTTCATAATTAGCTGAAAGCTTTTTAATTGAACTGAGTTCATTAGGAGTTTTATATTTTTTTAAATAGGGTATACTTTCATATTATTATTTCATTGTTTTCTCTTATTTTTATTGACTTGAATTCTCTTACAGCTATTTTTAATTTTTTTCTTTCTCAACCTAAACCTATTCTACTTGAAAACTTTCAATCTTTGGCTATTTTTCACTATATGGGCTTGTTTGATGCATTTCCTAATTTTTAATATTGAAAAAACAATTGAAGTAAAACGTTTATTTATAATATAAAATATATACCTATTTAAATTCTTTTTTAGCTTCTAACTAGCCTGAAGAAGATGATTTTATTCTTGAATGATAGGAATCAGTGTTAATTTTCTCAACGATCTAATATATATTGTTAAAAGTTTATAGCATTAAAATTTGCTTTATTTATATAAATATTTTTTATTACTTCATCTTCTTTATTTTCGCAAGAACTTCCAGTGTAATACATCGATGAGGTTTAAAGAGCCTAAGAAGAAGAAGAAAAAGATCTCTACTTAGATATTTTCTGTGCGAACAGCTTAGTTTTTGGTCTTTAGTAAATGCTGTCGAAAAGCAAATTCTAAAGAATCTTCATCAGTAATGCATCAACATTTATTGTCTCTAGCTAAAATGATTAAACATGAGTTTGATTGTAAAAGACTTTAATTTCATCTGAAATTTTATTCAAATTCTTCAAACACTTTTGAACTTGCATAAAAGACATAGAACCATCAATAGCTTCGAGTAGAGCCAAGTCTTAGATATACCTTTATGTTTTGTTCATCTCATTTGCTAAATTGAATTTTTTCTCTTCATACTCTTTTTAATAACATTCCTTCTACTCATTATAACTTTGTCTAAACTAATTCATCAAGTATATGAATCCACTCTCTAATTCTTAAATAGAAGCAAAATAAACTTCTTCCATTTCCCTTAAGTTTTGTTGTGAAGACTCAAAATACATGTTGAGTTATTCAATAACACTCTAAGCATTTTATTTAATTAACTTTAATTCTTAATTTACTGTACACTCTGTTTCTTCTACAGATTTATAGTTTATAAAGCTTTCTTAACTCATTTTATTGGGTTATTAGATCTCTATTCAGAGATTGTATACACCTCAAGTTTTTTTGCCTCTTTGTACTAAATTCCTTTGATTTTGGAATTTTACCTTCTTTTAATTAAAGTCCTACTTATTATTATTGATTAATATTTCTACTTAAATAGTATAAAATTTAATTAAATTTCTTGAGTAAAATAATATAATCAGTTGATATGTTTTTTAATTAATAGTATGGTTTATTTGAAAGAGTGTTAAATGAATTATATATTTTTCAGTTAAAATATAATAAAATAAACAATTATTTTGCTTATATTTTATCATAAAAAAAATAAAATTTACTTAATAATTGTATAAAGAAAGCAACATAATTTTTGTATTATAAAAATATATATAGTGTCTATGGACTTCATATAATTAATATTAATTAGAATTATATCATAAATTTATCATGAATATAAATTATTTAGCATTAATATGTCAAACATATATTTTATTGAGTTTTTATATGAAATTTATATTGGTAAAATATTCTTTTATATACAAATGAGTGAAAGAATATATTATGTACTAATTTTTTAATAAAAAAGTGTAATAAAAAATGCTAAATACCTTTATAAAATCTAGGTGATATGGTATCACTTTTTATTAAGAAAGGCTTTTTGTTTTAATTATATTTTTCTAAAATAAAAATGTTTATAATATATTATAATCTTGTTAATTTTAAATCAATTAAAATAAATTTAATTTTTTATTCATTTTTTAACTTTTTTTTTCTAAAAATTATTTTTCTAACTCTAAATTTTTGTTTAAAAAATACAGGATTTGCTCTCAATTTTCATTGAAGAGTGCAATTTTCTATTTACCAAAAAATTGAATGAAAAGTAAGGTCTTCTTTTTAAACCATAAATGAAAAATAATGTATATGAAGAAGGTATGGTATTCTTCTTCTAATTAAAAATTAATAGTATCTTTTCTATATATTTAGATTTTATTTAATGAAAAAGTCATTTTATATTATGGATTTTCAAATAATAATATTTAAAAAAATTATATAATCAAAATTTTTTAAATTTTGTGGAGATATTTAGTATTAATCCATAAACGAACAAAGAAATTCAGGTGAAAATCTATTTTGTTTTAGAAATAGATTATTAGTTTGAGAGGTCTTTCGTGGATAGTACAAATGATATAAATGATTATATTTTATGTAATTATTCTCCATACAATTAATGAAAATCTTTTGACTACTCTTTATAGACTTTCTATTATTTCTCTTCATATTAGATATATAGTTTACAAATAATTTGATTTGCACATCTGCTTTTTTTATTTATAGACTTTTCAAATTCAGGCATAAAAATTTGACTAATATCCGTAATACTTATGTAATTCTAAAGTTCTAGTTTTATTAGATTCATTTAATATTGATTTTATTATATTTTACTGATTTTTTGATAGTTTTTAATGAACGATAATAATTTATTTTTTCTAAAAAATTTATTTTAACTAAATTATTTAATTTTCTATTATTTACATCTTGTTACTTATTTTTCATTGTGAATATTTCCTCTTTGATTTTTATAAATCCAGCAAATTATTTAATCAAATCATTCTAACTTTGCTTATTTTTCTAATCAATATCACATATACTAAAGCTATTAATTAATAATATAGTTGGAATCAATCTTTTACCAATAGATATAAAAGAACTCGATTATTAAATCAATATTAATACTATCGTAAATAAACAAGCAAGCAAAAAATCAAATAATATTGAATAAAATGTAATATAAGAAGCTACTATTTTAAGCTTTTTTTTTTTTTAAGTTCATCTTTCACGCAAGTAAATAAATCATTTAATTTTGATTTAAAATACTATTCATTTTATTTACTATCAATTAGTTGTGAATGCTAACTCACTTGTTACTCCTCAATCAGTTCAAACATACTAGTTCTTCTATGGCTCTGCAGATTTTACTTAATAGATTTACACGTAAACTAATTTCTAGATCTTAAGAGAGTATGTTTACAGCTCTCTTACTAACTACACTTAAATCACTACAAAATAATGTGGCAATTACTTGCATTTCTTAATGTCTGATAGTCTTTTAGACTTATAATTTGTCAAGTTAAATATGAATTTACCTAATCATCAATGGATTTAAGTTTAGTTAAACTTCTACAAAACAGGTTAATGGGGAACAGAAGACTTTTCTGTCATTGTTGACCAAGCTGAGAATACTTACTAATATCAAAATGATTAAAGTATTACCTGTCAAGATTGGTAAAACTATACTTTGTAATAAGTTTCTTACTAGACTAGCCACACCTCCAACTCATTGACTATTGTTGTTAAATCTAAGGCTAATATTGATATAAGGAAATGGTCAATCGGATAAATATAAATCCAAGCATTTATTGTAATATTTTTTATTTTCAAAAAAATATTTTAAAAATTAAAATAAAATGTATTCCATATCCTTCTTTAATTAAATTAATTAAACGTTTACTTATTTATTAATTAATACCAAAAAATTAATTAAACATAATATTCATATCACCATTTTTAATTTTTTTTATTAATTATTAGTGTCCAAGTAATTCCTACTTTGACCAAAGTCTACAATGTTTTTCATGCATAGAGGGATGCAAATCTTGCTTTAATAGCAATTATTGTGACTAATGTTAAGATGGATATTACTTGTAAAGTACTAATCATTCTTGTGTAAAAGTAATCAACTTTTTAAAATTTAATTTTTTAAATTCATTTAATTATAATAATTAGAATTGTAATGACAATTAATATTTGGACAGTTCTAAAATATGCCAAAACTGCCCATCAGGATGCTCAACATGCAATTAATTAATATGTATATCATGCCAAGATGTTGATAAAGATCCCTCATAGAATTGTTAAGTGTGTAATAAAGATTTGAAACTAACATCATCAAATACTTGTGCTTCATGTAGTATACCTAATTGTCTATAATATGATACAAATTCTATAAAGTGCTCTTGTAAGTTATATTCTCCTCAATATATGTGCTAAGTTACTTAGATTAATAACTGTTCATAATAGAACTACATTGATGGATAGTGCATTTGCTAAGTCTGTAAGTCAGATACTTTTATGTATAATGGGCAATGTAGATAGACATGTCCTCAAGGTTATGGCTAGAATAGATAAACTATGACTTGTGATAGATGCTAAATATCAGGTTGTTAATATTGTTCATAAAATTATTAGTAATGTTAAGTATGCAGCAGTGGATATCTTTATTATTAAGATACTAACAAGTGTTAATATTAATAATCCTGCTCAGATTCTTATTACTTATCTAATAATTAGTGCATTAAATGCTAAAGTTCTTGCTAAACATGTGATAGATATGATACTTGTACTTAATGTTAATAAGGTCTTATTTAAATGAGTTACTATTTGCCAAATTTAAAAATACCACAATAATATTCTTGCTTTGATGATACTAAAACTGAATTTTTGCAAGTTTGCAGTTAGAAACTTACTGTATTTTATCCTGACTAAAGAGTATAAAAAATTTATTTTTTCTTATTTATTTTATTTGGTTGTATTTTATTTTTAAATTAAAAAATTCTTTAATTGATTGTTCTCTAATTTGGAATAGTTAAATTAAATAAAATTTTCATAATTTTTAAATATATAACATAGGTTACTCCAATTTATTATGAAATACAATCTTAAAAAACTTGTGCCACCCAATGCCCTGGTGGTTATGGATATAATTCAATTTACTAAACATGTAATCAATGTATAGATAAATGCTAAAGCTGCTAAAGTAATTGGAAGATATGCGACTATTGCCAATCAAATTACTATATTTATAATAATAATAATAATGTATACTAATGCGTAGATAACTGCATAAATGGTTACTATATTTATTAATTATGGTGCGTATAAAACTGTCCAGTAGGATATGGTAGTAATTTATATCCTAATGGTAAAAATGAATGCCTTCAATGTACTGATACTAATTGCTAGACATGTGATAGTTAATAAGTATGTACATAATGTTTTGATCCTAAAAAATTATTAGACAAATCGACAAACTAATGTGTAGATAGCTGTCCTTCAAATTATTTTTACTAATATAGCTCTTAAAGATGTATTAAATGTTCTTCTAATTGCAGCGAGTGCGATAAATTGGAAAATAATTGCACTTCTTGCCCAAGAGGATTACAACTTTTTTATGACTAAACAAATAATGCAGCAGCATGCGTTGAAACGTGTCCATCTTAATACTATGGATTTTAAGGTTAGTGTAAGTCTTGTCCTTAAAACTGTTAAATATGTGACAGTAATGGAGTTTGCTAACAATGCTAGAAATCCTTTATGATCTATAATTAAAACTGTGTCTCCTGCCCAAATTAGGATATCCTCATAGATAACGTAAATAGATAATTTGATATATTTTTTGTTAAAATATTTTTAATTAAAGTAATGTTAATACTGCAAAGATAAACTCTTAAGGATAGAAGATGGAACATGTATAGTAAATTAAGATTGTGGAGTAGGATATTTTATTGAAAATGGTATTTGTAAATAATGTGGTTTGTAGAATGAAAATTGTTCTTCAATTAACTCACAAGAAGAAATTAATAAATGCTCGTAATATTAAAATGGCCAAGGAAAGTGTTAATAATGCTCTGCAGTAGCTACTTATTTTAATTAAGGTTGGTGTCTACCTTGCCCTGAAGGGTGCTCATCTTGTAATTAATAAGGTTAATGCTTTTAATGTTCCTCTGATGATTATTGCTATATATAAGTAATAAGATATTTAATTATATTTATTAAATTTTTTTTTTTTTAATTTTAAAGAGCTTACAAATTTGTAGAAAGATAACTACAGATCTAAGTTGCAAAGATATGAACCAATAAAAATGCACTTAAATAAATGATCAAAATCATGGTTATTGTCTTAAATGCAGTGACGTTTCTCTCAATCAATGTGTAGTATGCGATACCAATAGCTTCTTGTTTAACTCAGAATGCTTGTAAATAAACATTTTCTAATATTTTTATAAAATATTTGTTTTCTCTTTAAAAAGCAAACAAAACAAAAAAACAAATTAATAAATAAAATATCAATCAAATCAAACAAATAAAGACTAAGAAATGAAAATCAATCTTAAAATGTTTTTAAAGAATAAAAATTTTTCGAAACTTTCTTTAATTTTTAAACTTCTGTTTGAATTTATTTATTAGTTACTTTTTTATAAATGCTTAATTTTCATTGGTTGCATATAAATATTTTTATTTGAATTAAAAAATAGACTAAAATGCCCTACTTCTTATTTTGGAGACAGAAATATTTACGAATAAAAATATATTTATTCAGGTGTTTGTAGACCATTCTGCCTCAAGTCATATATCCACGATTCATCAGAATATTGCTTTTATTGCCCAAGCTCTTGTGATTGCTAGTTGTTAACAGATAGTACTAAAATAAGTCAATTAAACCAAAACTATTAATGTACTTAATGCAATTCTGGTTACTATAAAATATACATATCATCGACATACAGTGATATTTTTAATTGCGTTGAAAATTGCCCTATAAATTATTATCTTGATTCTGATAAAAAATAATGCATTAAATGTAGTTAAGGCTGCTTAACCTGTACAAACGGCTCGACCTGTACTGAATGTGGTGCTGGAACCTGTACTGTATGTAGTGCTGGATATTTCTTTTAACCTCTAAATAATACCTGTGTATTTGATTGCGAGCCTGGATAATATAAAGATAACCAATTAAAAAAATGTGTCAATTGTGGTAACAACTGCCTTTAATGTTATTCTTAAACCTATTGCTATTAGTGCGATAGTAAATCCTACAGAAGCGGAAACGATTGCGTAACCAAATGCAACCAAGGTGAATATCCTGATAATACTAATGGACTACAATGTAAACCCTGTGTAATTAGTAACTGTAAATCTTGTGTAAGCTAATCTACATGTGAAGTTTGTAATGATTCCACCTATTTATAAGATTAGGGATAAAAATGTGTTTCCTAATGCTCAGATGGATATTCAAAAGTTTTGATTTCAGGTGTTTATAAATGCATTAAAGATTGTGGATAGAGCTAATATTTACCCATAAATTCTGAAGTTTGTACTCCCTGCCCCACAGGATGTTTATAATGCAATAACCAAGGTTTTTGCAGTTAATGCAAATAAGGATTTAAATATGACAGTGTTAATAGTATTTGCTAACAATGTTCTGATATCCATTGTTTAAATTGTGATATTAATGCTTAATAATGTCAATCATGCTAATTTGGGTATTTTTACAACAAAGACATAAGAAAATGCATTACACAGTGTTAGAATGGATATTATTATGATATTGCTAACAGTTCATGTATTTAATGCCCAAAAAATTGCAAATCTTGTGTGAATAAAGATATTTGTTCTAGCTGCGAAAAAGGTTTTTTTATAGACTAAAATAATCAGTGTTCTTAATGTAGCGATAGTTGTTCATCATGCTCAAATAGCTCTGAAAATTGCCAATCTTGTAAATCTGATTATTAATTAATAAACAATAAATGTGTAATTTAATGTGACCTTTCCTGTTTGAAGTGTTCTGGGAGTGGAATTTCTTAATGCCTTTCTTGTAATAGCTCTAGATTTCTCTATCTCGGTAGGTGTATTTGCAAAGAGGGATTTGTTGAGAATGGTTCACCTTACTGCTAATGTATATCTTTTTGCTTTTATTTTTATTTTTACCAATAAATTTTTGTAAATTTAATGAAAAAAACTTATAAGCTAGAAATATATTTAATTTTATTTTCTAAAAAATACAGAAGATACTACTTCAAATGAAGGAATAAAGTCTTTATAAAATAGCATGGCCGGTATGTCAGCTGCTTTGATAACGACAGGCATACCTTTCCCAACTGGAATTAAATGCTTGGAAATATCATCTATGGTTAGCTATCTTACTTATTCGAATGCCAAGTACGAAGGAAAGGTGGATTAATACCTATAAATTCTCTATAATGATAATATATCTCCCTTAATCCCTAATTATATTTTATCTATATTCCCTACTATTGATTAAAATCATTAATAGAATAGTACTCAAAGATATTAAGATAAAAGAAACAGAGTACTTGAACAAATGGTTGATGTAAATGAACAATATTAATCTGACTATAGGTTTATGAAGAATTCTAAGACAATAAATTATCTAATTAACATAGCACCTTTGCTAACAATATACGCTATCTTTGGGTTTGTTCTTTTAGTGAAGCATATTCTATTTAGATTTACAAATCTAAGTCAAAGTACTTCAAAAATAGTCACTTTTATCAAGTTTAATTTAAGACACACAATATTCCTTTTAATATTCTATCTTTCTTATTAAGAGCTTTTACTAATAACTCTTTTGCAAATTTCTTCTATGTTTTAAGGAGGTGCACTAAACATTATTAGTTCTCTAATTTCAATAATTAGCATAATTGTTATAGTATTCATGATTTATTTGATTACTAAAATAATTCTATTTACATCATATATCACATTCAAAGAAAAATCAGAAAAGGTATTTTAAATACTATTTATTATATTTTTATTTTTAATTATTTTTTAAAATAAAAGTATGGTCCGCTATTTTATGGATTGAAAGAAAGCAAGCTTGCTCATATCTTTTTATTAGTAAGAATAGTTTAAAAAACTCTCATTTGTATAATTACTGTTTATGGTGGAAATTCAAATCTCTGTTTATCCTTTTTAATTATAACATCTGTTGCTTTAGTATATGAAATTGCTGTTAGACCCTTCAAAGCTATAATAACTGCTATAGTAAGTATAACACTGAATGGGCTTTATTTTTTGATTGTTTTATTTGCATACATGATTGAAAAAAATCAAGATGATTCAACAATTAAAAGCTAGTATTCAAGCCACTTAGAAAAAGCTCTCCTCGCATTTATAATACTAAAAAACTCTGCTATATTAATTGAGTTTATCCTATTTATCATAATTATTATTAGAAGATTTAGATCTAAAACAGGGGTTTTAAATGATTCTAAAGAATCATCAAATAGAAGCTTTGATTTAGAAAGCTCCTTATAAAAAGAGATTTAATGGAGAGATAATGCACTCAAATAAAAACAGTAAATTTCGAAAATGAAGACAAGAAATATACAGAATGAAAATAGCTTTGATACAAATACCTCAAATAATATTGGTTAATCAGATTAATTGTGATGAAAAAGAAGAAATTAAATTTAGTCATTTTAATTAATAACCAGAAATGATTCAAATAATTTTAAGTTGTTAATCTATTTAATTCATATAAAAGATTTTGTTTTTAAAAATGAATCTTAGTTTTTATAAATTAGAACAATTTGTTTTGACTTTCATTATATTAAAATTATTGAAAAATTAATTCATTATTTGATTAATATTTAAGGCTTTTTTCTTTCGGAAACTACTATTATTTTACCATTAAATTGATATTAATAAATAGTCACTTAGAAATATCTTTTAATAATCTAATTTGAGCAAATTCTTAATATTTTCTTCATAAAAAATTAAACCTGTAATTTATTTAATATAAACTTTCTAATAAAGGAGCTTGTAGAAAAAAATTAAAAGAGGAAAAATGGGATGTTAAGGACATATTTTAGGAAAGGGGTCTCTAAAAAGGTGGGAAATAAAATACAAATTAATATCATATAATCAATCGATTGTTTATTATATTCCATACATTTTTTATAATTATTTCATATAATTTTAATAAACTAGCTTCTTTATTTTAAAAAAGATTTAAAAATTTTACATTTTAAGGAAAGATAGGATTTAGGATATTCGACTAATAAATGAGATAGCTATTTATTTTTTGAAACATAATTGATCTTTTTGTTAATAAACGAAATTCATAATAAAGTTTTATTTGTTAAATCGACTAATTTTACTAATTTACAAACATTCCTATTCATTTGATTAAAAAAAAAAGACTTTTAAATTAATTCAATTGTAAACTTATATCTTTTTTTATTTTAATAAGTGTAAAACCTAACTTTTTAATTTACATCCCATGGTTCAAATTGTTTTCAGATAAGCGTATTGTATTTTATAATTTCTATTTATAAAATTAGTGAAATTTATACTAAAGAATGATTTGGATATACTAAGTATCAATTGTCTATAATATTTTTAATAGACAAAATAACAAATCCTAAATATTTATTATTTATTCATTTTTTTCTCCATTTTTTGTTTAAAAATAATTAGAACTCAACAATAGAATATTGAATTTTCTATTGTTACATTTTTTAGAAAAAAATGTTAAGCATTATTACCATGAAAATTGCTTAAGTTATTTCTTTTATTAAAAATGAATCTTATAAATTTTTTTTTTTTAAATTATCTATTTTTTAAGTAAAATTAGATTTAAGTATATCAATAAGATATTTTTATTTGAGGTTTAAGATTTAAATAATGTTTTATGAAAGCCAATAAAAATATTTCAAGTTCAAATATAATTTATAAAGGTTGCCAAAATTTCATAAAAAATAATTTTTAAACATAAGAATTATCTCAATTTAGTAAATATTTATAAATTGGAGACTAAATTATTTTTTTTTTTCTTTCTGTAAAGGTTTTATTTTTAAGTAAATATAATTAAATATCCATTAAAATAATATTTTTACTGAATAAATAAAGATAAATTCTAAAAAAAAATAAAAATTAGAGAATATTATAAAAAGATAAGATGATATAAGATTATTAAAGAATAAAGTCAAATTTTGTTTACTATTAGTTATTATTTTATTATACTAATTCTTGCGCTGGTAATACTTTTGATTTATTTGTCACCACTGATAGTATTAAATCATTAGTATTATTTATTTATAATAAAAAAAATTAATTAAGAAATTTAAATAAAAAGTAGAAGAATCTATCTTTCATAAATTGTACATCAAGAATATGTTAAACCATATCATCTTAAGGATGAATTTTAAGAAAACTTTTATCCTGTTGTTTACTCTTTATCAACGTATTATTTCTAAATTTAATTTTTTGTTAAAATCTACTTTAAATAATATATTTTACTTTTAAATGAAGTGGCTAAAGCTTAAATTGATCAGAACTCAAATTAAATAGCACAATATCCATTTTAACCTCTCTAGAATCAGTCATCAGCAAGTATATCTTATTAAATAAATTTGCTAAAAACGTAAAGCTAAAATGTACCTGCAATAAATGCTTATTGCATATCTGAAAATGATACTTTCTAAATCAATTATAATAATACAATCAGATATTTAGGTTTAGAGTTTATTAACATTTAGATAAAGTTTAATGAAACCTATGATTTTCTTGTAGTATCATTAGATTTTATTAAATTCGGATTATGGTCAGCAGAAACTTCTTATTTACAAATACTTGATACTTCTCTTAGCTTATATGACACTAGCTAAATACAGAATAAGTAAGGAAATCCAGATAAATATTGCACAAATCCAAACATTAATGGAAACTCAACAAAATATTCGTTTAGTACTCTAGTACCTCAAAATAATAGTAATTACAATGTGAGTATTGGATCTAACGCCAATTTACCAGAAAATCAGTGGTCAATAAGCAACCTACTTTTTATTCTTTACAAGGTAAATTTTAATTGTTTTGAAGTGAATAAAATAATCAATTTTAATCCATCCAAATAAATTTAATTAACTAATTATTTAAAAACGACCTGATTTTCGATAATAACTGGGGAAATTTGTTTTTGATAACACAGTTTAAGATATCTTTAATATAGTTAATCAATTCGACTCATAACTAATGGATGGGAATTTATTGAATTAAATACTAAATTAATTGAATAAACAAAATTTCTTTCCTACTTTACAATTATTAACATTTTTTAATAATTGAATATTTATCCAGTTTTAAAGGTTTTTCTATTTAAATATCTTCTCTTCCACTAAGATAATAAATAATTTTATACTTTAATAATTGCAATAATACTTTCAATTATGTTTTAAATAAATAATTTTATATTTAATTAAAATTAATAGTGCAAATAAGGATTTGCTTTCAACAAAAGTACAAAATAATGCGATCCCTGTCCATAAAATTGTGTAGTGTGTTCAAATAGCAAGTAATGCTCAAAGTGTAATGATACTTTTAACTTATATAATTAAGCTTATTGCTAAAAAGTAAATTTTCTAATTTTTAAAACATTTAATATTTAATTTACCTAAAATAGAATTGCCCTGATGGATACTTTGCTAGTAATGGTACTTGTTTTAAATGCCTTTAAATATGCAAAAGTTGTGAATCTGCTGATAAATGTTTAGTATGCAACAACAATCCTTCTAAAGATATTTGCTAAGATGTTAATTTAACAAATTGTAGTTGCAATAACCCTACTTAATATGGGATATGTCTCAAATAAAACCCCAGCTGTAAAAATTATGTTGGTTAAAATGGTCAAAATTGTGATAAATCTTGTTATTGTTAAGATTGTAATAATAATGACTTTTTATAAGATAATAAATGTGTTAGTTCTTGCTCAAAGGGTTATTTTTAATATAATAAAACATGCGTCTAACAATGTCTTACTAACTATATTGCAATTAATAATGTTTGCTAATTATGTGATAAATCATGCTAGAATTGCAAAAATAAGCAATATTATTGTCAAAAATGCGTAGAATAATACTTTCCTGTTTATTTTAATGACAGAAACGATTTTATTTGTGTTGGAAATTAGTCATAAGATAAAGATATCTTTAATTAATGCAAAGTAAGTTATTTTAGAATTATTATTAAAATTTTGCTTTCAAAAATATAATATTTTATTTAATATGTATTCTTTTGAGTATTAAAATTTTCTTTTGGCCCAATTAAAAATTAAAGAATTCAATTAAGCACTCACCTCCTTTCAAATTTTTTGAAAAAATGTTTGTGTTAATAAAAAAATAATCATCAAATATAAAAGTCTAAAAATTTAATGAAATAAAAGTATTTTTTAACATAACTTCAATTTTTTTAATCAAGCTTCTCTTTCAAAAAATAATAAAAACACACATTTTTGTAATTTTCAAAATTACTGATTTCAGCTACCAAATTACCAAATGATTAAAATTATAAGTTGATTGAAATTGAATATTTATTTTTTTTTAAATAATATTTTAGTCTTTATAATACAAATATCTGTTTATTGATTCACAAAACAAATACTTTTGCTACAAAAATTGCCCTTTTTTTATTGATAATAGTAATCCTTAAATTTCATATTGCAAAAGTTGTTAAGATCCAAATTGTAATAATTGCTCATAGGATTATAAAAATTGCAGTTAATGTAAACTTAATTACACTAGTGTTTAAAATTTATGCACTTAAAATTGCTCAGATACTATATAGAAGGACTGTGCATGTTTAGATGGATATTACATCAATGATGATAAATGCTTAAAATGTTCAAATTTAGATAAAAACTGCTCTAAATGTAGTAAAGATGGTTGTAATTTATGCAACAGTGGTTTCTATTTAAATGATATGAAATAATGTGTAACTTGCTCAACAAATTGTAAGATCTGTACCAATTCTACTGATTGTTAAGAATGCCAAAGTTAATATTTTAAAAATAACTAAAACTAATGTATAACTGGAGATATTTGTAATTAATAAGGTTATATTTAAGGTAATTAATGTATTTAATGCAAAGATTATTGCTAAACATGTATCTCAGATTCAAACTGCACATCCTGTAAAGAAGGCTTTTATTTATTTAAAAAAGATAAAGATAATTAAACTTGTGAAACATGTTCATAAGGATATATAGATATAGATTAAAAAACTTGTGTTCAATCTTGTTCTTAAGGATATATTGATACTAATAAGTGCACTAAATGCTCAAACTAAAATTGTTATTCATGTTCGATTGTTAACAATTAATAATTTTGTAATAAATGTACTACTGGTTATTATTTAATTAAACAAACTGGTGAATGTGTAAAATCATGTCCACAAAAAACGTTTTAGAATTAAGCTGATTAAACTTGTTCTCAATGCTCTACAACTTGCGAAACTTGCAAAGATTTAACTAACTGTTTGACTTGCCCTTAAAATTAGTTTTTAATAAATTTAAATAATGTAATTTTATGCAATACTTGTGAAGAAGGAAAATATTATTATTAAGTTAATTAAACTTGTGTAGATGACTGTCCAATAGGAATCGGAGGATTTAATAACTAGAATTAACGCTAATGCGTGGATTGCTAAGATTAAAATTGTTTGAAATGCTCTACCTTATCATTGAATACTTAGTAAGCAAATTACTCTCAATAATGTCTAATTTGCAGATAAGGTTATCTTTTAAATGGTACATGTGTTAATAATTGCCCAGACTCAATGTACAATGACACTCAAAAAAACACATGTGAACTTTGCCCTAAGGAATGTAAAACATGCTCTTCACTATCTCAATGCATTTCTTGTTTTGATGGATAAAGTCTTTATAATGGTACTTGTGTCTCATCATGTCCTGATAGTTTTTATTAAGATCAAAATAATTGTGTTGCATGCCCTCAAAGTAATTGCCTCATTTGTGATAAATAAAATTGTAAAAAATGTAAAGCAAATAATGTTTATATTTAATCTGAAAATCCTCCATGTGTCTCTTGCCCATCTACAAAATATGTCTTAGACAAGGTAATTAATTAATCAATTATTATATTTTCTTAATAAGTATTTTAAAAAAAATAAATTATATAGAATTGTAATTAATGCCTTCAATCACTTTATCTTAATTATGATAAATAAGAATGTGTATCATATGATAATTGCAAAGACGGGTATTATATTGATGGTAACCTATGCAGTAAATGCTTATATTAATAAAATTGCTCATAACAAACTTCTTTGAGTTAAATTTAAAATTGTACAAATTAAAAATTATGTATAAGCTGTCCAGATGGGTATTACCTATCAATAGAAGGATATTGTAATCGATGCCCAAAAGGCTGTAAATTGTGTACAGCAGCAGATTAGTGCTCATCTTGTAATGATAATTATTGCCCAGTTAATGTAAAAATATATTTTCTAATTTGAAAATTTTTTAAATTAAATAACAAAATAGAACTAATGTTATCTCATATCAGGAAGTGATGGTGAACATGATATAACTAATTGTGACAACTTTAATTAATTCTGCGTATAATAGGACCCTACTAAAAATGGGATTTGCTTATAATGTATTAAAGGTAAAGATAAATGCTCAATGTGTGACTCGAATTCCTATTTATATAACTCTTAATGCTTGTAATTAATTTTATTAATTTTTTATTGAAAAGCAATAATAAATAATATTTAGAAAATTGTTGATAATTTATTATTTAAAATTTTTTTTATTTTATTCTTTTTATCTGATAATAAAATTAAACATATATTTAAAAAAAAAATCTTTCTTTGAAAAATAAATTTTTAATTATTTTTTTATTAAAATTTAAATTTTTCAATAAGATTTTTTATATTTTCATTTTATTAAATAAATTTTTTATAATATTTTCTTTATTTTTAATAATTATATATAAAATAAATAGATTAAATTGCCCACCAGATTATATCGCTGATAAAAATATTTACTTAGAAAAATTTATTTATTCAGGAATATGCAGAACTAGTTGCTTAAGTGGCTATAAATAAGCAATTAATGAAAAATGTTTTTATTGTCCTGACTTTTGCTAAAATTGTACTCCACTAGCAGATTCAAACCTAGCTAAATAACTTGGATAAAATTACAATTGTACCTAATGTAATAATGATATTAATAATTAACCCTATTATATGCTGTAACTAAACTAAATTTAAGTATACAATTGTGTTTAATAATGCCCAACAAGTTATTTTGTCAATAGCCAATCTTAATGCATTAAATGTGGAGATTTTTGTTAAGAATGTAAAGATGAAAAAACATGTAATACATGCCTAATAGGATATTTTTTAGATATTGATAATAGTTGCGTATAAAACTGCTAAAAAGGATATTATTAAGATTTTGTATAAAAGAAATGTATTAAGTGCTTAGATGATGATTGTGCTATATGCTCACAAAATGGGTATTGCTAATAATGCAATAAAAAATATTTACTAAATGGATAATGTGTTGAAAATTGTGGTGATTACTATTTTGCTAACATTTAAGATTAAACATGTCAACGTTGTATACTCAATTGCTAGTAATGCAGTGATCAAAAATCTTGTAGCAAATGCTAGTAAGGGGCATATTATTAAGTAATAGGTGAAAATTATAGTTGCTAAAAAAATTGTCTATTAGGTTTTTATCCTTAAGATTCTAATCAAACTTGTCAAAAATGTGATATTATTAATTGTTCTAAATGCTCTTAAAGTAATTAGTGTGAATTATGTGATGACACTTACTTTTTATTAATAGTATCAGATTAGAATAAATTAAATTATTCTTGTGTTAAATCTTGTGGATCTAGTTACTACGCAAACGCTTAAACTAAAATGTGCACATAATGCTAATCTAATTGCTTAGAATGCTCTATATATGGAGTTTGTTAAAAATGCAATGATAAATTTTATTTGACATCAGATACCTAATAATGTGTAGATAAATGCTCATAAGGATACTCATAAGTAGATACTTAATGTATAAAATGTGCTGATAACTGTTAAAATTGCTAGTAAATTAACTAATGTACTCAATGCTAGTTAAATTTTTATCTTAATGGTACCACCTGTTTACCTTGTATTCCTAATTGTTAAGAATGTGTAAACAATACCACTTGTAATTAATGCATAAATAATTATTACTACACTTAAGATACTAATATTTGTAGTTTAGATTGCTCTGATGGATATTTTAAAAGTATAAATTTTTAGTGCATAAAATGTAGCAATAACTGTAAAGTTTGTAAAAGTGAAAATGCATGCTAAACTTGCAACGATAACTATTATTTGACATCAGATACCTAATAATGTGTAGATAAATGCTCATAAGGATACTCATAAGTAGATACTTAATGTATAAAATGTGCTGACAACTGTTAAAATTGCTAGTAAATTAACTAATGTACTCAATGCTAGTTAAATTTTTATCTTAATGGTACCACTTGTTAACCTTGTATTCCTAATTGTTAAGAATGTGTAAACAATACCACTTGTAATTAATGCATAAACAATTATTACTACACTTAAGATACTAATATTTGTAGTTTAGATTGCTCAGATGGATATTTTAAAAGTATAAATTTTTATTGCATAAAATGTAGCAATAACTGTAAAGTTTGTAAAAGTGAAAATACATGCTAAACTTGCAACGATAACAATTATTTGACATCAGATACCTAATAATGTGTAGATAAATGCTCATAAGGATACTCATAAGTAGATACTTAATGTATAAAATGTGCTGATAACTGTTAAAATTGCTAGTAAATTAACTAATGTACTCAATGCTAGTTAAATTTTTATCTTAATGGTACCACTTGTTAACCTTGTATTCCTAATTGTTAAGAATGTGTAAACAATACCACTTGTAATTAATGCATAAATAATTATTACTACACTTAAGATACTAATATTTGTAGTTTAGATTGCTCTGATGGATATTTTAAAAGTATAAATTTTTAGTGCATAAAATGTAGCAATAACTGTAAAGTTTGTAAAAGTGAAAATACATGCTAAACTTGCAACGATAACAATTATTTGACATCAGATACCTAATAATGTGTAGATAAATGCTCATAAGGATACTCATAAGTAGATACTTAATGTATAAAATGTGCTGATAACTGTTAAAATTGCTAGTAAATTAACTAATGTACTCAATGCTAGTTAAATTTTTATCTTAATGGTACCACTTGTTAACCTTGTATTCCTAATTGTTAAGAATGTGTAAACAATATCACTTGTAATTAATGCATAAATAATTATTACTACACTTAAGATACTAATATTTGTAGTTTAGATTGCTCAGATGGATATTTTAAAAGTATAAATTTTTAGTGCATAAAATGTAGCAATAACTGTAAAGTTTGTAAAAGTGAAAATGCATGCTAAACTTGCAACGATAACTATTATTTGACACCAGATACCTAATAATGTGTAGATAAATGCTCATAAGGATACTCATAAGTAGATACTTAATGTATAAAATGTGCTGATAACTGTTAAAATTGCTAGAAAATTAACTAATGTACTCAATGCTAGTTAAATTTTTATCTTAATGGTACCACTTGTTAACCTTGTATTCCTAATTGTTAAGAATGTGTAAACAATACCACTTGTAATTAATGCATAAACAATTATTACTACACTTAAGATACTAATATTTGTAGTTTAGATTGCTCTGATGGATATTTTAAAAGTATAAATTTTTAGTGCATAAAATGTAGCAATAACTGTAAAGTTTGTAAAAGTGAAAATACATGCTAAACTTGCAACGATAACTATTATTTGACATCAGATTCCTTAATATGCATAGATTAATGCCCACAAGGATATTCATAAATAGGAGCATAATGTATCAAATGTGCTGATAACTGTTTAAAATGCTAGATTGCTAATGAATGTACTTAATGTTTATCTAGTTTTTACCTTGATTCTCAAAAATGTTCACCTTGTATTTCTAATTGCGCTGAATGTCAGGATTTTAATCAATGTGAAAAATGCAAATCAGATTATTTATATACTCTTGATAAAAACACTTGTGACTAGCACTGCCCTTTAGGATATTTCAACTAATTTGGTACAAATGAATGTTCTAAGTGCATTAATAATTGTAACATCTGTGAAACATAGGATAAGTGTCAATCTTGTAATGATGGATTTTTCCTAAGATCAGACTATTAAGATTGTGTATCTAATTGTCAAGAGGGTTATTCTTAAAAAGGAACGTAATGCATCAAGTGTTTAAGTTATTGCATTGAGTGCGACACCACTTAAGATTGCAAAAAATGTTAATAAGGATTTTATCTTGATGTTAACAAGGCTTGCTAAAAATGCTCAGTATCTAACTGTATTTCATGTTAAACAAATAACTAATCTTGTGATATTTGCTAATAAAATTATGTTTTTGATTCATAAACTAACTAATGCTTGTAAAAATGCCCTGAAAATAACTATGTATATTAAGATAGTAACCAAGGATATTTTTGTAAACAGTGCATTTCAAACTGCTAGTAATGCTCTAACTCTATTGAATGTAAATAGTGTAAGCCTTCTTTTTATGTTGATAAATAAAATAACAATACTTGCAGTTAATGTATTGAAAATTGTATAAATTGTAACTCTAATAGCAACTCTTGTGATGAGTGTTAGCAAGATTATTACTTTACACCATAATTAAATAAATGTACTAAATAATGTCTTATAGGTTATTTTCCTACAGTTGATACTGGAAAAAGGCTGGTTTGTTAATAATGTGATAATAATTGTGATTCATGCAAAAGTTCATCTTAATGTGAGTAATGCTCTTAATCTTTTTACTTAAGATCAGACACTTTCCAATGTGTAGATAAATGTCCTAATGGTTATTCATTAATAGATACTAGCTGCATTAAATGTGTAAGGAATTGCTAAAATTGCAGCGATATGAATACATGCTTATAATGCAGATTAGGATTTTATCTTAACAATGACCAATAATGTGTAGCTTGCTAAGTAAAAAATTGTGATGTTTGCTAAAATACAAGTAATCAGTGTTAAGTTTGTGCACTTGGATTTATTTTAAGTCTTGATTAATCTTCTTGTATAGAAAAATGCCCAGAAGGGTAATTTTCTGAACTGATTAACAAAAACCAAATATGCTCTTAATGTAGTTAGAATTGCAGTCTTTGTTAAGATAAAGTGCAATGCAATTAATGTATATAAGGATTTACTCTAATTAATAAGCAATGTGTTTAATGTAATGTTTCATAATGCAATTCTTGTGATACCTCAGTTCAAATTTGTGATTAGTGTAATTCTTCATTATACGTAAGTTCAAATTAATTAAAATGTGTTAGCTAGTGCCAGCCTGATGAATATTTAGATTCAACTTAAAAAATGTGCAAAAAGTGTCCTTAAAACTGCAAAAAATGTTCTCCTGATTAAATATGTTAGGAATGCTAATCTCCATACTTATTGAATCATAAAAATAAATGCATTTAATGCGATCCTAATTATTATTTCGACTTTTAATCAAAGACATGTGCTTTCTGTGACGAATCTAATGGAAACTTTATTTAAAACAATGTCTGCAAAAAATGCAATTATACATGCTAAACGTGTTCTGGAATTTCAATAAATGAATGTTTAACTTGCCCTAAAAACAGAATCTTATACCTGAATAGGTGCATTTGCTAAGAAGGATATATCGAAAATTCTTCTTAAGATTGCTAAAGTAAATAAATTATTTTTTTATTGATAAAAATATAAATAGGTATTTAAAGACATATTAAATAGATAGCATTTTTTTACTTAATCAAAAAAAAATTAATTATGTTAAATAATTTTTAAAGAGTAATAAATAGATTCTAATGGTTTATAAGGTATGCAGTCTGGAATGACTTCTTTGAGTGCAGTTTCAATGATTGGAGGAGCTGGAACAGCTTCAAGCTTAAGAGGAATGGAAGTGTCTTAGATGGTTAGCTTTTTAACATATGTGAATGTTAATTATTAAGGAAACAGTAATTAATACTTAAAAATATTGTACTCAGATAACTTATCTCCTATTTTCCCTAATGTTCTTTAAGGTATATTTGAACATAGTTCAAATAAAAGCAGTACTAATTAGCCTTAAAACTAAACAAGTATTAGAATTCTATCATAAGAAGTTTATGTTGATTCATACTAACAAACAGATTTTAAATTTATGGTCAACTAAAAAACAAATAACTTCTTATTTAATGTATCACCATTGATAATTTTACACTTGTCTGTAGCTCTTTTATTACTAGTGAAATTTTTAGTCTACAGATACACAAAACTTTAATACAGCAAGAAGAAAGCAGTTGTATGGATCAAAAATAACTTTAGATAAACTGTTTATTTGCTAATTTTCTACTTAACTTACTAAGAATTGCTATTGATTGTTCTTTTATAACTTACAAAACCATTTAGTGAATAAGCGGTAAGTATTGTTGGTTCTATTTTGACACTTTTGGTTTCTTTTTATATGATCTACTTGCTCTACTTTATATTTAAAGTAGTATTATTCATGCCATATTTGACAGTAAAGGAAAAAAATTAGAAAGTAAAAATTATTTTTATTCTTTTCATATTAACTTAAATAATTTTAAAATTTAGTTTGGATGTATATTTTATGGTCTAAAAGAGAATAGAACAGCTTAGATTTTTATCTTAATAAAGTTCATTTAAAAAACAGCAATATGTATGTGCACTATTTATGCATACCATTCTGACCAAGTCTTGCCTTAAATTGTGATAAGCGGTATTGTTTTCTTGTATGAATTGATGATTAGGCCTTTTTATTATAAGTTAGCTGCTTTTGCTAGTTTCTTATTGAATGCTTTATATTTGGCATTATTATTTTTAAGTTATTTGATAAAATCTGAATAGCAAAATAATTCTTCAACTCCAAGTTTGAATTATTCAGATTCATTTGAAAAAATCTTATTGGCTTTCATAATTGTTAAGAACGTCATAGTTTTAGTTGACATTATTATTTTGGTTTATGGTTTCTTCAAAATTATTCGTGGTAAAAGAAGTATTTCAACTTCTACAGAAGATGTATTATCTAACAGAACTTCTGCTGATTTAGAAAGCAGTCTTTCAAAGAGTATAACTTGGAGGAATAATCCCTTGATGATGAATAATTTTAATTCTGTTAAAGCTGGTAAATAAAATATGAGCGAAATACAGAACGAGTTTAGGCGAACTGATTCAACTTATTTTTCAGATTCTCCACCTACCCGTAAAGACTCATCTTCACCTATTTTAAAGAAAACATAAAATAATATCTAAAGATCTTCACCACCAGGATAATTAGATTCAACGCAAATCCTATAAAATTAGATTCTTGGTAAAGAAATTCTAGTAGTAAAATGGAAGTAAAATAAGCTATTTAAAAATGATATGAATGATGCTTTGTGAAATATATAAAATTAATAATCACTAATACTTATTTTTAACCTGTGATTTAAATATTTAATTTTTTTTTGAAATATATTTTTAGTTTTTTTATAATCATAAATTCGCTAATAATGTTTTAATATAAATAAAAAAAATATTTAGAATTGAGTAAATTTATTTAAAATTTTGTTTATTTTTAGATCATTAAATAACAAATTTTTTTTAAATAAAAATTAGCTATTCTAATTTAAAAAACTATTTAAATTGTTTGTAATAATTTTGAAATTTGTTTAAATAGACCGCAGTTTATCATATTCAGTTAAACATCCAATTAATAGCTAATGATTTAGCATTAATAAAAAATATTTCTAAATTGAGTTATAATTAATAGGGTCTTACTTAGCATTTGAGAATTCACAATATTTTTAAATAAAATTTTATTTATTTAATATGATTAAAGTCTGTAATTTTTTAAAAAAGGAATAATAGTTTTAATAAAGTATAAGTTGATTTAACTAAGAAATTAACAGTTTTAAAATAAATAAATATATAAATATATCCTTTTTAAAAGTATCATTTTAAATAATTAGATTAATTTTATGAGTGATGAGCGTTTTATTGGGGAGTGTTATGATGTCTATTTTTTAGCTTTAATTCAAATTGTAAATCTAGCACCTCGCCTTGAAGTTATTGTATAGTTATTTGTTATTATTTATTTAAGAATATTTATTACTTTAATCTATCCTCGAAGTCTGACCTGCTATCAACAACAGATTTCATCTAAGAAGATATTTCTTTTATTTTTTTATTAAAAAAATCAATTTAATCCCTATCAGCCTAAGTAGATTTATGATAAAATTGTTCGAGTTAGAGGAGTTATAATCTTATATTACTGGTTATATTTATTTTCGTGTCTTTGAAATTAAGCACATCACTATTTGAATTCATAGACATAATAAATTTATCTGGGTTTTTAAATAGCTCGTCTTAATTATATTGATCTATGTTTTATTAAACTTGATTGTTGCGATTTGCACAAGTAATCCAATTGCAAATCAGTCCTTAAGAAAGAAGTAGCTTAGTATTTTTTTTTACCTTGAGCAAGCTTATAAATAAAGCGCATTTGAAAGCTATCTTAAGCTTTTATTACATTCTTTTTCTTCTAGCAATTTTTTATTGCTTAGTAGATGACTATTTGATATTGTCTTACAATTCCTAACGATCACAATATTTTGCATTTAATTTTAATATTAAGTCCGAGCTATCTAGGTATATGCAAGCGATACTCCAGAGCATTCCCTTAATTAAATTGAGATGAGCAATTTTAGAGTGGAGCCAAGAACAATAGTTCATCATTCTTAGAGTTATTTTTTGATAGACTACAGATTCTTTATCTTTGACGACTTCTTAAAAATTTTGATAAGAAATTTGCAGATCTGAAAGACTTCTTTTCAAATTATTATTTTCATTCTACAAATTTAGAACGGTCTTGCTTATCTCATTTATTTATTATGATTATTGTTCAATCTCTTTTTTCATATTTTGTTCTTTCTCTTTAAAAATATTTTTTTGTTGCTCTAGCTTTTGATTTAGGTTTTCTCTTTCTGATGTAAGCTAATTAATTGCTTCTTTCTTTTTGCTAATATTGCTTTCTTTTTACTTTATTTCTTTTTTTATGTTTTATGCTATGTTCTTCATGAGTGATATTAGAGGAGTCACTTCAGAATCATTTGCCTCTGTTGGAATTTCAGATGTTTTTAAATTAGCTGAGGATGATGGTGTACTTAAAGATTTCTCAAGAGCTCTGCAAATACTTTTAATGTCAGTTATATACATTTCTTCAGATTTTGAATATTTTTCTATTTAAATTTTGAAGCTGTCATTTTGGTTTTGTAATTCAGATATTTTCTTTTTTGTTTTAGCTGATTAGTTATCAACTTTTTATAAGTTTTGTCTTGTGTCTTGCAGGGCTTCCTCTAAATCTTAAATTTATTTCAAGTATCTGTCTTCTCCTGCATTTTTCTCAACAATTATATTTTGGTACTAACTCTACAGTAATTCATATTATTATTAAATTTACTTCAAATTTGATTCATATTGCAAGATTAAAGATTAATCTTCATCACTCTAATTCTTCAATTTAATATACTATGATTATAATTCAGAGTAGTTTTACTCAGTAGTGCCATAATTTTCTAACTTAATCTCTTACTCTGCCAAATTTTGAGTGAGATATTGAATTTCCTGCTTATATTTTTAGTTAATCTGCTCTAAAATGGCATTCTCTTCCTTGAGTAATAAAATTTATTATCTGACATCATTTCTTTCTCTTTTGTATTTATTCTTCTACTTTTAGAAATATTCTGCTTTCTGATTAGCCTCTGTTAATTCAGTTTCTAAAAACTTATACCCTTCATCAATACCTTTAATCTTATCATTATTCTTTTACCTTTCGTCTTAATATTGCTCAATTAACTATTTGTATTCATCTATAGTTTTCAGGGCAAGATTAAGCTCATGCGATTTTTCCTATAAGTCTCTCAATAAGTTTTGGTTCTCATCTTCAAGCATTTGCATTTTGGAAGTGCTGCTTTCTGTTATATATTTTAATTCCTTTTCTAATACTTGACACTTTGTAGAAAGCAATTCGATTTACTGCTGATAAATATTTTACATTTTTTCAATTTAGTTATCAATAATTTCTTTTTCATATTCTTTTTTTAAGATTGAAGATTAAGTCATCATATCTTCCTTCATTTTATTTCTTATTTCTTTCATTTTGTTTTAAGTAACTTCTAATTCTTGCTATATTTCTTTAGAAGAATTTGAATTCTCAGATTTTTGTTAAATTAATGGTATAAGTGGTATGGCTCCTTAGGACTATTATATCTAATGATTTTCCATCTAAGTTTCAGAATCTATTTTAAATTCAGCAGATTCCTTTAAATTTAAACTATTATAAATCCCTCCTATTCCTTAATTATTTGAAAAGCTCATTTCTATTATTGATTTTTAACTGCTATTTATCTATTGATGAAAACCAGTGAAAACTTTTATATTATTTGAAATAAAATAAATATCAAAATGCAAATTTAATAATTAACAATATAAATAAATTAAATTAATATAAGCTTTTTATCTCTTTAAAAACGATGCTCTTATATTTAAATTTTTTATTTACAATAAGCACAATATCATTATACAATTAAAAAATATAGTTTATTTACTAATTTATTTATAATAATTTTTTTCTGAATTAATTTCTTTATTTGAATTAATATTTTTTAAAAAAATTTTATTTTCTAAAATAAATTTATCAAATTAGTTATCAAATATTAATTAAAAATTAATTTTAAAAACATCAATTTCATTTTTTTTTTTTAATATTTTTAATTTATTGATGAACTTAAATTTTATAAATAAAAACATTTTAGCTTAAAAATAAGGAAGGAGTGAATTTATTAAACTTATGAATTTGAATGCATGCAATATTGAATCTTAATTAATTTAGTTCATAAAATAAGTAACAAATTATTATTAACATACTTTTATAATTTTTTAAATAAGTAAAAGAAAAATGAGGAAATTTAAATTAAGTTAGTTTATTATCAAGTATTATTATTGATTGGTTATTTATTGCAGGTTTTTATATTAAATTAATATATTAGTTATATTGTTCTAAATTAAGTATTAAACTATATTTGGTTCTCAATAAAGAATTACTACTCAAATAATGAGTCTAGTTTATAATTTCTTGCCTATTATAGTGAATAGTTTATTTAGTTAAAGCAGAGTATTTACACTTTAACTTCATTAAATTTATTCTTAATGAGCTTACTGGTAGATTGATATATCTAACACAACATGATCGCTAACTAGAGGTTGTTCTGCTTACTGTAAATTGATATTACTTTCTACAATCACTTAACTGTCTGTAAAAATGTTTAGCTTTTTACTATCTACATCATAAATAGCTGCTTATACTTTCAAAGTCTTTAAAATTTTGTTAGAAATAATTCTAAATGAAAAGAGTTGCTCGTTAATCAGTTGAGCAATATCTGGATGGATTCTATGAGCGTGATCTTCAGAGGGTAAGATTAAATAGAATCCCGGAGCGTTTTGAATTGGAATGACATAGGATCCCATATGGAATTTGGTAATTTTTTTAGTAAATAAATTAGCAGGAATATCATATAAATAAAGATTATCATTTTCTGTAAGAGCTATATCTCTTTCATTAATGATATTGCATATTATCTCAGACTAAGCGTACTATTTCACTATGTCTGATAAATTTTTATTTATATCTATCAAACAGAATGAATTTTACGGAGATTTAAAGAAAATTTTATCAGTACCATCTATTCTTACGAATTAAATAAGTTGCTCAGGTTGAACGATAGGCATAGTTAATTAAAGCTAGCGTTCTTCAAAATTTGTAAGAAAATTAATAACTCTTATGCTAGTTTCATTATTTACCATTGATATTTCTGCTATTAATGGCTTTGAATCATGAACTATGTATAATTTTTAATTAGTTTTCTTTTTTTAACTCTCTAAATCAGAATTTTAATCAGATTTTTTCTTTAAAATGATTTCTTCGTCATTTGATTTATTATTATTTACTGTCATAAAGTTTGGAATGTCTTAAAATTCATTATTTTCAGTGAATTTACTCGTTTACTCTTGATTAGGAGATTTTTCAATTTACTGTAAATTATTATTATGATGATGATGAATAGATTAATCTATCTTGTGTATTCTAACAGTTTCTGCAGTTTTTATGTTAAGATTATTCATGTCAAATTATTTAATCATTTTAAATGTACGTAAGCAGAAAATGTCAAGCTTTTCATTTTCTTAAATTATTATCAATTAAGTTTGAGGGAGAAATGATTTTAACGAGGCTTTTTATTATAAAGGTGCATATCCGATTACCTTCATTGTGTCTAATTAAATTAATTAAACTTCCTTAGGTTAAATGGTTTCTGCTAGTATGCAGTTTTTACCTCTATATTTTCCAATATTGATTATTTTTTTTGCCTCAAATTAGAGAGGTTTCTCCACTATTTTCTTTTCCTTTTAAAATTATTTTAAGCTCAGTACAAAAGCTATAATATGAAATACTCCGAATAAAATCCAATTTATGACCAATGATGGTATTGCATTAAAGAAAAATACTGCATCAAAACTATAGAATAAAAGTATCAAAATTAAGTCTTGATAGTAATAAGCTGATTGTAGAAGGAACCCTTCTATGAAGCTGAAAAGAAAAACAGATGATAGTTCAAGTAGAAATAGTGTTCCAAACACTGTTATATATTTTTAACATCCACTAGCTATAAGAAATAGTCCATAGTGTATAATGATTTCAACAAATATTGTCAATTTTGATTTGCGTGACTTGTACATTATCAATATGAAATGAAGCCAGTTTTTTGAGAATTTTATCAAAAATTCCTTCAAGCACTACCTTAATGAGGCAGCTTCCTTTGGTTCACCCTAATCTTCTTGGGTATTTGAAGTTATATAAACAAAAGAAATAATGAATGACAAGATGATCATTTTCTATCTCGCTATTGCAGTTTATAATATTTTTGTAAGTTTGTTTGTTTGTTTCCTAAATATTGCTTTTTTTTATTTTTTTTAATTATGATTTATCAAAAATAAATAATTGTCAATTAATTTAAAATCAAGGATTTGTTTTTCATTTCTGTTTATCAAAAATGTTTATAATACTGCTTATAATAGCTTACTAATCTGCAAAATTATAATTATTTTGAAAAATATTAATCCAAAAACTCCCCTATTAGTGCGTATGGTCTTAATTAAAATTTTTTCAGTAGAATAACATTGTTTTTATTAGGAATTATGCCATTCAAATATACTAAGCAAAACTTAAAGCTAGATTTACTGTATTTCTTAACAAAAAGAAAAATGCATGAAACTCAAATAAGATATCAAATGATATGCTCTCTTTAATAAGATAGTGTGTATTTTATTAAGTCGAGATTTCTTAGTACAGCTTCTACATCATAATACCCTATCCATAGCAAGTGTTTCATAGCAGTAAAATCTCATTTTTAAGTTTTAAAATTTAATATTATAGTTTCATGGATGATGTCAAAAAATGTATAATTCAGTATATTTATTAAATTACATTTAAAGGTAATAGAAATTTTTTATTACTATTTTTAAACTATGCAGTATAAAGATATCAAACAAAACAAATAATTAAATTTAAAAATAAATTAATTTATAAATAAAACAATTTAAAGAAGGAAAATATAACTGATAATGCATTTAAGAAATAAATTACCACATTATTTATTTTGTATTTATAATATTAATCCTTTTTATGATTATGCTTTCTATTATATTTTATGCTAATAATAAAGTAATTTAATATTTCAGAGTTCCTTCATAACGTCTTCTATTTTAAATTACATCAATTTTACTTACACACTTTTAAATTACCTACCTATTTTCACCAATAAACGAAAAATTAAAAGTTTATTTTATGTTTCATAACTAAATATACATCAGGCTATGCTCATTATATCTATTTTAAATTTTTTCTTATTAAAAATAAATATTCTCTATAAATAAATTTATCCAGAACGACATATAAAGCTCTTAATTCCTTAGCATAAATCCAATTAATTGCATGAATAATTAAGGATTTTATCTATATTTGTATATTTTACTTCAATTTTACTTTTTTTTCTATTAAATATTTATATTTTAATGAATTTGCTCTTTTTATATTTAGAAATTCGTAAACTAAGATAGATTAATTTTGAGTTATCTATTGCATGATAATGTTGTAAAATAAAAATTATACGTTCCTTGTTTACAATTATTTAAAAAATTTAATTTGTAATTTATTCTCTATAGTTTGAACATTAATTAATTGTTACTTTTTTAAAAAAGATTTATCATAAAATCTTCTTAATTTATTTGAATCGGATATAAATGAATGAATAAATAAAAGCATTGAATGATTGAACTTTTAGAACAATTCTTGTAAAGGTATTTTAATTAAAATAAATGCCAACTAAAACAATTTATTAATTTATAAATTGATTTAATTTTTATAAAAAAATGATAAAAATTATTATAAAAAAAATGATAAAAATTATTATAATCTAAAAATATATGTCTCTTAATTTCAGTGATTAATAGATTCATTATTCATTCTGCTTAAGTTATGCTTGTAGTTAAATTAGTCTTTTTTATCTTGTATTTTTTATCTTCTTTAATCAATAGCTCTTTTGTTTATTTTCTCTAAGTACTCGCTAAATGAAATTTCTTTTTCTTAACCATCTTCTGTTTTATCATCATCTCTTTTTTATTTTAATTTGTTAATAAAAAAATATTTTTCAATAAAGTGTTAAAATATTTTAAAAACTATTTTTCATTTTAAATTTATTCTTAACAAAAAAAACTCTCTAATTTTAAAAATATTTATTTATTTATTTTTTTTATAAATAATTTTGTATTATTAATTATATTAAATAGACAATTTATCTACAAAAAATAAGATTTCATTTTTTTTATTTGATTTTGTTTGAATTTAATATCTATTTTAATATTAGCAGTAAAATAAAATAGATACCCAAAAATAGCAATAATTTCTCCATCTAGATCTTGTCTACCCATTCTAACATATAACAATTCAAGAGTATCTTCTACTGTCACTTTATACTTTTCAGGCTTGCAGTACATAAGGAACTAAACCATATGGAATAAACTCTTAGGTTCAAGCTCTGAATTCTACATAATACAACGTTTATACATATTAACAAATTCTCTGTAATCAATTTTCTTATCTAAATTTTCATCTATTTCCCTTTTTATTTGTAAAATATTTTAATTCATCAATCATAAATAATCTTTAGTGCTCAAGTATTACATATCAAAAATAATATGAATATCAGTAAAAATTAATAAAAATACACTAAAAAATATTAATTTTAGTTGTTGTAGAATCAATCAATCAAAATTTTGGATTTTATTTATCTATTTATTGTTATCTGCTTTAATATTTTCTAATTGATTTTTTACCATATCATGAGATCTATTTCAGATTTAGTCAAATGCATTCCCATTTTATCAAGAATTGTTTCAACTTCTTTCGCTGTGAAGTAAGCAGTAATTGGTTTATCACCATCTTCATTTTAAATTTATGAATTAGCATCATTGTTATTTGCTGAGCTGATGTGATTTTTATTTGTGCTTGTATTTAATGTTATGTTACCACTTTTACTCATTCTATTTGAATTTAAAATTCTCTCATCACAAAATAATTTAAACACTTTTTCCAAAGCCTTTTTCTCTGTTGACTTTATCTCATATTCCTCTACTCTTTCTTCAATTGACTTTTCTTTTTCTTATTTTCTCTATTTCAACTTGTCTAAATCAACGGGCTTTTATGCCTTCTTCTTTTTCTCATCTAGAAAGAGAGGGTGATTTTTATATTTCTCTCTCAAGGCAGGAGTTAAATCTTTTAATTTTAAGGGCTTCTTTTCTTACTTTACTTTATTTTAATCCATTTAATTATTCGCTTGCACAACCTAAATTCTTTTAATTGAATTATTATCTTTTTTAACCTAATCCTATCTTTTAATTAATCTATTTATAAAATCAGTGCACTTCTATATTAATTTAAAGGATCTGATGAAATTTATAACATCGAATAAAACGAATTTCTTTAAAATTCCTTTAAAATTTATTATAATTTCTTTTAACCATTCCAAGATTTAATTAATATTCTTTTTCAAGAGAAGTTTTAATTTTTTGATTTACCACAGAAATTATCCACTTAAATTACTTTATATAAAATCTCTCTAATAGCTTCTAAAATATAAAATTAAAATAAATATTTCAAATAATTCTAATCATTTTTTAAATAGCTTTCATATAAAATGTTTTTTATTTTTATAAAATTAAAATTTTAAATTAATTTATATTAAATATTATTTAAATTTTATTCAAATTACTTAATTACTGAAATCCCTTAAAGGATAAAAAATTTTTGCAATAGTTGATAGATCTCTACAAAAGATAAATGAAATAATATCCTAATATATATAATACAAATAAAACAATAAATTAATTAAAACTTTTTTTACTAGCTACAGAATACTCAAAATAATAAATAAATTTATTAAGATTTGTTAAATTTTTAGCAATTTATCTAAATTTTGATACATAGCTCGTATTTTTAAAGTTCTTAGAATAAATATTTTATTAAAAATGATGAAAAAGAGGGAAAATATAATAATGTACATCAATAAAATATTTTTTTATTTGGTAGAATAAATAATTTACCTAAAAATTAAAAATCAAAAAAATAAAAGAAAAAAATTTGATTATATAAATGAATTAGTTTTTTTTATTAATAAATTTTCATAATTTATTGTTTTGTTTAAATAATTAAAAAATTTTTTAACTCTGTTAAATTAATTTTATTTTGCAAATCTATTTTATATAATTTAGATTACATTTTATGATTTTTAAATACCATAAAAATAAAATAGAAACTAATTTTAGTAAAACATTTCTATTTTTTATAATTTAGATTACATTTTAAGATTTTTAATAAATAGAAAAATGAAAGAAAAAAAAACAAATTTAGTAATTAAACAATTTTAAATGTCAATTAAGTAAATTTATAAATAAATTGAGAAAATTTATTTTTGTTGATTATTAAATAATTATAAAACATTATTTTAAATGCATAAAATTGATTATTTTCATAAATAAAAGTGCAAATAAAATTTTTAATTTATTTAAAATAATACAAATATGAAATACAAAACACATTTTAAATAAATAATTTTAGTTTATGAATTTATGTTTTAAGGAATAGATTGATATTAGTTTATTAATATGATAAAATTTTTGAAAATAAATTAGTTTTTATTGTTTGATTTTTTGTTAAAGTTGATATTTGTTTGATTCAATATGTTGACATTAGATATTTAAAGTGCTCTATGTTTTATTCTTTTTTATCTTTTTTAGTAGCTTGTATTGTATTTTCAAAGAGGTCTCTTTTTTCTTCATGAAGTTTAATCATTCTGGACTCAATAGAGTCATCACAAATAAATCTAGTAACAAATACTTCTTTTTTCTGTCCTATTCTATGACATCTTTCTATTGCTTGTTCTTCCCTTTATTTTGTAATTAAATTACTCTTATTATTATTATTATTATTCAAAATAAATATTAAATTACACTGCTGGATTCCACCATGGATCTACCATCAAAACATGATTTGCTTTCACTAGATTAAGACCTACACCTCCTGCCTTTAATGAAATCATGAAAACTTTGTATTAGCTGTCTTCGTTAAATCTTTTAATTATTTCAGCTCTTTATTTTTAATTAACTGAACCATCTAGTCTCTATTTAGTTTTTAGGAAATAAATAAATGTTTTTTTATTTAAATAAATTTTTACTAGATAAGGAATTTTATTTTTTTGGAAATCTATTTCAAATAAGTCCATCATGCCCAAAAATTATGTAAACACTAAACATTTATCATCAGTTTTTTATAAGTTTTAAATGTAATTCATTACAGCATTTATTTTTGAGCTTCTTATGTACTTTTAAGTAGGATCAAAAGTAAACCTAATTATTATTATTATTATTAAGATTTATCAATATATAATTTTATTTTTTTAATTTTCTTTACCTATTGTTTCTCGGTACAGTCATAATGTCTTCCTTAGAAATGAATTTTCTGCAAATTGGGCACATTCCAGTGAATTCAATGGAACGTATTGCGCATAAACGGCATGAAACGTGCAAACATGCTGTTAAGACAGCATCTTCCATATCTTCTAAGCAAATGTTACATGAAGTTATTTTATTGTACTTGATGTCTTCAACTACTTTATTCAAATATAATTCTGAATAGTCGAAGTTAAAGTTATCTGGAATTTCTATTCTCTATTCAACATTGTTCTCATCTAAAATTACTTCGAAGTGCGAGTGTTTAGAGTCAACTGAACCATTCGTACTTTCAAGAAGCTCTAATTGATTTTATTAATTTTATAGATAAACAGATTTTCCCTTTTTTTCAATTTGCTCAGTTTGCTCTTTCAAGGCTTTGTTACGCCTGTCAACAAAGGACTTAATTTTTTATTCTAATCCATCTGTGTTGGTTACGTCACCTCTAGTTGTCAGCAAAAATATGTGATCACAGATCTATCTAAGTCTTAATAGAAGCTCGAACACCTTTTACAATTAAAAATGAATTTATTTTAATGCTATTGTTAATTTTAAATACTTTCATATAATTAGAAAGAAGGACGCCTTGAGATAGAAATCCATCAAATTCTTCTTTGGAAGTTTGGTGAACTTTGTCATAAAACATTCTTTCTTCAGGAGTGAACTCAACTTTCTCTATGAAGCAATGTTTCTCTGGAAGGCTAATAATACTTCTTCCATGAATATCTTTGCTCTTTTTGGTTCTTCTAAGCAATATAGGACGTAAGATAGTTTTAAGGACATCGTAAACAACTAAATCACCTTTCTCATGAGGCTAAATTTTAATAATAATTTTTAAAAATTGTTTTCCTTTTAATTGTTTACCTTGTTTATATAATTATTGAACCAAATATAATCACTCCATGGTTCAAGTTTGATAAAGTGAATTAAAGGAAACAACTCATCTAGCTTATTTTGTAGTGGTGTTCCTGTCATACACCACCTATTATCACCTGAAAGACTGTAAACAGCCTTTGCTATTTATATAACTCTCCCTTTTATGTAATGAGCCTGTAATAAAAAAATAAATAATTGATTTATAATTAGAATTTAAAATAACTTTTATGTTAATAAAAAAATTACTTCATCAAGCACTATTCTATGCCAATTAAATTTGTAAAGATTTTTATTATTTAAGTTTGATTAAGATGCAAATTCACTCGAAATAGTTCCGTAAGTAGTGATAACTACATCATAAATGTTTAAATTATTTTCTCTGTTATTTCCATAATATGCATAATAGGTTAGACTGTTTTGTGATGAATGACATTAAATTTCGTCCATCCATTATTGAAGGAGAGTTACAGGAACAATAATTAAAGTACCTGCATCTTTCTTAGCCATTTAAACCAGAGTTTGGTTCTTTTGCTTTGGTTTAAATGCGGCTGTTATAGTGGTTTGGTTTTGTTAACCTGTATTTCCTCCTTTTAGACTTAGAAAATTGTTTAAATCATCTGTTAAATCAGTTTCGTCCTCTTCTTTTATATTTGCAATATATTAGTGATTTTTTCTTTTGTTGGAATGTATAAGACTGAGCATCATTACAGTTTTACCCAAACCCATTTCATCAGCAAGAATACCACCTCTACAATCACTTTAAGCTCTAGGAAATTAAGTACTGACTTATCCCGAATAAGGATTAAAATATAAAAAGAATTTCAATGAGCAAGGCAAAGCATATTTTTCCCATAAAGGGTGCAAAGTTCTTGTATCTCTTTTAATAATTTCATTCATGTCAGTTTATTTACCTTCACGAGAGAGCATCCATGTTAGAGCTTATTTTTAATAATTGTGAAGAGATGTTTTAAATGTGGAAGGTGGCTCTGAGTATTAAAGTTCAGTTACTTAGCCATCTGTGCCAGGGACAATGTTAAATAATTGCTCATAATCTAGGTCTTGAGATTTATTTTCTTCTTTGTTTTCTGCAACTTGCTAGTTGTTGCTTTAACGAACAGATCTTTCTTGTTACTCCTAATTTTAATCTGGTTTCTTATTTTACAATTTGAAGCTAAAAAGGGTTTTCTATTTTGGAAGCTTAATAAATGGGTCATTCAAATTAATTTTTGGTGCAGAACTAGTTGCATCTTAATGAGTATATTTATTATTACAACTATTATTATTTGACTTGCTTTAATCATTTAAAATATTGTTTATTTCTTAAGAAATATCTAAGCTTTCTTCTTCAGCTATCATTCTTTTACTGTCTTACTCAGCTTCTTGTAGGTTTCCAAATATATCTTCTTATAGTTTCTAACCATCACTAGATTCATTTTAGTAGCTCTCTCTTTCTTCATCTTCAGAGAGCATCTTACTGGAGTTTTTTTTTTGTTCATTTTATTCTTCTTCAAACCCTTTATCATCACTTAAAGTTTCTTTTTTTAATGAATTTTGGAAATTTTATCCTTAATTTTAATTATTTAATTCATTAAAACTGCTTCTATTATTTGCTATTGAATCTCTTTCTTTACTATTAATTTGTTAATTTTTCTTCTTACCCTTCACTTGAATTAAGGTGGGAGTTACCATCTACATATTTAACCACTCAAAGAGTTGAGCAAATTAATCTTTAGTTTCACTGTATATTCTGAGAATTTGACTTTCCTTTGTATTAGAATTTTCTTCTATAATTTAAGTGATTGGTTTGGTTATACATGTTTTTAGTAGAGACACTTTGACTGATACTCTGATTTAGGTAAAAGCTTAGAGATATGGTGGGGCATATTCAAATTAACCTTAAATAAATATATAATTTCTATCTATCAAAGGATAGAGAACTTGTGCATAGTTATTATCTAACCTTCCAACTTCTCTTTCTCTCCAAACAAGCCTAATAATCATTTACTAAGTTGTTTAACCCCCACTTTTTTTAGCTTTTTGTTTATTCTTAGCAATATTTGTTTAAACATTTCTTTCGATTTTTAATATGACATCATCTCCTATATAATTTTAGAAAAACAACATAATTATGTTCAATTTTTATTTAATATTTTTCTATAAAATTTTACCTTTTTTCATATCACATCTTGAAGAAGTGAGTGCATGCCCTGTTAAAATAAACTGTCCCAAGTAGCAAGGAAACTGCAAGCTTTATTCTTCACTTTACTTAACATCTTTAATTCCTTATTCAAACGATTCATAGCTTTAGGTTTTTTTTTTTGAATTTTCTATTCCTTAAATATTGTCATTTAAATTAGTTTCAGATTAAAAGCGAGCCTTAATAGGTACTTAAGAAATATTTAACTTATCAAAGCTTTGTGCTGAGTAAGACTTATTTCTCTCTTAAAAGAATTAGTTTTGTTGCTAAGCTAATTCTGATTATTAATTGCTTATATAGTTATTATATTCTTCAGGTTCTTCTTGCTTTATATTATTATTTTAATTTTGTTAATTATTTTTGTCCATCATGTCTCTGTCTTCGAAAATTGGCTAGTTATTTCTTAGATCACTTTTATCAGTATCTTTTGAATTTAGTTATTCATTTTATCCTAGTTAATATATTTTCTGTTCTACTTAACTAAAATCAATATGAGGTTTTGCAGTATAACTTTGAGGAATTCTTTAATATTATTAAAATATTTAAACTAAAATTTATTAAGTTTAAGTCAAATCATTTATTTTTTAAATGAATAACATTTATTTATTTCAAATAAAATCAAAATTTTACTGTGCTTCTTCGGGATTCGGGCGTCTCAAGATAGATGGTAAATAATCAAGGTTTACATTGAAAGAATTATCTTCACTATGTTCTTAATAGATCTAGTCTTTGTTAAAATCATTGCTATACTCATCTTTATTAACAGAAAGCTTCTTTTCTACAATTGATTATACTGGTTTTTTATACTCTTCTTTGAGCTACTCAATAATTTTATCAAACTCCCTCATTTTTTTGCTTCCTTCTTATAATTTTTAGAATGCATTTACTGTTTACTGTTTCGGAAATTCCTAATATTTGTCTTCTTCATCTTATTAAAAACTAGTATCCCTTTATTGACTGAGATCATTATTGAGAGCTTTTGATTTTTGCGATTGAGGAACAGCCTATTATAATTTGGCTTAATTGTTATTATTGCTATCTCTATTTTATTGTTTTTGCTAGTTTTGACTGTTTATAATAAAGAAAACAGTAAATAAATATTTTTGAATATAAAATAGAAGCAACTAGAAAATGCCTAATGTGCTCTTTTTAAATCAATAATTTACCTTCTTTGCCTTGTTTTCATACCATTTTATTAGCTAGAATTGTTTTTTATGGAAGTAGATTAATTTTTTTAAGATATAGATTGAAATCCACTGCTTTTTGTTTGCTATTAAAAATAATAATTCAAGGATATCTCTAGATTTCCATTGCCCCACTAAATATATTTTTTGATTTCATCATCTGTGCAAACACCTTCTCCTACAATAGCAACAAAAGAGTCATATAAACTTTAATAGTATTCCATCTATTGAGTAATAAAAGATATGCAAAATCTATGAAAAGTTTTACTTCGTTTTTAATACTAGTTTAAAAAGTATCTTAAAAAAATTATCTATCAAAAATCAATCTAAGTCTTAATTTGATTTTTTGATATGTTTATACTTTTACTTTTTAAAAATAAATCAGTGCTAATAAACTTCAATAAGAATTCAGATTTTAATTCACGAATTAATATCTTTGCCTTTAACAATACTTTTGAATGTTAATTAATCTATAGCCAATGAAGAGTAATAACATTCTAAAATCAAACTCTACTTTGGCTCACTTTTTATAAATATTCATAAAAAGATTCTATTTTAGAGTCTATTGAAAATTTAAAATTGAATTTTATTGGAGCGAAAATTTTTTTTGCTGAAAAATAAGGCACATTAATAATAATAAAATGAAATTTGGAAATCATTTAAATTTATTTTTAAAAATTTGAGCTAATTATATTATTATTTATCCATTCTATTTTAAAGAAAAATTAAATAATCAAAAAAATATTTTTTTTAAAATTAATAATTCAATAAATCAATCAAAATATCACTCAATAAATAATGTGAATCTATTTAATTTTCTATTTTTTTATTTATAAGAATTTTTATAAAAAAAATTATTAGAATTTTTAAAATCTAAAAATTTTAAATTCTATGATAACTGGAAACTGTAAATGATATATTAATTAAATTTAATTTTATAATTTTATAATAGTTTTTAAATATGAACATAAAATACTATACATTTTAAGACTGTAAAAGAATATGATTTAAAGAATCGAAAAGAATTATCTAATCAAATATTTGTTATAAGATTAAAAAAATAAATTTTATCAATATTTTTAATTATATTGTTTAAGTGGAAGAAATTGTGTGCTTTTTTTGATATGAATTATAAATATCAAATTCAATATCTTACTGTTTAATTAAAATAGGTAGAAGTTAATTATTAGATTATTGCTTAGAATATCACTCACTTTAAGATAAATATTTAAACAAAATAGTCTATAAAAAGTAATGAACCGTAATAGTAGATAGTAGTCTGATGACTAAATATAGAGTTTAGAGGATAATATTTGGTTTTACTATTTTGATAAAAATACTCTTGTAATAAAAAAATTTATTGAAGGTTTAAATGGATAAATATTATAAGAAAACAATTTCAGCTTAATAAACTTTGTTTAGAAGCTTCTATCTAAATAATCAGATACAAAAAAGGAAAGAGTTTTTAAATTTTTAAATTAAACATAACAAATTGAAAGAAATAAAATTCGTGAAGGAATTTCATATCACTATGAAGCTTTTATTGCTCATATTTTGGAAAATGTGGATTTTTATTTAAGGAATGAGATATAAATGATTAGCTTGAATCTTTAAATCTATAAACCGCATATATAAATAAAGAAAGACTTCTATAAAATTAATAAAGAAATAAAAGATGTATATTCAAAAGATGTATACGAAATTCCAAATTATAATGAAATCTTGTTTCAAAAGGTTGAATAAGAAGACCAATTTTACAAATGTTGTTAAGATTATATTGCACTTGAGAAATTGTATTGCTTTGATTTCTGGGTATTCTAGTCAGAAAAACAGCGTTATTACAGATATTTTTGCACTTGCGTGAGGTTATTTCTCTTCTTTTTCGAATTAGCAGAGTATAGATATTTAAAGATGAGATATTTTATGGATATCTACAATGAAGTGTACAATAAAGATATTTCTTAGTTGACTGATGAGGAAATTAAAAAAATCAAAAAACATTAAAGTTTCTTTTTTTAAGAAAAACATTTCTAGGAATTGGAGTAAAGCTAATAAGACCTTGAAACATTGTTTACTTACTGCTTTAACGAATCTAAGTATTGCTTATTTTAAATCAGTAAAAACTATTAGGAAAATGATAACAATTATTTAGGCTTAAAGTTGCTTACCTTGCTATTAAATTAATTAAGTGAGGAATATTAAAAAAATAGAGAAACAATATAAAAAATAAAGACAGAAAATGTTAGAATTAAAAGAAATTCGCCAGATAAAAATAGTGAAAAATTTTAAAATTCAAGAGTCAATAATTAAAACAGCTTATAATAAAATGATGAGCAAGATATTCTAAACAATTAAAAAAAAAATTTGCTGAAAAACTTCAATTGTGAGTTTGAAATAGTAAGAAAAACTTTATTAGAAAAGCTTAAAAGTAATGAATCAGGTTTAGTGGAAGAATTTAACAATATTATTAATGAAAGCAAAAACAAATACGATGATATATTAAATAACTAATCTAAAGAGGAAATTGTCTAAGTGTTTATGTTAGATCAAAAATCAAGTAACTTTGTCATGGTTGACAATTATATAATCAAGTAAATTTTTTTTAAAGTTAAAATATTTTTAAACAAATTATTGAAAGAGATTTTTATTCAATAGTTAATTTTTATTTATTTATTTAAATAAATTTTACATTTAAACTTATAAAATTATATAACAAACTTTTCATTAAAATAAATAGGTAAACAAAAAATCAAAAAAGCTGAACGAATTGAATTGCACCTACTTTCTAATTAAAAATATATAGTTTCTAAATAATATAAATTATTAAACTTTATCATTAAAATTCATATTTTATTCTTTGTATCAAATATATTGATATTAAAATTAATTATTTTAACTTTCAAAAATATTATCTATTTATTTAATAATTCGTATTTTATTAATCTTTATATTGATTGAATTATTTTAATATTCCAAAGTTATAAAATTTTGTTAAATGAAAAGAAGAGACTTTATTTATTTAAAGGAAGAGATTTATAAAATAAAACCAATAAATTTTATTTAATTTAGAGGAAAAAGAGTTTTCATCTATTTAAATATTATTATAAAAATTAATTTAATTATTAGTAGTTTTTCTTTTGATCTCAACTACTTTTAATTTTTACAAAGAACCTAATTATGAATATGATTAAATTATTCCAAAACAATAATAATTTAATAAAAAATAATTTTCCAAAGATTTTTAAATTTTTGCCATTTAATTATATTTATTTACTCAAAAAAATGATTTTTAAAAAGATATTTGAAAATAAAAATATTTATATAGAGTGGAAAATAATTTTAGAAATAAATAGTTTCTAAAATTTTAATTAATTTTTACTATTTTGTGAATGATTAAAATCTTTCTCTCATTTGAGTAAAATTTACTTTAATTTGATCTGTAAAGAGTCTACAAATAATCTAGATAATTTACTATGAGATAAGAGAAGAATATATATATATAGATTAATTAGTATCCTCAAAAAGGCAAACATATTCAGCATACCAAAGCAGTTGAAGATTTGTATATAGAAAAGCTGGCTAAAGATGAATATTTAGATACAGTAAATTTCATCTCTTATGCTAAGAAATTATAATACTTTAATTATTACTTCAATTTATATATGATTATTCATTATAATATATACCTCTAATTTTTACTTATCTTTTTCTAGATATTATCTTTGAGTTAAAAAATAGTAATTTAATTGGTATTAATCAATTATTTTTTTCTAAAAATTTGTTTGAATAACAAAGAAACACAAGAATTTTCTTGGTAAAAGTTCAATAGCGCTATCATTTTTTTTAATATCAAGCAAAATATTAGCAAGTTGTAGGGAATGAGTACATCTAAAGGAAATAACTCAAGCAAAGGCATTGTTTATATGAGGAAAAACCCTCCTCCATAAAACTAAATAAATTAAAATCAACAAAATAGCAATTAACTTTTAATAAATGAGAATTAAGATTAAGTTTAAGGTGAAAGAGTAGCTAGCATGTTTTTTAGTTAATAAGAAAAAGGCCAACAAATTGCATAAAATAGAGATTAATATTTGTTCAATAGCAATAATTAAAACCCTTAATCTTAGAATTGCTAGCTTTCAGCTGAAAGGTAAGGAAATATTTTTAAGAGCAGCAATGGTAGCAATTAGATAAATAATTAGAGCTAAATTTAAATTAAAACTAGATAAAAATTATTACAATCTTCAACACCCTTTAATAACAATGAAAACCAACAATAAAGACAAAATTTGTAAACAGAATAGGGATAGTCAAAAGCAGATCTTAACTAAAGAGAGAATCTTGAATAAAAAAATGAAAAGATTGAAGAACTAAACATGCAAATTAATTAAACTTCAAGTTAAATTCCTAAATTCACTTAACCTTTCTTAGGAATTATTTTATTGAATGCAAACGAGACAAGCCACGAGGCACTTAAAAATGTTTACTTTATTGTAATTAATTAAAAAGAAGTTAAAATCTAAGATCATTATGAATTTACAGTGAGTTCTTAAGAAGATGAACTGTAGGATATGCAAGACCACTTTTAAGTAATTTCACAAAAGATAGATTATTACTTTACTAAAGCCGAAGAAGGGTTTATAATGTCATACGCTTCTAAATAAGTTAAAACACTTCTAAAGTAATTCAAGTTGCAGTTCTTGGAACATGAAATAAACAAAGAAGCTATTTTCATTGATCAAATAATTCCTGAAAAATATACTAAAATTTAAAATACAATTTAATTAAATTAGCTTATGGAAGATTTAGAAATGAAATAAGATGAGACACTAAAAGAAAAAACAAAAATATTATCTTACTTTAATAATCAATTCTCTAGCAATTTAATAATGTGCATTCTCAAAATTATTTCTCAAGGATATTTTATTACTTAGGCTTTATCTTCTGGTTGGAGAGAGAGAAATAGATACTAAACTAAAATTAACAATTACATTAGACAAATAAATTAACCAAGTAAAACTAATGATGTTCAAAAAGGCAACACAAAAAATCAATCAAACAAAAATCAATAAGTAGTGAGTATAAGCTAGCAAGATTCTTTGACTAATTTAAATAAATTAGAATAAAAGAGTGATTCAACTTCCTCCCAAAACTTACTACTTAATGATCCTTAGATAAACAATTTAGAAGAAAACAATGAATAATGTTTATTAAATAATTAAGATACCCAAAATGATGCTAATAGCAGCAAAAATAATAATAATAATAATAATACTGTTATTGATTAAGCAGTTATTTAAAATAGCACTGTTGAGTGCAATACTTCTTCAAAAACCCTTTAAAATTCTAACCAAGAAAATAATTTATAATAAGAAAAAAAAACTCCTAATTAAATTTAAGTAGAATAAAATTAATAAATATCTAATTTATCTATTTTTTAAAATGATTCTAGTTTATTAAACACAAAAAATGATTCTCATACTCAATAAAATTAGCAAATTTAAAATAATTAATCATCTCAATAATAAATTAATGCAGATAAAATAGAGCAATCTAATGAAAATTAAAATAGCATAATAAACAACTAGGCTTAAATTAATGAATAAAATAAAATCACCTCAACACCTCTTTCTTAAGGAAGAACTGCTTCTTAAAGCATCTAGCTAAGAAGTGAAATATAAAATGATATAAATCTTCTTAAGAGCAGCATTGAGACCAATCAAAAGAAACTCAACTCTAGCTTCTTACATAATTTTAACAATGGAGAAAATAGCAATCCATATAGGGCTACCTAAATGTCTAGCCAAAAGGAAGCAGTATTTGAAAATGAAGATCTTGACATTATCTAAGAAATAAAAAAAGAAATTAATGAAACCTAAGATTTATCAAATTCTGTAGCAAATTTAAAAGATAACCTTATCACATAAATAAGTTAATAGCAACAATTCCTTACAAATTTTGTTGATAAGCAAAAAAATGCTATATAAAACTTAAGGTAAAAGTAAGGTATCCTATTTGAATTTATTGTGAATCTCAATTAAGATACAGAGAATTTAATTTAATAGTAATAATAACAACTTACTTCTTTCTAAGAAGATTTCAATAAGTAAAATAACATCTAGCAAGAACTCATTATGAATGAAATTAATGCTTAAGATAATAAATTTAAAAATCATTTATAATCTTTAGAGAATCTCGCAAATAGAGTTTAATACTCTTAAGAGGCAAAATAAAGTGAAATTCAGTAATAGCAACAAGCTATGCAAGAGGCTTCTCGTCTTCTCTTGGATTGCTCCTAAGCTCTGCTCTACAGAAATCCACTTTCAATATCTTAAATTAGAGAAAGTATTTATTAGTAGTCTTTCTTGAATAAGTCTGTTTCTTAAATTAATGACTAAACTCCAAGTCAAGTTTTTAACATGCCATCTTAAATTAATCAAGGTTATCAAGGTATTTAGAGCAATTTAAAGCAGAATACCAAAAATTGTAACTCTGATAATGAGTAAAGTGATAAGGAAAGAATAAATAGTTCTCAAGATAAAAATTTAAAGTCGTAAAAAGATTCTCTTTCATCTTCATTCCAAAGTCAAAAGAACTAAGTTCAAGGCATTCAAGAAAATAATTGTTAATAAAAAAACTCACAAAATAATTCAGAATAAAACAGAATCATATAAAATGCCAATTTGTTAGAACAGCATAACATAGTTTAAAATTAAAGCTAAAAAAATTAAAATCTTAATTCTATACTAGAGCATGATAGAATATAAATAAACTCTTAAAATTAAAGTGAGTAAGCAGAAATAAAGCAAATATAAATTAGTTCATAGAAAGATGATAATAATAAAAGACAAGAGTTATTCAATTCAACAAATACATTAAATACTTAAAAATTTACACAGGAAGCATAAAAGCTAGAGGGATAAGACGTCGAAAAAACTTAGATATAGCAAAATTAGCTTATAAATTAATAACATCAAACTAATATTTAACAAGATTAAAATAAAATAAATTTAAATTCTGACTAAGAAAACAAAATGTAAGAATTAAATAATTATATTTAAAATATGAACACTCCAAATTGTGATACAATAGAAAATAAATAGAAGAATTAAAAAATTTATATTGAGAAATCACCATCATAAAACTAAATAAATGATTTAGCTAAATAGTAACAAAAAGCTCCAGTAAGTAAAAAATAAAAATAATAAGAGAAAAAGAAGGCTGAATAAATATAAAAACAATTCCCATAAGCATAAAACAAATTCATAAATTCAGTTTAATAAGATTAGAACAAAAAAAATACTTAATAAGATTTAAAAGCTTAATAAAACTAACAATTTCAGTAAAGAGAAAATGAATAATAATAAAAGCCTAAATCTGATAATGAATATGAAACAAAAATAAGTTATGATTCTTCCAAAACTCTTTTTATAGATAATAAAAATAATGCCAATTTAAATTAAAGTTAAATATAATCCTCAGACATTAGTGGTTAAATAAATACAGTATTGACAAAGCCTTCGACTTCTGAACTAAGTATTTCAAATATAAAATCAACAGAAAATTTGGCAGGAGATAATATTTCTTCTACAAAAATGAAGAAAAAATTGCTTCTCAAGTAAAAAATAAATTAAAATTTTGAACCTTTCCTACCTAATGAACAAATACTATAGGAATTATAAAACCAAAGAGAAAGAGCATAATTTGGTTATTCAAATTCAAATATTGAAATACAAAATCAAGGGGAAAGTACAGGATCATCAGGTGATAAATAAAAGGATAACTTCGATAGAAACGAAACAGTAAGATAACCAATTGGCTTTAATGAATATGTTAAGGAGAATCAAAATTCACAGAGACCAATGCCATAAAATAAAAATAATTTGTATAATTTATCAGAAAATAAAAGTTTAATAGAAGAAATATAAATCAGTCAAAATTAAAAGTAGGCATATTAAACTAAAAATTTATCTTAATTCATTGAAGAGTAGCAAAGAAAAAGAAAAGAATCAATTAAAGATCTTCAAGAGAGTTTCTAAAGCAGCAATAACTCAAGCTAAATTATAAAATCTGATAATTTAATCCTTCAAAGCGAACTTTTTGAGTAGCCAAAAAAGAGCATTTTTGAAGGCAATAGCTTCATGTTAGCTATTTATTAATAGACTTTAGAGGCTGAGAGAAGAGTAGATCAAAATAAGAATAATTCTAAATAAGCTTCAGCTTATAGTGAATCCAAAAAAATAGCATAAGTATAAGAAATAAAGTAAAAATTGGATAAGATTGAGAATTCATAAAAGAAAATCAGGAAATAGCAATCTTAAACAGATCATGAAGAGTATAAGAAAAGTGTGGCTTCAAGTAAAGAAGATGAAACTAATACCTAATACTAACTTATTAAGAATTTCACAGAAGAAAACGTGAACATAAATGAAGAAAATATTTTTCAAAACTAACTGATATAAAATGATAAATAGTTCATGAGATAAAATATTAAAGATAAAAAATAAGAAGAAGAAAATGAGTTTGAAAAATTTGAAGACAACAGTAATATAAGTCAAAGAGAACTAAATGAAGATGATGACTAGAATGAAGATTTTGATGAAGAATAGTAGGAGCTATCAAACTAATATAAAGAAGAAAGAAGCTAGAGTAATCATAGTGACGAAGTTGAAGACAATTACTCTGGTATCAAAGAGGCAGAATCAGAATAGTAAGTCATTTGCCCTCAAGACAAGGTATAAAAATAATTCTTAAAACCTACTTAATCATTACAATCATGTTCTTCTAAATAGTAACTGCCATTACAATATGCTTCTTCTTCTTTATCTTCTTTACAGACTTAAGAAAATTTAGGCAGTTAAATGCAAAGGGATGGATTACCTGTTACTTAATTAACAGGTTTTGAAAAATCCACCTTATTAGTTTACAATTAAATTCAAGAAAAATAAAAATAAATTGATTATTCCTCTTCATAATACACCCTTTAAAAAATAAATAATGGAGGGCAGAATACATTTAGTAATTATTCTAAAAATAAAAATCATAATAATTCTAATAGGAACAAATCAACTGAGAGGAGTTTTTCATCTAACAAAAATCACATACAAAATAGTATTACTAACACTTCTAATTAGAGCTAGCACCACTCTTATATGCGTCACAATAATTATAAAGAAAATCAAATCTAAAACAATAATAAAAATTCTAAACAATAAATGAGATCATAAAGCAGTTAGGAACATTACTGGAGAGCTCCCCATGTCGAATATATTGATAAAAGATAGCTTACTAATCAATTCAATCTAGAGAGAAAAATGTCAGATAATTGTAGCTCATCTATTTTAGCTTTAAATTCGGAGTCTTCATAGGCAGCAGTTTAATAAGTACACAAAGTTCAAACTAATTAGTTTCCATACTCAAATGACAGAATCGATGAGGAAGAAAAGCTCAATTCAAGTATTATAAGCAGATAAACAGAAGTAGAATACAATAATATTTATGATTTAATTAAGCCAAGGAATAGAATGTCCCAAAAAGAACTATCTCAAGCTTTAAAGAAAAATACAGAAGAGGTACAGCAAAGGTTGAATAAATGGAAGGAGTAAGAAGAATTATTATACTCATTCAATACATAGAATTTATAAAACACAACTGATATTATTTCAAGCGAAGCTAAAAAGAAAAAACTAACGAAATCGACAGTCTAGATGTTGATTGTTTTAAATTTTTAGCTAAATTAATATAAAACAGAAATTATTGAAATAAGTTCATTTGTAGTGAATACAGATAGATATCAAACAATAGATGAATTCAGCTCCTTTGTAAAACCTAATGATATGAGAATAAGATTTGATAAAGATAGCAATAAATAGAATGTATTATAATCATTAAAAATGTCGCAATCATTTGAGGTAGTATTTGCTAAATTATGCAACTTTTTCAAACCTTATCTAGATAACTATAAATGTTGCATTCTCTATGACTAACAAGAACACACAGAAATCCTTTACAACGAATTCATAAACAAAAAAATTATTCCTAGTCCAAGTGTGCTAGAAGTATTTTATACATGTATTTTCTTAGCTGACATATTTCCTCTATCCCTTAATACGAAAAGCACACCAGTAAAAAATTATCATGAAGCTATGATGCTTCTCAAACTAAAGAAATACTTAACAAAGAAAAATAAAACAATTGATGTAAAGAATTTTGAAAAAGTTGTAACAACTCTTTTATCTAAAGGAGTAGTGATTAGCTCCAAGGATGTTAAATGTGCTTTCAGTCTAGATTAGAGAGAGAAAAAAGTTTAACAATTCATAACACTATGCATGGAGAGTTTTGAGCAAAACTAGTACTTTTTTATTTTAGAATTTTAACATGGAAAATATGACACTTATAACTAACTTGAGAATAGTGCAATAAATATTTAAATCTTATAGAAGACAACAGGTTTTTCTTTTTTACACATTCAAGGAATGTATGGATTTAGTTATGATTTCTACCGAAATGACATCTCAGCTTTCCATTTCTACTTTATAAGTTACCTAAACGCTTTGAAAATAAATCAAAATCAATTGACTTTATTTGTTTTAGAAGAAGACAATATACTTGCAAGTCAGGCGATTGATCTTATGTTCCCATTGAAAAAAAAGCCATAAAAAATTGTTTTATTTAAAGAAGTATAAGCTTAAATATGGTATAATTTAGAGCATATTTTGTAGAAGAATATGTTTAGCTTTGATTTTGAGCATTTATTTTCTACATTGTGTGGTCAAAGCTAGCTTAATAATTAAAATTTATTTTAAATGTGAAAATCAAAAATACATAATAATTAAAACTAATTAATAAAGTGTACTGTAATAAAAAAAAATATATATATTTATTTTACATTTATTTTCAATTTATTTCTTTATAATCACTTTAAATTAAATTCATGTGTTTTATTTTATTAATGAATTCAATTGCTATTCTTTTTATTGATTAATTTAAAAATAAAAAGAAATCTTATTTGATATTTAAATATTTAAAGGAAATATTTGAATGAATTTTTAATAAGAAGTAATAAAACATTTATTTTTATTTTCTATTAATGTAAAAAATTTTAATTTAAAAGTCTCAATAACTCTTAGTTTCAATACTAAACAATTTCAATTTTTGTAGAAAATAAATATTAATTTCTATCTGATATCTAATGATAATCGTGTGCAGATCTTATGATTCATAAAATTAGGGAAAACATTGTTTTTTTTATTATTAGATTGCTTAAATTTAGAGCACAACCTTTTACAACCTTCTTTATTTACTATTAACAAATGATAAATTATTCCATGCTATTATTTTAATAGACAAAACTGTAATTTCTAAAATCTCTTATTCTCATAAATAATTAAATTTCTTTTTCTAGTTTGAAATTGTAAAATAATAAATGGTAATTTAATTATTCTTTTGATTAATTAACTAATATTGATTGGAAGATTTATTTACATGAAATAATTAAAAAATTTATATTTTCAGATTAAATCAAGTAAATTAAACCTGATTACTTGATTTTTGTTATATTTTTGAGTAAGAATTACATAAGGAATAACTTATTCAAATATGAAGAATAAGTTATTTATAGATAATCTAATTTTTTTTAATTCTAAAAGGTTATGTTTAATTTCTTTTATCAATCACAAATTATTACAATATTTTTTTTTATTACTTTGAACCTTTTTTTCATAAATCTCAAAAACTCTCAATCCTAAGAATTAACAATTTCTCTTTATATTGAAAATACATATTACTTTTAATATGATACCTTAATATGATCATTATAGAAGATCTCAGGTTGTATAAATTATGGAAATTTGTTTTTATTATAAAATATTTGAATTTTAAAAACAATCTATAACAAACCTCTATATTTTTATTACAAGGTGATGAATTAATTATTTCTTTATAGAATTCTAATACATTAATTAATATACAAAACTTTAATTTGTAATACCTCTCTTTATTCTCTGTATTAATGAATTTTATTTATAAATTTCAAATTTTAATATATAAATAGCCATTTAATTATTCACTAGAAAAATTAAATTTTATTGGAAACATGATTTATTTGCTTGAAATAAATTAAAAATTGAGATTATTATTTTAAATCAAGCTAATTAAACTGATTACTTAATTATTTTTCTTTTTTCTGTAAGAAATTTATAGGGAATAAGCTATTCAAGTAAGAAGAATAAGTTATTTATAGATAATCCTAGTTTGTTTTATAATTTTGTATAATTGTAAAGATTAATTATGCATAGCTACGTTTGACTAACAAAAAGGAATAAATTTTCCTTTACTTGAAATTAAAGACTATAAAAAAAATTAATTTTTTTTTAAATACTTTACTAAAGATAGATAAATATTGATACTATTTCTTTTATTTTATCTCTATCAATAAAGTGTAAATGAAGTTTTTTAATAAATTCTGAATTTAATTATAATCCTAGCTATGAATTATTGATTTATAGGATTACAATTTTACTTAACAATATAATCAATTTAAATACTCTATTTACCTTAATTAAATCAGAACCAAGTTGCTAATTTTCAATTTTAAAATGTTATTTTTTCTACATATTTTTGAATTAACAAAGTATTTTTCTTCAAAACATTTTATTAAATAAAAATTTTCAATTTTATTCTAAAAAACATCTTTGCATAATAGCTTTCTTGCATTTAAAAAAATATTATTAATTTGAATTAGACTATTTTTATTGTAAAAATATAATTATTTGTGCTTTAAATGCAAAAAGTCTTTATAATTTACAAATATTAATGATTACAGTTTACAATTAATGTTTCATAATTTAGGAAAAAATATTGTTTTTACAACCAAAATTACTTTTTTATAATTTATAATTTATTTTCTTTCTACAAATTTTCTTTTTATTTTCTAACTCAAAATAAGCTCGAAGCTGTATTTTTTTGTTCATGTAATACTTGTTTATTTCTCAGCAAAAGTGGCTTTTTTTTTTTAAATACTCTAATATTTATAATTTTTCAGTAAACATAATTTGCTTCAATTAATTGCATTAGTGGATAAATTCAATTAAATAATGTAATTTTTCTAACAATTTTTTTGCATAATATCATTTCTAAAGCGAGAAGCTATTACTTATTGTTTAATAGTAACATTATTATCCTTTTTAAATTTAAGTTTCAAAAAAAATATTTTAGCTGTAAATCTGAATAATTAATAGAATTACGAAACCAACATCATCCAGTATGAATTTTCAAAAGTTAAGTTAATGTCTTTCATTTATATAAATTAAAGATAATAGATTTTAGCATAAATCTTAATATTTAATAGTAGAATAAGCTTATAAAATTCATACCATAACTGTACGTATGATATATTCTTATTTTATAAATTTTAAATTGATTATTTAAAGAAAACATTAAACTATTGGCACTGAATTATTGGTTTGTCTATCATAATGAAAAATTTATGTAAGTTTTTTGCTATGCATAATTAATGAAAATAATTTGAATTTTTTGTAAGAATTTTTTAATTCTTATTTAACTATAATAGATAAATATAAAATAATTAGAAGTGAAATTATTCTAGCATTTTCATTTGCAATTATTGAGAAGTTTTCTGAAATAATGTGATTAGATTGACTTACTCTCAATTTAATTTATATAAAATATATAAAAACAAAAGATAATAAAAGCCGGATATTCAAATTGTGAGGGATTTTAAACACCAGTAAGCATTTCTTATTTATTTTTGATAATGTGTAAAATTAAAACAAAATTTAAAGTCAACACTAATTAATTTACAACATAATTAAGTCTTTCTATTTTAATAATTATCTATTATCATTAATTAAATAGAAAATCTTACCCACCTTATTTTTTATAATCAATAAATAAATAAAATTTTTATAAAGCTAAAGGATAATCAATCAATTAAATATTCAGTAAGATTTCGTAAAACATAACTTTCGTTTGCCATCTTAAAAAAAATGCTCGATCCTACTAAATCCACACTTGACTTACTTAAAACTGCTAAAAATTAGTTCTAAAAATATGATACTTAAAAGATTGGTACAATCACTTCTCTTGCATGTATCGATGCTCTCGAACACATGTTTTCCCAAGATAGTAAAAAATTCAATTGAAATTAGATTTTTTATATTTATAATAATTAAAACAACAAATAGTAACCCAAACTGATATCAAAGAAATTAAATCTTCGATTGATGAGAAAGTTGATCCTAGGGAATTCGGTAATTTGGTGATGAAATTAAAGAGCAACAAAAAGAAAATACCTCCTACTCCTTTGGATGAAGAATTGTAAAAAATTTTTTTTCTTTATTAATTTCTAAAATATTTAAGTAAAAATTAAAAATAATTAAATTTTTTTTCTTGTAAAAACAGCATCATAGAAAATTTCACTATCAATGAAATAAAGCTCTTAAAAAGATCTTGGGAAAAATTTGACGAAACAGAAGGATTTCTTAATTTTGAGAGCACTAGAAAATGCATAGAATACACTCTCACCCACTATAAAAGTATAATAATATCTTTATTATGACATTATCTTAAAGAATTTGTTCTACCAAACATAGAAAAATATTAATAAGTTTTTTCCTTTATAAAATTAGATTCAAAGAACAATGACAGTGAAATAAAAAAATTCTTCATAAATAAAGCTGCTGAAGGGAAAGAAAAAATATCTTACAGCGAATACTTAAACTTTATCTCACACTTCATTAAATACAGAAAATTGAGTTATAAAAAGCCTACTTGTTCTTGCTTTGGATTTTGATAGAACATTTAGCTTGATAATTGTTTTGTTATATTGCTATCTACTTTCATCTATACAATCACAAACAATCTCATAAATATATTAATAATAACAAAATTATGACATAATTAAATTATAATCTTAATTAAACTATCTTAACCAAAACTTACTCTTCTCTTTTATTTCTTATCTATTCTATATTCTATATAATTAATGCATGAATACTTCTATTTATTTACATAAAACTTTATTCATTCAAAATACTAAATTCAAGTAATTAATTCATATGTTAAAATACAAAATTATTTGTACTAATTGATAAAAAAAATTTAATTCACTTATATCTATTTCATCATTACTATTAATACATTTAATTAATAGCTTTTTATTTATTTTAAAATAGACTCTCATCTAAATAAGATCATTAGCTTTTTATAATGACTAATAATAAAAAAGCATTTAGCTTTTTATAATGATTTATAATAAAAAAGCGTTTAGCTTTTCATCAACTGTTCCACTATTTATTAAAAAATTTTTTTGGTTTTATTAACACTAAATTTTTGGTTTTACTAAATTATCTCGTGTACTGTTTTGAATATTCTATAGGTATTTAATATATGTAAATACTATCCATAAATAATTCTTACTTAAGTTAATTTTTTATTATTCATCAAGATTTAATTGAAAAATTGATCATGTTACAAAATTCAAACATAAAAAATAAGGAAAATGAATGATTTTAATTTGAAATTTAGACTTTATAAAAAAATTGAATCATGTAATTTAAACCTTTTTTTCTTTTATTGATATTTTTTAATTTTAAAATCTGTAACACTCAAAAAAATAAGATAAAAATATATTATATAAACTATTAAAATAAATTTATTTATTTCTAATTAGTAAAACTAATCATTTCTAATATATTTTCTCTAATTTTAGCTTTTTTTCTAAATATTTTGAGTGGGTTTTTTTAAATTTTTAACATAAGCAATATAATTCATACTAAAAAAAGTAAAAATAGAGTTAGAACTGATGGTATTGTGAATATTCATTTACATTTTATATTCTAAATAGAATTAATTTAAAAAGAAAATTTCAAAACTAATATTTTTGCTTTGATTGGGCAAAAGTATGTCAATCTAAAACTAATTCTTGGTGAAATTAATACATTTCTAAAATGATATCTTCTTTTTTTAAATACTTAAGAGCGATTGGCTATGTAAAAATACTTTTTGAGCCAAATTATAAGTATGTTTGTTTTGACTATATAGACTTAAATATTTGATATTTTTTTAAATTTTGTTTTATAAGATTTTAATGGTTTGATAAGATGGAAAGTCTAGTTTCTGTCAAAAATAATAAAGAAAATTTACTAAAAATACAAACTCGAAAGCAATTAAATATCTCTCTTCTACCTTAATAAAGAATTGAAGCTCAAGTAGGATTATTACTATTATTTTTAAATAAACTAATGGTTATTAAAATCAAAGCTTAATGGCTGAAATCTAAATTTAATAATTTATGGCCGAAATCTTTTATATAATAATAAAAAAATTAATTCATTAAAAAAAATAAATTACATTTAAAATGAAACAAACAACTTATTTAGTTAATATTTTTGTATTATTTTTAAATTAATCAATAATAAATATAAGGCTTTCATTCTTTTCATTAGCTCAAATATTCTATTATTGAGTAAGATTAATCAACATTTTTGGTTTATTAAATGGGTCATTAAAGTTCTTATTTTAATAAGATATAATCAGATTTTACATGACAATTATCAAAATATATTTTAGAAGGTCAAGTAAGTCACTAACTATTTTGATAAATTATTTTTTTAGTTATTTTATTCTAGTCAAACAGCTAAATTTATTAAATTATGCTAGCTATTTTAAATGTTTTCTATTTATTTCTAAAATCTTAACTAATCTTTTTAATAAATGGTCTATTTAATATGATAAGCTATTAATATACATAATAAATTTAAGCAATAATTTAAAAAAAGTCTTTAATTAAATGAAAGAAATGTAAACGCATAAATTGAAAATACAATTTTATTAATTAGTGAAATAGAATTTAAAAAAATAATTAATTTTAAAATAAATATTAAAAATATTTATTACTGATTGAAAATAATATATATATCTATTGAAAATAATGTATCAAATTATGTAGAAAATCTTAAGCAAAATTAAAATGAAAAGAATCTAAATTAATCAAGCATCTAAATTTGAATGTAAAAGAAATGTTTCTGCAAAATAGCAAAGATTTTATTTTGCCTGAAGCAGAGAAGCAACTAACTAAGAAAGCAGTAAAAAATAACAAGAAAAAGATAGGGAAGATCAATAAATCAAAGTAATTTGGTAAAAAAACAAATAAAAAAAAGGAATATTCTAAAAGAAACAAAGGAAAGTATCATTAAAACAAAAGAGAAAAGTAGAGAGCAGTTTATGAGCGTTAGAATTCATATTTTTGCCATGCTTTCTATGCCTTTCTTTTTTTTGTTAGATGACTTTTTTTAAAAAGTAAAAAGTGTTTAAAAACAAAACTCGTTTGAAAATTCATTTAAAAAATCTAAATTCGCAAAATAATCAGTTTTCACTTGTTCATAAAAAAATAAAATATCATCATCTCACTCTTCTTGGCTCTTCTCTCTTTTGCTTTAATATATGTCTTTCCTTTATTTCTTTCATTTTTATCTATTTATCAATCCTATTTATGGATTTCGCAATCTCTTTCTTTTTGCCTTTTCATTATTATATTTTTTAATTAATCTGGTTGCACAGTGGGTAATTTATTATTTGGCTCTTTTTTTTGATCTTTTTGATTAAATCAAATATATTTATCAATCGATGTTAGCTGTTTATTTACACAATCTAATTTTTCATTCAAAACTGAATGGCCTTCACCAAGATAAATTACTATCACATTATTCAAAAATATATATTTCCGCTCTTATTCAAAAATAAATAAAGAGTCATATTTATAACTAATTCTTATCAATTTTGCTCTTTTGTTTCATCCAAATTTTTATTCATTAATTCATTCATTCATTCATTATTCATAAACACACTCACTTGCATTTAATTTCCAGAGTATATACATACCTATATATATTTCTTGATTAAGCTTATGAGACGATTTGTTTGATTATAATTAAAAATGATTCAATTAAAAGATGGAAATACAATATAATGGAGCATCGGCAGCAATGAAGACAAAGCAAGGAAAGAGATCAAATAGTAATAGCAAAGCGAATAGTTGTAATTAACAAACCCAAAACAATAATTTACATACTCAAAATATTAGCGCAGAAACAAAAAATGAGTTTTCTAACCATGAAATTCTACTTTTAATTGATATCAGAATTAATGAATTAAATTAGCTCTCTAACATTTATGCGATGACTTTTGATTAAACTGTCAAGAAAGTTATTGAATTTTCCAACATCGAAATCAGTGATGATAATAGATGTGTTAAATTGGCTTAAGCTGTAGCTCAAATTAATAATATCAGGAAAAAATACTCTTCTTGCTAGTCCTTTTTCATAGTTTATCCAAAGAAATCCATAGCGAGTGCTCTTTTCAAAATATTTCGCCAAAATAAAATCTAAGTAAATGAATTAAGTTTCACTAATACATTCATATCCTTAGGATAGCTAATGCCAAGCTAATTTCTTGCTGATGAAGTGATTCTATTCAACTAGCTTTCATACTTTTTAGATTTCCAACCTGATGAAGAATTTGCTCAAGAGATTCTTCCAGTTTACTAGACAATATAAGAAAGCATTAGCAAAGATTAAGTGAATACTTTGCCTAAATAAATAACAAGAACTTTTAGCTAATCAATTGATTTGCATGGCCTTTCATCATCAGAGATAAAGCAATAACTGAATGGTTAATTACCAAATGATAGTAGGAGTTAAATGTTAATCAGCACATGCAATTAGCCAATAATAAAAGATGAAATAAAGTAAGAGAGAAAGCAAGATGAATTTAATGAACAGTAGAATGAAATTATTTTATCTTCTTCTTCTATTACTAATCAGCATTATTAAATGTAACCATAAGCACTTTCAAAATCTTCTTCCCTTCTCTCTTCGAATCAAAACACTCCTACTCTTTCTTAAAATCTAGCTGTAAATGTAGATAATACTACACCATCTTCAACTTTGACTGCATTTTTGAGAAAAGGCGACTAACAAAGTGAATAATCCTAACAAAATACAAGTAAAAATATATCATCTCTTTTCTCCTTAAGCAACAACATGCAATTTCAGTCAAATACTACTTAAACTCCCTTTACATCAAGTAGCTCATACTAAATGCAACCAGAAAAAACAATATTTTCTTAATTAACAGTCAAAAGGCAAACATCATTTTCAGTTGATTCTGGTTCTTTTCTTGGAGGCCAAACCTCCCTATTTTCAAGCATACTAACTAACAACCAAACAAAATCAAACTAGCTTACATAAAATAGCTACAATAACAACACTAGCAATAATTTATTTAAGAGTTCGTTAAATTTATTTAATAGTGTTAACTCCTCACCTTTAGCAACCATTTAAGAGTAAAAAGAAAAAACAGAAATGAGTTTAGAAAGAAACTCAAATGAAAAAAATACATCTACTTAAAGAACAGTACATTAAAAAGATAATGAATAAAACAATAACAACAACAACAACAACAATAATAATAATAATGGATGCATCAGTTCTTCATCTTCAATTTGCTCAAATTCAACTTACTCTAGTAACAAATTCATGAATGATTAGCAATTAAATAACAAAGGAACAAAATTTTCTTCATAGTTTAATTTTTTTATCTTAGTGACTAAATTGGTTAAATAAGGATTTTAATTCAAAAAAGATTGCATAATTAGCTTCAGAAATAACTTAACAATCGAAGTTAAACTCAAATATGGTTAATAAATATTTGAAATAACTTAAGAAGCTAACAAGAAAACTCCTTTGTCTACAAATCTTGAATGTGATTAAACTGCTAACATTAAAAATGATAAAATAATAAAAGAAAATAAAGAATTATCTTAGTAGCAATTAACCTAAGAATTAATAAAAAGCGGATATAATTTACCTAATTAAAATCAATAGAATTTATCAAGAAAACAAATACATCTCTAATCTCAATGGGCAAAATAAAATCTTGGATTGGATAAATTACAACCAACATAGCTAATCATGGCAGATTAGAAGCAAAAAATACAAGAAAATCTCATTTAAAGAAGCATGGAAATACAGTAAAAGCTTTCTAAGAACGAAGAGAATAAAAAACTAGATATGCTATTTGTTATTGACTTTGAATGTAATTAGCCAGGTTATGAAATCATAGAATTCCCTGTTCTTGTAATTGATTTAAAAAAAGAACGTATCATAGATACATTCCATACTTACGTTAAGCCTACTACTTTTCCTAAGATAAATCCTTATATCTCTAAAATAACGGGCATTCAACAAAAAGATGTTGCCAATGCTCCTTCGTTTGTTCAAGTTATTCAAAAGGTTGAAGCCTTTTTATAAAAATATAAAGACTATGAAGGGTGCATTTTGTATGATTGTGACAGTGATTGCAACTATATGAAAAGCGAATTTATCAATAAAAACTACATTCCAACCAGTGATGTCTTCTTTTCATATATAAATTTAAGAAATGTTTTCCCTCTGGAAATTAGTGGTGGAGTCATCAACAAGTCTCTTTCTCATGCATAACAAGTATTATAAATGGAATTCTAAGGATGCAAACATAAAGGAATAGATGATGCTCGTAACTAGGCTTTAGTGTGCATCGAGCTTGTTAAGAGAGGATACAGTTTCACATAATTTATGATCTAACCTTAATTTTTAAAACAAGATCCTAAATGCTGTGTGAAAAATAATTTATTTAATTTATATGAATACAACACAAAATTCCTCTTGATTAAACTTGATATGGCAGTATAAGAATAAGAAAAAAGTGATACTTAAGTTCCATAAAAAACTTAGCCTGCATGTATGCCAAATCAACCAAATAAATACTTGAAATTTACTTGCTTTTTAACAGAAAAAAACCCAGAGTTAAATTAAGTCTATAGAATTAAAGATAGTACTTTCTATTTTGATTTTATAACCTGCTAAGCTTCTGGATCAAGATGTGCAAATTTGGCTTTAAGCACTCACCCAAGAAATTTATATTATAGCTAATTGACTTATTATGGATTTGTAGGGTCTAGTACAAGCTCCAATACTAGCAGCATTTAAAACTTTTAAGCCCCTAGCAATGTTGGTAAACATTAAAATTATGGTAAATAGGAAAACCAAAAAGGTAACAAATAAATTGATGAACACACTAAACAAGTTGAAAAATCTTTTTACCATCACTTTTCAAATTATTTAAAAAAATACAACATCTAAAGAAATTAAACTGCTTTTGTCTTACTTGGCTTTGATAAAAATGAATTCTCTAACTTTTAGAAAGTGTTCAATTTATAACAATATGAAAAAGAGCTTTTCTATAACGAAAAAATTATATATATTGATGACAGTTTGATTTAGTTTACAGGTTTTTTAGATGTTTATAAGTAAAAAGATCATTATAGCTAAAGAAAAAATTCAGCATGTTCAACTCCATATAAAAGAAAGAGATCTATGAGTGATGATCTACTTTCTTCATAGATTAAAGTAAATTTAAATCATCATGTGCAGTTTTAGGATAATATGACAAGTTAAAACTCTACAACTATTCCATAAAGAAAGAATAGTACCAAATTAACTAACTAATCGCCTATGATTAAGCCAGCTAGCACTACTCTTCTAACAGACCACCTCAACTTAAACGGAAAAGAAGAATACACAATTATACACAAAGGAGATCTATAAATAAATGAGAATGAGAAAAATATTTCTAAATCTCAAAGAAAAAGAAGTGGAAAGGACTTTGTAAATATTCCAGAACCTAAAACTATTCAAAATAAAATAGAGAAATAATAATAATAATTATAATAACCTCAATCCTAATTAAATTAAATAAATATGTAATAAACTATCACAGAATCTTAGAATGCACCGAACTAACAACAATAAAACTAAAATAACCTCTCAAATGCTTAAAATTAGAGCACAACTAGTAGTTTTAGTAAAGACCAGGTTTGCCAATTAATCAGAAACGATGAATTTAGTATTAATTTTGTGAATTTTATTTTAGTTAATAGAAAAAAGCTTTAAGAATATTAAGATTTAGCATACCATTGGTAATATATAAATAACAAGCCAAAATGATCAGCTTAATTTTATTTTTTAAATATTTGTAAATTAATTAATTAAATAAATAAATTGTTTCTTATCTTACAAAGTTTCATAAAAATCTACCAAATTTATTAGTCAAAATACTTGTAAATTTTTTTATTATTCAATTTTAACTTAAAAGTATTTACAAATATTTAGATTTTCTTTAATATTTTATATGTTTAATTCATTGATTTAAGTGAAAAGTCAATACTTAGTATTCAACAAAAAAAATAATTGTAAATTTTAAGATTTTTTTTTTGAAAAAGAAAGTAACGAATATATTATTTACATGTTTTTTATGATACTTACTTCAGTCTACATATAACTTTAAGTAAGTTAAAAATATAAAGGTTAACTCTAAGTAGTTTTTAGTTAGTTTTCTTTATTTTGAAATTAGGAGGTATTGCTAAATTAAGTTTTACTGATTTTATTTATTTAACGCGAAATATTTTTTTTGATCAACTTTTTTAGTGAAAAATCAATTCTTAATATTCAACAAAGAAAAGTTATTATTAATTTTATGATTGCTTTTTTTATTTTTTGAAAAAGAAAGTAACGAATATATTATCTACATGTTTTTTATGATACTTTAGTCTACATATAACTTTAAGTAAAGTAAAACTTTACAAGTTAGTTTTTAGTTGTTAGTTAGTTAGCTTTCTTTATTTTGAAATATCGCTAAATTAAGTTTTACTGATTTTTATTCATATAATACAATCAAACATCAAAGGAATAATAAGCCCTAATTAAGTAGGAGAAATAAATATCTATTAATATTTAATTCTAATCAGTATTCATTCTTCAAACATCAAACTATTTCTAAATTCAGACAGATAAATGGAGGAAAAAGAAGGAATTAATATTGATTTTTACTTTATTTTATGGGAGAAGTACAAAGACCTTTATCATTCGAATATTGGAGTTGGATTGCCTCATACAGTTGTTTATAGAAATCAATATCCAATAGCGTGGTTTTTCACAAATAAATAGGATCAAATATTAAAAAAGAGAAACGTCAGTCTTAATAACGATGCCATATTCCACCATTTCACAACAAATAAAAAAACCAAAAGTGATGTTTTAGGTTATTTTATTGAAAGTGACCCAGAAGACAACTCCACATAAATAACATATTTTGATGAAATTAAATTAAGTAATCCTACATTATCAGTTTATTCTTTTATTAAATAAACTAAAAAAATGTTATTATTTTAGAGGCTTTTCTTGATAATCCAAACTAGAGGCCAGAAAGAGGTATTCTTTAGCAATTTATAGATCCTGTAGGAGAAAACAATGGTAACATTCAAATTAAATATTTTATTTTATACTAAAGTATCTTTTACAATTAAATCAGCATTATATAGAGCTAATTGGTGTGAAAGATCTTGTATAGTTTCAAAAAAAGTAAACAGGAAAAATTTATTCCATACGAATTTAAATATTTATGAGCGATGCTGCACTTTTGAGGGTCATCACATATTCTCAGATGAATGTAAATCAACAAAAACTCAATTAATAATATTGTTACAATTTTTATTCAAATATTCTTGGTGAAATATAATTTATTCTTTAAAATTTTGATAAGTATTTTATATGAATAATGAAAAGAAATTATATTATTAATTTTTTTCTTTTTAATTTCACTTTTCAAATCAATAATCATTTTTTGTAATTTTGTTTAAAAAAGAAATTTTTAATTTTATTAAAATATTTTTTTTTCTCTTTTAAGGTACAGTTGCTGGTGGATTACTTCCAGGTGTCATTAGAAAATGCATGGAAAGAATGCACTTAGTAAATTTATTCTATTGTTTGCATTTTTTTAATTTTAGTTAACTTTAAAAGCATATATTTGCTCTTTCTCATGGTAATTCTCATTTCAAAAGAGCAGATGGATTTTTTAAGTAAGATCAAACTGGAAAAGTTTGGTTTCTGTGGAACAATTGTTACAGGCTTTAACTTAAAGTAAGATTATCATATTATTAATAATTTACAAATTTTACTTTTTTTAGAATTTTTATGGATAAAAAAACTACGTAGCAAATACTTTCTACTCTAACAAGCTAAATATGCGACCATTAAGTTTAGAAACAGACATTAAGGTATTTTTTATATTTTAATCTTATACTTAAGATAAATATTTTATGTATAGATACCTAAATATATAGAGAAAGGAGCTACTTATGATTAAAGAAGGCCTAATTAGCTAGAAAAAGATTTGCTTTGCTAGAATTGTGATGAATTGCACAAGCATTAGAATTTTGCTCCTATATCTTACAAATATTTAATTTACAGTAGGGATTAAAAGAATAAAGAAATTTAAGTTTTAAACAATAAATATTAAAATGAATAGAAGATTAAAAAGGATACACTTAATACTACTTTAGAAGATGGAGACGATAATTTCAAGCAAAATAATAAGACAACAGGAATTACAGCTTCTATGGCCAGGTTAAATAGCCATGTTTTAAAAAATGATGAAAAAGACGATATAGATGACTTAATAGATTAAATCAATAATTAGAGAGATAAAATTGACAATAATTCTAAGATTACTATTCCAGAAATTTTCTAAAAAATCCATCCTAAAATGACTGATTATACATATTAATAGATAAAAGAAAATCCAAAATTTTACTCAAAATAATTTTGGGTTTGTTAAAATTGTTATTTGAGTTTGATTAGCTACAATCAAATAGAGAGTGGATGTACTCCTCAATTAAATTATAAGTAAATTATATCATCTTTTTATGATTTTAGGCCTAAACCGCTTAGAAAAGAACTTACAAAATTTCAACAAGAATGCTTTGATATGTTTTTAGATGAGAATAGATATCAGCAAGCAGTTTGGTAGAATTGCACTAAAACTAATTGCATTGAAGACTACTAAAAAAACAAAAAAAGAGCTTTTTAAGATGAATTGAATAAGTAGCAATTGGCTGAAAAGAAAAAGAGGGAGCAATAAGCCATTCAAGAAAGAAATCAAATTTTAAAAAAGAATCTCAATGAAGAAGATAAATAAATGGTAAGAATCTAAAATCTTAGAGAAAAATAAAAAAAAATATAAAATCATTTAGATTTAATTATTAACCAAACATTACAAAACTCTTTTTCAAATAGACCTTCTACATCTCTTACTTCACTCTCTAAAAATAACAACACGATTCTTTTATAAAATAACCCTTTAACAGAAAAATATATTGTCAAGAAGGGCCATAAAAGATCAGAAACCAACGATGCTACTATCAGCTAAAGATTATCTATGGATGAAGAAGAAACTTGTAATAGTTAATCACAAAATGCTATTATTAAATAATAATCCAAATAAGATGAGATTTAGGAGGAAAGTTAAATGAGATCAACTTCTTATGAACCTTATGGTCCAACACTGATGAAATAAAATTTTAATTATTTGAAAGAAAAGAACTAAAATAATAATTAAGAAAATGAGCATCAAAATAAGTCTCTCAATAAAAACAGAAATGCACATTCAGTGCATCAAATTTAAAGAAATTAAGTAGAATTGTTTAAGCTGTAAAGTCCAAAGCTAAGTAGTGGGAAGTTCGTTTTGTATTAACCAAGAAAAAACGATAAAGTTAAATAGTTTGAGTTAAAAAGAAATCCTAGCCTAAATTATGATTAAAATAGTTACTAAATTTAAGATTCAAAGTACAATAAAACCAAACTTAATTAAAATGACTCGTAATAATAAGAAAATGTAAGGCCATAAAGCAGTTTTGATAGATTTAATACTAAAATAACTATCTAAGATGTAAATAATTTACTCCGCTCTAAAACACCTTCTAATTCATTTGGTAATAAAACATATTACTCAAATGCTTAGCAATCGATGAGCACGAACATTAGTTCAAGATAAACTCCTAAAAATGTTAGTCAGCAAGTGGGTTACTTAATGTCTCCAAAGTATTCTCCATAAATTCCAAAAGAATTTCAAAGTGGACCAATATCAAATAGATAGTCCAATTCAAAAAATTCAACAAATCTTAAAATTAAAAAGAAACAACTTTAAGATCTTTATTTAGATAATATGGGAAATAATTTGACTCTGAATCAAAATTATTTAGGAGTAAAAACTTAGGATCAAACTGAGATTTAAGAAAATTTAGATTTTCAAAGCGTTATTAATCATTATGCAAGCAATGCAGACCATTAAAATAATAACTAAAAATATATTTAGAGCCAAACAAACCATTTGTAAAAAGATGATTAAGAAAAACAAAATTTAAATCTAACTAACGAAATGCAAGAATATATTTAAAATAATGAAATCTAAGAAAAATAAGTAAAGTAAGAATCGTTGAACAATTTTTAAAAAATTTAGTTCTATCCTAAGTAAAATGTTGTTGTTAGAAATTTTTTAAATAAAAAATAAAAGAGTTTATCTTAACATAATTTTTAAATGGCTAACTAATTCATTCAAAATAAATAAATTTTTGAAAATAAAATTGCATAGAATAGTAATAAAACCTATAAACAATAGATTATTCAAGATTTGTTTCAAAAATATAGTAAAAATATTAAAAACACATTCAAAGGAAAAAATGCAAAATAAATAATGCCCAAATTTCAAAATAATTTACTGATTGATTGACTCTTTCATATTTAGTATTCTATTTGAAATAATAAAATTCAAGTAGAGTTTTAAAAAATATAAATTATTTAAGATAACCAAACAACGATTGTTTTGATTTGTAACAAATTTAATTTTATATTTAAATAGTTAAATAAAATTATATATTATCTATCTACTTTCGATTTAGCAAATAAATATTATAACATTATAAATCCGTTTAATATAATTTTTTTTCCCCATTTTAAATCAAAATTTTCACTCTCTATCTTTTAAATAGGCTTAAACATTTTTTTTGATGAGATAGATGTGTATGATAAATATCATTTTTTAATTTGTTAAATTCTTATTAGAAAAAAAAATTTTTTTCATTTTTATAAAAAATTTATTAAATGCTGTGAAAAGAAATTTCCTATCTTTTTATAAATTTGCCAAAATCTGACTAGAAATACACTGTTTTTTGTTTTAATTTAATTTATTTTAAAATATAATTTCAAAAACTTTATCATGTTAGAAAGCAAAATAAATATAAAATCTGATAATTTTTATTTTAAGCTTTAATAGAGACGCACACAAACAAACACATATTTTAATATTTTATATTAATTAATTTGATTAATTTACATTTTTTGATAGAGACACTTGATTCTATTTAATTTAATATGATCTCCTTAATTTTTTCTACTTAAATAGTTAAATTTTATATGAATAAATTTTCTCAAATAGCGAAACAAATTTTTTCCTCCATCATTTTGATTATAATTTAACAAACCTTCTTATTTTAGAAAGCAAAATAAATATGTAAATACCAATAACTTTTATTTTAAGTTTTTAACAAAGACACTTTTATCTATTTCATATTAATTAATTTGGTTAATTTAGGTTTTTAATAGAGACGCTTGAATCTGTTTAATTTATTTGATCTACATAATTAATTAAATTTCAGGCGTATAGTTTTAATCTAATAGTGAATAAAATCTCTACTTTGATTAATTTAATAATCATTTAATAAAATAAAATTTACTGAAGGTTTAGTATTACAAAATAAAATGATTAAAAAATTTTCTAGCATATATCAAGTAATTAATAATATTGAAAGAATATAATATTAAACTTATTATTATCTTTTAATAAGTTTACAGAGTGTCCCATATCGACAGAAGTTAATGAGTGCCACATTGAAGATAAGTAAAAAAATTATTTCTTTAACCATTTTTCAAAAAAAAAATAATAAAAAATAAAAGGTTTATTTTAGTAAATAGTTATAATATTTAAGTTAGATGTTTAATTTTTATTCTTTTAATACTAAATTTATTAAATTAATTATATAATATTTGATAAGGCATTCATGGTTTTATGAAGGAGATATTAAGCTAGTTTAAGCTTTAAAAAATTGGACTCATCTCTCGGTTTTTAAAATTTATTTTAGGTATTAAATTATGTAAACTCTGAAAAAGATTAATAAATTTAAAATGTTTTTTTAATCTTTGCAAATGATATTTGGTTGTTTAAGTATATCTTTATTAAAATAGATTTAAATATAGATCATCTGAATTATTTTAAGCCATTATCAAAGGTATAAAATAGTGGAATAATTTGTAGGTATTTGAACTGGAGTAAATTTATTTTGATTGATATCTTTAGAAATAAAAATTTAATTAAGAAAATATTTTTAACATCAAAACTCTTATTAATTAAATATAATAAATTTATTAAATAATTAATATGCAATTTTTTTCGAATAAAAAATTTTAATATCGTTTCTTATTTAATTTAAAGTGGATTTTTTGATTCAGATAAAAATTTAGCTGCATTATGCAAAGCTTTGTAAAAATGCAATTTACTCTCAACTTTAAAACTTAGGCTCAGGTAAAAATAAATAAATTAATTAATTAATATTTCTTTTTGATATTTTTATTGATTCCTAAGTTTATTTAAAAATTAAATAATGTATTAATTTACTAATTAATTATCATTCTTATTAATTAAAAATGTTAATAAATATCTAAATATTTTTTTTAATTAATTTTAATTTTATAAATAAGCGGTATTTAGTTAAAAGGAGTTTAGAGTTTAAGTAAAATGTTGTGATAATTCACTAATATCTAAACTTTGGAACTATATTTTTAGTAAAATTTATTTAGATAAATTTTAGAAATACAGAAGAGTATTTAACACTAATGAAATTATAAATATTTTAATATATTTATCTTTACTTTTTTAATATCCTAATCGATTTTAAGAAATAATTTATTCCTTAATACAAAAAGCGATACAGATATATAGCTTTAAAAAAATTAAAAGTTAGGCTTATTCTCTGCTTTATCAAGTCTTGTTAACCTTTCTGAATTGTCTATAAAGTTAGAGTAATATCTTATTTTTTTAATTTTATGATTATTTGAGTTTAAATTCATTAAAAAAAAATATTACAGTAAATCCTCATTAATATATATTTGCCCCTAAATTTTGATTTCGAGTATTTCCATTTATACAAAAAAAAATAAATCTGCCTAAAATAAAAAAGTTTTAAATTTCTGAGGATAGATTTACAGTATTTTATATTTATTTAAGCGATAAAGTTTTTTTAAAAAAACAATACTTAATTTCTTTCATCTTTGTTTGAAAAGAAAGAATGTGATATTATACTTTCGTTTTTAATAACAATCTGATTTAAAAAAATAAATTATTTATATTTTTTTATGCTATATTAGAGTTGATAAGTTTAAAGATTAAGACCTTCTTGAATTAAATTCTTTGTTCAAAAATTGTGTTAGCTTATAAAAAATTGAACTTTTTTTAAAGTAATTTTATTTTTATTAAACAATATAAACATTTAATTTAAAAATAAATTAATAATAAACTTTGATAAAATTTATGTGTAATTATTATCTTACTGTTTAACTTTAAATAATAATTAAAGTAATAAAAAATTAAGCTCGTAAGAAGTATATTCATTAAGCTCTGCATTTGTAAGTTGCAGAAATCTCTAAGAATTAACACTTGAACTTCGGTAATATTATTTTTCAACATAATGTACAATTAAATATCAATTAAAAGCTAAATTTTATCTTTAAAGTTTTACACTTTATTTTAAATTATATAATCAATTTATATGTTAAAGTAATCAATCAAACTTATGCTCTAATTTCATAATTAAAAGGGATAATTAAATTGGAAAAGGAATTTCATTTTTATGTACTGCTTTTTAAAGTTGCACTAATCTAAAAGATTTGATTCTTGATCTTAGGTATAAATTTATTTATTTAATATTTGATTTATAATATTCTGAAATGATATTTATTTATTTATGATTATTATATTAGAAACTAATTAAAAACTTTTAAATTATTTTTTAGAAATTTAAAATGCATTTGAATGCATTTATTTTTATAAAATTTAAAACAAATCTTTGTTTAATAACATTTAAATTTAAAATTTGATTCTCAATTTGCATATAAACAATTTTTTACAAGTACTATTTTTGTTTAAAAAGTGATTTATATTAATTTACAATATATGCAACTAATTTCTTTTATTTTACTTTTTATATTGAGTTACTAAAATTAAACCTACTTTAAATTATAATAAGTCACAATTAAATTGAATTACAAGATTTATCATCTATAGTACCTGCTTTTACAAATTGTTGCAGCCTATAATATCTGAGCATACATTTCAGGTATGAATATTTAAGTTTAATTTACTTTTTTACATAGTTATTATTTTTAGTTATTTTAAAAACTCACTTTATTTATTTATTTATTTATTTATTTATTTATTTATTTATTTTATCTATAAAAGTAATAATAATATTGGACAAAATATATAGCATGTAGGTTTAGCTTTAAAAAACTGTACAAATCTTCAAACACTATGTCTTAATCTTGGGTATTATTTTCAATTTAAAATAACTAATAATATCTTTTATATTTTTATGAATTCTAACTACTATCAAATTAATAAATTATTTAAATGCTAAGTAAAATAAATATTTTAATAATAATAGATTCAACAACATTACAGCTAAAGATATGTCAATTCTAGGATCTAATTTAGCAAAATGCTCCAACCTCTCATATTTCTATCTATATCTATAGTAAAAAATTTACTCTTGTTACATAATATGTCATACCATACTTACTTTTTCAATTGCTTTCGGTATTCGATAACAAATTTTAATACCATGAGAAATTTTATCAAATCCAAATATATCTTAATTCATACTCTTAGAAAACGGATTTAAGGAATAATTATATATTTTGGCATATAAATAATCATTCTTTCTGTCTGCTTTCTTTAAGAAAATATATAAAAATTCAATACTTTATTAGTTTAAGTTGTAATCAATCATTATTTTATTTTTTATCAGAAACTAGGTAAGTATTGGTTCAGATGTTATGAAATATTTAGGTCATGAGATTGCTAAATATCCTAAATTAAAAGAATTGTATTTAGACTTAAGGTAAAAATAAATTTTTGAGTGTTTTTTTTTTGTAATCAACAATTTTTGTTTAAAAAAATGATATAACTTATAATATTTTGATATGTCTCTCTTTTTTTGTGTAATCGAATCATAAAATACTAAAAATTATAATATAAATAAAAATAAAGCTAAAATAATTTTGAAGAAAATCAATAATAAAATCATGATTCAGGAGATCAATTAAATAATAGTCTCAAAAATTTGACAATTCTACTTAAGTAAAATTTTAAATATTTATTTAATTTTCATTTTTTTTAAATAAAATCTGATTATTTATTTTTTTAATTTAAAAGCTAAAACAATATTATGAAAAATATAGCATAAAGTCTAGATTTTAGTTTTAAATAATTTACTGATCTTTTATCTCTAAAAATTGAATTAAAGTAAACAAACAAACAAACTTTTTCTATATCTTTATAAAATACTTTTCAATATTTTTAAGCACTTTCTAAACTTTTTCATACCAATTTTTAAATAAATGCTATTATTTTTGCTCATTTTAATCATGAAGAGCATTTAGATTGTAAATTGTATTTAAGTGTTTTATTTATAAGCTATATAAATAATTATTATGCTAAATTGGCTTTTATAATATATTATTGTCATTTATTATTTATTTTTTGATTTGTTTTTATTTTTTTATAAATAAAATTTATAAATTCTTAAAATAAGATCAAATTAAATTGAAGATGAGTTTTTCATTTAACTGACTTCATAATTGGCTACCTAAACTAAATTATAGACTCTAATTCTATCTTTAGAGTAAAAATATTATATTAAAAAATCAATTTGATATAATAAATTAATAATTTCTTAAATAAAATTCAATAGAAGAAATAATATTAAGGCAAGTCTATCTTAAAATTTAGGTAACGGTCTAGCAAATCTAAAATGCCTTTCTACTTTGGATATCAATTTAAGGTAATAAAATTATATTTTTGAGCTTTCATATTTCAAATGAGGAAGAATTTATTAAAAAATTTTTATTATGGATACAAATGTTTACTTTTATTTTTTAAATTAAAGTGAAAATGGTCTTGGAGGAAATGATATTTTTGGATAACTTTAGCTCGCTAAATTAACAAATCTAACTAATTTAAAATTAAATTTGATGTAAAAAAAATTTTTAATCATTGTTGTTAAAATGTTAAATAAACTATATTTATCAAAAGGCATAATAATATTGGGGAAAATGGTACTAAGGCTTTAGCAACATAGTTAAAAAATTTAGTCCTTCTTTAAAAATTAGATCTTTTTTTATGGTATAAAAACAGGCTTTTTATTTAAAACAATTATAAATTAAATTTTTTTGACATAAAAGAAGCTAATAATATTAAAATAATTTATATTATATTTTAATTAAAAATAAATTAACTTTCAATTAAAATTTTTTACTTTTCAATAAATCAATTTGAAGCAAAAATTCAATATTTTTTAATAATATTTTAGTGATAATAATATCTAAGACTCTGCATTTGAATTAGCTCAGAGCCTAACAAATTGCTCAAATCTTTCAAACTTAACACTTTGGTTAGGGTATACTATTAGCTTTTATAATCTATAAATTTTTAATTTCAAAAAAAAAATTATTTTATTTCTCTTTGATTTTCAATCTAAAAATTTTTATTATTAAACATAAAGCGATAACGATGTTGGTAATTAATGTGTTGTTAACATATGTCTTGCTTTAGCTAAGTGCAAAAATCTTGTAATTTTATATCTTATTTTAAAGTAAAATTTAGAATTTTTAAATAAAAATTATGATAGATTTTAAAATAAATATATTTATTTCATTTTTCATTGGGGTGTTTAAAATTTTTCAATTTCAATTCTTATTTTTAATTATTATATTTATTTATTTATTTCTCATCTTTTAACTTTTTACTAAAAAAAAATAATAAAAAATATTTTTAAGTTTTAATAAATATAGAGAAGAACATGAATAAACTTTACTAGCTTTATGCTCTAATTTAAAAAATTGTCCATAGCTTAAATTTCTTATGCTTTAATATTATGATAGATATAATTATGATAGTTTGCATTCTGGTGTATAAGTTAATTTTAGTTTGGTAAACAGTCTGCTAAAAATAAAAAAATTAGTAAAATATGATTTTTATATTAAATGATTTAGTTTGAAAAAGATGTTCAAATTTTTATAAAAAAATGATAACTAACTTAAAATATGTGGAAAATATAGTAATAAATTTCTATTTCAAGTATGAATTTATGTAAAGTAAATATTTACTTTTAAATTAGTTGAATAAAAAATGCATTTAACTTTACAAAATATAATTTAAGTACAAAAATTTAACTTAGTTTTTTATATTTATCATATGAAAAACATTTAATAATTTAAAAATTAATTCTTCTTCTTTTGGTCAATCTATTCTTCAAAAAAATATTTAACTTAAATATTTAAAATACTCTATTTATTTTCTTTCACAATTTTTAATTTTTTAATATTTTAACAATATTATTAGCATTTAATTTTGGTACCAACAATTTAACAAAAATTACAAAAAATTCAGTTTAAAATATTTTAAGGTTTATTTTAAAATCAAATTTTAAGTAAATTTTAATTAATGACATATTAGAATAGTTTTAGTATGAGCTTAAATTTTTAAATATAAATTTACACTGCTTACTGAGAATTGTAAAATGAAATATTTTTTATGAATATTAATTAGCTAATTAAGGTCTATGTAATTTAAATAAATTTAAATTATTTATTTTACGTGATAAATAACCTTTGATAAAAGTTGTGAACAAAAATTTAGGAACAAAATAAATTAATTTCACAAACACTTCAATTACTAATATTATTATTAAATAAAATAATAAAGTATTTTTTAAGAAAGGTTGAAATAAGATATTTAACAAATATAGTCTTCATTACTAACAATCAAGTAGTATAACAAGGTAAAATGGATATAGAATAAGAAAGAGAGAAGAAGTAGAAGTACTTATGCAAAGAAATCTTAGATAAGAACTATGATTAAAATGAATTTGAGAATTTTTGCAGAGAATCTATGATGAGTGCTAATTTTGGTGGAGAAAGTAAAAATATTTTAATTAAAAATAAGCATCTTTCTAAAATCATTTTTAAACAGTTCATATAGATATAGATAAGTTAGATTTTTTAGAGTTGAAGTTGGTAAATAAATTTTCTTTTTTTATTTTTAGCAGTGACTAAAATTTAACATTTTTTAATATTTAGATAGTAAAAAACTTTCAAAGGTAGGCAAAAACATTGGATGAATAAAGAGAATAAAATGAATTATCTTAACAGGTAGCATATGATGAGAATTACAATATTTACTAGTAGCAAAATGAAGGCTAGTATGAGCAATTTTAGGAAGTAGATCATATTGAAGAATAGTTGCATGATAATTAAGCAGATCATAATGAAGATTTTTAGTAAGATAATCAAGAAGATCAATAAAATGAAATTTAATATGAATAACAATAAGTCTAAGAAGAAATCACATAGAACTAAAGCGAGGAAATATAAAATAACTAACATAATGAAGAGCATCTTGCTAATTCTCATATAAATGGATAAGAAGAAGAGCATGAAGAGGATCTCTTTGAAAAATTTGATGTAATTCAATGCTAAAAGTAGTTAGTGAGCCCAGGCAATGAAAATAGTATTAGAGACAGATCTTCTACGGATATAGCATTTGAAAAATTTCAGTAAAACCTAGTATCTACTCCAAATAATGATTTCCAATCCAACATTTGGCAAATGCCAGATTTTTCTGACAATAAAGTTCAAGCTCAAAATATATAAAGCAATTAGGTTTCTAGTTAAGTATAAGATCCCTTTTAATATGTTGGCTTTGATTCATTTGACAAGTAGAATCCTTAAAAAGAAAGCAATTAAGATCAAGCTGATTAGATAAAAAAAAATTCGATCTCAAGTAAAGAAAATCAATAGCAAGTTTAGTAAGTGACAAGTAAAATAAAAGAAGATTCCAGTGTTTAGAATGACCAAAATGCAGCTGTTACAAGAAACAGAAGCTCTGCATCAAATACAATAGATAATGGGACAGCAAATAATCAAGCTGATGTTAGAGAGAAAAAAAGCAGTAGTAATGCTTCAGTTGATAGCTCTTAGTTGCAAGAAATAGAATTTTAAAAATAAATGGAGGAGTTTAAAGCAAATGATTTTAAGACTTTGAAATAACTTAACGTGTACAGTGCAGGATAATAGCCAGAAGTTATTGAAAGCAATAATATTATTAAAATTCAATGCAAAAGATTGGGCTAAAGCTTAATTTCAACAAAGAAACAAGTTAATGTTTATATATCAAATATTAAATAAGTATAGTCTGGTCTCTTTGGATCAGTTACCACCTATTATGTAATACAAACTAAACCTTTTGGATGGGAAGTTAACAGAAAATTAGAAGATTTCTAATGGCTCTAAGCTATTTTGACAAAAATGTATCCTGGAATTGTTATCCCTAAATTGATTTAAGCCAAGAAAATAAAAACAGAAAAGCAAGAAAAGAACAGAAAAACATACTTAGAGCATTTTCTAAACTTATTGGTTTAAAATAAAGATTTAAAGAACAGCAAGTTCATTTTAGATTTCCTTTCTATAACTGATGACAAAATATACAAAGAAAAAATTAAAGAATCAGATAAATTTCCTAAACCAAAGAACATTGCTTATATTCTAAATCATGATGGCTTCGTAAAAAGATTAATTTATAATTCAAAACACATAGAAAAAAAGAATTTAACTTTGTAATATTTTAATTAATTTAGGTCAGATTAGATTACAGTAAATTAGAAAGCAAATTAGTTGACGAAGCTCTAAACACTTACTTAGATGTAAATGATGGTTACTATAAAAGACTGAAAAAGCTCTCAAAAGACTTGATGAGTTAATTATAAGTTGTGTCAAATACTCTCTTCGATATAGGTTCAACCTTTACCAACATTTACCAAAACACTATTCATTTCAAGCAGCAAGTATAAAACCACAACAATATATAAGTAAAATAATTCATAAATAATCTCACACTTTATAAAAATGACTTTTAATAATACAAAATTTAGTTTGATTAAATTCTTGATACGTATAAAATTATGAATAACATAAATATGATGCAGGCAAATAGCATAAAAGATCAAATTAGAAGCATAGAGAACCACTACTACCATTTTTTCAAATTCTAAAAAGAAAATAACTTTTCAATTAAAACACTTTCAAAGTTAAAAACTCAGATGTAAGACGAATATTCAAAAAAGATAAGTAATACACGAAATATTTTTAATTTAATGCTTAAGCAAACAAATATCAATAAATGTTTATTTTATGAGTTTTATAAAAATAAATAAATAAATAAGAATTTAAAATAAAAATCTAATTTGATATTTAAAAATATTATTTTAGGTAACAAAAGTATGCTCAATAGTTTAAAAAAAACATTTTCCTCTAATGGTAATGAATCAATAGATGCCCCTTCTAAAGTAAAAATTAAATTATATATATATTTGAAATAAAAAATCATCAAATTATGATTAAAGGAGCCAGAAGTTTTGAAAGATTAGATTGCATTTTACACCTACTAATTGGATAAGTAAATAACAAGCTAGTTTTATGATAAATCTAGGTCTTACGCTAATGAATTTGGAATGTACGCTAATCTTTCCTAATGCTTTTAATCAGAGGTAGATTAGATGTTTTATTTTTAATTTTATAATTTTTTCTTTCTACACTAACAATTTTTTTGTTTATTTTTTTAATTATTTACTTTCATTTCTTTCTAAATAATTTTCGAAAATTTTCTAATTTTTTAATTTTAACGGTTTGTTTTTTATCAAGTTTTTTATGATTAAATTAAATTTATTAAAAAAGATGAAGCTGTTTTGGCAAGATGTTTTAAAATCTTTAGAGCTGGTGAAGCAGTCTTGTTAAGGGAAGAAGATGGGTCCTTTAAAAATAGATATGATGAAAAAAATAAATTGATAATTTAAATTAATTTATTCGATTAAGCTAGTATGTATTGTTCATATTTTTATAGGTTTTTGTAAACCAATAAATAAATGATTGATTATTAATTGTTATTTATGATACACTTTCAAATTTATTTTTATAATTTGAATATATTTTCAGATAAAATTATTTTGCTTTTCCTGTGTTGAAATTTTAAAAACTAATCCTGAAACCGATGTGAAGCAACCTGATAAGGTCATCTATAAAAAACTAAGGAATTCGCAAACTTTTTTTACCTAATCTGCTTTTATCATTCTTTTCTATTTTTAATTGATTTTTTATTAAAAGATTTATTTATCTTTATTTTTAATCTTTATTCATAATTTAATTTTTTTCTAAAAAATTAAGATAATAAAAATATTAGCTAAAATCCATCAAGAATGTTTAATATTTGTTTAATATTTATCAATAAAATTTTATTGAGTTATGATTTATTTGTTAATAAAAACAAATTGATGATAAAAGCATGATTTAAACATAGTCATTTTTCATTAAATTATTATACATAAATATTTACTTTATAAAAATCAAATTTAGAATCTTTTTTAGCAAGCTATAAAAAAACATTTTCTAAATTAATCAAAAACAAATTTTAATAGAATATTAATAATTTAATTTATTTGAAAGTTTTTTATCACATTCAAAGATATATTAAATTATTTATATAAAAAAACAAATCTATCTACACATTTCAAATAAATTAAATTAAGAAAATAATATATTAAACTACTGAAAAACTTTCTTAATTTTTTGATAAAGAAATTACAAATATTTTTTTTTAATTTATAAATAGATAAATAAGGAACATAAATTAATAAATATCTCAGATATTTCCAATTTATGCTGGCTTTGATATTTCACAATTAAGATCATAACATGAAATTAAGTTAAATTTGAAAAAAATATTAATAGAATTTATCTAAAATATACTATCTAAAATAAATATATTATTTAGAATCTTAACGCTTTTTTATTTATTTTTAGTAAAACTGAATTTAATTTCATTAAAACAATAATTAGTCATTTTAAAAATTATAAATCCTTTATCTCTGAATTTATTAAGGAGTAAAATATTTAAAATTAGATAATCTAATTAATACACAACTGTTTTTTATAAAAAATTGAATTCATTAAAAAGAAATTAAAAATTTTTTAGAAATGTTTAAAAAAAATGGAAATATTTGATCAATTATTATAGTAAAAAGTAATTTAATATTACAAAGAAGTATTTTTAATTATCTGTTTTTAAAAGTATTATATGAAGGCATTTTAAACCATATTTTTTTATGCTTCTTAAAAGCCAAAAACAAATAAGTTTTTATTTAAACAAAATTAAAAACATGATAAATAAATCAAATTTTCGCGATTAAAATGGTGATGAGGTTGGTTGAGACATTTTCTACAATAATTTTTTTGGTATGTTTTTGATAGGATAAAATAGTAGTTATTTTCTTTAAGAATTGCTATTAAAAGTCTTAAATGAACAAGAGATATATAATATCATTTTTAAACCATATTTATTTACTCATTCATTGAAATATCAAAAAAGTATGATAAATAAAGCAGAAACTGTTTTCAATTAAAAATTATGAAGAAAATTGAGAAAACATTTAAATTAATTTTGATTATTTTATGTTTATCTTAATAAAAGCTGGTTTGATTTTTTGTGTGAATATTATGATTTTATCTTTAGGATTTTATAATTTAAAAATGGCATGAATTCTATCTGTATTTTTTAATGTTATGTTATTGTTTTAATTTTTAATTTGTTTGTTTTTTAGTTTAGTTTATTCTTTTATTAATAGTTTATATTTTCTTAATTAACTAATTTCTTTTATATTTTCTTTTTTTCCTTTATTATTTAAAAATTTTATTTATTCTTTTATTATCTTTCTTTTTATTTTTTTGTGATAAGGTGCTGTCTGTCTGTTCTTTCTTAAATCATTTTTCGTTTATGGAGATTGAGATTATATCGAGATTTTAGCATGTCTGAAAATTTCCTAGGTTTAAAAAATACTTTTTATATATTTGATTCTAAAAGAGAATTTTTCTATCTTCTTTGAGTATAGATTTAAGGGTTTTTTTATTTTGTTTTGATAGTTCCACAGATTAAAATCTGATTATACAATTTATATCATACAAATATTTAGTCTTCTCCATGTATCATTAAAAACTTATTGAATCGTAAATAGTTTAATCTATATGATTAATTTAACTCTCGCTTTGACCAAGATGGAGTTTATTCATCTTTGGTCAAAATAGATTAACTATATCAAGGTTTTAAAAACTTTTGTAAATTTTGGAGAAAATAAACATTTAGATATAACTTGTTTCTTAATTATTAATTATTTTTTCCTCTGTTTTTCAAATTTATTTTTGTTATTAATTATATATTTTTTTTTATTAGTCTTTAGACTTTAATTTTTGATTTGATTTATTTTTCAAAGTCATAACTTTATATTTAATTATGATTCCCCCCAAAAAAATATTAGAAATAATTAATATTTTTTCAAAAGAAATATTTCATTTATTTATTAAATTAAGCACAAATAGATCTAATATAATATTAATATTTACATTTACTTTTTAATATACAAATAAAATTTTATGTAAAATTCTTTATTGAACTCTATAAAATAAAGAGATATATTTTAATAAAAGTTAAAATATATGCAATGCTTTAATCAGAAACCATCTTGTTTTAAAAAATTTATTATAAAAATCATTTATTATTAAATTCTTCCAGATAAATATGAATTTTTTGAATTAAGCACATTAATAAAATAAATAAAAATAATGAATGCAAAAATTATTATTATTAAAATCAACTTATATATTAACATAAAAAATATAAATCTATTCTTAAAAAAATTGAATTGATTATTAATTTAGTTTTTATTTCTAATTATTTTTGAAAAGAATAATTACTTTTTGACAAATATTTTACAAATTTACTTAAAATAAATATATTTATTTAATAAAAGTTACAATGTTTAAATTAAAATCTATATAAAATTACAACAGAATTTAATTTCCTTTAAATATCACTTTTAAACAAGATTTAAATTAAAATAATACTTTTTTAAGTGAGTGGTCAAACATATTATTTGTAATTATTTTTATCTACCACAAATCACTAATTAGCTGATTAAATATGCTTTTTTGAATTTTTACATCTCAGCATAGTATTAGTGAATAAGTTTTTATTTTAGTTTTTAAAAAAATATTTATTGATTTTCAGCATATCTATTATATTAAAATGTAAAAAGATGATAAAGAAATAATAATTATGAATATGAAAGGTTTTTTGAAAATTATTCAAATTAATTTTTTTTGAATTTATTTTATTTTAATTTCATATTTTAAAAAAAAAATTATTTATTTATTAATTTATGAAGAGACTTTAATGAAGCGCATTTTAGAGACAAATAGATAGACAGATAGATATTTTAACAAGAAATTTTCTTAATAATAATAAAATACTAAATAAAAAATAACAATTATTTCAGTGGTAGATATCGACAGGTGGCCTAATAAATTAATTAAATTAAAATAAGATAAATAAAGTAAATTTGATTAAATAAATAGATTATTTACCAAAATTAAGTTACATTAGGGACTTTACCACCAAACTTTTATTCTAACATTTCAGCAGGAATCTTTTCAAGTATTTTAGGATATTTATCTTTTTTAAGCATTGTAATTTTTTCGGCACTTTCATGATCCATCATAGCACTGACAACACTCCAAGAAGCATTTAAACCAAAACTAGGATTGAGAATGAAAACCTTATCCATACATGCACAATAATTAATAGACATAGCACCTATAATCATTTTCAAAGCATTAATGGGGAGATCGAAAAGACCCATACCACCAGTATCAATAATGAAAACCCAATTTTCAATATGGTAATTGACGAACATATACTTTTTAATCATGTCTTATAAAACGCAGAGAGCTCTCATAACATTCTTTTCACCTTGCTGTTTTTATTGATAAAAGATTAATTTAAGATTAAGGAAAATGCTAACTAAATAAATGCTTTTGCTAAAATTATTAAAAATTTATTTATTTGAAATAAATTTTTTGATTGCATTAAGTATTAAGTGAGTTATTTATTTAAATCTAAAAAATTTTTTTATTTAGTTTTATCTTCTATTTTTTAATTTATTCTATTTGCATTCGTTTATTTATTAACTACTCACTTTTAATTAAAACCCTGAAATTAATTCTTTGATTGATTTATACTTTTAAAGTAAAATATAATTATTTCTATTTCATTAGAGAAACTTTAAAGCATTTCAAAGGGCTTGCTGCATGCTAACTAACTTATGCAAAAACTTTTTAGCTTGCTAAATTAATTATTTTAATATCGCTTTTACCTTTTTAACATTAATTTTAGTACAGTCAAGAACAACAACAGGACGGTATTATTTATCTCTACCAAGGAGATAAACGAAGCCACTTTCTAATAACTTCTTAGATTCTTCGTCAATTGTGTGCATATCAACATCGTTTCTCCAGGCAATGTGTTCTTTTGTTTGCTATTTTATTTATAAAACAGATTTTAATATTTTTACAACTGCGAGCTTTATATAATTTGTTATTTATTTATATTAAACACCATTTAATATTTTCCTTATTTTCTTTTAAAATATTCTTGATGCGTTTTTCAAAAATATTGAAAAAAGGCTAATTACCTTAATGCATTTTTACATATCGAATCTGGCACTGTAGCACATCTTTAAGTTATCAACATCAGTCCAACTGTTTAAAAAAATATTATAATTAAATGAATAATTTTTAAAAATTTGGATTTGGTCATCAAATAATTAAAACAATCATCTCAAAATATTTTTAAAGATTCATCCTTGTAATCAAATCAAACTAAACAAATTTTACTCGCTTGGAAGTTTGATTTCTTAGTCTTTTTCTAATACCTACTTGAATTGAGCAATACCTTACTACTCAAAAGCAGAGAATTGAGTATTATGATAAATTTTTCTACCTGCCTTCTTTCCTTCACCATGGAGAATATATTTATCTATTTAAAGGAGAGATATGAATAGTGAGTTTAAAAATGCAATAAATCTTCTTATTTGTTAATTAGTAGATGAAAATAGAATTATTTATATACCTTCGTGCTTGATGTTGACATAATCTGCAGGAGGTCTTAAATAAGAAGGGTCGAATCCAACAGCTGGATCAATATTTTTAACTTCTTCCATTTCTTTCTGATATGTTTTTGATGAATGAAAGCTTATTTGATGCTTCTCTTTCTTTTTTTTGGATAAATTAAAGAAAAATTAAATTTTTTTCAATCAAAATTAAATATATATTATTTAATTGTTTGCAAATATAAAGTAGCGCCGAGTAAGATACACTATTAAAAATTAGTAACTTCATAGGAAGTCTTGGAATAGAACCAGTCAGCAATCAAAGTTAATTAATTGAAATAAATTGTTTTGAAATTTCAATATTTCTCATTCTATTTCATGAAATTCGATTCGTGTCACAATAATTTACTCATACTTTTTTTCTCAATTACCTGCTTGAGTTATCAAAAATTTTTAACAAATAATCAAACAGAGATTGATGCGCTATCTCCTTAATGCAATAAAATAAAATTAAAAATAAATAAATAAATAAAACAAACAAACAAAATTAACTTAAATTTCTTGATTCAGGTAAAAAATATAAGTGCTATTTTAATTTTTTCTCTTTTATTTCACTAAATTATACAAACATATAAAACGGTTAAACTTTTTATTACATAAAAATAATAATTTACAACCCTTCTATCAAATCTTAGAATTTAAATTTTTCTTCAAAATAAATCATAAAATATTCTAATTTAATATTTACAAATTCAATAATTCTAAAATTAAAATGTGAAGGAAGATAAACAAACAATCACAATAGATTTATTCTAAAATAGATTAATTGGTTTATAAATAGTAATATCTAAAATTATTACATCTTAGTTATTAAAAATTTAATATTTTCTAAGTTATTTTAAATATGGATTTAGTCAGCAAGTGTTAGTAATATTTACCTAATAAAATAGAAATTTATATATTTAATTTGTTTTTTTTGAGAATCAAAAATAAAAAAAGATTTTTCTTTTTTAAATTTTATTTTTCACTTACAAATATTTTTAATAACTTAAAAATGTATTTATTTTCATTTATCAATTTTAAATTTTAGATGAGATGTTAAAATATTACTTCCTTTTTTTATCTATTTCTTTTTTTAAATAAAAAGGATATCTTATTTTTATTAAAACTAAGACAATAAATATATAAATAAAATTCAACTCTTTCAATGAAAAAATTTTAAATATTTTTATAAACAAAGTTTTATCAAAATTCTAATAATTTTTTGAAATTAAAAAAAATTATTTTTAAAAATGAAATTGTTAGAAAATTATCAAAACAATAAATTTCATATAAAATGAAATATAAAACCTTGATTTTAAATTTGTGATTATTTTATTTATTTTTATAAAATGTTAATCTAATTTAAAAATTTTTATTATTAAAAATGAAAAAATAATATTTTATGTAATAATTAATTTTTTCAAAAAACAAATTTTTATTTATTAATTAATTTTTGTATTTAAATTTGCTAGTAATAAATATAATTCCTAATTAATAATTAAATAATTTTATTTTTAAAAATGAAAGCAGCAATTAAATTTTAGCAAAAATTGCAAATAAAATTCTCAATTTTATTTAGTATAATAATGTTTAGAAAAAATAAATGAAAATCTAATAAGAAAATTAATTAATCCTCATTTTAAAAGTTAATATTAAAATTTATTTTTATCTAAACCATCATCTAATTCTGAATCATAAACTTCACCAACATTTTGTTTAATTTGATTTTCTGTAATTTATGGACATGTAAAAGAAAAAATCAATAAAACTGATTTAATATGTCATAAAACATATTTAAAATATTTTAAATAGAACATGATGCATTTAACAAATTGATGTTTACTCTATTTATTGCCTAAGTTAAATTTACTAATGGGCTTAAGCATATACACTTGATTATTCCTATATTATTAAAAGAGTTTTTGTGGGAAATTGATAAAGAAAATTCTCAAATATTTATTAAAAACTTGGTTTGCAGTTTAGTATCTTATAATACTTAGTAGTTGATAATAAATGTATAAGCTATTCTTATTAATACAGATAGTTTTATAATATTAGAGCAGTTGTTATTAAAAATAATATTAGAAAGAAAGAAAGAAAGGGAATTATTTTAATAAGGTCAATTCATAATTTCTATTTGATGAACTATGTAATAGTACAGTTTTCAAATAATAATAAAATAAAATATGTATTAATTTCATGAAATTTAGAAAATTATTATTTCTTTTTTGTATTTTTTAAAATATTACTTTGAATGTTTTATCAAGTTTTATATTAATTTCTTTTTCTTTTTATTTTTTATTGATTTTAGTTCGTTAATTTTTTTATTAAGTAATAATTTAGATAAATGTTTTTAGCTTCTAGTTGGAAAAGAGAGATGAACAATTTGAGTTTTTAGTAATAAATAAATGTGATATATTTTGATAGAATCCATTATTTTGTTAAACTGTAAAATGGTTTATGTAGGTTTTACCTAGGACAAAATGAATAAAAAAAGAGAGATTTTAAAATTAGATTAATACTATTTTTCTTAAATTATTGATAAGATCTATTGTAAAAATTTATCTCCAAGGAATACAAAATTTTAAAGGTAAAGAGAATTATCATTAGTTAATAACATTTTATTAGTAGCTAAAAGAAAAAATCTAACTTATTTTAGCTTTAAAAACATCAAATATTCTACTACAGAAATTAGGCAGAATTAACAGTAATAATATTTGCCTGTAAATAACTTTGCGTATATGATGTTTAATATTATCTTGAAACTTTTTAAAAACTATTGTATGGTGCAAAGATTCTGTAAGGTAGAGAAGCAAGGATTAAAAACTTTTAAAAGCTAATAAATATGATTTTTATTTTATTTAACTGACTTTAAAATATTATTGTTTTTTTATTGTTCTCATTTTGTATTATTTACTATTTGAGAAGCGCTTTGTATTTCTTTTAATCGTTAAATATTTAATTATAAGATAATCATCAAAACTACAAGTTATTGAATTATTATTTCTTATTAAATTTACTAATAATATTTATTGATGGCTAACTTTTTTATCTCTTGATTAAATAAACTTTGTTTTTATAAAAAGAAATTCTATTTTATTTAAAAATAGTTCTAAGAAACATTTTTTTTAGCCTTAGAAAATTAAATTTATTTTTTATTTTTTTATTAAAATATTTATTTAGATTAAAATAAATGATAATCTTTTAAAAAATAAAATTAATTAATTAAATTAAAAAAATTAAATATTAAAAAATAATTTTTTTTTTTTGAATTAATTAACCAATTTTAAATAATTATTTTTAAAATAGGTTTTTTTGGAGCAGAATAAAAATAAAGAAAATCATTAAAAAGTTTAAAAAATGAATGGAGAAAGCTTTAAGAAATACATATCTAAGCTAAGAATGAATGGAATGGCAGACTGCTTTTGTTTAAATAAATGATAAAAAGTAAATGAAAAAGTAAAAAAAAGCAATAGGTTAAAACGAGATTAAAGGATAACAAAGAAGGGAAAAAGGCAAATTTAACAGGGTAAAAGATACAACTAAATTTTTACTTGAGAAAAGAGCTGCTTGAAATAATTAAGAATTTATTAAGAAAAAAACTAAGAAAAAAGACAATAATCACATATTTTAACACCAATTCAAAATGCCTAACAAATTGTGGAGAACTCACCCCAGAAACTACGGTAAAGACTCTAAGGAATGCAGAGTTTGTGGTGCCAGATAAGGTCTTATCACCAAGTATGAAATGATGACTTGCAGAAGATGCTTCAGAGAATAAGCTCCTCACATTGGTTTCGTCAAGGTAACATATAGCAATAGCAATTTAATCAATCATATTTAATTTTAATCGATCAATAAATTATCATTCAATGAGTGTCAATTACCAAAACGTTTTACTAAATTAATTACCATCAAGTATTAATAGATAAAGTTAATAATAGAATTTAAGTAGTGCCATAGTTTGTCTAATTATTAGAATTATCGGCCTTATTAAAGCTGTAAACATTTTAAAATCGTCCAACAAATAAATAAAAAACAATTGATTAATGAATCGATCAGCCAAAAAGTTAATTCCAAATAAATTAACTTTAAGAAAATCTACTTTAATTAAGCTAAATTGTTAGCTTGATTGAGTATAAATAAACAATTATGAAAGGATTAAAAAACCGAATGACAATCCATAGATTAAATCAAGGTTTGAGTTAAAGAAAGAGCCTTTACTAGCTTCTTAAACTGAAGTACTTAGCTTTTAGAATGAGTGTAGTACTGACTTAAGTAAAAAAGAAATGAAATAAAGTTTCATGCATGCATGTATTCTTTTAAAGAAAAATAATAATTTGATTTATTTATTACAGAAAAAATCAAGGAACAGAGTTAAGCAAGCAAAAAAGGACTAAGTAGAGGATAAAAATAATAAGATAAAATAGCAAATTATATAGAATCAATAATAATAACTAAAAGGAAGTAGAATGCACAAAATAAATCATTAGAATTAGCTATTTATTTGAAAGAAGTAGAATAAAAAAATAAGTAAATCCATACCGCATATATTATTCTCTGCATAGAGTAATTAACTTATGTATGGACAAATAAATTACCATTTCAATAATCCCTATAATATTTTTATATAATTTAGGATTCGCTAAATGGAAACAAAAAAATAATAATAATAACCAATCAATTAATATCAAAAGCATTCAAATTTTTAGTTAATTCAATTCAATGATTAATTCCTCCATTTACTTCTAATTAATTGATTATCCTAAATCCTAACTTAATCTGTTCAAAAGCATTAATTAAAATGAGTTTGTTGGACTTTTAAAAAGTGATGAATGATATGATGTTTATTTTTTGGCATGAAAAATAAAATAATTAGTTTACAATTTGGTGAGAAAGCACTCATTAATTCATTTAGAATGATAATTTTGATTTTATTTTTGAATATTAGTTTATTTTTAATTTAATGATAATTATTATAACAAACAGTACAGATGAAGAACCTTATGTAAACGGAGATTAGCAAAAATTTAAAATATACTCAAAATATATCTATTGTATGTGAATAATAGAAATATAGATTTAAATTTAACTAATTGCTTCTTTATGTAAGCTAACTTGCATAATATATTATTACATATAGATAACTTTTTATTTAAATCTGTTCTAACTTAATTCATCAAAATCATTTCAAAAAAACAGCCTTTCTCTTTGTTTTATTCACCACTCTTTTCAATCTTAATCTTGGAGTATATATAAATTAATTTATGTTTCTTAAATTAATTAATTAATTAATTTTCGACCAAAACAAAACACAAATATTTTTATCACTCCTAAATATTAAAATGCAACAAAATTCAGCTAAACTAAATAAAACAAAGCAAAATATTATTCATTAATATTTCTAACAATTTTAGACAATTTGCACTAGAAAGTAAAAATAAAGAAATAAATAAATAAATAAAAACTTTCTATCTATTTTTCTATCTATCTATAAAGGTATCCTTAAACAACTTAACAAAATATTTTATTTTTCATTAATAAAACCAAATTATTTTGCCAATTATTACAAAAAATAAATATTAAAATATTTTATTTTATATAATTTAATTAAAAATAAATTTAATAATCTCAATGCACTATTATATTAATATTAATATAATAAAAATTTAATCTGATTATGAATTGAAAGCTATTTAAAAACTCGTATTTATTTTTCATTTATAAATCCTGAAAATTTAAATAATAATTTTAATTAAAACCATTTTAAACACAAAATAAAATTATATTTTTAGTTCTTTAATACATATTATTACATAAGAAACTTATAAATAATCATTCATAATGTTTCTATAAATTTTTATTCATAAGATTTTAATAAAAGCTAACTTATAATAATTTAAATGACATTTAACCATCATTAATTAATTTTTAACAAATATAAAAAAAAAAAAATATTTCTTAATTAAAAAATAAAAAATTAAATGCTTGTTAGATTTATTTATTTTTAAGCAATTTAATAATTTTGCTAAAAAATGTTTGTTTAATGAACAAATTAATAAAATTTTCTGTTTATTATTTAAATGAAAAATCTGATTATTTGGGGTTTTGATTTTATGATATAATAAGATAAATGAATATAAAATTCTAATTCTATTTGAAAGCATATTTTTTATGTAAATTATTTTATAGCCAAATAAAGAATTTATTATTAAGAGAATGAATGATTTAGTTGGTTGGGTATCATCATTAATAATAATAGCTGAACATATTTAGTTGAAATGTTTTATATTGAAAATATCTTTAATAAATTAATGAAAATAACTACATACATGCAAGGAAACTCTTCTATGTAAATTTGATTATTAATGGATGATAAATTGTTAAAGTTGTTCTCTTATCTTTTTTTTTCTTATTTAATATTAAGAAACAAGAGGTTTTAAATTAATTAATTTGTTATATTAAAATCTTAAAAAAGATAACAATCCAAATACTAAGAAAAAGAGGAGACTCAAGTTAAAATATCTCCATCAATATATTTAGAAAAATTATTTATAAACACAGTTTAAATAGCATAGCTTCAAAAATAAGATAAAAATGCCACCAAGAAAGAAAAAAGTCGATCCAGAAGTTTAAAGATAATAATTTGAATAGTGGAAAGCTTCGCCAGAATACGAGCAAATCAAAAAAATTGCAACGTTGCTTGAAACTTATGATTATATAACAGAAACCACAAAGGATTTTACAGGTCCTTGGTATTTATATCTAAATGAACTTGTTGGGTTCTTTAAATTATACAAGGTAATGCTTATTTATATTTTGATTTGAATAATTTAGCCTATTCTTTCGAATAATTAACATTTTTTGGATTGATGGTATTAATTTTACTATGCAAAAACCGATTAGCAATCATAGAAATATGACATAAAAAAACAATAGCAAGTGAATAATTTTTTAAATTGATTAAATTAGGTTAAATTGGGAAAATTGAAAGAATTCAAGCATGAACATATTAGAAGTTTCTTCTTTGGTCGTGAAGATAAGGAAACAGAAAAGATTATTATAGATGGTATTCGTTGTGGTGTCACGAAAGAGCATGCTGATAGAAGTTATTTCTGCAGACACAAATTCATAGAAACAATGAAATATATTAAGGATATAGATGACCTTGACCCTGAAACATTTTAAAAAGCAAAAAAAGAAGTTATCAAGATTATGAAAGAATTCGTTAAATTCTTTACTCCCCATATCAAATATGGTCATCCTGAAATCTACGACTTAAAAATTGTAACTTGATTGTTTATAAAATATTCTTATTATTTACAAAAATAAAGGATTTTTATTAGCTAACTTGTTTTTCAAATTTGCAAATTATTTTATAAAACAGCTCATTTTACTTGGCTTTCATTTTAAAAACAAACATTCTCATTTGTTATAAATAAATAATAATAATAATAGGCAAAGGTGCTAGAACCATTGACTAACTTAATTGATATTAACAACTAATATAGATAATTCATGATTACTTATAAGCCAGAAGTGGAAAAGGAAGTTAGAGATTTTATGTCTAGGGTTATTGTTAAAAAATACATCAATCACCTTTAAGAAGTATTTAGAGTTCTTTATGAGGTAATTTATTTATTAGCATAAAATATTTTCTAATTATTAGAAGAATGTAATATATTTTTAATTAATTAAATTTTATAATTTAGGAAAGCATCAAGCCAAATATTAGCTGCCTTCCTGACTGCAAGAGACTATTTTATAAAATTCATATTTATGGATGGGAAAAGAACCCTGTTGAAAGCAAATATTTAAAGCCTCTAAATGACTGCTTCTTAAAAATGCAAAAGTGTTTGATTGAGATGAAAATCTATGGTATAAATTACTGGAGAATTCCTCTTCACTCAAATGAAAAGCTTATGAAGTGCATAGAATTGTTAATAAATGCAGATCTTATTGCAGAAAAGATTATTGGTAATCCTCTCAAGAGAGACTAACTTAATTTCTTCTACAATATCATCGGACTTATTTACAAAAGTGATGAAAAAATCAGAGAAAATCTGCTCAAAAAAGATGAAAATATTACCAAACTCGCAATCCCTCAGCTAATCATCTTTAAATAGATCTAGCATATCTTGAGTTGGAAATTTGCCAAAAAAGAAAGAGAAGAAAAGATACGTATTCAATCTGAAAAACTCTCCATATTAAATAAAATTAAAGAAGAAGAACGTGCAAACTCCCCTCTCAAAAAGCGTATGGAAGAGAAAAAAGTCATGGAAGAAACAACTGTTTCCCTCAAAAGTAAAATGAATATCACTTCTCCCTAAAAGACAACTTCTCCAGTAAAGAAAGATGATAAATAAGAAGAAGAACCTTTACCTGCTGAATATAAAGTAATAAATATTTCAGTTAAATCAAATACAATAACAAAATTTTTAATAAAAAGCTTCTTGAAGGAGACGAAGCAATTTACGGAAGGTATTGGTATTTAGAAAATTTAATTGGTGAAGATGTTCGTGAAGAAATTGAAGAATGTGTTGAAATGCTCAGACATATTAATGAAGCTGTTCAACAAGATATTGAAGATTCTTATATCAAGTAAAATTTTAATTTATATGAATCAGTTAATTCATTCAAAATATAAAAGATCCTAACAATACTAGAAGTTTTTTTTTTGATTTATTAATTTATTTATTTGATTGGTAGAATCGGTTTGACCTAGAAGCAAAAGAGAGGTGATAAGAAAGATAAGAATGAGACTCCCTATTATTTAGAGTTGAGTGAGAGAGAAAATTCAAATATCAGAATGAATATTGTTCGTCCTCCTGAACTTTGGAACTATCCTGAAATATTAAAAGAGCATAAGTTTAGATCTATTGCCAATCCAAATAAATGTTATGATGATCATAGAGTTGATGGCTTGGATAAAAAGATTATTGAACTAGCTCAAAAGCTTAACAATTATAGAAGATTTACTTGGACTGAAATTATTTCTAGAATTATTGATGTTTATTCTGGAGAAGAGAACCTCTTACCAACAAAGATTGATCCCAGAGAAGATCCTACTTGGTTTGAACCTGATCCAACTCCTCATGAAATTGAAGTTCAAAGAAAAAGGGAAGAATTAATAAAGCTTCAATAGATAAATGCAGCATAAGCCTTACAACAACAAGGAGGAGGCACCGATCAACCAGAAGGAGAAGCTTAATGAAAATGAATAAATAAATAAATAATTATATAGTTATACTTAAAATTAATAATTTAATGTATCTTAAATATAAGTATGTTTTAGTTAATCAAAGGCATTAAAAATACTATTAATTTGATCCAAATTTCAAAATCTTTTACATTATTAAATTAAGTAAAATAATTTTTTATTGTGCAATAGCATCTTTATTGAGCATATTAATTAACTTGATTTATAAACAGAACAATATTTTTTGAATTTATCAATTTTTACTTCTTTGATTTAGAATATTTGGCCTTATTAAATTTTGTAAACTTCTCAAAAAGCTGCCTTTAATCAATATTGATGGTTGGCCAAATAAATTTAACTTTGAAATATTAAATTTTTTCTTTAAAATTTATTTTGTTTGAAATGCAACATTTATATTTATTTAAATAAAGTAATCATATTTATTTTGATATTTGCTTTTATTTCAAGCTTTCTTTGAAAAATAATTCCAATAATGATACTTGAGATTTTTTTAATTACCAAGCTTTTTTTCCTAATTCTTTCCAATAATATAAACATTTGAGAATGATGAATAATTTAATTTTATTAAATTATAAATATAATCAAAAAAGTACACTTTTAGTCATAAAAAAAGGCAAATTTCTGGTAGATATGTTGAAAAAATTGAGAAAATGTTAATTTAATAGTTTTATTATAAATAGTGAGATCAAAAAAAAAATCTATTTTTATTTTACATTAAATTCATGAATTAATCAATCACTCTAATAGAAGTATTTCTGTGAAATCTATGTTTTGATATAATTTAAATATTAAAATACTAAATTATTAAAAATAATAACAATAAACAAGTAATTAAATATATAAGCATGCAAATGGAAACTTCAATTAATAATTCTATGGACCTTGGAAGAGGTTTAGTAACAGATTAATCAGAAATATAGTTATCTGATATGAAAAGAACATAAAAAGAAAGTGATTAAAATAAGGCCTTAAAGAATGGTTAATGGGTTTACAATTTCAATAATGGAGACAAGTATGATGGAGAATGGAATAATGATTAAATGGATGGAGTTGGCAAACTTTAGTATAAAGATGGTTCTGTATTTGAAGGAAGATTTTCTAAAAATAAGCGTAGTGGTTATGGTGTCTATCGCTTTTCTAATGGTAATTACTACGAAGGTTAATGGTAAGATGGACATCAAGAAGGATTTGGTGTTTTTAAGTTTTTTAATGGTGAGAAATATGAAGGGTAGTTTAAAGAAGGAATGTTTGATGGCCAAGGAATTTACTACTACAAATCAGGAAATAAATATGTTGGAAATTGGAAAACTGATAAATGGCATGGAGAAGGAGAGTATTATTTTAATAGTAATGGTGACAAAAAAAAGGGAACTTTTGATTAAGATGTTCTAATAGGCTAATTTACTTATTACTATAAAGACGGTAGAGTTGAACAAAAAGATAATTGATCAAAAATATCTCTAAAAATATTTATTTAATTTATCAATCAAAAAACTTTAAAAACAATTATAAAACAAAAAGTATTTTTAAATAAATTCATTTATAAATAGATAAAAGTTTAAAAATATTTTATTCTTCAGTAGTTTATATATATTTTTTTGTCTCGTTTTTATATCCATATATATAATTTAGCTCTCTAATTAAAAAAAGATTTTAAATTATGTTTTTTTAAGTATTATTATTAAACATAATAAATATTAAATATTGTTCATCTAATTAAAATGCACTAGATTAACTAAAAAGCTTTTTTTGCTATAAACTATAAATAAATAATTACTATAAATACAGATAATTATTTTTTAGTGCTATTTATTAAATGATATATATAATAAATACTTCAATAGTTACAAAATCACTAAAACAAAATAAAAATGTAAAATTATATTTAATCTTTTTTTTCAAAAATATATTTTACAGTTTAGTAAAAAATATTATTTTTTTTTTAAACTATCAAAAATTAGTGTATTAGAAAGTTCAGATAATCATTTTTAGTGCAATTTATAATTAAAAAATGTATTTATTAAATTTTAAAAGATGATAGAAAAACTAAAATATTTTATTTAATTTTATGTGTCAATTTTTATAATTATTTTTAATAAATTAATTTATTTCAAATATTTAGCTTTTTAATTTCGCTTATTTAGTAAAAATGTATTTTATTATAGACCTTAAAAAATAAGATTATTTTTTTGATAATTGATATTATTAAATTAAAATTGTATTATAAATGCTAATTTATTAGTTGATTTACCATTAAATTTTACATATTTTTAAATTTTCATATTTGAAAGTAAAATTAATTTAATTCTCAATTTTAAACATTTTTAAAAAAAAATTATTTAATAAATGATCTTCTTTATTTTTATTTTTTTTTGAGAAGAATATAAAAAAATTATTTAATTTATAAAAATTAAATTTAGTTAATTTAGTGTTTTTTAAATCTAAAATTATAAATAAATAAATATTTATAATCATTAAAGATTTACATAGCAATATAAAATATATCAAAAATGAAAACAAACAATTAAATTCATCTTTTATATTTCGAAAATAAAGTATGGAAAAAAAAAATGTTCTACGAAATTATTTATTAAAATAAAATAAAGACAATTTAATAAAAATAAATGAATAATTAAACAAACAGAATTTTATGGAATTTATTTAGAACTGAATAAGAGTATTTTTCAAACTGAAATAGAATATATAATTAAAAACAACTAAAATCAAAACTAACTATATTTAAATTAAGTTAATTTTTGTAAGTTAAAAATGAATGAAGGATATAGATAGTGTGATTTGATTTGAGAATTGTAAGTCGCATATCTGCTTACAAAATTTATGTTATATTATATTTTTAATGAAAAATAAAATAATTTGGTTATTAAATTTATGTTATTGAATTAAAGTTGTTATTGTTGTTATTGTGATTATTACTATTTAATTTTTGAAACTACTCAAATTCCTCATTCTTAGTCGTCCCAGTGACCCTATTATTGGTTCATCTTAGGACCACCAGCTTGCTTAGCAATTACGATCTATTATAAAATAACAAAAATAAGTAAGCATATTTTCAATCAAATTCATTTATTTTTGTAGTGATTAATATTATTTAAATGGGTTTACCTAATCAACCTTAAGGATAGTAATGGCAGCATCAGCAGCTAATCTAATAGCCCATAACTTAGATTGTAAGTGGTCATAGACAGCTAATTCAGAGGATTTCTTAATAGAGCCATTCTTTTTTAAATAAAATATCAAGAATTAAATTTATGCTGGGTTTTAATTTTTTATTTATTCTTACATCAATATCAATACCGTGGGGTTCTTCCTTATTGGCAGTGTTGAGCTTGGGGATGATTTCGTTAGAGTTCAAACCTGCATTATCAGACAAAATTCTGGGGATAATTTCAAAAGATAAAGCAAATCTGTTGAAAGCATATTGGGAGAGATCTTCTAAGCTCTTAGCTTCAGATTATAACTTGTATGATAAGATGGCTTCAGTGGCACCAGCACCAGGGACTAAATTTATTAAAAATAATTAATTAATTTATCGTTTAAAGAGATGTAATAAGTCAAATTACCAAACTTGCCGTCCTTGAGGAGACATCTGTAAACATTGACACCATCGTCAATAGCACGTTCAATATCGTCCAAAAGGTTAAGGGTAGAACCTCTCAAAACAATAGTATTTAATTTGCAGTCGGAGCTTTCCTTCTTAATAATGGTGACCTTTTGAGAACCGATTTCTTCAACTGAGGCAGAGTCGCAGAAACCAATTTCTTCAGGATTAGGAGCATCTAATCTAGCAACAGGAGAAGCACCCAAAGCCTTGCAAATTCTCTTTAATTCGAACTTGGAAGTGCACTTAACAATCATCATTTTATATTTTTCGACGTAATGTAAAACGATTTCAGAGATGGAACCACCAGCAATGATAAAATTAACACCAGAATCAGCAATTTTCTTGACAATGGATTCAGCGTGGGATTCCTATTTTTAATAAAGGTTTATATATAAACAAAAAAGTTAAGTTTTTATAATTTACTTCAGATTTAGTGTAATTAAGGAGTTGTTCAGCATTTTGAATTAAAACAGTTCCCTTAGTTTCAGCTTGTTGGGTATCGAGAGGGCAAGAGTAAACAGCAACCTTGGGGTTAGTAACTCTTGTGATAGAGCCTTCAGAGCTTCTGGTAATGATCAAACCTTATTGGACGTAGGAGTCATCAATAGAGGCACCCAAAATCTTAGCAACTCTGACGTATTCCAAATCAAACTCTCCATCATTTTCAGGCTTACTGTTAATACAGGCTTATGAAACAATCTTAGAGAAAAAGTCAGCGTGGCTATTAAAATAAAAAGAATTGTTTAGTTAAAAATTTTATTAAAATATTTATAAATTTGTTTGTTACTGGATGAGCTTGGAGGAGAGAGAAGCTCTGATAGCTTTGTTAACTTATTCCAAATTGGTAGGATCTTCAACGGTGTAAATGGAAAGAGTGGGGAGGAGGGATACGGTAGCCTTAAGAGCCTTTTCGTAACCAGCAATAATTTGAGAGGGGTGGAGACCCATCTTAATTAAAGATTCAGCTTGACTGAGGAGTTCACCAGCCAAAGCAATAACTAAGTTGGTGGCATCACCACATTCGTTTTCTTGCATCTTAGCAGCCATAACGATCATTTTGGCAGCAGGGTGTTGAACTTCCAACTAATTATTAAGTAGTTTTTGTTAGAATACAAATTAAATTATGTTGGAAAATATATATTTTTTAAGGCCATCTTTATAATAAAATTAGTTAATTGCTTTGGCTTTAAAATAGGCTAATAAAATTAATTGTTTATTTATTTATTTATTGTCTTATATATGAATCATTTCGTCTACTTAATTGCTTTATGACAATTTTAAGGGAATCAAATAAAAAATAGATGAATTACTTCTTGCATGATGGTGGCAGCATCAGAAGTAACAAAAATCTTATCAAGGTGGTTGATAACCATCTTCTTCATACCTATTATTCATAACAATAAATTAATATAAAAGTGCTTTTTGAAGAAGCAGAAGCTTCTTGTAGAGTTTATGTATCTATAAAAGAAGTGATTTTAATCTTTTATGTTTAGAATCATCTAATTAATATCCTATTTTTTTTCTGCTTCATTTGAAATGTTTTTTTATTATATTTATGGATTTAGCTACTATAAATATTTTGTTGTTCTTTACTACTCTCTACAATTTTGTTGATTTTGCTGAGTTTTTTATAATTATAATTATTAATTAGTAGTTACCATTGGGACCGAGAGAGGTCTTGGTCATGTTAGAGATTTCTTTGCAAGCATTAATGTTCTTCAAAAGAGCTTCTTCCATACCAGAGAAATGTTTGTGTCCCTTTTGAATGTAATGAGAAATATATAAATACATAAAATGATCAAATTTGCTAGTTTTGAAGATAGCCTCTATGAAATTAATGAACAAAATCAAATATGTTAAAGAAATAATTTTCATAAATTGTGGCAACATTTAATTCTACTAATTTTTAAAGACTTATTATTCATTTATTAAAATTTGTTTAGACTTTCCTATTTAAATTTTATGTCTCTATAATAAAAATTGTGGGATCCTTTTAGATTTTTTTAATTTGTCCATACATAGCTGAGTTTAAATTGAGAATGCTATTTAACCAAATCGCTAAATAAATTTGGAATTTTTGATGGAAATTAGAAGACTTATTGCTGAAAAATATTCTTTAATATGGGCTATGAGTGACATGCTATCAACAAAATCAGTTTTATAATTTAAATATTTTACTTCTTTAAGAAGACTGTTGATACCGTAAGCAGAGGCAAGGGACATTTTGATTAAATTATTTGTTTGTTTATTTGTTTAATTCTTTTAAAAATACTTTTTTGGTTTTTTTTAATTTATTTAATTAATTATTTTTTTGTTTTATTGTTAAATAAATTATTTGATAAATATGAAATATATTTGATTTTTTTAATTTTTTGCTTTCTTTCACAAAAATTAATATATTTATATATCTTATTTATTTTTATTTGTTTATTTTCAAAAAATATTAAAAACAAATAAATGTTCATTCATACATTCAATCATTCTATCAATCACTCAATCAATTATTCATACATAAAGACAATATATATTTGCAACACATATCTATAAATTCAATGCAAATCATTTATTCATATCTAATATTGCTTAAAAGATATTTAAAGCTTAAAAATTCAATATTTCAAAAATCTTCTTAGCCTTAAAAAGTCTTATTCAATAATTTAACATCTAAGATACAGCTGACACACATACACATATATATTTATATATATCTTTTAAGATATCGCAAAATCCAGAAATTATAATATCCCTTTATTCATCTATCTAATTGATTTAATAAAGAGTTTTTCTTCATTTAATAAATTCATCAAATAATTAAAAAATATATAAATATAAATATTTAAAATTTATATATTTTCAAAATTCTTAAAATCCAAGCAAACACTGAATTAAATAAACAAAATAAATATCAAATTAAATTCATTCATTTCTTATCATAAATCTAATATCTTATTTATTTATTTAATCTCGCGCTTTTTTCTCATTCATATTTTAAATTGTGTATTCGTTATTTTTTAAATTTTCATTTACTTTACTTTAAATTTTAAATTCATCTCTTTATAAAAGGTTTTAAAAAACAGCATATATTTCCTTTTTAAACCTAAATTATTTCTTTTTTAGATTTAAATAAATTTGGATACAAAACATACTTTTCCTTATTAACTACTTGATAATTGACATTAAATATGAATTTCAACTTAAATAGTGCAACTTTTGCTGAAAAATGCCAATTTCATAATTCATAAAAACATGGATTTATTTATTTTTAGCTAAAATTTTAATGTTTTTATTAAAAAATATCTCTAGATAATTTGTAGAAATAAGTTGAATTTACTTAAAATCATGTGTATTATTTATTGCTGTTGATTGGATACCATTTTTTTTATTTATAAAATAGCTGATATTGTATAAAATAGATATTCATTAAATGATAATATTGAGTGCTATGCATCAAATGAATATGAGTTTAAAAAACCACATATATATATTATGCAGGAATACTTAAATTTGTACATGATTTTTTAATTATATCATATTTTAATATTATTGATAATGCAGATAAGAAGAATAGATTAAATTTATATGAATTTCTAGAACTATTAAAACTCAAAAATATTATTTTTAGTGCTGTATTAATGTTTTCATAAGTTAATTCAACGAGCAGAGAAGACCTATTTTTATATTTAAATATAAGTAAATTTGCTTTTTAAATGAATTATTATTTATTTACCAAATCATCAATTTTAAGAATCATTCTGACACATTCAGTGGCAAGAGTGAGGGCAGATTGGGTGACGAGAGCGGGTTGAAGAACATTTTCGGTGGTGATATCATCATTTATAGTACCCTTTCTGATTGAGATACCAGCGTATTTATGTCCGAGAGCGTGTCTATTTCTTAAATCAGTTACAATATTGATGGGGTTCAAACCAGCATTTTCAGCTAAAGTGTAGGGGATAACTTCTAAAGCATCAGCGAAAGCTCTAACAATAAGAGAGTTAACACCCTTCATTTCTCTAGATAATTTGGATAATTATTGAGAAATTTCAACTTCAGGAACACCACCACCAGGAACTAAACCTCTGTTCTTAACCAATGAACGGACAACGCACAAAGCATCATGTAAAGATCTTTCAGCTTCGTCAATAACCTATTTATTTACAAAATAAAACATTTAAAAAAAGGTATTTTTGGCAAAAAATTATTGATTTCATTTGTTCAATAATAAAAAATATACAAGAGAGTTAGAACCACGGCAGAGAATGGTAACAGTCTTAGCCTTAGATTGGACTCCAGTAATTTTTAAGATTCTAGAGTCATCAGAAAGCTTAACATCTTCACAGAGTTCAGCCTTACCTAACTTTTCAGGAGTTAAGTGATCAATGTGAGCAACAGGGATAGCTCCGATGGTCTAAATTAATAAAAGAAAATTTTTAGAAAAAAGAAAATAAAAAATGAATATAATTTACCTTGGTGATAAATTCAACATCTTCTCTTTCAATATCCTTAACAACCATAATACCCTTCTTGGCAAGGAAATGGAGAGAGAGTTCGTTAGTGGCGTCTCTGAGGATAGATTTTTAAATAAGGATAACATTGGCACCAGATTTGACAATCTTGGAAACGAGATTGGCAATATATTTTCTTTCTTCCTTGAGGATTCTGTCCATAGCAGTGTAATCCTTGACAACGACGGAGTTTTCAACATCAGTCTTGGGGGAGCTCAAGCAGAATTGGATCAAAGCAATCTTAGCGTCTTTAATTCTACTGGGACCACCAGCAGATTAGGAGGGCTTTTAGTTAGTGAAGACCAAACCTTCAATCAATTCAGTGTCTTCAATGGTACCACCTAACTTCTTGACAACCTTAATATCTCTCAAATCAGCATTGGTGTCCTTGGTGGGATCAATAATCTTAAGAACAGCATCGACAGCGATGGGAGATAATTATTAAGAGTTAGTTGAAATAACCTTAGAGGATAAGGCAGTGTTAACACAAGTAATAAGAGCATCTCTGTCCTTCAAGTCAACGGTTTAGGAGATGTCCTTAAGAACCTTAAGGGCTTCATCTAAAGCAATTTAGAAACCTTCAGAGATAGTGGTAGGGTGAATACCTCTAGCTAATAAACTTTCACAGGCGTGAAGGAGAGCACCAGCAATAACGACAACTGAAGTGGTACCGTCACCAGCTTCAATATCTTGTGCCTTAGAAATTTCGACAAGCTTTATAATAAATAAAAAGTATTTGTTAACATCATTATTAAATCAATATTATTTCTTCTTAGTAAATGAGTTTTATTTGTTATTTTTTATAGACCCAAGTTATTTCTATTCTTCTTGGTGTATTTAAGCACATTGAATTGAATAATTGTTTGCTATTTCTACTATAAATTGCTTGTTTGTTTATTTATTTAGACTTTTTTTATTGCTTATTGTCAGTCTTTTTTGTTGTTGTAAACTTAAGAAGAGAGTGTTAAAGAAAAATAAATTTATTTACCATCTTAGCAGTAGGATGAATGACATCCATTTGCTTGAGAATAGTTGCACCATCATTGGTAATGAGAACTTGACCCTATTATTAATTAAATAAAAATGAGTAAAACAGTCTAATTTAACAAACGATTTTGTCAAGAGAACTTATCGATTAAAGTAATACAATAGAGGCATCTCAAAGACAATTTTTAAATTGCTTTGATGAATAAAATCAGACTTTGTTTGAAAAATATTTGTTTTTTTCAATCACTAATTTATTCATGTTTGGATTAATGTTCTATCAAAATACTATTAAATCTTAAGTTAGCCATGCTCATGCAAAATTTGGATGAATATAAGTTAAATGCATTCTCTTGACTTTGATAATGAATTAATTGAATGTTAATTTATTTACCTTAGCATCTTAGATCATCTTATCCATACCTCTAGGACCTAAACTGGTTCTAATAACATCAGCAACAGCTTTCATTTAATAGAAAAAGATATTAGATTTGAATTGTAAAATAAGATGCTTTTAAATATTTCAAAGCAGCTTTATACTCTCATTCTAATCACTATGATATTAAAACAAACAGATACCTTGATTTATTTTTAAGTGCTATAAACAACAGCGCTTTTAATTGTTTCATTTTAATTTAAAAAACTTGCTGCATAATTGATTTCTTTCTCTTAAAGAAAACTGTTTTGATAAAATGAATCAGGAACCCTCTGATTTAAGTTTTTAAATAGATATTTTAGCTTGCATTATGCAATAAAGAAGGTATGTGTGTATGTGTGTATGTCTTTTGTCTAGTGATATAGAGAGATTGTAGAATTAGAAATTAATAAATACCCTTAGCAGCTTGAATGTTGGTGGTTCTGATGTCATTGGTCTTTTCAGATCTATTTTAGGTATCTCCCTACTTGCTGTTGGTACTTACTTTAACAGCAGCGGCTTTACTTCCCTCGCTCATTCTTTATATTATTTTTGATTTTGTTTATGTTGGTAAATATTGACGATAAAAATATATATTTTTTCTTTTTTTTGATTTTTTTGTTTAATAAATCTTTATTATATATTTTTAATTTTTTTCTGTTTCTTTTAAAAAATGAATTAATCTTTTTTATTTATTTATTCATAAATATATATATTTTTTTGCATTCATAATCAAGATCTCATTCATTCATGATATCCGCATATTATATATATTCATATACACTTCAAAACAATTCATATATCTTAATTTGATTCTTTTTTAAATTTGAGAAAAAAATTAAAAATTTTTGAAAAAATAAAATAAAAACAAACATTATTTGCAATCTTAAATAAATAACAAAAACCAAGCTACCTAGCAAAAACTCTACTCATTCATCTTTTGTATTATAATTTTTGCTAGAAATTAAAAAAAGATACGCGCACTCACTCAAGTCTTCATTCCAAAATTAATTTTAAAAATCTGTCTTAAAATATTTAATTTCAAATAAAAAATGTTTCTTTTCACATATAGAAATGTAAATAAAATTAAATATTTCATTTTTAAATAGTTTATTATAAAATATTAAAAGCAACCAAGATGCTTTTGTTTTATGCGCGCTTTCAAATTAGTTATTTATGAATAAAACAAGCTTTATATTACAAAATTATTTAATAAGCTCTATCTACACCCAACCCACTAAGAGTTTAATTAAATGACAATTAATTAAAGATTAACTTTTTCAAAATTTTGCAAAAATTAAACAAATATTTATTTAATTTTTATTTATTTTATTTTGATTTTATTTGCATACTTTAATATCCTACTTCATTCATCTATTAATTATATTGATTTCAAAACATAAGTTATTCATATTCAATTTTATATGATTATGTATGTTAGATTGAAATATTAAATTGAAAACATCTCTTAAAATAATTTTACTCAAAAAATTAAAAAAAATTAAAATAAATTTAATTTATTTTAGAATTTTATTAGAATTTATTTTAAATATTTTTTTTCATGCAGAGAATAAATAAGAAATAATTTACTATTAAAAAATAAAATGTTATTAAATATAAAATCAATCAAAGAGAATTTGAGGTAATTGTTAGACCATTAATTTGCTGACTTATTTTGTTATTTTTGCGATGATATTTTTGATTTAATCAAAATTTGTTTTTAAAAAGTTCTATCAGACTTTTATAAACAAGCAAGCATTTCATTTAAAATTAATGAGAGTTTATCCTAGATTAGAAGGACCTTAAAATATACCTTCTTTCAATAAAATTGTAAAGTGTTCTTCTCATGGTAAAATGTGTACTATGGTTTGCATGATGAACAAATGCGATGACAGAACTCTCTGTGCAGATTGCATTTTAGATCATACTCATAGCCATTTATCTAAAATAATTCCACTTAAAGAATTCAATGAACAAACAAGTGTGATACCACAATTAATATAAAGGGAAATTCTTCAAGTGAGATCTTAGGTTTTTTCACTTTAAAATTAATTAGTAACAGCAAAGGAAACACGCAAAAAAGAGTTTCGGTCAGTTATAGCTTCGATCAAAGATATATTTAGACAAGAAATTGAAACTATTGAAAAAGAAGGTATCACATTTCTCGAAAAATTCTTTAATAAACACACTGAAGATATTGGAAAATAGCTTTATATTATCCAAGGACATTTAAGTTCATTGGCTCCTTACCTTTCTGATAACGCTTTATCAGTTTAATCTTCTTAAATAAACAATTTGCTAAATTACCAAGATACCTTACTTTCTTAAGTTCTTCCTTAATTAGAAACAAAAACTAGAGCTCTTTCCAAAGAAATAGTTGAAACAGATATATTCTTAAATAATTAAACATATATAAATCGTGTGTAAAGAGAACTCAGTAAGTCATTAAATATTCGATTACTTTTCACCAAAGAAGACCCAATCAAAGCAGCTAGGCAATCAGTAATAATATCTAAAATATTTCAAAAAACTTTTTAAATGATTTTATTTTTAAAAAAGGTAGACTTAGAATCAATAACCAAGAGCAAATCAATGATTTTAAATCCGAGAATTTCTGCTGATAATTTAATAAGTAGTTTATCATAAGGGCCTGTAATACATATTCCAAAAGATAGAATTCAAGCAGATGTACATTCAGATGAATTGCATAAAGACAAAGATGTTATGAAGGTATTTAGTAACCACTTTGATGTAGTAAATTGTGTGTGTATTATTGATAATTCTAAATTTTCTAGCGCTGGAGGGGATAAGACCATCAGGATATGGGATATTGATTCAGGATACTAACTTGCGAATATGCACGGCCATTAAAAGGATGTGTGGGCATTGCAGAGAATAAGTTCTATCATCATAGCTTCTGCAAGTGCCGATAAGACAATTCGAATGTGGAATATAGAAGCGATTTAATGTGTTCAGGTTTTAAATGGTTTTTATTTCTTATTTGTTATATTTTTTTGATATAAAGCTAAATTTAAAATAAAATGTTAATTAAAATTAGGTCATACTGATGTAATAAAGTGTCTATGTTACTGCAGTGATAAACAAATTCTGGTTAGTGGAGCAATAGATAATGTAATAAAATTTTGGGATTTACAAGTTTAAATGGATTTAAAGAATACTTTAAATATTCATTCTGGAATGATAAGGAGTTTATGCTATATAGAAGTGAAGGGTTTAGTAATCAGTGCAAGTAGTGATAATTTAATTAAAGCAACAAGCATAGATACGTATAAAGTTTAAAAAACATTATCTGGTCACTATGGAGAAGTTAACACAGTGATTTATCTTTATGAAAAAAATTAAGATAGCTTTATAGCATCAGCAGGAGTTGATAAAAATATTTACATATGGAATGTTGATCAAGCATAACAAGTTAAATAATTTAAAGGACATTATGACTCAATTAATACTTTAGCATACTCTAAAAAATATGAAGCATTAATAAGTGGGTCTACAGATAAACTTATTCTAGTGTGGGATAAAAATGGGAAAATTAAAAATAGAATTAAAGTCCATAGTGCTCTTGTTAGTGGTTTAGGTTATTTAGAAAGAAGAAACCTGTTAATATCCTCTGGTTGGGACAATTTAGTTTTTGTTCAATATTTTAAATTATTTGATGATAATGAATTTGCTTGATTTTGTTTTATATATTAATAATTAAAATTTCTATTATTTTTATTAACAAAACAAAAAAAGTTTATTTATTTAAAATTTAATTTAGTAAAATTAATTTTTTAAAGCAATCTAATGAATACATTTAATTACATTAAATTTTTTAATTTTTATTGAATAAACAGAATAATACTTTTAATAAACCCCCATACATTATACAGCTAATAATAAATAAAAATTTACTTCAAAATAAAGATTTAAAAAAAAAAACTACTCTTTATTTTATTTAGGTAATTATTTGACTAAATGTATCAAAATACTATTTTAAAAAAGATAATTTTGTTCAAAGTAAAACAAAACATTTTGAAATTTGTTGAATCCTCACAAATTAAGATCGATTTTTTCTTTTTTAAACATAAATTGAATATAAATTTGTGTTTTATGAAAGCTTTGGAAAACATTAGATTCCTACATTATAAATAACTAGCAAGTAAAATAAGAACTTATTTTTTTTACTCTGTTTAGCAAAATAATTTAATTTTGATTTTCATTTATTTATTTGAAATCAATTAAAATAATTTATGTTTTGGAAGTGAAGTTCAGAAACTATAATAAATATTTGTTTTTGAAAATTAATATAAATTTTAATTTCCTCTAATGATTTAAGCTTAGTGATTTGAATCAATAGAAATCAAAATTTAAATTTAAATTTTTAATAAAAATATTATTTTGAATAAAATTAGTATTACATTATTTATGTTTGCTTTAGTTATATGTCAAACTTTGAAATTAAAAAAATATACTATTTTATGAAATATTTTAAAATAATTTGGGATTCAACTTTCGATCAAATTTAAAAATAAATTTTAATAGAAAATTACATTACAAAATCATTAAAATATATTTTATTTTTTATATAATTGCCCTCCTTTTTTAAATCTTAAAATATTCCATTTTTCCCTCATTTTACAAATTAAATTTGATTTATAAATACATATAAAAAAATTAAAAAAGAAATTTTATATTTACTTTTAAAACCTAATGGCTATGTGCTGTTTAGCAGCAATAGCCATTTTTTTAAATAGTTTTCCTTTTTTTTAACTGAATATTTTATAATTTCAGTTTTTTTCACAAAATTATTAAAATTAATCAATAAAATGTCAAAAAATTTGAAACTTTTTATGTTTAAAATTCGTTAAGTAAAATCAAGTTTAACATAAAAAATTAATTTAAAAGAAATAAAAATTTATAAAAAATAATTAAATTAGTAAATTTATCACTAATATCTTGAAATGCATTCGAAATTATATTTCAATGATGATCATACGATATACTCTAATAATTAATTATCAGATTAAGTTTTTAATTCATTTAAAGATGATTATAACTTAAAGCAGAAACTAAGGCCTAGTAACTACCATCATATTAAAATATATCATATAAATAATAAATAGTACCACACTTAATAAGAGCCTTTGAGGATTTGTTATTAACTAAACTATTGTAAAAATTTATGTTCCTTTATATATTTTAAAGAATGATTTTAGTGTAACACAACCTATTAATTATCCTCTACTTTTGTCTTGGAATTTTAATTCAAAAATTGAAAATTTATATTAGTTAAATTTTTTGAAATTAATAAATAAATAAATATTATTTAGCAGTAATAATATTAAATTCTAAATGAATTTTAGTAGATTGAAGTTTTTATATCTTTTTAGTATTTAGCTAAAAATCATTTGTTTTAATGCCAATATCAAATAATTTAATTTTTTGATAGCTTCAAAAATTATATTGATTTTAGAAAGCAAAATTGGTATCAAGATATTTGATTTTATTAGAAAGAAAATAAATGTAGAAATTAGACGCTAACAAAGTGTATAATATTATTAGTCATTCTACTGTATCAAATTAAGAGCTTAAAGAGGTTGTTAATTTTTATTAAGATGAATAAGAAATGAAATATTCAAGGTAAATAGTTCTCTCATGCTTGTTTTCTTTCTCATTATATGTTTAAATCCAAATTTGAAAAATTTAAATGAATTATCACATAAAAGAGCTTTGCTTTTTTCATTTAAATAGTCTTTTTTGTTTTAAAATAGCTTAGAACCTAATGATTTCACTAGTAGAGACAATAAAGAAAAAGCTTTTGTAGATGCTTGCTGCTGGAGCTTTTTGTAGGAAATTCTTAAGGAAGATGATATTCAACCATTTAGTAGAGAATATCGCAATTAAATGTCACAGTTTATAAAATAGCAAAGCTTAAAGCCAGATATGGATATCGAAATGGATACTTCTCTTTTGAGTAGATCAAATACTTCAGCTGATAATTTACAAAAAATTAACAATCTTTGTCATGATAGAATGGAAAAATCTATATTTTATTTTGAGTTTTATTAGACATGGTATAATAAATCAGACAAATAAAGAATGTAGACACAAAGCTATGACCACAATAAAATGCCTAACTTTTTATTCTCTAATTAAATAAATAATAACGAAGTAATTTCGCTGGAAAAATCTAAGGGAATGCTTGCTCCAAGGAGTTACTCAGATTTAGAAATCATATAAGATTTGATTTATTATGATAATCATCTTTAAAGATTTTCAAAAGTTATTAAATGGATATAAAGCAACTGTTTAACATAAGAAGCGTTTGATCCTTAGACAGTCAATCACAAAAGAGACTAAAATGATAAAATGTAAATTGAATTTTGGGCTAATAATAAACATGAAAACGAAAAACTTACAACTGTATTTACATTGCTTAAGCAAGGCTAAAAAGAAAGTGCTTTCCGTTTTATGAAAGATCAAAAAATGAACCTTCCTTTGGCATTAATTGATTCAGTTTTTCCTTACCATGATTTCTTATTGTCAGACTCAAACAACCCAAATAATTTATAAACTTTTATAATTTAAAATGAGCTCAAAAATAATTTCTTAGTTGATATTTTAAATAACTTTACTTACTCTGAAGTTCTAAAAGACAGAATCAGTCACTACAAAAAGAATGGTTTTAACCCAGAATTTATTTTTGATTATCAAGTTGGAAATTAAAATTGGCTTCTTTCTTTGAGCTAAGCTTAGTTATCATCACAGGTAAATGATTAAATAAATAAATATATTTTTATAGTTATTTTAATTTTTTTTATGACAAAAATCTTTTAGGAGAAAAACACAATAGGAGAAGTGCTTTATTTTTCGTACTTGAGCTCTAATAAAAATTAAATTCAAAAGAATTTAATGTCTAAAAATCAATGGTATGAATATGTTTGGGCAACCTTAAAAGTAAATTAAAAATAAATTATAGTATAATAATCAAACTTATTTAATAAATAGTACTTATATGTTCACGAAGTCATAAAAAGATTCTTAGTTATCAAAGGTTTACTATACGATAGCATAGAACAATATTACCCAAATTACGAAAATAACTTTATTGATTTTTATGAATCTCCTCTTGATAATTACAGAAAACTATTTCATGGTTCAACACTCGAAGGTAACATTTATGATGAATTAGGAAATATTTTGGGTCAATTAAAGGAAGATAAATACGAAACATAAGTATTAATGATTCTTGCTTATTTAAACAGAGACTAAACCTTAGATTAATCTTTGTGGATTAATGTTTTCTCTCATTTGCAATAAACTTCCAAGCTTGCTTATGAAAACAGAGAAAAATCAAGTAACTCATCAATAATCTGCGAATTTAATGCAAAAATATCATTTTGTTTACTTAAATCCAACTTTATCGTAAGAAGCCAAAATATACTAGACACCTACGACTATATTATAGAATACTTCGTTAGATTCCTGATTCCTCTCGATAACAGATAATAAGAAATTATTGCATTCCTAAAGGTAAATTTAATTTTTAATCAAGAATTAAAATAAAAATCTAAATATAATTTTATCTGTGAATGATTTTTGAATTTTATAATGAAAATTAATTAACCTTTAAGTATTTTATTAAATAATTAATTTTTAAAAAGCATATTGGAATAAATGAAAAATCAAATAATGAACATTTATTAATAGTTTCTACTTAAAATATTAAGCTAATTTATAAAAAAACCATTTTTTTAGAAATTTTTTAATTGAAAATTATCCTAAAATCTTTTCTTTAAAAATAAGACAAATATTTAAACAAATAATTAAATAATATGAAACTTATCCGTCTTACTTTATTTAAGAAGGAATTCATAATAATGATTAATTTAATTTAACAAATATCTAGTTAATTCAACTTATCTTAAATTATATTTTGTAAAGTAAATATCATATTTTGATTTTTAATTTCATTTTTTATAAATTAATTTCAACAATTTTTATAAATAAATTTTAAAGCTTGAACTTAAAATATAAATTAAATTAACTTTTTAATTAAAACAAAATAGAATCTAAAAGATGAGAATATTGTATTCGAATTAATGGCTAAATATATTGCTTCTAAAAAAAGTGAAATTGAGAGAAAGAAGATTAAATAAGAATTAGTTGTGTTTGGATACAGCGATTAACAAATATAGGGAATATTAAAAGAATTAGTTAATAGTTAGTTCTCAGCTTATAATACTAATGATAGCATGAATAATGTATCTGATTAAAGTATCATAGACGGCCTAAAAATGTTTATTGAAAGCTATTAAAATAATATTTATCTTTGCATGAGCCACTTTTTGAGTGCTGCAAAGACTTTTATCCTAAATGATAAGCTCTAGGTTTATTAATAAATGAGAGAAGATAGAGATATATCCAATATGGTTGATAAATATCTGCAACTTACTAACTCTAGAGGAGATCTAATTAAAGAGTCTAGAGACTATGATCCTTTTTTAAATTGGCTCTCAGCTTTTGATGAACTAATGAACTGCTATAAGCTCTTAGGAGATTTAGATAATATAAATATGACCAATAAACATTTTAGAAATTCTGATTCTGTAAGAAACTCTGGCAAAAAGGCTAACAATTAAATGGCTAATGAAAATGATTTCAAATCCAGTTAAGTTAAGAAAGCTTAAGTAAATTATTTATTTTAAATAATAAAATATAATAAAATATTTTTTGAATAAAAGGAATTTATTATAACTTGTGAGAGCACCTTTTTTAAGTATAATCAGAAGGGTAGATATAGTTATATTTTTATAGATGGAAATGTTAGATTTGCACAACCAGAATTATTTGAATATAATCATAATCCTGTTATGATTAGTGGTTTCCAAAATATTTCAAAGCAATATCTCTATAAGTGCATTAATAAATGTATAAATGTTGCATAAACATTTAAAATAAGTGACGAAATGTAATTATTATTTTTTTATATTTTCTTTTTTTAATAAGTTTTTATAATAACAGAATTAGCTTTTTGTCTAAATACTACTCACCCTCTTACAATGCATTCACTCTGTTTGAATATGACTACCAAGAGCTTATATTAAAAAAATCTACTGCATTATTGACATAGAATACTAAGTTTATGAGAACTGTACTAAATTTATGAAAAATGATATTAATCAAATAAAAATTAGATATTAATTTAATTTATGAATCAAAAAAAATTATTATTATTCTGTACAATCAATAATAAATATATTCTATTTAGTTTATATCTGTATTATTTTTAAGGTTTCAATTATTTTTATAATGATATATTGATTGACTGTAAAAAGTTATAGATTCATAGCAAAGTAATTTGATTTTTGTTCAGTTCATTCTAAATTCTATTCGAAATAAATATTGAAAAAAATATTGCTTTATGAGTTAAATATCACAATAAGTGATAGAAGAAGAGAGTGCAGAGATAAATGAAGATACGAAAAGTGTCGATAAAAATGTAGCAAAGGAAGGTTAATAAAAAATAATTGATTAGTAAGCTGAAGATATAACTATCTAGCCATCATAATAGATGAATGATTAGCAATCATAAAAAATATAATAAACAAGTACTAAAAAATTGGAGCATAAAATTTAAAGTGGATCTTCGAAAAAGAAAATTGAGGATTAAGAGAATTAAAATGAAGATGAAGATAAGCTTGATGATGCTGAACTCTTTTATATTGAACTTTAAGATGCTATCCTTACAGGAGATTAAGATCATATTTTGGAAGTAAAAAAAAAATATGAATAAGCTGTTTACTTAAAAAGGAAAAAAATTACTGATGCTGCAGTAATATAGAATAATTTAAGCTTTTTCAAATCTGAAAAATATTATTCCTTTACAAAAAAAGGATAAGAAGAAGGAAGAAAAGGCCATTAAAAATTAGCAACATCTACTTAAATAAAGCCAAATCAATAGAAGAAACTTAATGCTAGAAAAGGAAAAGATGATAGAAGAAAAAGAGAAGGAGCTTGATAAATTACATGAGAAAATTAAACAAAGAGCTATAGAGGAAGAAAAGGAGTTTCAAAAAAGAGAAAAAGTGAATAAAAAGTTGTTTGTTATTCATTTAAGAAATAACCTTCTTTTTTATATTTAGGAAAGAAAATAGATAGAAAAAGAAAAGACAAAACTGGCCAATACACATAACAAGAAGATAGAATAAGTTATATCAGAGTAAAAAAGTGAAATGGTCTAAAAGTAGAAGCAATAGTAGGAGGTTATTATAATTAATTAATACCTAAAATAAATTTTATTTTATTGTTTTAAAATGTATTTAATAAAAAATTAGATATTGAAGTAATAGAGATAAGAAGATGAAGAAAAGAGAAAAGAATTAGAAAGGAACGAGAGAGCCAAGCAAATTGAGTTATATAACAAAACAAGAAAGGAGTTGGAAGAAGAAAAATAATAATAGAAAGAGTTATAAAAAATAAATAAAAAACTCTTTGAAGATGAAGTAAAATAGCTAAGAGCAGAAGATGAAAAAAAATAAAAGCTAGAGGAAGAAGAAAGGAAGAGATTAAGAGAGATAGACTTAAAAAGAAAGAAAGATTAATAGTAAACTTAAAGTTTAATAGATTCATAATTCTAAGCTGTCTAAGAAAGAAAAAACCTTTTAGAATAAGAATATAGTCATAAATTTGATGTAAATAAGTTTTTCAAATTAATAGCTTTATTTTTATCATTTTTAAGAAAATAAATAGTAAGAAAGCTGAAGAGCTTGCAATTCTCTAAGAGAAATCAAAAAAAAGGGATAAGAAAATAGAAATGACAAGAGTATTTCATAAATTATTTATTTGTTAGAAGCTAATTTTTTATTTAAATGGTTTACTTTAAACTGTTTTTGAATAAATTTAGTGGAATGCACAGTTTTAAGAAGAATGGAGATAAATGAAGCTTTAAGATAAGATGAGATTGGAGGAATTTATTTTAAATGAAATAATGGAAGACAAGTAAAAGTTTTTAGAGTGGAAAAAAGAGTAAACTTAACTAAAGGAATAATAAGTATCTCAGCAAAAGCTTCAAAAGCATATTGAAAAAGTTGATAAAATAAATTAATATGTAGATAAATTAGAAGCAGATGATCAAATGACATTCGAAATATTCTAATTAAAGCAAATGCAACACAGTATTAAATTTGAAGATAAGCAAAAATAGGTTGAATTAGCTAGGTAATAGGCTTAAAAAATGTAAGAAGAGAAGGAAAAAAGAATTGCATAAAAAATTAAAGAAGACGAAGAAAAGGCATAATTAGTCATAAGTTAAAATAAAACAATTAAACTGTCAGATTATGAGCAAAAGAGGCTTTTGATCTAGCATAACTTAAAACAAAAAGAAAAATTAGATCAAGAAAAGAAGAAGAAGATCATAGAGCAGATAGAAATGGATAATATCAAATATTTATAGAGCATCTAAAATAAAACAGCTTCTCTTTATTATTTTAGGAAGAATCGTCTAATTAAATCAGCTAATCAGTAAGAAAACATAAAATAGGTTGAAAGAGCTCGAAGAAAAAAGCTAATTTAATTTGAATAAAATATTTAACAAAAAAAGGAGAGAGTTGAAATTAGAGAGTAATCTTTCTTTCTTAATTCATTTATTGATTCATTTATAAAAATAATTTTTAGTATTTCAAAAATATCTAATTTAGAATAAAAATAAATATGAAATAATTAAAATACACTTTTATTAATAAACTTATTATTTATTTAGCTAGCTAAAGCTCATTTACTAAAGGATTAAAATATTATGTAGAATGTCTTAATTTTTAGTTAATTTTATTATTTGAAGAAAGCAACTAAATTTATTAACTTTTTAGAGAAAATGTTTTAAAATAAAAAAATAATTAGGTAATTTAAAGAAAGAGAGTAAGAAATGAGAAGGTAATTAGAAATTCATGCACAATAAATGAAAGAAAAGGAATTTAAAAAATTAAGAAATATTATTTCATCTAACAAATAAATAAGACCTTAGTCTTCTAATCCTTATACATAAAATAGGAATTATTAAAATCTGTATTGAAATGAGTTAATTGTTTATTTTTTTTAGCTTTTTTAGAAGGTTTTATTAAAATGAGTGATTTATTTTCCTTAACAAAATATTTGAAGTGTTTTTTATTGAAATATTAAAATGTTGCATTCATTTTTTGTCAAATATGAAGTATATTCTGCTTTTTTTCTGCTTTCATAAAAGCATCGCTTATTAAAAGAGGAACTCTTTGGTGGTTTTGCTTAAGCTTTCTTTTGATAGGATAAAATTAAATAAAATAAAGATTCATTTATTTGAACCAATTTAATAAATTGATTAAAAAAATTATTTTAATTTACTATGCTAACTCTTTGATAATTGGAGCATGTACTAACCTTTCTTTATAATTTATCAGCTTGATTAGCTTTTGGTCTTTTTTCTCGTTTTGTATTAGTACATCTTTATCTTGATATGGATCTAAAGGATACAAGTCTTAAACATTGTACAAGTTATTATAAAGGTATTACTAGTTTGACATGTAAGGATACTTTTTTTCAATTGTTATTTATTCTTTTATTTTTCCTCTATATTTGCTTTTGATGTACCATTCTGTTATTATCTTTTTGTGTTTATCAAATAAAGCTTTCTTTTCTTACCTATTTTCATATTTATTTGTGCTCGGATCCCACTCAGGTTTCTTATCATCTCTTTAGCTAGTGCATTTTAAGGATTCTTCTCTTACAGATATTAAATGTGTGTGTTAATCCTCCATTTGTTTTATTTATATTAAGTCATTAGAATCTTTTATGCGCTCTAGATCTCTTTTCATGAATTCTTATGCATCTGAAATAATTAATTACATTATTAAAGTTATAAAAAAACAATTATTTATTTATTTACCTTATCTTTTATATTTCTTTCTGAAATACTTGTTATTTTGAAGAAGCGATGCCTCATTATGAAGCTTGCTATTAATAGACTCTTGTTTTAGTTACTTATCACACAAATTATATTATTTGTTTAACTAAAATGTAAAATTAGCTGGTTCTTCGTCTTTGTCAACTATACAAATATTGTTTTACTTTTTTTGCTTAATTTAATTTGACATTTCTTCTTTTAAACTCACATACAAATCTTAGCTCTTTTTTAGTTTAACCTCTAGTTCGACTCCCATTTTTTCCTTTAATTTATTTCTTTCTTCAATTAATTATTGTTTACAGCTCTTTACAGAAAATGGCTTAAGCATATCTAGACTGAAATTAATTTATCTTTTATTATGCAGCGATACATTTCTTGAATGATGAGGTGAAATAGCTCCATTTAAAATGCTACTATTTATGATTGATTTAGACTGATTATTCTATTTTTATTTTATTAATTTATACTTTAAATTCAAAAATTATTTTACGCTAGCAACATTCTTTCTTTATGATTGTGCAAAAATAATACTTCCTTTTGGAGATCCAATCTCAGTCTCAAAATTAGATATATTCCTAGAAATATAATATGAATTGACTTCATCATGCTTATCCAATAAAGAAAGCTAGCTTTTTCTTCTTTCAGGCTTAACTTCTTAGTGAAAGTTTTTGAAGTAATCATTTTAAGAATGGTCTGACTTTTCCTATTGCTGTAATGTATCTATAGTATCACAATTTATGGAAGAAATCTCATGTGTGTTATGAATAGATTTGAAGAACTGTTTTAAGTAGGCTTAAAAATATTCAATTTATTTAGATTGTATTTTACTCTAGTTTTCTCTGGCTTGTTGGGTGCTTAGATATTTATTAAATCTATCAAACAATAGAAAGAACCCAGAGAGTTTGCTGATTTCTTCTTTAATTATTTAACTTCCATATTCTTAATATGTCAGTCAATTCAATATAGTTCTACTTCTGATTATTATTATTTCTTTAATTAAAAAAATATGCTTTATATACAATTTATTGATATTAATTATATATAATCATTCATAATTGTTGTAAATTTTTTCAAACAATTCAAAATAATTTATAAATACTGCTTAAATTAATTATTTGTGAAGCTCTACTTTAATAAATAAACATTAGCAAATGTTTTATTTAGTAAAATCAAAGACTTATTATAGCTAATTAATTTATAATATGTTTAAAAAATAATCTTCAACAAAATCTTTATTTAGCATTTTTCAAGCAATTTCAGCATAAAAAAAGAAATACCGAGTTTAATTACCTCAACTTTGACTTTAAAGTGATATATTAAAAAATTAAATTAAATTTCTTTAAGTAAGTTTTATGAAGAAAATAAATAAAAAAGAGTGGCGTTTGCAAAGAATCGCCTCAACTTTGAGATTGAAGTGATATATTAAATAAAATTTATGATAACATATTTTTTATAAAGTCTTAAATGAATATTATAATTTTTGAATGGCAGCTTAAATGAATTTATTTACTATAATAATTTACTTGTTATTTAACCAAATAAATTTTATAGATTTTCTTCAAAAAATCACAGAAAATAAATAAATAAAATAAATTTAATATTTTTGTTTATTAAAAATGAATTTGATTATTTCAAAATTACATAATAATTAAATGTTTTTGATTTTTTTTGAAGTTAAATTATAAAAAATTCAATAAGAAAAAACATTTTTAATAAAAATTATAAGAAGAATTTATTTTTTTAGCAAGTCAAATTAATTTATTTTCTATAAATCTTTGGCTTAGTGGCTACTTAACTTATTTTTATGTTTCTTATTTGTCATTGATGCTAACAAAGTTATATATTTTCCCGCTTTGACTACTCTTTGGTGTAAACTTTGATTAAGTTTAATTGCAAAAATTTGAAAATGAGGATGGAGTTTCATTTTCATCATTGCTAATTCTTTTTTGCTTATTGAGCGTTTGCATTTTTTCTATGAAAATTTTACTGGTACCTTTAAAATTTAATTAAATTTTCATAAATTTCTTATAGAATATAATAAATCTTACTTATGAAAGAAGCAATGCAGGTTGGTTATTAAACATAATCATAGTTAATCTCTCTAAATAGCTGAATTTAATTGTTATAGATGAAAAATACTTTAATGGAATTCTCGCTTTTATACTAATAAAAAATAAATTGTTTATTTTCAAATTAAATTTTATAAGTTACTGTTTATGGAAGAAGTATTTATTAATCTTTTTTCTCTATAGGCATTTCGATACAAGGTTTTATTAAATTTAAATCAATAGAAATTCTTTTTTAAATAAAAAAATTATTCATGTTCAAAGCTGATTTATGAAAAGGTTTCTTTTATTGTTAAAAAGCCTCTAATTCATTCAGATTAGGATTGAAAAGATTCTATTTTTAGTATTCCTCCCATTTTTTATCTGAAAATCCTGACTTAGAATATATTTCGATATCATAGTCAATACTACTATCAACGTTTTGAATAGAAAACTCAATTAATTTACAATTATTGAACTCAATCTCATCATATTAATTATTGCAGCTAGGAATAATTACTTTTTAGATAGGACTAAATTTATTGATATTAAATCCATCTGAAGTTCTTACATTAAAATCAATATCAAATTTTTTATGAGGGAAATAAGCCAAAATTTCAAACTATTTATTTTATATCATACTGTTAGGTATTAAGTAAATTGTGTGGTTATTATCAGCTATCCTGTTCATTTCTAAATATACAATCTATTAGAAATAAATGTACTCATTATTTTTACTGATAGATACTTTAAATGTTCTCGAAAATTTTAATTTGCATTCCATCAAGCCAAGTTCATTAGTCTTTCCACAGTATAAGAGGTTATCTAATGTGTCTTTTACTAGTATTTCAGCATTTTGAACAATACACTGATTAATTATATCAAATGCTCTCAGCCTTATCAGAGCCATAGTTAAAGGTTTCAAATCTATATCTACTTTAGGATTATCTCCTTAATTAATTTAAATTTATCTCTCTTCGATGTAAAAATTTTAGTGAAACACTAAAATATAGTAGTAGCCAGGATGAGTATAAAAGCTATATCTTCTTGTTTAGCTATTAAAATTCAATTGTATAGCTTCAGTCTATTTTCCTTAATTCAAATTTTCTAATACAAAAAGAAATTTATCATAAAAATATTTCAAATAAATCAAATATGTTTACAAATAAAGATTTAGCTGAAAGGTCTATCCGAAATGTAAACATTTGCATTTTACATAATACCTTTTTAGTTCCCAGTAACTACTATATCACAAGTACAAATATCATTTCTATCAATTAGAATATCTAAATCTAAATGTTTATCATTAACTTGCTATCTTTTGAGATCATTTATGTCTAATTACTTTTGAAATAAAATAAAATTATTAATTAAATATTTTAAATTACATAATTCATTTTTTATTATTATCAAATTTATTCTCTTAATTATAACCTTTCTAAATATATTATTTTTTTTTATGCAAACAAATTTTTATTTTTTGCCATTAAAATAATACAAAATATTGATAAAATTTTAATTTGTGAGATGGTTTAAAATAAAATAGGTTATATAAAAATTTAATAACTTAAAATTCAACTTATTCTTTTGAATATTTTTAATTTGAATTTTTATTCAATCAATAAAATTAATTTTATGAGTATTATTTTTAGTTTAAATAAATAAAATTTTAATAATTAATAAACTATTTATATAATAAAATTTACTATTGTGCACTCTTTAGTGTAGCTGCTTGAGTGTATTTTAAGTTCATAAAGCTATAATTCACATAAAATATTACTAAATTCAGCTTAACCTTGATTATTTATAGTTGAGGTGTAATTAATAATATTTTATTTTTAGCTTATATTCTTTGAACAGCTTGAGAAAGTTAATTTTGATAAAACTTCGCTTTCAATTTTAGAGACTGAGCTTTATCTTGTACTTTTAGCATTTCTTGGAGTTAAAGAAGTAGAATTCAAATTAGAAGTAAGATTTTGACTTTTATTTGATAATTAACTTTGAAGTAGTTGTATTCCCTATTTAAGGGATATGCTATTGCTTACAGCATGACTCCTAACTGTTTAATTTTCTGTATTCTTAAGATTGCTACAATTCAAAACATTTATATCAGAAGATCTTACTTTATTAAAATTTTTAAAGCTTAGTAAATTTAAACTAATTTTAATTTATATTTTTACCATAATTTAGAACATCTCTTCTTGATTATGGTGAACTAAATTAGTTTTACTGTTTTTCTTACTGTTTCTAAATTAAAAAAAAGGATGTTTTTAAATATAATTATGAAATAATTAATTAAACCTTTTTGACTTGTGTGAGAGTAATTTTAACATTTTCTAAAGTAGGTTTATTTTATCTAAAATACTGAGTTTTAATAATGAGTGGATTTAAGTTCTCCTATGTGTTCACTGTAACATTTACTCTTAAGTTGATTGTGCTAATGCATTTTTCTTTTTTAATTTATTACTAAGATAATAATTATGAATTAATTTAATTTAATTACATATGTTTTATAAGACTGTTTAACTTGTTGGCAATTATATAAGTAGATCTTTTGAATAAATTACTGCTTTTTTCACAACTAAATTAAACTAAGTGCACATGAAAATCTCAAAAAGCCCATACTTTGCTCCTTTGTTATCTGTTAACTCACTTTCTTAAAGTTTTTTAACTATAACTTGCATAAAAGGATAGTTTCTGGTAATATTTTGTTGTACTTCTTATAATCTTTGGCTAAACATTGTAGAATTTTCTAAATTATTGCTAGCTAATTCTCCAACATCATTAAAATATGCTTGTATGACAATAATTCCTTCGTTGTCTTAAATCTTATTGAAATCGCTAAACTCTATAAATTAAACTTGCTTTTAGAGATCCTCAAATGAAATTTGATTGCAGTCCTTGATCTATTAGCTAAATGATTATTTGAATTTATTTATATTTTGAAGTGTCACAAATGTTTCAAACTAGAAAGGGTTTTATTGCTACACATTATAGTTTTAATGACATGGCTTCTACTGCTTGAAAGAACTAATAAAATATTATTAATAAATTAATTATATAAATAATTTACAAGTAGTTGCTAGAGCTACTCCTTAGATGTTTTGGTGTTATTGCTTTTTGCATTTTTTTGTTTTTTTTGAGCTTTAAATCAATTTTTACTACTATTTAATTTAGATTTTTAACGAAGTTCAATATCCAGCAAATTATAATAAATATTTTTTTTCTGTTTGATCATTTTTGAAATAGTTTGACAGTACATTTCAAATACAATTTAAAAGCCATATTTTATTACTGTTAAAAATTTATTTTTACTTAAAAAATGTTTAATCAGTAAAAAAAGTTAAATTGAAATTCTTTTAAATAAATAGGTAATGCACATTTTTACAATTAAATTACTAATAGCCCAAATTTATTTTAAAAGCTTCATTTTTATGAAGTATTTTAAGCAGACTTAAACATAAATATAAATATTTTATTAAAGCAAGAAATAATTATTGTTTTATTTTAATTATTTGAAAATAAAATAATTAACGAAACCTTTTTTTAAATAACAAAAATAAATTTTTAATTTCCTTTAATCATTTATTTAAATTATAATTTTTAAAGATTCTGCTTTTTTATTACCTTATTTCCTCACACAAAGATCCGAGATGAATGTCAGAGGGTGTTATTTTTTTCAGAAAATTTATTATAAATATTCATAAAATATGGTGAAAATGTATGTTGGTGAGGATTTATGGTATTTAATTTATAATATTTTTCTTATAATTAGGTGAAGTTCATATTTTATTACTAAAATTTCATTTATTTTTTGATTTTTAAAAGATATAAACAAATTTAATTAAATTTTATAATCAAGAGTAAGTTTAATTGGTTCCTTTTAAAATATTAAAATAATTATAATTATGAGCTATTTTAGTTATTATACAACATATAAAAATTAAATTAGGTAATAAATTATTCATTATTTTTCTTCTTATATTTTGTTATTTTCAACCTTTTTTAGCTTTTTTTATTCTCTTATGAATTCTTTGTAACTTTTTTTATCTTGTTCTTGTTTGTCAAAGTTTTCAGAGCTACCATCTTCAGACATTTTCTTATTAAAAAAATTATTAATAATATTTCAAAAAATTTAATTGCTTACAATTTTAACAAACTTTTTAGCTTTGTTAACTTTAGGAGCTATTTCAAGTGCTTCTTCTTCATCTACTTTTAATTCTTCTAATTTTTCACCGATATTTTTTTCTATATTGAGAATAAGCTGTACATCATATTGTGTCATGATTGAAATAGCAAGACCTCTTTTACCTTTACGAGCAGTTCTACCTACTCTGTGAATATAATCATCAGAATTTTTAGGTATATCATAATTAATAACTAAGTCAACTGTAGGTATATCTAAACCTCTAGAAGCTACATCTGTAGCAACTAAAATATTTGCAGCTTGGCTTTTAAAAGTCTTTAAGTGTGATATTCTTTATCCCTATTTTAAACCAGAATGCAAGCTAGTAGATGAAAATTCTAACTAATTCAACAAAGCATTAATAAAATGGCAAGTTCTGCATTTATTTACAAATATTATCATACTAATTCCTTTGAATTTATTCAATAAATTGATGAAATTTTAATCTTTCACCATTTCTGGGACTAAGACGAATTTCTTTTTTTAATAAATAATTTTAGAAAATTGCATGATTATCATAGTAATTGATTAAATTATAATTAAGTTCACACTCTATAATGTAAAATGCTTTATCTAAGAATGAATAATCAATAAATCACTATTTATTTTTAAAATATAAATAAATAAATAAGTTACTTGCTTTAATGTTTGAACTACTTTTTTTTATTGGTTTACACAGAATCTCTCAAATTTCACATTAGTTTTTAATATTTCGTTTAACTTTTTATCATTAAAGTCATCATTTATAGTAGCAGTAGCTAGAATAATTTATTTCTCTTATGGTATAAACTCTAAAATCTTTTTATCATTAAAAATATGAATTAAATGCTATGCCTTAAACTAAAATTTACTGATTATATATCTTCAATAATAGAATCCTCAAAAAGTCTATCAGCTTCGTCCAAAACTAAATATTTAACATTTTCAATATATTCTTTTAGAACTGGAGACTTATCAATCATATCTAATGTTCTTCCAGGAGTACCTACAACAATATGAGGAATTCTCTCTAACTCAGACAATTATTTATTAAAATCTACTCCTCCAACTAAAGTGGAGACTCTTAAATTTAAAGAGCTTCCGAATATTGTGAATTGTTCAGAAATTTGCATAGCCAATTCTCTGTTTGCTGTTAAAACTATTGCGAAAACACCAAATGGATCTTTTGCTAAATCTTACAAAATAGGGAAAGCAAAAGTAGCTGTTTTACCACTACCAGTTTCTGCGTTAGCTAAATTAGTTTTAAATTTAAATTGTATTAATAAAACCTCATAATGAAATTTGCTTTAATCTAAAAACTATTTCAAGCTTTTATAATATTTTTTAATTTATAATAATTACCAATAACATGTTGCTTTCTTAGTAGAGGAGGAATAGCTAATTCCTAAATCTTAGTAGGATTTTAATATCCAACTTTATCACATGTTTTCTAAATCCATGAGTCTAATCCTAACTTTGCAAATGGATGCATTTTTATATTTCTAATTGCTAAAATATATATTTTTAGTTGCTTAAGATATTAAAAGAAGTTTTTGCGTATTAAAAAATATTTAATTAATCAAAAATTAGTATCAATTTTTAAATTTAGCTGATTGGTAGAAATTTAATTAAATTATTCAGAAATTATTAAAGAATAATTATTAATACAATTTATAACTTTGATCAACTTCTTTTTTCAAACAAATTTTCTATTGATTTTATGAAAAATCGATATTCTACTTTTCCTTCAGGATTAAATCTTTACAACAAACAAACAAACAAAATAATTAATTAACATTGTATTGTATTGTCTAATATTATTCAAAAGTTAGATAAATTATTTTTATAGAAAATTACAAATTTATGTTTATTTTTTAATCTCAAAAAATTATTATAAATCTTAATCATTTTATAAACTGTATTATAATTCAAATTTTATTAGAGATATTTTATAATTTAAAAAATTAACTTAAGACCCACTTAGAAACAAACATAAAATAAAATAAATTAAATTAAAAAATTAAATTTTAAAAATAATTTTGATAAAATATTATAAATAATTAATACCTCTAAAGAATGTTATGTTAATTTTTATTGTATTAATAATTATAAACTCATTTTAAGTAGCTTCATTTTTGGTATTTTTTTAAAATTTGGTCTTATATTGTTAATTTGTTTTGAATCTTTAACTTTTTAAAGTTGTCAGTATAAAATTTCAAAAAATATTGTATATTTTATATTATAATTGTATTTGTATTTTGTTTTGTTTTGTACTTTCTATTTTCCCCAGTGAATTGTGATATGATAATTTCTACTATCATTATAAAGAGAAAAATTATAAAAGAAAGATCTTAAGCAATGTAGATAATAAATTTTAATAAACTTAAATGAAAGTTTTACTCACATCATCAAGAAATTAAAAAATAATTTTGCAGGAAAAAATTGAAATGAATTTTTTTAAATTTTGTCTTGCAAGTTTTAACTATTTTATAATTAAAATGTGAATTAATCCAAAAAAATGAAAAAATAATGATTTTTTTATTTATAATTAATTATACTAAAAGTATGGCATATCCATCTAGATTTAATCAGAAATAATTATTTATCAAATGAGTTTTTCTCAAAATTAATAAATAATTAGTTTATCAATTAAAGATTAATTTTCTTTATTAATTTTAAGAAAAATAAACAAATTTTCATACTAATTGAGAATAAGTAATTATTTACACTAATTTGCTTATAATTTATACAAGGAATTATTGCTATATTATGCTATTTTCCTAAAAGAATGCTTTGTTTTATTTTTGAGATTTTTAATCTGACTTCAAATAATTAGTTTTAGAAAAATGTCCAATCTACTTTTCAGATTTAAGTTTTTCTTTTCCAGAATAATAATTAAGTTACAATAATTTGCATGTATATTATATTGAAATAGATAAATAAATAATTTGAGATGAGTTTTATATGTTCGAAAGTCAAGTCATGATGGTACTCTAATTTTGTGATTGTTATTTAAAAAAAAGCCAGCCTTTTTCATATTTGGAATAAAAGCAACTAAATGAAAGTAAACTAACCAAACAAACAAAATATCGGTTATTTAAATTTATACTGATTATAAATATTTTAGTGGAAAGTAACAAAATTAATTTACAGAACATAATTTGTGGTACCTCTCTTTAAATATAAATCAAAGTTATATTAGATTACGCATGAATCAAATACAAATTATGTAATTTAAAATAGGTGTAAAAAAAAGGAATGAATAACTTGGATTCTTTTGAAGTTTCTTTTTAATTTTGTAAATGTTTGACTCAAATTAACAAAAGCAATTTTAAATATATTTTTGTATATTTTCTAAATTAGATTATTATTATTATTATTATTATTATTATTATCATTTAAGGGATTATCTTATCTTTTATTACCAATCTTATATATTGTGAAGATAGTAACTTATAGAAAAATTCAAAAATAATCCAAAAGTAAATACAGAAAAGAGAGATAAGTATTTTTGAAAGATATAAAAATTGATTACAAAAGTTAAGATACATAGAGTAATATAAAGACAGACAGTAGTCATAGTACGATTTTTAATTGTTTTTTAGTAATATAAATAAATTAGCTATATTCTATACAGGCATATAAATTATTAGTATGTGATTATAATTAACTTCTATTTGTTTGCATTTATTTTTGTTATTGTATCATTTTAGTGTGATTGATTGATTGCTAATTTGTTTATTAGCAAAGCAATTTAGATAATTGAAAATTTTTAAGAGGCATTCTGAGAGAATTGATTGTTATTTTTTTAATTATTAATTAATTAATCATAAATATTTTCTTAATTAAATACTATTTGAGTTAATGAATCAATGAGATACTTAAAATTAACTCGAATATTACGATAATGATAGAAAATACGAACTTGGGAAATTTCAATTTGCTAAAGAAATTTCAATTGAGTAGCTGTTATCTATTGGTTATTTATTACTTTTTTCTAACTCAGACATATTTATTTCGAAATACTTGAGCAAGACTGCTCTTTTTTCGCTCAACTAGCCATCGTATTTGATAAATTATTTAGCAGAGTTGACAATCTTAGAATATTGATTTTCAAAAGCTAAAAGCTATAATTTGCATTATTTAAGAGTTTCTTCGAACATGCGTACCATACTCATGTCCTTTTTGAGATAGTTAGACATTTTCTTTATGCCTTATGCGATAATTTTAAAGTCTGATTATTCAGTTGAACATTAGATAGATGCTTTGCCATTAAAGATATTTAAGGAGTCAAATATATCCTATCTAGCCATATATATCTTTTGATATATCTTAACATATTCCAAAGTTAATTGTTCCAAGTTGTTCATATATAAGCTCATTTTATAGATATAATTTTTTTTTTCCTTTCTGAAATGTGATTTTTTTAATAATTAATTTGAAAAAATAGATTATATCATATTTCTTGATTCCCACTTATAATTACTACTGTATCATCTATTTATATTTTTACCTTAATTTTTTTTTATTTACTTTACAATTCCCAAAAAGATAATTACTTACAATCAATAACATATTTTCGTTTCAGTAATTAATTAAAACCCCAAATTATAATTAATTATTTATTTATTTATGTTTGGCGTTGATAATTGATAGTCACAGCGTTTTTCTTTTTTATTTAAAATTATGCGTTAGTAAATTTAAAAAGTCTCTTCCATCCAGCATAAAACAAATATTATACACTGTTCCATCGAATTATTTTACAAATCCCTTACAATAAATAAAAATCCAGTAAATAATAACATAAATATAACTAGTTTTCTTATTAGGATTCATTTGAAATATTTTAATAATAAGATTTCACACAAAGTAGTAATTTTTTTGCCTATTTAGGAAAAGAAATAAGTTTTTCTCATAAATACTATGAAAATTAATAATGCAAACAATAATAATTTAAATATAAAGGAATGTAAGTTCCTTTATTTAGTTTCTTTTTAATGAATTTAATATTTTTCAATAAAATGACAATATTTTTTTAAAAAAATAATGTAATGTTTCTCATACTTTAGGAAAAAAGATTTGAGCAGATATTTAATTGTAATTTAAGCAAATAGATTATCTGATTATTTAGTATTTAAAAATGAAAATCAATTGTGAGAGAATAGCTTTAAAATTATGATTATATTAATTAATTGCTATCTTTATGTAAACTCATTCTAACATGAAAAAAAACTGTTTCTAAGTTGAGTAATTTAGATAATAGACAGACAGCTTTCACCAAAATTTGCTTAGTTTATAAAAATTAGCTTTTCATAAATTCTTTGAAAATTTTGTAATTAATTTGATAATTGTGTAATCTGCTGTTGTAAATTTAAATGATCCACTAACTACTTTATAGCTAATCAAAAAAATCTCTATTTTCTAAGATTATTATCTTTTTAAGCATCTTTGTGTTGTCGCTTATTATTTTTAAACAAAAAATTAAAAATCTGAAAAACCTTCTTTTTTTTTCTATTTTAAATAAATATACAAATCTCTTATGTCATTTGAAAAATTTCAGATTATTTTAATAAAAATTTATATTTTTATGTTATGCTATAACAAATCATTATATTTTTATAATTAGGTTTTATTTTTATTAAAAAAAGGACTGACTCTCCATAGTAAAGGTTTTTTTGGACATTAATCCCTATGTTAGTAGTAAAAATAATTAAAGATGTTTTAAATACATTTTTTTAACATTTAAAATATAATTTTTGAAATAAAACACTCAAAATCTATTTAACTTGTACTAATATTACTTTAAAAACCTAAATAATACAATATTTTTGTAGCTCTTCGCATGGACATTTGATAGTTTTTTATCCATAAAAAGACTTTATGAAGAAAATATAAAGAAAAAAATTGATAATAGATAAATTAGTATTTTTCAATATTACTAGCCAGTTTTTAATTTTTAATTTTTATATTTTATTTAAATATTTACCAACTTAAGCATAATATTTATCTAAATGTAATTTTGAAATTCTTTCTCTTATTTTCTTCTATAGTTTACTTAGAAAGATATTATAAATGTTAATTTAGCATAATATTTTATTCTTATTAAAGTAAATCTCTTTTAACTATTAAATGAGATATATATTACCTTTATTTCTTTTATGTTTGTTATTTATATTTGTTAAGACTTATAATCAAAATTAATATTCAAGTTAAAATAATTTCAAAATTCCTTATTTATCTATCAGTAATATGCTATTTTATCTATTTTAAATATTTAGAATTTAATGAATTAAAATTTTAATGTAAGAATATTGTTTAATAATCTGATAAAAAATAAGAAGCATCTTTTCAGGTATAATAATTGCAAAAATAATATGGAGTATCTAATCTAGTAAAAAATAATAAATTTACTCCTTTTAAATTACTTTTTTCAATATTTTCATTTATTCAATAAGTTCAATAATACTTAGAAAGCAAATATCTAATTTCAATTTTTTTAAGACTTAACTTAGTTTTCAAAATTGTTTTTTAATTAATCAAGATCATAAAAAAACAAATAAATAAATAATCACAACTATTAATTGAAATCTTAAAAATTTAAATACCATGCATTAAAAAATGTAATTTTTAGATATAAATTTATATTTCATAAAATAATATATGAGAAATATTTTAATAAAGCTAAAAAATATAAAACGAATTAATAATAAATGATTTTATTGTGATAGATTTTTAATATAGTTTAATTACTAATTTTTTATAAAAATATTTTATTCATGCACCTTAATTGAATCTCTCTCTGGCTGGCTACATCTTATATAAAAAAAAAAAAAAATTTTACTTATTTTAAAGTCTAAATAAATATTAAAATAATTGATATAAATTTCTTGAATATTATTATTGTGTTTGTTTTCACATCTAACAAAAAATCGATTTTAATATTGGTTTTTTTGTTTCTAACATAAAATAAATTTGATTTTTAAGATACATAATAATATCAAAAGTTTATATTATATTTTAATTATTAATTTTATTTTCTATTTTATTATCTAAAAATGATTTATTTGATGAAATAATTTATAAAGAATAAATACTTTTGAATAAATGCTACTTTCGATGACAGTAAGATTTTGGGAGAATTATTATTCTAAAATTGATAATAAAAATAATTTATTTATTTATTTACTTACTGACTTTTAAAAAGCCAAAAACTAGGTAAGAATATTTATTGCATTTTGAAGCTTAATTTGAAGATACTTTAATATTTTTTAAAATAAATGACAAAAATATTTATAACAATTAGGATTTTAATTTAAAGATATAGGTTTTTTGTTTATTTTTTATATTAATTGATTAAAATTATTTTTTAATATTTAGATCAACCATCTTGACCAAATTCAGTAGTCCACTTTTCATAATCTTTGAGCTAATCTTTTCCAACAGTACCTTTGGCTTTTTTAATGGCGATTTCAAAATCTTGCTTTATTATTAAATAGAATTTATTTATTAAAAATATAAAATAAAAAAATAAAAAATTTTACTGCAGATATTTATGGAAGCTCAAGCTATTACTGATTTAAGCTTAAATAGTTAAGGTTAACAATATCAGGACCTGAAGCATTATCTTCTACAGGCATGTATTTGTCTCCTGGTAACTTTTTGAATTTAGTTGCAATCTATAATCTTCTAACTGGTTCTAGTACTGCATCTCTTACAAATATAGACATATCAGCTCCTGAGAATCTATATATTGTTTTTAATTAACATGTTAAAATTCTGTATATTTCTTTTATAATCATTTTACCCGTCTGTTAATTAGGATAATCTTTCAAAATCTTCTTCTTTAAGAGTGTTTGGAGTATTTTTAAGGTTATGTTTGAGCAAGAATTTTCTGGCGGGTTAGTCAGGCAAGGGGATGTAGATTCTTTTTTCAAATCTTCTTCTAATAGCAGGATCGAGAGCCCATGGTAAATTGGTTGCTCCAAGTACCAAAACACCTTAATCATCATTACCAACACCTTGCATCTAAACCAAAAACTCTGTTTTTACTCTTCTTGAAGCATCATTTTCTCCGTCACTTCTATTACCACATAAACTGTCTACTTCATCAATAAATATAATAGAAGGCTTTTTCTCTCTAGCTAAAGCAAATAAGTTCTTAATTAATCTATTATTTTTTATTTTAAAAATATATTTATCCTATGAAAATGCATTCAAAAAATTTTTATATTTCTTGATAGACTGTAAAAATATTTTCTAATCTTAAAAGAAAAATGAGATATTTATTAAATAAATAAATATTCAAATGCTGATCAATATTTCCTATTGATGCGATCAGAAATATTGTGAAATAAACCAAATTAATTTTATCTATAATAACTTATTTGTTTTCATGCAAATAATGAACTTTCAAATTTTAGAAAAATAATAAATAAAGAATGAATGAATGAATGAATTTTTTCATTCATTTTGACTGATTTATATTACAATCAAAAGATATTTTGAAAGTGAAGCATGAAATTCTAATAAATTTTTAAAGAGTTGATTTTGTCTTAATAATTAAAGACACTAATTAATCAAATATTGATAATGTTTTTTTTGCTGAAAGAAAATGAATGTAAATTAAATTAAATTAAATTACTTTTCTGATTCACCAACATATTTGCTGACAAGATCTGCAGAGGATACTGAAAAGAAAGTACCTTCAGTTTCTGTAGCACAAGCTTTAGCTAAATAAGTTTTACCAGTACCTGGAGGTCCATAAAGAAGGATACCTTTCCATGGCTTACGAGCACCTTTAAATATTTCAGGGAATCTAATTGGAAGAATGACTGCTTCTTTTAAGGATTCCTTAGCCTTCACTAAACCAGCAATATCATCCCATTTTATGTTAGGTTTTTCGGGCACAATTGTTTCTTACAAAGCTTCCTTAAATTTAGTGTTTTCATCTTTGTTACTATTGCTATTTAAGATAAAATAAAATTAATCTAAGTGATAATACATGAAAGAATTAATGCCACTATAAATAATTTAAAGAATAAGCTTTCATTTTATTTTAAAACCAAATTTTATATTTAAACTTAGCTAATTTTGCAATATATTTTACTTGTTACCACCGCCGCCGCCTTATGCTATTGCCATAGGCTAGTTTCCATTTTTTTTAATTTATTCTAATTTTGTAAGCATAGTTTCTACTTCTTTATAGTTATTTTGGTATTAGGTTTTTAAAGTATTTAGAATTAAAGTATCAGTTTCTCCTGTTAATTATAATAAAAAATGGTTAATTTTTCAATTGATTCGCGTTATTTTTTTAAGCTTAAACGATTCGAATTTGTAAATCTAAATAAATTACTTTATATCCATAGTTCTAACTTCTTTAAACCTTGTAAAAAGGTTGAAATACCCTTATCCTTTTCTTCAATTGTATCACCTTCATTGAAAGATCTTCTACCTTTCTCAATCAGGTACTATGTTTCATTACGAATTTAAGTATTATCTAACTTAAATGAGGGAGCGTTATTACCTCCGTAAAACATCTTTTTAATATATTTATTTTTGTTTCTTAATTAATTAATTCTATTAATTAAATATTTTTTTATTAATTAAAGTTAGCCACCACACTTAAAACAAAACAAAGCAAAAAAAAAAATATTATAATAAATACAAACAAATTTTGGTGATACATTCATTCATTCATTAGTGACTTTCTCCTCATTCTAATCTTGCTTGATAAGGTGCAAGCTATTGATTAATCAAAAAAAAAATATTAATAATTAAAATCGACAAATTCAACTTCAAATCAGAAATCATTAAGTATGTCTTCATTTTGATTTTGATTTTTATAACAAAAATAATTAGTTATTAATTATTTTTACTATAGACAATTGAAATTTAAGATTTTTCTTCACATAAATAAATAAATAAACAAATAACTCAATATTTACTTAATTTATTAAACACGAACAAATAAACTAATATGCATATTAAACAAATTAATTATTCTATAAATAAATATCATAATTTTAAAATAGATTCTCAATTAATTTTTAAATTTAAATTAACAACAATTAAAAAATATTTCAATATTCTATCAAACACAACTTAAGACACATAATTCAATAATTTTATATTGATTATAGAATAAATAATCCAAAGTGTTAACTGGAAAAAATACACACAAATTCTTATTACAAACAAATAAAAATTCAATATATTTTTTAATCAAATAGCTTGTTTGTTAATTTAATCTTTGTAATTTTGAAATTTTGAATGAAAGAAATTTAAAAAATTAAGAGAATAAAAATTCTAATTATGAGGAACAAAATGGTGTAAATAATTTTAGGCTAATTTAAGTTATCTATTCCAATCTGAATATTAATTTCTGATAAGGAATTTATTATTTTAAAATTTCAATTTAATTATATAGGAATATTTCATACAAGTCATATTGAGAAAATAAAATTTAAAATTTATATTGAAAATTAACATTTTTAAATTCAATTTCCATATTTATCAAATTGTTGTATCAGTTAATGGTGAATGTGGGAAAAGTATTCTTGTACGATTGAATGTTTATTTAAGAATTTATTTCTATTCGGGAGTGAATTTATCAAGCTTAGCTAAGCATTCACCGTGAACGCCTACAAAGAAAGACTCAAATTATTTAACATAGATTACTGTTGATCTAGCCAAAAGGATAAGCTAATCAGTCTTAAGCAATCTCATTCTATTTTATATATTGTTTAAGAGATCACCAACAAGAGGTTTATTATTTAACTTTAAAGAAGAAGCTGCAATAATAATTCTAATAATTTCGTCATTGTTTAAATCTTTAATCTAGAAAACATGACCAGAACCAAGAACTTTGTGCAAAATAGAAAATGTCTATTCATATTTGGCAGGATCAATTCTGAATCTAGCTAATCCGAGCCAAAGATTGACATAGCTTGTTATATTAATTTCTTTATATTTACTATGGATGATTCTTAGCAATCTCCTAAGCAGCTCCTCATTTTTTTCCTTTTAATTTCGTTTAGTTTTTGAATATTATTAAAAACAAACAAAAAAAATAAAAAATTACTTAGGCACCTGATAAGGTAAAAATCAAACTGCAGGCTGTTTCGGTAGACATATTTGGTTCTGAATTACCTAAGTCTCTATCTAGAATTTCTTTTGTGAGAATAGAGAATTGTTTTGAGTTACCATAATTCAACTCACCTAAAGCACTAATGGCTTTTTAAATTTGCTCTTCGTCTAATTCCTATTTGATTATTAATAATTGAATTGAAAAAAAAACTTTAAATAAACATTTAGTTTAATAAAATCGATTTTAATTTGAAGAATTTTTTATTTGATTTGTCATAAGCTCATCTAAAAGTTTTAAATTATCTATCTAAATTCTAGACAATATTTTTTACTTAGTTCTGATAAAATACATCTAATTTCTTAATTTTACAAGCATTGCAAGATTAAATTTCTTTAAAGCTTATAAAAATTCTTCCAAAAAAGTTATGCAAAAATTAAAATTAATAAAAATGAATAAAAATAATAAATTATTAACATAAAAAAATCAAAAGCGATTAACAAATCAAAATCAAATATAAAACTTTAGTTAAAAATGTTTTCACATTTAAAAGCTTTGGCTTTTTTTAAAATATTATGAAATTACAAATCATTTTTAACTTTAAATTAGTATTCAATAATTAAATTTACCTCTTTAATTTGAACTAGTCTTTCTACGAATTGACTTATTGTTGAGGAATTTGAATATCCTACTGTCATAAAAGTCATGATCATGGTAATTAACTCGTCATGAGTTAATGTTTCTATGTATTTTGCACTCTTAGTGGCAAGAACATCTACAATTGGTTGAGACAAAGCACCATCATTTTCACCTTAAAATATTTAGCTTAGGGCAAAACACAAAGAAGGATTTTGAGCATAATCGAAAAATTAACACTTTTTTAATATTGAATCAGATAAATTTTTTTTCATTTACTCAGACAACTCTATAAATCCAAATTCATACATGTATGAGCCTAATGACCAAATAAATGTTTGCATTGAATCTGCTGAAAGATCTTTAGAATTTTCAATAATTTAAACAAGAATTTTCTAAAAAGTAGCATTATCTGAGATAAATTTTTTCTAAAAAGTGGCAAAGTAGAAGAAAAGACAAATTTCATCAACACTAAGGGGATCTTCTTCTCCATCTCTTTTTTTGATTCTTTCTACTTCTTCGTTATAGAATTAAAGTATTCTTTATGGATTTTCTATTTCCATAAGCTAGAATGAAAGACGTCTTTCTCTTGTTTTAAAAACATCTTCTAGAGAAACGAGCTTATCGATGGAATCTCCTTCTTCAAACTCTACCTCTCCTTTAAGAATTTTATTTAACAACTTTTAGGTATTTTGGATATTTTCATCATTAAGAGATTCAAGTCCAACCAAATTCTCAATAGAATCATTAGAATCATAAGCACTATGATTTCTTGATTTAGTAAGTTTATTAATTTCTTTTTGATCTTCTGATTCGTTTTCATTTTCCATTTAAGATTCATCATTCACATTTTATTTTAGCTTAGAATCGCTTTCATTATCTGAATCATCGGATTCCTCTTTTTCTGTTAATCTTTAACGACGTTAAGCATTCTCTCCCTTTTTGATTTAATTTTAGTCTTTTTTTTCATTTAACTATAATCCACTTTCTCCAAATTTATTTATGTTAGAGAATGATCTATTTGCCATCATACATAAGGAACGAGATGCAAACAAATCGTTTAAATTCTAATATAATTTAGCATTTTTTTTTAAATTGCCAGTCTTTTAAAAGCTGCTTAAATAAAGTCTTTTGAGTATATTCTTGCTACCTAAAATCATCTTTGTAATTTATTTAAAGTTGAATATTATTAATCCTTTAATGGATATTATTGATTTAGTTTCTATTTCAAATTAAAATTAAAGATTTGCTTAATAAAATAAATATCTAAACGATAGGTCCTTAATTTGGAAAGATATCTATAAATATTTTAAAAAGCTTAAATAACTTCCAAATAAAGGTAATAAATAATATCTTACATTTATCTAGTTTTTTATCAAATGAAAAATAATTTAATTAATTTTCACTTCTAAATTCAATTTATTTATTTATTTATTTATCTTTTTCTAAAACATTTTTGAAAATTTAATTTTAACTAAAATTTTAAATTAATTTTTTTCCAAAATATTAATAAAAACTGAAAATTTTTTCTTTCAATGGTTTATAAAAAATAATTGATATTTTTAAGATATCTATTATTATTTTAAAGAGATTAAATATAAAGACAATAAATAATACCATGCATTTATTTAGTTGTTATTTATCAAACTTACTTCAAAAATACTTTCACATTCAATTTATCATTTCTAAAACAATTTTGAAAATATAATTTTAAATAAAATTTTTATTCAAAATATTAATAAAAGATTCATAATTTTACTTTCAAAGGTCAACCAAATACATTTAATATTTCAGATTAATTTCCATTTAAAGTCTTCTTAGGTTTTTATAAATTCAATATTTAAAATGGTAAAAAATAATTTTAACTAAAAATCAAAATTATCAAATTTATTTTGGTGAAATTAAATTTATTTATTTAGCACACAAATGTTAAAATCAATATAAAATTCATCTTTTAATTTAATTTTTTTATTTAAAAGTGACTTACAAGAATTATTATCAGAATTAATTTTTCTTAAATAGATTTCAGCTATGGTAATCTATTATTTAACATTTATTTTAAACAAAAAACTTTTTAAAGCATCTACAATCCCATCACTTTTAAATTATTTTGCTATAAGTTCTTCAAATAAAGGAATAATAATAAATTTTCTACATAAAATCAATATAATCTCTATGGAAACTCTTGATTTTTTAAATATGGTAAGTTTTCTTAATCCAAATCAATCTGATATAGTTTTTTTTGTCTCATCGCTATCTTTAAAATAGTTTTACATACAATCCGGAATTAAATTCTAATATTCAATTAATTGAGTTATTCCCTTTGTTTTGAAATAGATTTGGTGACAAAAAAAACCCTTTTAAAAAAAACTGCAAATTGAAAATATGAATGAATTCAAATTACTTTCTAATTGCTAATAAATTTATTAATAACTAAAAGCTATATCTATTTATTGATTTTATTATTATTTGACTAAAATATCAAACAAATTCTATAAGAAATTTATTTTTTTTAAATACAAAAGAAAAATAAAAAATAAATGTTTTATTTTAAGTTTAATGATAATTTTAATTTTAAAATATGGCTAAGAAAAATAAATAGAAAGTATTTTTTTGATGTTTCCAATAAATTTATAATTTGCCCTCTCTCCTCAGTCACAAAAATAATAGAGTTATATATTAATTTATTTCTTGTTAAAACACTATTTATTCTCTCTGAAAAGCTCAAAGCAATTCAAAGTAAAAAAAGAATAAATGAGTCAATCAATATATAAATAAAGATAGATAAATATTCATTGAAAACTATAAAGAGTCTTCTTAAACAAAGCTAAAAATAATAGGTATTTGAATATAGACTAACTAAGAATGCTTGTGAGTGATTGCATCTAAACAAAAATTGATTAATAAACAATTAATTTATTTAATCATGTAATTTGTTTGTTATAAATGGACTGATTGCTATCGAATTACCGTATAGGGAAAGATATATGTTTTTCTTGTTTGTTTTTGTATGTATACGATTTTATATTTTTTGCATGTAATTTTGAAAGGTGGAATGGTGGAATAGACAGAGAAAGCTTGGTAGAGGATATAAGATTTAATTATATCTGATGATCAGAAATAAAGAGGGGATATCAATATCTCAAAGGATGGAAAAAAGCAATTATTAGCTTGCTTCTCAAAAATAATAAAAAACAAAACAATTAAAACTCAAAAAAGAAAGAGGAAATTTATTTCCTAAAAATTTTACATCCCGCAAAGAGCACATATAAGCAAAGCACACTCAAACAGTTTCTCCTACCAGAAAACATTTTAAGTGCAAATCGCGTAGAGCGAAATTTCCAGTTCATTTACACAAAAAACCGTCTTTTAGACCAATTTTAAACTTCAGCCCCCAAAGCTATTTTTAAAAAAAAAGCTTCCTCTTTTTCAAAAAGAAAACCTTAAATCAAAACGAGTTAATTACAAGAATTAGAAATCAATAATTACCCTTTCATTTAAATGAATCACATTGATAGCGCATTAAACTTCCAACTTCCCTTCTCCAACACATCAAATGCTTTTGAACAATTTGATTTCACCCTCAAAAAGACAGACTCCTGTGACTTTCTTAATTTTGGTAACGTGTTAAATCCTTTGGCAACACTGACACATAACAAAAGCATAGTGAATAACAATAATAATAATAATTCTAATAATGCTAATTTCAACAACAGCAAGGCTCAAAACACTCACAATGAAGTAGCCCCATTCCCTTGGCTTAATCAACATGAGTAAGAGAATAATAATTATGGAAACCACTTCTAAGAAGCTAATAATTTCAGCTTAAATTATGTAAGTAGCTTTCCAGCTGTCTGCGAAAATAGAAAAAACTACAACCACAATGACGAATATGATTTTATGAATTTAAACTCAGATGATAATGAAAATCACTTTGACAACATCAGCAACTTCCACAATAGCGAAATGGATTTCTTTTAGAGAAACCACTTTGAAAGTGAAATAGAATAAGTTAAAACTAACCAATCATTTTTTAATTAAGTCCTAACTGAATAAAAGAATTAGTAAATTAATTTCTTTGATTAACAGCTTTAAAGCTAAAAAAATTAAATTCACAATAATTACACTGTCGAGCCTTAAAATAGTTTCTGTGAAGCTAACTTGCTTAAGATCGATGATTTCAAAGAAATGCCTCCTGAGATGATAATTGAACCATACAGCGAAGAAGAATAGCGCTAAATTAGAGAAGAAAATGAAAGACGCGAAAGAGATGGGCAACCCAAAATTTGCGAAAGAGACCTTCATGGAAGAAGATATGAAAAGATTATTTAAAAGAGACGTGACTACGATAAGAATATTTGTCGTTACATTGCTCGTTAAATGATGCGTTGCTTTATTTCTGAAGAATATAAGGAAATCATTCTCAAGCGCTTCTGCTAAGAAAGTGAAGAAACATATGAAAAAATTGTTCCTTTCATTAGATCCAGCATCCCTAAAATTTCTGGCCACAGAGCCTTCAAAGACTTGCTAGCTATCCTTAAAGAAGAAGAAGAGGATGTTAAATAGCAGAAACTAATATTTAGAAAATTCGCTAAATGGTTCTTAAGAGAACGCTCCTTAAGATACATAATGCTAGGAAATTCAGAAGATAAGACTCAGTATATTCGTTTTAAGAATCAAGTTATGCTTCATTTCATCAATAAGCCTGAATAGTGGAACGCTAATTTGAAAATCAACCCAAAACCGTTCAAAGTGAGAAATATGTCATTCAACCAATATTCCAATCCAGTTTATCAAGACGCAACTACTTCGTCTTAAGATTAATTCTGAAACTCAAAATAATGCTTTTAACAATAAAGTGAAAGCTGCTAAGATCTTGACAATGGTAGCAGAGAAGACTGTTCTTAATCAGAACAAGAATAGTTCGCCACTACACAACGGCAACCAAGGCTTCAATCACTTTGACCTTCAAAATAATGAAAGTTCAAGTGAATATGAATAGTCGTTGTTGATCTCTTCTCCCCACCAAAATATCTTCAATTGAAGAATTGCAGCTACTTTATCAATCATACCACTCTCAAACAATCAATCATTCTTGCGTGATTGAGAGATTGAGAAATTACTTCTCCCTCACGAAAATATTGAAATTAGTTCGATTGGATATGAAATTATTGGCTTACATCTTCTGAATAAACTTTTACTACCCATAACATTTAAAAAGAGACTAAAGGTATAGTCTTTAATTACAAACTAATTGAGTTCCTGAATCATTTAATTCTCAAAAGAAAACCCTGAAGTGGTTATTCTTTCTAAATATGAAAACGGCATTTTAGGTCCTATGAAAAATCAACTGAACGAATTAATAAATGGATAAATTCAATGCTTTGATTCCTCTTTCGTTAAAAAAAAAAAAATTAAAATGCCATTTTTCATAAGAAAATCTAATGAGCAAGATTCACTGAAAGAAAAGTGAATTCCTTTGCTTCGCTTCTACAAGACAGACAATGCTTTTTTTGATAGCATGCCACATATTTAATTAGATTTTCTTATTATTTGCGAAAATCACAAAAAATGTGATAGAAAACAAACAAATAATCAATTTAAAATTGCTTGAAATTTGATAATTAAAAACATAAAAACTATGAAATTATTCAGTTTTTAAGAGGTCTTTTGAATTTTTTAGTACAAAATACAATCAAATTATCTCTCTCTGCCTCTCAAATTATTCTAGTAATTTTATTTCAGTTAATCACACTGAAAACTAACAAAACAAATCATTTGTTCTTAGCCTTTGATAATTATTTAAACGTAAGATAACTTTTTAATATCTATTCTCTTATATATGTAAAGCTGGATCGTGTTCTTCTTAACTCACTTCCTAGTACTCTTGCTCATTCCCCTTTCAGAGCTTGTATGAAAAGAACTGAGTTAAAAAAACTTCCTTCCCTTCATAACAACCAAAAAGAAGAGGCGATTCAGTGGAGAATAGAACGAAAAATTAGTGTGCTAAGTTCAAGGAAATCTACCATCATTAGGTAGATGGAGGTCAATGTGAAAAGCATAGAATGAAACGGAGTTGCTCTGACTAAGAGTGCTCTTTTTTTCTTTTGCAAATTTCATTTTTAGTTTCTTATAAGTTACAAGTTATTTCTCAAATGACATGATTGATCAATTACATCCTATACAAAAGAAAGAGCTTTTTATGGTTAAAACAATTTCCTCATTAGAAATCAATTTAATCAGAGAATAGCTTCTCTAAATACAAAGCAGCGAACTTATCATTTAGAAAAACTACATTCGCTTGCTCTCATCATAACTATAAAATAACTCTATGAGAAACTAAATTTGAAAATTCAAAAAGAAAATAAAAATTTGAAGTGGAGTTGATTTATCATCCTTCTAATAATCACCCATTTCATAGCTAGTCTCACTAGCATTTTCTTTTTTAAAAGCATTTTACCCTTAGCAATATTCTTAGTAACTCTTTGCTTAGTAACTTGACCCACTTGCTTACGCAACTACTTTTTCAACCCACCCAAACACAAACTATCTAACTAAAATTTCCATTAAAAATTGGAGATTATTAAAGACTGAGCTATGATTATGATATATCAGACAACTCTTTAGAAAAACAGACAACGACGACATACCTGTGTAGTAATAAAATAAAAAAATAAATGAATTCAAAATTTGCAAGCTATAAAAGTAATATACATGAACACCGAATCCTAAAGTAGAGTTTTCGTGATGAAGATTTGATTTCCCCATCAACCACTCAAGATTTATAATAATCATGTTTAATTTCTTCATCCCTATATTTACATATACATACTTAAACTATCATAACCAAAAAGGAAGGTGATTCTCAAATTTAGCGTAATAAATTTAAATTTTAAATTAACACTCTATCAATATTCGAATGCCGCCATCAAAGAGCTTTTCAAATAACTTAAATGAATTCTGCAAAAAATTAAGTTAAATTTGAAAGTAGGTTTTATCCTTTAGATGCTTAGCAGAAAAGGAATAAAAAAATCCTACAAATATCGAATTAATTGTGTTAAAATTTAATAAAAAACAAGTACAGTTAATACTTATCCCTCCGTTGAGTACTTAAAAAGCTAGAAAATATCTAAAAAAGATTAATCAATTTTGTATAATTTTTAATCAAATTAATAACAATCGGAGAAATTTAATGCTGTACTGCTATAAAATTTCTTAGGAAAGGGAAATTTAAGTTATAACTAACTTTTTAGTTGTAATAAATAAAAACCATTTTCTTTGAGCCGCTGATATCACTTGTGACGCAGAGTCACAGCACTACTCTTGATTTAAAGGTCTTTATAATCTACTCTACCTGTAGGAATTATCTATTCTTATGCAAGATGACATCCTTCTCTCGCTTAAAAACACTTTTTAACAAAAGTGGCGACTGTTTAGGAATTTATCACTTGAAAAGATATACTATACCCTACTAATTGAATAGAAAAGACCTTCAAGTTTAGTAAATAGTGAATTAGCAAAAATCCCCCATCGCCCACACCATGCTACGACCACCGCTACCACCACCCGTGCCTCACTTACGAATGAAATCATCTAGAAAATTTCAACTTCACTTGTTCTATTAAGATTCACTAATTCAAAACAAACAAAGTGTCTGACACTTCGCCTCTCATTCCATCTTCTTTGTGAATAAAAAACAAGCCCTACCTACCTAACTCATCTTAATAAGCTAGAGCAAACTAAACAAGTGAATTACTAAAACAATTAATTGACTGATTATATTAAATTTTTGAATTTCTATTAATAATTCAAAGATTGACCCATTTAGTTAAATTGAAATGCTTAATTAATTACCATCTATCTAACATTCAATAATTATTTTCCCTCATTTATAAGAATTTTGCGGATAAAAACCATATTTTGATAATAAAATAGATTTCTAATGATTTAATATATTCAGTTGTTTATGTTTTACGTTAAATAAGGTCCCCATCCTTTTATATATTGTATTTTTCATTATAAATTGTCTTATCTTTTAAAATACTCATCACTAAATAAAATAAAATAAACTATTATTTCTATTAAAATATAAAATAACAAATTTATTTTTTAAGGGCAAATAAAATGTACTTATTCTTTCTTATATAGCTAACCTAAACAATAATTAAAAAATAGAAAGTGAATTATTTATTTTTATAAAAATAAATTGAATATTTGAAAAGAAAATAAATTAATTGTTTGAAAAAAAAATGTTATTTTTTTGAAGGATCAAAACTCTTAAATGAAACATTTATTTGGTTTTAATCTAAAAATATTTTTAATTTTCATTTTTTCTGTTTATTTTTGTCTGTAAAATTAAAACAGATTTGCTAGAAACATATTTGAAAGATAAGAATATTTTTTGTAAACTTTTTTTATCAAAAATATTATTTATAATTTTATATTTTTCTGATCATCAAATATTTTAACCTAACCTAATTCCTTTTTTAATTTAAAAAATAGATTTTTTATATTAACTGACAATAGCACTTTTATGAGTAATACCTAATTTTGTATATTTCATAATAAGGAATATTTGGAATTATTTATTGATTTGCTGTTCTATAGCAATTACAATTATTAAAAAAGAAAAAAAATCTAAAATCAAATAATTAATTTCTTAAATCTAAAAGTATAAAAATAAGATTAAAAGGATTTATTTTATTTAGGAATTGAGAATGTTTAAAATATTCACAACTGTTTTTATTTTTTGCTTAATATTTATGGCTTAAGCGAATGATAGTTGCCAGTTAACCATAGATCAATTAAATGGTAAAATTTTAACAAATATTGCGAAGGATATTTGTGATGGATGCTTCTTTTATGATGTTAGGTTATAAATTTAATCTGACAATTAATAGATAACTTATCTCAGATTACTTGGCACAAGTTATGAATAAAAGATTTATACTTTTAAACCATATACTCAATCATTAGTCATAAATGAGGATTTCAAAATAATTGATCAAACAAGTGGATCTCCATACAATTTTATATAATATTGCTTAGCAAATCGCGTCAATGGATTACTAACCTACAAAGTATTGTTTAGAGTCAAAGTAAATGGTGCTAATTAATTTTTTGAGTTAAATAACGGATATAGCTAAGGGATTCTTTTGAAGTTAAGTATCATTATGTTATCTATTATGTTTTTATTAGTATGATAAACAATATTAAGAAAACAATTTATTTATATAAAAAAAACTAATAATTTTTATATTTTTTGATAAGTTTTGTGATTTGAGTTACAAAAATAGATTACTCTATTAGAATATTTTTTGTACTAGTATTATCTTATTGAATTATAAAAGGATATAATATAAGAGTTCTTAGGTTTTTCATCTTATATAAATAGCTAAGTTAAATAACCTAAATATTTTTAACTATATATTTATATAAATATTTTACTTATTTGATTATTTTTTAATTATTTAATATTTCACTTATTTCTTAAATGACTAAAACTATTTAAATCTAAAAATAGCTTTTATTTTAATATTATTAAAAAAATAATTTAAAATTCTATATGAGTTTATATTTATATCTATCTTTCTTTATATATTTTTTGAAAATAATATTCTTTCAAATTTTTTTAGTTAAAAGCAAATTTATTATTTTAATCTCAAAGCTAAACTAAATTTCTTTTTGAACAGAAAATTTTTGATATAATCAAAATTACTCTCTTTGATGTTTTGATTGCATTTCTAACAAAAACTTATTATTTTCCAACATTTTTGATACTTCAGAAAATTAAAATACTATTTTAAAAAAAATGAAATAATTTTATTTATTTAAATTATCTTATTGATTTCTTTTATAATTTTCTAATATGATTTGTAAATTTTTTATTGAAATTTTACTGTTAGAAAGATATAAAGAATTAAAAATCATATAATATGTCTAAAATAATAATTTAACTCCTCATGAATTTATATATTAAGGACCAAAATCACACACATAGTAGCCCTTCAAAATTGTGAGGGATACCTTTAATTAATGAGGAGTTAGATTATTTAGTAAAATTAAAAATGCAATATAAATAAGTAGTTATTAATTACATGAAAAAGACATTGCACTTACTCTTTTAAAGTAAATTAAATCTATTGGAATAGTTTCATATATTTTATATTAAAAAAATTAAATTTAAAATATTGCCTTTTGCTTTCATTAAGGCTCTGTTTATATAAAGGCTAAAGTATGAATATAAAGAAGGTATAATTATTTTTAGAGATAAAATCTTAGATATATATATATAAATTATTGTTAATAAGATAATTTATTTCAAATTTAAGAAGGTTTAAAATATTTTTTCAAAACTTGATTTGATCAATAATAATGTTTATCTGGATATAAATATATAAAGAATATTCATTAAAGAATAGCTTCCTAAAAGATACCAAATCAATTATTTGTTTATAATATACTAAGATTATTGTTAATATTATTGTATCATACAGTAATAAATAAATAAATAATATATTAAATTTAGCAAAAAGTTGTTGTTAGTTTAAATTGTCAAAAATATATCTAATTTTTGCTTTAATTTACTAAAGCGAATTTTATGAATCCTTATTTTCTTAAAGAAAAAAAAATAAATATATAAAAATAAATAAAATAAAATTAATATTTTATGCTAACAACATAGCTAGGCACAAAGATACCTACTATTTATTATATAAATAAATTACAATAATTACTAATAGCCCTTATAAAGTATAAAATTTAATTCTCTAACCGAATTTTGGCAAAAATGTTATGCTTTAATGTTTTCAAAACTTATAAAATCCAGCTGAAATATCTATTTTATTATTCAAATGAAGATAAGGACTTATATATATTTATAGTCAAACTAAAAATTAATTATTTTTTTTAGTAATTAGATGATAGATAAATAATACAATAGCAATTTTTAGAAGCTAATACTTTTTCTGATAATTAAATCAATTTATTTATTAATTCATTTTACAAAAAAACTTTTTTATTCTTTAAGCATTTATCTACATCCATAGAGTCTTATTTGCTTTAACTCGCGTGTTACATATACATAAAATTTAAAGTTAGTCATATTATATTTGTTTTAAAATAGTAAACAATCTATCTTAAATAATGATTTATATTTTAAAATTAATGTTTATTCAAACAAAAGTTCACAATAAAACAAAGGTTCTTGTTACAAAAGCATGATAAAAGCAAGAATTCTTGATGCATTAGGAAATAAAATTGATTTTTTTCAGATAATTAGGTTTTTAACTTTAAGATCAATTATTTTTTTTGATAACAACAATATTCATTTATAATTCTGAACAAAAACAGAAAATTTATTTTTATTTATATAAAATAAACGATTTTAAAAGGAAGCATGATAAAATGATATTTTTTAATAGATTTCAAAAGAATTTAGACAATTCAATTTCATTTATTAGAGGAAAAACGGAAAAATTATATAAAAAATAAACTTAGAAAGCTAAATATGAATGTTTGTAAAGTGGTATAATTATAATATTGATTTTTTAAACTCAAATATGCCAAAAAAAAAAATTGAATAAATTCTGAAATGAACAACATTTTCATTCTAATTCTATTTAATTAATCTAATTTTCTTCATGCTTAATTGAGAAATCATCGCTTGGTGCATATTGCTTAAAATCATTATCAGAATAAGGGTACTTGAAGCCATTTTACTTTAAAGAATTAAACTTCTCCTTAACTATATAAGATCTAAGCTGTAAGTATAAATCTTCGAAATGTAATGATTTTTACATTTCCATTCTTAGCTAGTTGGCCAAAGTATTCTTCTCTATTCTTAATTAGGAGATTTATTCAGCTTATTTTAGCAATTTACGTTATAAGTCATTTTCATTTTAGAAGCTCAAAGCTTCTTTCTTTGGCTGATCATAAATTGAAATAATTTGCTGCTGCTAAAGGTTATATGATTAGCTACTTTAAATTAGAGGTTCTTGAATTAACTTCTCAAATATATCTTTCTCCTTTGAATTAGCTTTCTTCTATATAGAATCTGTGATTTAAATACTTGAATTTAAAGAAATATTTAAACTAGGAGGACTTTGTAGCTTAAGCACTTATTCTTGTTATTTATTAAGCTAATTATCTAAATTACACTGTTGGATTTGAAAAGTTTAGGAATTTTCATGTTATACTACTAAAGTCTCTTCATTTTTGCTCGATGCTTTGCTTTGAGTGTTTTCAGTTGTTTCAATTTTTATATTATTATTAGTAGGTATATTGTTATTAGTATTAACAGCAATTTTATTATTATTAGCATTAGTATTGGCAGAAGTAGTACTTTTTCTGCTATTTTTTTTTCTTTCAAAGAAGTGTATCACAACAAATTTTTTTTCGTATTTATATTTGACTATTCTTAAAAAAAGGTTTTCATTTTCTTTTGAAACACACTAAATGAATCTGATTAGAGTTCGAGATCCTTTTTTCATGATGCTTGTTACTTCTTTGTTGATCAATTTGACACTGAATGTTTAATCAAATAGATCTTTTTTTATTTTTTGTAAATTTAAGCGACTCTTTATGCCTTTGTAGAGGAAGAATAAATTATTTTTAAGTTCAAATTAGATATCACTTGATTGTTTATGTACTTCTAGTTAATCTTTCAAACTCTTGAATATCTTTTCATAGAAGGATAAGTTAAATTCGCATTCATCACTCTCAATGTGAAATATTTCTTTTTTTTGCATTTTTTTTTTTTTTTCTTAAATTTGTTTTTCTTTTTTTTTTTTAATTTTACTAAATTAATAATTAATCTTTTTTTTTGATTAAAAACATTTAAAAAAATATTGTTTTGTACAAAAACTATTAAATATGCAGGGTGTCGCTAGGTTGTAGCAAAGTAAAATATTTAGTAAGTTTTTTTTAATTGACTTAAGTAGCCAAAAAATAGGAGAAAACTCTAATCTAAATTAAGAAAATAGATTATATGTATAATTAAATAAATTATTAGAGGATTTATTTTAGATCTTTGTTAATTTAAATTTTCAAATTATCTAAATGGAGATTAATTCAAATTTTATATCAAAATAATTCAAGAAAATTCTATATGATATATAATAATATTAAAGTGATAAAAATAAATAATTCATTGAAAAAACTATAAAGCATATAAATGTGTCTTATTTAATTTTATATTGATATGATAGATAATAATGCTCTCTTAATTAATACTTCTCAGAGTTGCTTAATAATTTTATTTGTATTTTATTATTAAATTGTTTATTAAAGTATATTTTTTTAAACATTAAGTTTGTTCTAAAAAACTACATTAAATTCAAATAATTTGAGAGAAAAAAAAATTCAAAAACGAATATAAATTGTTATTTAGATTTATAATCTATATTAAAAAAATTGATAGTTAAAATTTAATGAATGAACTCTTTTCTGATAAATGTTTTAACTACTTCAAAATCTATCTTTTAATAGGAGTTAGTAAATTATTGTAAAAAATATATTATTTTCTTCTATATTATGGTTCTATAAAGGATATAAATATTTTCTTATTTTTGTTATAGCTTTTAAGAGATTAAATATAAAATATATTAGTTAATTAGTTAAAGTGATGTTTACTTTAAAATATTTTATTTGATAAAATTTATATATTTGTTTTTGCTTTTTGGTGAATTAATTATTTTTTTTTCTTATAATTATAATTTGATAATTTTTCAAATAACAAACAAGCTACTTATTAAAAACAAAAAATAATGAATAATATTTTCTTATTTTAAGAAATTAAAAAAATAATGAACCTTCTCTTCAATTATTTTAATAACTAATAGAATCAATTTATAATTTACAACATAAAACTTATTACTGTAAATTAAAAAATACATGTCAAAAAAATGTTAATGATAAAATGAAAAAATTGGATTTAAAATTAAAAAGTGTCATTTTCAGTCAAAGTATGAATCCAATTTTTATATTTATTAAATAGCATAATCTAAAATATAGGTAGATAATATGATGGTTTTTATGGTTTTTAATAAATAAAAATACGAAATACTAATTGATTAGTTAATCAAAAAAGAGCAATCTTTGAAGAATTAAAATATAAAAAAAGAAAATAAAATATTATTTTAATACCTATCAAACTCTTATCGTACTAATAGAAATATTAAATATTTACAAAAATAAACAAATAAGCTTTTAAATATCCTAAACAACTATTACTGTAAAAAACAAAAATAATTTATTTTATATATTTATTTTAATTCATTTATTAAAAACATTATTCTTAAGTAAATTTAGCAAATAATTTACTTTTTTTGTTTGAATAAATTATGTTTTAATTTAAAAATATTCTATTTATAAAATTAAAATATAAATTTTATGCATACATACAACTTTATTTATCTCAGAAAACTTTAAAAATATGAAATTATATTTCTCATATTTATTTTTAATAAAAATATTTCACAAAAAACTTTCTCACTATCTTTTAATCATTTTAATAAAGATGATAAAAGTTGAAAATTTTTTATATATCTAATTTTTAATAGCAATAGCTTCTTATTAGTATAAAATAATTATGATAAGATATATTTATTAAATTCTTTCTATTTTTTTTAATCATAAGTTTAAGCAATTATACATGATATCAAATAACTTAAATTCATTCAAAACATTTAATTGTAAAAAGTCTTTATTTGAAATAATAGTTAAAAAGGAAATTAATAAATTAGTTGTTAATTAGTAAACTATATTTTGAAAGAAAACAAATATATTTATTTATCTTTTAATAATATTTTAAATTACAGCAAAATATAATTAGTATTGAAAATATAGAATAATGAAATAATTGTGTTCACAAAATTTAACCTTTTCTAAATTTTTGAATTATTATCAGATTATTAAAAATTAATTAACAAATTTTTATGTTACAACTATATATTTAAACTTAGAAGCAAGCAATTTAATTCAGGTATTTTTCTTATTTATAATAAATTGCATTTCTATATTTACTTCAAACTTATTTTGTAAGTATTGAGTAAAATCTTTGTTAACATAAAAAATTAAAACTTTTCAAAAAATTGTTTGTTATAAAGTATGTATATCATATAATAGTTTATTTAAATTATTTTTTGTGTTCTTGATTGTATATATCCTTTCATTTAATTAAATTAGTGTTGATTGATGATGACGTAATAAATTTTAAAATGATAAATATTTTTTAATTTATAAAATGAGGCATAACGAAAATTTTTTAATATAAATTAGTAAAAATAATATAAAGTAATTTACTTAAACGTAAAAGGTAAGCCTTATTATTTTTATTTTATTTAAAATTAAATTGAATGTAAATTCATTAACTAACCAAATAATCTGTAATGTGTGAGTCGAATATAAAAAATTTACCTAAATTGAAATTAATTATTATAAATTATTCTACTTAGTCTATTTTAATTATTTTTCTCAAATTTACTTCCATATCTGAAAAGTTTATCTTTTTAATAAAAAAATTTAGATAAATATTTTAGATGTTGTTTGATCTTACATCTTACATCTTATATGCTTAAGCGTACCATGTATTTTTCTTATTCACATTGTTTTATTGTAAAACTATTTTATAAAAAAGTAAGAATTTTAAAATGGTCTTCTATTTACTCTTTTTTATTAAGTAACATCTAAATTTAAGAGGTTTACAGTATATAACATATTTATTTATTTACAGCTCTTTATAAGTGAATTAATTCGTATCATGTGATGAAGAAATTTTTAACAAATTTACTTATATTAAAACAAAAAATAAATTTCATTTTTTAATCTTTCACAATTTTTAAGGTAGTGAATAAACTTTTTGAAGTATGAATTCTAATTTTTTAAACGAAATATTATTTATTATCTCAGATCATTTAGCTTCTAAAATAATTTAGAACAAATAACATTCAGATTTATATTCTCAAAATTTATTATTGATGCTTTAAATTATTTACAAATATATTTCTTTTAATGGCATATAAAAGAGAAACATATTTCAAAAAATGGAATAAAATTAAATTTTTTTAAGCAATAAAGAAATTATAACTCAATTTATTAGTATTTTAATAAATAATTTTTAGTTAATGATTAAAATTTTTGAAGTATTTAAGAAAAATGGTTTTTACTTTTTACTATTTGTAACCTTAGGCCTTTTAGCCTGTAACAAACAGACTTTAGAACCATTAAATTATAAAAATTTGTAATTCATCACACGTTTTTAATTAATTACAAAATATACTTCAATTTCTTGTAAAAATATAACAATAAATAGTTCTCTGTAAATGGATTTATTCAAATTTTGTCATGTGATAACAAAATTATAAATATTTTTAAGGTTATGATTAAAAGTTTTAGAGCATTTAAGAGATACATTTTTTGACAATTTACTATTTTTAGCCTTAAAAATATTAACTTCTTATTGATTTAATAGCAAATAACTTACAAATTTTACTATTTTATCTCTAGTTTTTAATTATTTACTTAGTATACCTCAATTACTTTTATATAAATCAAATAATATGATAAGTATAGGTATCTATTAATAGAATAATTTCATTCTTATCAAGCTATAAAGCACTATCAACAATCTTACTGAAATTGTAAAAAAATTTAAATAAGTTAATTTAGAAAAATTTTTATAGTAATAAGAAGAAAAATTAAATCAAATAGCTACAAAATACTTGTTCTAAAATAAGTAAATTATCTTTAAAATGGTAATGATAGTTAATTAAATAAAATAAATTAAAGTAAACAATATTATTTTCTTTTTTAATATCACTAAGAGAGTGATATTATTGTTGAAGTAATATAAAGCAAATAATATTTGTTTGTTTAAATTATCAATAATATAGTGATATTAGTATCATATTTTACGTTTCTTTTATATATCCTTCAGCTAAACAATAAATTTTCGGCATATAAATTAATGTAATAAGGTAAAGAAAAATTCTAGTAAGCTGAATATTAAAAATTCCTTTGTCGTTTGGTAATCTGAATAGGATCTCACAAAACTGCATCACTAAATCTTAAGTTTAATAAATAATAATGTTAATTTGAAAAGGCTACATATTACTTGATATTATAGATAAGCCAGAGACAATCTTTTGAAACTAAATACTTACCAAATACTCAACCATGTATCAATTAAGGGTATTAATCTTAAAATTCTATTTTGTTTATTAATGCTCTAAACATGCTTTATGAAATTCTTCATATTAATTAAATCAATAAGCAAAAAAAAATAAATATAGATTAGACTGTTTTTTTGTTCCGAAATATTCAAATAAAATGTTTTAAAATCAAAATTTTCTGTCATAAAATATTTAAATTTAGTTAGTTTAAATATTAAAATACCTATAAACAAAAGCTAAATTGATATTCACTTAGGTATTTTGTTAGAATAAAAATATTTAGATTTTTCACTATGAATGAATTTGTTACATCTTAAATTGAAAAATAATTGATGAAATTAATCGCTTTATATATGTATGAATGAATGTACAATAAATTCATTGAAAAGATTTTTTAAGTTAATAAGAAAAATTAAGTCAAATTTTTAATTGTTTAATATTTATTGATGTTTGTTTGTATTCAGTTTGAAAGAAAATTTAATAAACAAAACTGTTTTTTTTTCTTTTAAGTTGAAATTAACCGCACCACAAATTATAATTAAAATTATTAATTATTTATTATCTTCTATCTTAAGAAATATAATTTTGACAAATAAAGATGTATTATTTTTTTAAATTATTTAAAAGTTTTAAGTAAAGTAGAATATAAATTTCTTTAACCATTTAGTAAATTTTAATTATCGATAGTACTTCACCATTTTTAATTATTAATCTTGGAGTAATAATTAAGTATTTGATGATACAAATATTGAATTTCTACTTCACCTAATCCACTAAATTTAATTAATTTGATAGGAATTTTTAAAAAACTAGATATTATATCAAGCAGTATAAATTATGTAAGAAAAAGTAAACTTTTATTAACTACAAAAGGTCAATTTAAAAATTTGATTGTTGTTTAACAATATTTATAATAAATTAATTAATTAAAAAAACAAAACTAAGCAAAAACTTGTTTTAATATTACAAAAAGAAAATGCATCATTTAGAAAACTAAAATGCTTTGAATAATGTAGCTGTTCTATTTTTAGACTTGGTTGAAAAGTAATAACTTTAAAAGACGCGTGAAACTGAATCTTGGATTTTGGATAATGACAGCCCCTCTTTGTTAAATTGTGATTCATATTTAGCAAAATATTCAAGCTATGAATTGACATCTTAATAAATAGAAGAAGACTCCATTATGAATTTATAGCTTAAAAATGTACCAGTTAATCATAAAGACCAATTTATCTAAAAATAGAACACTATTAAAAATATTTTAAAAAGCTTTTAAAAATATTTGGTTGAATTAAAAGATGTAAATCTTATATAAAAATATTAATAAATGTATAATAACAACAAGAATAGCACATCATCTTAAATTCAATTTTCTGAAATTAAAAAGTATTTATCCAAAAAAATAAATAAGAAAGCAACCAGATGGAATTTAATACTCAAAAGCATTGTTGAATGTAAAAAATTCTAACCTTTGTTTTATGACTATCTAGTTAATCAATCAGATGTATGGCTCAAAAAATCTAGAGTAACTGATTTAGTTGACCACCAGATTTTAATAAGCAAACTTATAAAATGCATTGAGGATGATGTGCAAATTAACTTAAAAGTTTATAAAAAAAAGAAATGAATATCTTAGAATAATATTATATATGTATAAAATAATATTATTGTTCTTCATTCCTTTTGCATACATAACTATTTAGATAGTAAATGAAATATTAGTTTGTTTTTAATTGAAGATTATTTAATTAAATCAATAAATAGATTTATTTATACTAATAATATAATAAAGATCTTAGATTCTATTTTTCCATTGAATATATTTGATCAGAAAATTACTATTATAAAAATAAAAGCTTTTGATATTATAATAATTAATTTCAATGTAATTTTTTATAAGAATTATATATAAAAATCTATTATTTTTTGCTTTTAAATTCAGAATAAAAAAAATCATCTTGGTAATTTATCAGTCTGTCTGTTGAATTGTAACCTTAATCAAAAGTTCAAATAGAAAATAGATATTTCATTAAAGTTAATAGAACAATTTAAGTAACACTGTTTTATCTATCACTAACTGCTTTTTTTATTATCATCCTTTCTATCAGTTAATTAAAAGGTGATATATGTTAAATTAATAATGATTTGACTAGTTGATTGTTGAAGAGCGAATTAATCTAAAATTATCTAAGTATTCAATATATAACTTTAAAATTTAGTAAATCTTCTTTTATTCAATATAAAAAAAATATTGGAAACTTACAATTTTACAGTGTTTTTAAGGGTTGTTTGGTATTGATTGTTGAAATGTAACACTTTTGACGGAAAATATCTGGGACATGGTAGAAGAGGTACTGAGTGAGGCATATGTTTTACTATGGTGAGTAATTTTGGGTTACAGTGGTATGGTGATAGAGTCGAGAAAAGCTAGGATCTCTTGGTGATAACAGTAATCGCATTAGCTCATGTTCACTTTTTACTTTTTATATTCTATAAAAAATATACATTTTTAAAATTATCTTATTATTAAATTTTAGTAAATTTCTAAAATTAGATTTTCATGATTAAGAAATTTCTTTTATAGTTTTATTATTATATGCGCAAAGTCCTTTAATCATGAAATTATTATAAGTCAATAAAAATATTCTGAATTGCTTCTTAATTTGTAAGTTATTTCGAAATATGAAAGTTGTTCAATTAAATATTTTTAAAATGATTGCAATTTTATTTACAAAATAGGAAATTTATTTTATTGAAAATGCTAATAAAAATGGGAAAATCAAAATAATGAAATTAATCAAGTAAAAATAAGTCAACTTATTACATAAAAATCAGAATTACTTCATAATATAAAATACAAATTATTTATTTCTATTCCTTTCTTAATTTATTTAATAATCATTAACTATTTATAAATATTCATTAATTATTTCCCCTGCCCCTAAGTTAATCGATTTTCAAATCCTTATTTAATCTATATTATCCATTTGATCATTTTAAGGTAAGAGTCAAAATATTAGTAAATAATTGATGAAGAGAATATTTTCAAAAAAATTAATGGATTAATTGATTTTAAAAGTTTCTATCATTTTTTGTAAACTTTAAGAAAAAACCTATTTTACTTACTACTTAAAGCCTTAGTATTAAATAATTTTTTACTTAATCTGATTTAGTAAATATTTTGATTATTGTAATTTTTATGTTTGCTTACTTATTGCATTTAATCACCTTCTTTAATATGATTAATTTTTGTTCTAATATTTCATTTAGAAAGAAAATTAAGGCTCTATTTTTTTTTTGTTAAATAGTTTTTGCATTAATTAAGTAATATCATTAATTGATCTGTTTTTGATTTGATATTAGTACTAAACTAAAGCTTGAATAGCTATAAAATTTAAATTTTGAATAAGTATTTATTTATTTACTCTTGTTTCTGTAAATTATATTTACAGGATGAATATTGGTTATCAAAATTATTATATCTTTCAATTTGTTTCACTGTTACTCTTTATGAAACAAAAAAAATTCTGAAAGAATAAAAGAAAAAATCAACATAAATTAAAAAAGAAAAATCTTCAAATATTCCAAATTTAATTTGCATCTTTTTGAATGAAATTTCAAAATGTATTTTATCATTTTCAAAGTTTTTAATTTTTTATATATTTAATGTAATTATTAAAATGTATTTAATTTAAATTTTGGAGGGAGAGAGGGAGGGTCAGAATATACTTATCTTATTAAAAATTTATTTATCTTAGAATATAAGCATCTTATATTAGAGGGGATACTGTATATATTATTTAATTATCTACGAAATAGCAACAAGGGAATACGTTTTATCTATCTAAACACTTTAATACCTAACAATATTTCTAAATATTTTTAATATTTTTAGCTTTTTTATTTTTTATTCTAAATATTGACTGATATTTTTAAGATTTTATTTTAGATTTAATAAATTATTATGATAGAACAATTCTAAACTTTTAATTAAAAAATATATACAAATAATATCAAAAATATTTGCGATTTAATTTAATTATGGAGTCTGTCTTACACTTATTACTACATAAAAAGAAGAGTTATTATTTCCTAAATATTAATAAATTTATTTTAATTTTATAAATTAAACAATCTGAATAATTTATTCTTTTTTTAATCAGCCATTTGTTGCCTGCATGCTTGAATCTATTAAATGTTACATACCATATAAATTATATTTAGCGAGTAAGATAAAAAAGCTAAAACACAATCGTTGAGGAATCTAATTTTTAATTATGTAAGATTTATAATTTGTTTATTTTAATTTAATATTTTTTACCTTTTATCATTCATAAATTTTAGAAAATTAAAACGCAATTCAAAATTATAAATAACTTCATTTAAAATTCAATAAATATTGAAATTATTATTCTGGGTTTTTGTTTAAATCAAACTTAAATATATCATAATACCTTTTGTTATCTTATTTTTAGATTTTAATTAACTGATTACCAAACATTTATGACTTCGATAACATAGAATTAAAAGTGTGAGAATAGATGTAAAGATTGATAAAAAAATCAAGAAAATCTAAACTAATATTTATTTTAAGAATATATAAACTAAAAATAGAGTCTTTAAGCTACACAACTAAAAATAAACAAGTATGTCAGTTTATCTCTCAGTTGATTATAATTGTTTTAAAATAAAATAAAATCTTATCAATGTTAATCAAGAATAATATTTTAAGAAATTTTAAAATTGTTTAGACCATGTTTTCCAAACAAAAATAACTAAAATTATGAATTAAAAAAATAATTGTAAAAAATGTATTAAATTTATTTATTATGATCATAAAATATTATTTAAATGGCGTAAAAAGGAAATTAATAATATCTTACTATTTTTTTAAAGCTTTTAAGTATAGTAAATAAGACTAAATAAATAAGATAAAGCAATCTTTTTTAAGTTTTTTGAGTTGCAAATTTTTCAAAAAAGAGTTTCTTAATGAAATAGATAAAGCTTTTTCTTTTTAAGAGTTTTTTGATAGGAAACTTTTTAAAAAAAAGAGAAACATTTTAAATAGCTAGGCATTTGATCTAAATAAAATATTTTTTTAATGTTTTTTTCTTTTGATTAGTTCATAAAAAAAAGATTTTTAAGAATAGGTTTCATTCTAAAAATCTGTACTTTTATTATCAATAATATTTTTTTTTTTTAACATGAAGAAATTTAATATCTAGATGTTGAATGATTAATATATATATACTAAGAATGCAATAAATTTATAATAAATAGCTTCAAAAAATAAATGAAGAGTAAAATGGTTTAGGTTTTCCTCAAGTACCCAACTTTAAAAAGTGGAAGCATATGATCTATTTTAATTTAAGTTAAGTTAGTAGGTCAACAATAATTTCGAGAAAAAGTTTTGTGGTACATTACTGATATCGAATATTACATAATTTAATTCAGATTATATTAGATAATAGTGATTACATTAAGTTAAAAAATTATTAACATACGCATTTCAAAATGATATGTTATTAAAATCGCCAATTAATTCATTTGATATGCTCTATTACCTTGAAACAAAGCAAAATTTTTGATTCTAATTTGTAAATAGATAAATAGAAAAAAAGATAAAGGGTTAAGCTTAGTTTGATCTATTTTAAAAAATAATGATCAAACAAAAAATACTAATAAATAATATCAATCAAAATTTAAAAATGTAGAGGCAGATTTAGTAAATGAATTATTAATAAACATAAACTGCTGAGATAAGCATCATAAATATATTTCTAGATATCGCTTCTAAAGAAACCCCATAAAAAGAACTTATCCTGGACTATATTTAGAGTTCAGAGAGCAATAGCAGCAGTTTCAGCTAGTTATGCTTCAAGAATTAGTAACGTACAGTTTGTAAATCGTATCAAAATTAAAAGGAAAAGATTAAGTAATATGATGTTTTTGATTCATTTGGAGAAAAGGAGGAGTGTAAAATGAAACATAACTAACAATAAAATATAATAAAAAATATTTTAAAGAGCTTTATAAACTATTTAATTAAATTATAAGATAGTAGTATCAAGTAAAAGTATCAACAAATGTATAACAAAGAAAATAATATATCCTTTTCTGAAATAAAAAAATATGTATCAAAAAAAGTTAATTGCAAAGCTAATAGATGGAATTTTTAGCTCAGAAGTATAGTACAAAGTTCTAGCTTAAAGTAAATATTTTATGACTATCTTATCAATTAATCCAAACAATGGCTATAATAATCAAAAGTTAATAATTTAAATGATCATTAAAAGCTAATTGATATCATTTTAAATTGTATTCAGAATAACTAACCATTAGAAATAAAAACATATAAAAAAAAGAAATGAATGAATGAATTCTTTTTTTTTTAATCAAAATAAATAAATAAATAGAAACTTTATCTTCAGTATAATATATTTCTTATTCATACATTATAATAAATATTAATAATAATTTATATATATATATATATAATTACCTCAACTAAATGTACTTTAATTTTATTAATATCAATTTTATACTTAGAGCTTTTTTTGACATTTTTAAAATGTTTAATTTCATTAAATAAAATATTTTTTTATTAATGTAAACAAATAAATTTTATTTCCAGATGATTTATAGTTTCAAAATTTTAATCAATCGTTTGTATTATTTTATCAAAAACATTAAAAAATATAGAGCATCCAAAATCTTGCTTTTCAAAATATTAACTTTTCTTTCAAATTAAGTAAATCAAGCTTTATTAAAAATTAAAAAATTTTATTGAGTATTAATAAAAATATTGTTTTGATTATAATTAAGGAATTAGTAATTCTGAGGTAATTAATTTATTTAAAAGTAATGCTTACACTTATTATTCTTTCTTTTTATATTGCCTGCTTATATTCGAATCCCATTAATATTTTTTTAAAAAGGTTTTAATTTTTATAATTAAATGATTAAATCACTTAATATCGCAATAAGAAATATGATTTAGGTCATCGTGCTGAAATATTGATCTTTATTTCTACATGACATAACTAGTATACTAAAAATTTTACCCAAATTACTTTTATTTATTTCAAGCATAAAAACAACAAACAAAATTATTAAATTAATGTTTCTCAAAAATGATATTCACTTTATATCACTTTCTCCCACTCATAAAGATATTTAAAACAGAAGAAAGAAAACATAATTAAGATATTATATTTTTTAAATAATTAGTAGGGTTAGCATATAAAATATTAAAGAAAATTTAATCATGATATATTATATATATTTTATATTACAAAAAAAATTGTTTAAATAAAAATATATGAATTGTAAGGAAGGCTTGATTTTACAAAATTTTAAAAATAAAAAATTCCCCTAATCAAAATTATTCAAATTCAATGATTGATTCTTTTATAAATAATATTTAGATTTTTCTCCCTTTGCTAATTTTTTAGATAAAATTGGGGCAAATAACTAATTTGATAATTAATTACAAACAAATTCAATA